TTTTTTTCTTTCACCTTTTTGAGTTGTGCAGCAAAGAAAAGTAGGACTAAATTAACCGATATAAATAGAAAAAAACAATCATTGTTAAATCACAACAAACAGACGCACCTTCACCAAACATGGCAGGTAGACGACAAGAACTGAACACAGTAAAGCAAGGTCAATGCTGAAAACAAATCAGGTAAAATCACATTACAGTTCAAGTGCGAGGAAACATTTCTTTGTGCCAGCTGCAGCTAAGTCCCAACTACAGATCAGGGTCTGAATAGATAACTTTACACCGGTCAGTATTCAGGAAATATACAGTATACTTGACATTCATAGGTTTTCTCACCTTGATGCTTCACATTAACTTCAAAGCTTTCATTATAAATAAATACATTTCAATACTGGAGGAAAAATATCAAACTCACCATGAACTGAAAATGTATGCATTTTGCCTCACAGACAGGGAGCTGAAGAGGAACAAGAGAGCAAAGAGGGGCAGTCGATTAAAAAATAAGCGCAAAATCCAATCAACTTTGAAGCTGAATCTCTCACATAAGCTTTAAAGTCAGACAGTGGGTTAAGAGTCTTAATATTTTTATCTTTTTCCAGACATATCCGACCAGAAAGTGTCCAGGACCAGAGAGGCTTTGTCTTCTTTTTCAATTCCAGCCTCAGGAAAGATCCATAGCTAAAAATAATGGGTCCTCAAACACCCGTGCCCTTGTATTCACTTGTTTAGGTTTAAGGGGTTTGTCAGTGACTTGTGTAAATAATTACAAAAAGGAAGTGGCCACCTAATGCTACAACAGAGAGTGTAGTTGTAAGTCAAACCTTAATGATGAGGCGTCATTTTTGTTCTTGCTGACAATGTCATGAAAATGTGTCAGTACAATAACAAAGTCTTTGTTCCCATGTAAGTCTTATTTCTCTGTTTTTACATTAAACCTCCTCTGAAGGTCAAAAACCTTTTAAAAACAGATATTTATATCATCACACTTTCTGACTTCTTTAAATTAACATGGAAACAGTAGATGAATTAAAATCCTCTTCACATCTTCTGTATTGATGATAAGATACCACTCACTGATAGAGTGTGCAGCAATCAACCGCTCACAGCATTTTCAAAGACCATTTACGGTAATTCTCGGACAAAATGAAAAGAAACTATTGTGTTCAACTTTAAAAAAACCATTTAATCTTTTGAAAAATAAAACTCTCACATTTGTAAAGATTTAGTGGGAGCCACATGCAGCTGAGAGCTGACTGTGCTTACAGCTGAGTGTCAGAGACAGCAGGGGAGTCATAATGGACTGGAACAGAATTAGTTTAGGGTTTTTTTTTCTGAAGTTTTCATGATGATCAGATAATTTTAGAGTAACACCAGCCTTTTTTCTCCAAAACCCAGGAAGGAAAATGTGTCCATAACCCAGACTTTTGAAGCAAAGTTGCTCCTGTGTACGGGAAACACAGATTAATTCAAGTTAACAAAAAAGTTATTGGAATACCACCATTATTCATCTTTTCATAAGTGATAATAAAATGAATGTATAGAGGGAAGGATCAAACATCAGCAAACATGTTAAAGGTGCATTTTAGTGACAGACCAACAGAGAGTCGTAGCCACCCCCTGTCGCTTGGAAATGGTAAAAGAAATTGATCATGTGACCAAATATTTAGGAGGTGGGTGAAGGGGTTTGGCATTTATTCCAAAAATATATATTTTTCACCCTTGAAAGTGAATTTAGTCTGTCATAAGTTTTATTAGAATTGTATTCAGACCAAAAAAGATCATTTTAAATTTGTTTTATACATCAGTTGTGGTATCTATGAGCCACAACATGAGGTCAAGAACCTAGCATAAAAGTCCACCATTTTAGCTTAGAGGACTAATGAAGTCATCATCGTAGTTCTGGGGTAAGTTGAGCCAGTGGCTCAGCTGAGAAAGTAAAGGAGTCTGATGAGAGGATCAGAGTTTCAGTTCAGATTGTTGAAATGTTTTACTTTTTCTTTTCAAAAATACAGCTGTGAATGTTCTGAATCACTTAAAGACATTCTGATGTTAAAATGGCTTTTTACAAAACAGCTTTTCAGCAGTTATATGCAATAATAATCATAATTATTGTACCTGTTGAATAGCGTATAATAGATAAAAATACACATGAATGTGATGAAGTGACTGTTATTTAGGGAGAGAGAAGGTGAGGGAGGGCTGGGGTGGAGAGTAGGGGGGTGGTAGGGATACGGTTCAACTTACCCCCCTTTTTTAGCATGCTATATTATCAAGACAGTTATGTTTACACTCATTCTGTTGATTTGCAGGGGATGCACAACGTCTTGAAATATATGCAGATACACAAGTTAGAGACAAAATTATGATTGCCTCGATGTAGTTATCTGAAATATGAAAAATGGCTCATCTTACCCCACTCTCCCCTATTGGAAAACTTTTGGGGGTTCACAATCCCTTCTCTCAAGTCTAAAGCCAATCTAAGCCTCCTCTTTATATTCCATCATGTGTGCACTCAAAGAAAGACAGAGTAGATGGTGTTGAACAAAGCAAACCTTAGCAGCTCAGCTATCAATGCCCAGTCACACAAACTATTGTAGGTTTCATTTTCCAGCTTATCCCTAAAGCAAACTTTGAATTTCTGTCTCTACGCTAGCTTCTCCAAAATAAAACAACAAAGCGACCGTAAATGAAGAAATGTCAAACTCAGGTCCTTTCAGACACTTGTATACAGCCCTTAAAGTTCTATAAAGACCTGTTAGCAGCACCATGGAAATGTAACATCAGCCTAGCTTCAGTGATATCAACAGGACAGACATCTCTCTCAGAGCTTTATGGCAACAAAAACAAAGAAAAAGAGAAAGAGTATGGCTTTGAATCAGTATTGTTCGGATTTGAAGCCTTACCAGTGTTTTGTTTAGAGCTTAATCGTAGACCCCCAGCCAACCGAAAGAAAAAAAAAACATCTCTGTGAAAGACTTTGGGCTACATCGATTTGCATGCAGTGTTGGAGTTGTTAAAAATTCATCAAACTCATGCAGAGCCGCGAGTCCTATTCAGCTTCAGAGTGAAAGGACTTTGTTTTCTTATTTCTCTTCGGAGGTTTCAGTGACTCAGCATCGTCACATTAATTAAAACATTCAATCAGCACTTTGAAATATTCACTCTGAGATCAGTTGACATAAGAGGTTGTCATTTTTTTTTAAGATGCTGGTGGGTTCCTTTAAAAAAAAAGACTGCTGGGGTGTCTTTGTTCTCTAATGGATGTGCAGCAGATTTTGTGGCACCAGTGACTGAGCAGCAGTGAGCGAGCAGCAGCGGTGCTTGGCTGGTAGATGGTCCGGAACTCTGTGTGTGTGTGTGTGTGTGTGTGTGTGTGTGTGTGTGTGTGTGTGTGTGTGTGTGTGTGTGTGTGTGTGTGTGTGTGTGTGTGTGTGTGTGTGTGTGTGTGTGTGTGTGTGTGTGTGTGTGTGACGGAGCTGCTGCAGGCAAAGCTCCAACTCTCCACTATAAACCTTATGTGTCTCCAAACACCTGGCACATCCCACACTGGCTGTCTGTTTGATGTGTGTGTGTGTGCGTGTGTGCGTGTGTTTGCATGTTTTTGAGTGTGTCTTCAGCCACGTTGGACTGAGAGTGACTAATTCTGGTTAACAGATCCCTCTGAAGCAGCCAGACACTCCCACAAGCTAAAACGCTATTAACGACAGCATGACTAAGGTAAAGAGCTCTTCTCCTTTGTTTGACAAATCTCTCTTTTCTCTCTCTTATGTCCCACAGAGAACACAGTCAAGAGTAAACTGTGAGAGTGGATTTGTCAGGTGTGGTTGCTGTGGATACACTCGGCTACACTCAGCCTCCAGATTTCTCCTGCTCGCCGTCCTCACAGATCAAGAACTTCATCTGCAGGAAAATACCCTTTGAAGGGATGCTGTCTTCTTTAGTATGTACCGGCTCTTCTGCAGATGCCGCCTGTTTTTCTGTTTCCTACTCGTATCTATAGATCAGAAAGGTGTCGCGACAGAGGTGCACAATTATAAGGATGATTGTGGTGAAAAACGATCCCTGACCTGAACCCTAACTTGACCTTTATTGTCTCTGATCAGTCACAGCTTTGCATCAAGCTCCTTTAATATTAGGATTCCAGTGTGTGTTCATGTGTGTGAGACTATGACAAAAGCTCATTAAAACGACTCACACAGGCTCCTGGTGTGTTTGAATTGATTAATTCTCGAGATGTGATACAATTCAGTGAGCTGAGGCGTCACAAGGGGGAAATTTACATGAATATTTTTCCTCGGTTTTCTTTGCAGCTGCACCTGAAGGAGACAGAAAAATGCACCTTTGAAATCTGACGGCAGGGGTGGACAGTAACTAAAAGACTTCTCACTCAAATTACATGCTGATGTTAGCTCATATTACACTAATATGTAGAGCATTCGCATTTAACATGGAAATAAATCTGCTCCTAATACATGATATTAAATGCAGTGAGAGCATAGGCTGGGGGAGTAATACCTTTGACATCAGTGTGATATTAAGAGTAAGTGCAGTATTTCTGCAATAATACCCTTCTAATCATTTATTAAATTACTCTAACAATATTGCAGTAACAATAAAACAGTATTGAGCTGTATTCCATTTGTGTCTCGCCTTAGGTAAAATAACTATCTCATTTCAACCAAAGTAAAAATAAATAGGAAAAAAGGGCACAGTTATAACTCACTCATGCGGTTATTATGCAACATAAATACCTCTGTGATGTTATAGATCTGCTCTTTTTTCTCGACGTTTATAGACCTTCAAAGTCAAACATCATCATTACTGCACTGTTTGGAGTCCTATTTTTCAGCAGCCTCACAAACCTTTTTTTCACTCTCTTTTTGTTCTGTTTTTGGTCTCAGCTGTAGGATGTATAAAACATGGATATGATCTGTGATTTCTCTTCCTTGTCAGTTTCATATTGGGCATAGATCAGTCCTCACTTTTAACCAAGCTCGCCAGGGGGTAGGGGAGACCGGGGCTTGTTGTCACATGGGTAAGTTGTCACATTGCAATTATCTTTGCCACCGGAGGGCGCAACTAAAAAGTGGAATACTAGTTTTATTCCTTTACATGGTCAGGGGTCGTGTCCTGTCTGAGAAGAGAGGAGCTCATTAACCATTTTGCACAACCCAAAGTGAAAAAAAATTAACTTTATATATTTTAAAATAAGCCTCTTCCAGATAAAAGTCCTAACAGTGTTACATGTGGACTTGTTAGGGGAAAGATTAAGGCATTCTGTCATACCTCAGTCATTGTTCTGTTTTAAGCTAACTTTAGGCTAGAGCTAGAATTAGCAAACATGGTAGTTTGGGGGAACATGTCTCAGTCATTTTGGGGTTAGTTGTCACATGTTTAAAAGGAATTAAGATTAACATAGAGAGTCTGTTTATCAGCAGTTGTCATATTGAAATCTTGAGTGGAAGACATGGTCACGAGTTACAAAAGAAAAACTGAACATGACAGTGCAGTGTCTGACGTGATGCTGAGGACAGTCAGGCAGGTGACCCTCGCTAATAAATCAATCTGGAGGAAAATTAAGGACTTAAATATCAACTACTATACCTTGACTCCGAAATTCAGAGTCAGACAGCTCTCCAAACTCCAGAGCATGTTTCATAATATCTTATGTTAATGTTTGTTTAATGGTGTGAAAAGTGTGACAACAAGCCCCGGTCTCCCCTACTCTGAACTAAAGCAGTTACAGCACACTCACCTGTTTGTCAACCTATCTGTGCCCTGATTATGCAAATCTGAGTTAATTTTATCTTTAAAGGATAGTGTCTTGCATAGTGTGCGTAAATGAACACATGAGTTTCATCCAACCAGACAGAACTTGCTGTAAAATGAGCACATCTACAGTGATTCACAGCCCACCTAAATATCAAACTCTTGAGCAGCTCCATGTCCTACTTTGTCCACAAGCTGGTAGCTAATTGTGTCCGTCTCTTGCTGGGTAGAGTGGAAAATAAAATAGACAGTTGGTTTGAGAGCTTTTACCCTGAAAAAAAGAAAAAGCTGTTGCCTATTGTTGTAAAAAAAAATAGAGAGAAAGAGATGAAACTTGAAAAGGAAAATGTTGAATTGGACTTTTTCACAATGACCTGAAACTCTGTAAAGTCCTGTTAGGCTCAGGTAAGCTGCATTCAGGTTATTATTTTCAACCATTAGCATCAGCTCTCACATCTCTTCTTGCTTCATATCATACATTTGCACTGTCTGCACACATTTTCCTACAATAGCTCTCTCCACATTGAAGTAAAGGGTTGTGAGGCTCCTCTGCCAACAGTATCATTACAGTCTTTACATGTATCGCCTCACTTTTTTTGGACCTCCGCAGCACCTGTTCATTTTTTCTGTTTCTAACATCAATCATCAACCCCCTCCACCCTCTCTTCCTTTTATTTCTTTTATGTCTCCATGCTGTCCAAATCCCACCTACCCAGGCTGCCTGTCGGCCTGTCAGAACCCACCATATGTGTATTTATACCAGTGCCACTATGCTTTTCCCCCACAGCACATTTGCATGAGTTTTTAATTGTTTATTGTAGGATGTAGGCGTCACGTGCTGGCGGGACTCGGCCGGTGATACGTGTGAATAGAGTGTTTAGCGAGCCACTGTCCCGCCCCTAGACTCTCGTCTGCCAACAACCATCTTTATTGATTCCAAACAGTCTGACCGGGAGGCGCAGATGCACTGGGAGGAGGGAGTGGGACAAAGGAAGGAGAGGGGCACTCAGGAAAAAATAAACTACAAAGAACAGCACGAGGAAATTAGGGAAATGCTCCCTTTTTTGTCATAAAGCTTCATCTGTCACATAAGGGATTGTCTTTTCCTCCTCTGAGCCCTTTGATTCCCTCCCTGTCTGGGCCTTCGATTCGTCTTCTCCGCCCTCCTCCTCCTCCGCTTAAATTTCTCGCTGTTTTACTCCACAGGATGGTGGAAAAAATAAACAGATGGAGGAGGGTGGGATAAAGAGACAGCAGAGGAAGGATGTAGGAGTTCAAACTGAGAGAGGGGGAGGAGAATAGGTGGGGATGAGAGGATGCAGAGCCGGCGGGAGGATGGAGGGATGGTGGTAAAAGAGAGATGAAGAGCCTGATGAACTCATCTAAAGGCGCTCTGGGTTTTTTTTAATAAGCAGCAGACTGTGAAGCTACTCGGACCAGTCACTCTGAGTAATGAGAGAGAGGGAGGGAGAGAGACACACAAGATGAGAGCATGAAAAGACAACGAGACTCATTATCCTCCAACCAATTTTCATCACTGTCCCGTCAGTAATCTCTCTCTCTTTTTCTTACTCAAACAGTCCACAGCTCTGTTTGAGTTGACAGATGAAGACCAATTACGCTAACTGTTTCGTTAACTTGAAGGGTGAACCCCCACCATCTTCCAGAGCGTACACTGATAATCCTGTTGGCCCTGGAAATTACTCGCCCAACACACCTGAGGATGAGTGTGTGTGTGTGTGTGTGTGTGTGTGTGTGTGTGTGTGTGCAGCCATAATTCCTCAAGTAACTCAACTTTTTGTATGGGAAGAGGCAGTAAAAGAGAGAGAGAGAGAGAGAGTGTGTGTGTGCTGTGAAAAATGTGCGCTGCTAGTTAGGTTGACAGTATTTGCTGGCCGTGAACTCTCCGGTGTTTGATGAAGAATTATTTCAGGCTGATGACTGCTGTTGCTGACTTGGTTCCTTACAGTCTAATAGCTTTTTGCCTTGTCAACATTTTCTCAGCACTTAAACATATTTGTTTCTGTTCTGCTTGAGTTTTTCCAGCATATAGACACAGGGTACACTCTAAATTGCTAGTTTTTCTTAGCTTTTGTTCTAACCCGAGTGGCTTTTATTTGCTGTGGACTTCTCTACAGACGCTCTCTTCCTGCTGTGGCTGAATAGTTTTGTATATAGAACGAGTAAAGGCGTCACTTTTGTAATTTTACTTGAAATCATTTTCCTTGAAGCATCAGCAGCTCACAATGATGCTTTTATCCTGCTGCGCCTCAGCTGTGTGTTGGGTTGTTGCAAACCTTGGTAGTTCAGTCAACAGCTGTGTGAAAGGCTCACTCAGCTATGCATGCTTTTTTCTAAGGCACTGCTCAAGTTGCCAGAAAGCCTTATTCCATTCACCCTGATCTGAGGCTGAGGCCGAGCCTTTGGAATTTGTAAAAACTCATTTATTATTCTCTCTCCAAACTCACTGATTCGCTTCATAATGACAGAATTTACTGATTATTAGAAAAGAAAGAAAACCAGCATGTGCAACATGAAGATGGAAAATCCCTCCTATCAGCAGACATCCCCTTGTTCTCCAGCGCTTTCTTTATCTATCTTCACAAACATTTCTTTGGTCTGAAACCTCTGAATGTGCTCTTGTGGGATTTTATCTCCTTAGAGGAGCCTCCAAAACCTGCGGGTCACCGGCGGTCTGATGTTTAGATTCAGGTTATCACAACTTGGAGCTAAGCTCTGCCTAACACAAATGACAGAACAAAGACTGATACCAGCTGGATCCAGAGAGGCAGACGTGCTCTAAGACAGGAATAAATGGTGGTTTAGGGCACAATTATCCAGGATTACTTAATCACGTCTAATCACAATCATAAACACACTGCTATAAAGGGGGCCCATATTAGACAAAAGGCCAGTTAGCAGTGACAATCACCCTGTGGGATGCTAGTTTCCACATCAACAAGAGAAACCTGAGAGTTTCCTGAATTAGTCTTAATTTCAACAGAAAGAATAAAAGAACAGATGCTGTTAGGACAGAAACATCATTTAAAACTAATGACAAACACAAAGATATCAACTCCAAACTGGCAAATCATCTGGACTCGCAACCAAAAGCTCCATCCAATAACTGTTTCTTCTTTTATAACCATCAGCCGCGGATAGTTTGCCCAAATGTCACTGAATTAAAGTTTTTAAAATGATTCAAATATAAGGCTGTGTTCTTGGTAATAACTAAAAAAAAAAAAACAGTACGTTTTGTAAACTTGTATTTCTTCAGTAAAACACTGACCTGTTACATGCCAACCTTAATCTCTTTTCTTCACAACTGTATCCCTCTGCAGTTGTCTTATCCAAAAAGGCCAAAAGATAACGTTATAAAAGTAACCCACTGGTGAAACAACAGCAGTGCATATTGTTGCTCGGGATTCCTGTTGTGTTGTACTGATACTTTCTTTTCAGTAGGTGATGAAAAATTCTTGTTACAACGTTCTGAGAACTACGAATGCTCTTACTCCCTGCAGTGCAAACAAAATAAAAAGCAGTGGAGTCCTTGAAGAGTTCATAGACCAATAAAAAAGTTCCTGGGATCTGATCCTATCTTTAAGTTTAAGAGAGTTAGACATCCATACTGAGACACAGAGAGGGAGCAGGAACAGGTAAACTTGGCTGCTGCACTGTCGTTACTGGAGAGGCTTTTAGATACAATTGGACCTTTAAAGGGATATTCCGGCATAAAATTAAGTTAGGGTCAAACACACCATAACACCAAGTTAAGACACCCCCTCAAGAGGTGAATGTTGTCTACCGCTTGCTTCTCTAGTTAAACCAAATGTAGTAAAGACCGCACGATAGCAAAACACAGCGGTCTGAGGAGCCGTAAACAAACCTCAACCAAAACGCCACTCTATAGCCACAAATAATTCTCAGAACAGCACCTAACTTCATCAACAGTACATATAGGGTCCCAGCCAAAGTACTAGTCACCAAACATCTTTTTAACTTTGCTTGATTTCTTTAGCAATGAGACTAAACACAACTCACCTACTCTCTTCCAGCAGCCGTTTGTTTGTGGCGAGACCTCAGGCCAGTCCATTACAGACTGCTGCGGGGTGACGCAGACCGAGACGCTAAGGCAGAAGAACTACAGCGTCTGCAGTGTGAAATGATTAATATGGTGATTATTACTTCGAGGAAATGATAAAGTAATGATCATAAATGTTCTTCCTTGAGCTGCGTCACCCCGCTGGTTGAGGTTTGTTTATGGCTCCTCAGACCGCTGTGTATTGCTATCCTGCAGTCGTTACTCAAGTTGGTTTAACTAGAAAAGCAAGCGGTCAGCAACATTCATCTCTCGAGGGGGAGTCTAACTCGGTGTTACGGTGTGTTTGACCCTAAACTAATTTTACGCTGGAATATCCCTTTAAGCTGTAAACTTATGTTTCAAGTTTGTCTGAACTTTTGTATCTGAAATATCTTTGTGTCAGTTTTGGTGAGCAAAAATCTCAGATTCAAACACAGAAACCCTTTGGCTGACACATTCTTTCACAAGGACAAGCTTCCGAAAATATGCTGCAAATGTTTTTGCAGATTGCACTTTAAATCATCACAGATGCTTGAAATAACATAGGAAGTAGTTACGAAAACTTTCCACCAATGACTGTTTCCGTTAAAACACAAACATAGTGTACGTCTCTTCCTCCTGAGTGAAGCGATAAAACTCAGATCTCGGATGTTAAGATGTTATGTAACCGTCCTTGAACACAACAGCATCTCTAAGCAGATTTCTTAGTACTGTTTCCCCAGAGTAAGATGAAAAATTATACAAATGTTACACAGGAAAGAAACCACTTCACTCAACTACAGGAGGGTCTGTTAACACGGAGATGTGAACACATCTCATCATAGTGCTGATGTCAGACAGATTGTAGAGAGGTTAAATGAGTCTGAATGTTGCTGCAGTCAGACCTCTTGGAGCCCATTCAAGGAACCCTGCTGAGCTCTAAACTGTGGTTGTGGAAAAGTGTTGTATACAAACGCGTGTGTTTTCTGCTTCTTGAGGGGTGTGTGTGTGTTACCGATAAGTATAAGTCAAATGTTTGAGGTCTTTAGAGGTATTTTTCATCCAAGAAAATCGTGAGTTGGCTTTGGAAAGTGGGGAGGAAAACAGCGCCCAGCACTCAGAGCGGATGAGGATTCGGCAGTTAGGTGAGACGGGTGATGTGTATGGATGAGGCCATGATGGAGAGAGCGAGAGAAGAGGGAGGAGGGTGATGTTTACGGGCGGGGATTGGGGGTGGAGGGTGTAGGGTAGCGGGGCCAGTAAACTGCTTGTGAAATGAAAATGGCTCTTTAGCAGAATCCAGGACACTTGGGCGCTGCGCTGGATCAATGTCTCTGATTTACTGTCTGAAAGCCTGTCAGAGAGAAAGAGAGGCAGAGGGGGGGAGACTGAAGACGGGTGAGGGGGGGGAGGAGGGGAAGGGGGGCAGACAGGGGAAAAGTTAGAGGTAGAAGAGTCCTTTAATGGAAGGAGAAATAGGAGGGACAGGGAGAGGTAAGGATGGAGAGGGAAATTGTCCATCAGAGTGACAGTGCCAGTGCGTGGAAGCAGAATCAGACGGATTGCTCCTCAAGTCCTCACAGCTGAGATACAAAATCAATCTGTCAGGGCAACGGGGAAGGGCAATCTTGTTTTGTGCAGGGAATTGGTGTGGCCATTTGGGGTAAAATCAATAGGGGAACACATGGCACTTCTTAAATCCTTACTATCCCACTGAGGCCGGTTGTATTGACAAACATCGGAGCGTGCGTATGCAGTACACAAATCTTTAACTTGACCCGTCTGAGAGGAATCTGTATTCTGTAAGAGGCCGGAGCGTCAGCAGAGTCAGGTGAAGGTGGAGCTTTCTGCTGCACACAGAAAAAACATGTAAATGATGAAAAAATGACACTGAAGCAGAACAGAGCAGCCTGTACAAATATCGATTAAATCACAGGTAACAGAAATCCATCTTTATCTATCTATCTATCTATCTATCGATCTATCTATCTATCTATCTATCTATCTATCTATCTATCCATCTATCCATCTATCTATCTATCTATCTATCTATCTATCTATCTATCTATCTATCTATCTAAGTCTATTGTGTAAATCTGTGTATTATTTTTGCCACTCCTCATTGTGTCCTACTCGATAGCGTGTCGCTGCCTGTGGTCCCTCCTCTAAGTGTCTCCATGTCTGACTGAGTGAAACACAAACACACACACACACACACACACACAAACACACACACACACACACACACACACACAGGTGGAGCTCTGGGGCCCAGGATGACAGGCCGGACGTCTCGACAAGAGTGTTTTCCCGCACCCTCGGGACACAAGGAGTCTGGGTAGGTAGGGTGTGGGGGGTTATTTTATTTTTATTTTGAGTGTTTAATGTATTAAAAGGGGCCGGGGTAATGAATTATAATCTTTAATGCAGAAACCGATCGATACCACCAAGAGAATAAATCAGCTTTTACTGAGAGCGTCAAAGCCCCTTAATACACTCGGGGAGAGAAAGGGAGTGCATGGGGGAGGAGGAGGAGGAGGAGCGAGGGAGGGGAGGAAGGCAACAGGGACAAACTGTGAGCAGAGGAGAAACAATCCTGTGGCGAAGCAGAGAGAGCGAGGATGATGATGAAATAGAGGAGAGGAGCAGAGTAAAGAGGAAGGGGTGGGGGAGAGGGAGGGAAGTTATAGATGAACAGACTCACCTTTGGGCTAACCTCATTGAGTAAAAGCCCGCTGAAAGCACCAAGATTTTGACAGTTTTGTGAGGAGGCGAGGTTGCAGGGTCAGCCGGTGTGTGCTTACACACTCCACTTTCTTGTTATTTTTTCCACCCAGTTGTATTGTGCTCCCTCTCAATGATCCCCTCCCCGACTTCTGTCGCCTGGAGCAAAATATAATTAATTGAATTACACCACCACTTCTCGATCAAAGATCACCTCACCGCTCTCTTGTCTCGCTGCCTGCCCAACCGGAGGGCCTCTGCTGGGAGACAAAGCCTAACAACAATCTATGAATTACAAGTTTTTATTAACACAAAGTGAAGTTTCAAAGGTGTGCGCTGATTCCAAATCAGCCCGGCTGCAGAAATGAACCAGAGAAGAGTCAAAAAATGAGCTTGACTTGGATTCACTTGACAGATGAAGTGATTCATCTCAGAGAAGGAGGACCAGGACTGAACAAAAATCTAATGCACCACTAAGTATTTAGGATGCTTTGCCTGTTCAGTTAGTGGACTAAGTGGTTTAAGTGAGGTCTTGGTCACTGGAGGCTCTTTAGGAAGACACAGTCATTAAAATTTGATAGCTAAGGCTAGGAGGTAAATGGGAAGAGAGGGATGATGAGGAGGGGAGATGTACAGGAGAGAAAGAGATTAAGCATGGGAAGGGGAAAGTAAGAGTAGCCCTCAGACAGAAAGAGAGGAAGTCCTAACTTGAGGAGGAAAACCAAAAACACTGAAAAAGAGGGTTGAAAAGGTGATGTTATCTGATAGTGTTGCACCCCTCAGGTGCTCAATAATTAAACAGCTGAGAAGCCTCTTGAGCTCCAACTGTGATGTCAACCGAGGCAACCATCCATCATTCATCGCTTCAGGGATCAGGGGTGGAGATGGCACTTAATCACTCATCATTTTGTGCAGACTTCTCTCTCTCGATATATATATTTTGTTTGGGTTTTTTTTTTTTTATTCTGAGGTTTTTGTGTTCGGCTTGAAGGGAGAGGGCACTGGTTTATTTATCCTTCTGAGTAAACAGAGGTCAGACTGCAAACAAATCACATTCCTGTCTTTTTGTATTCCTCCTTCTTTTCAAATACCCCTCTTAAAGAATTTCTCGATATCACTTGGGGGTCAATAAATGAAGAAAAACAACAACCTGTGAATCCCCTCGCTGTGTGTGCATCCACAGGGTTTGTCCTTTGAGAATTTAAAGCCTCCCTCTTTACTTTTTGTCCGCGGGTGCTGTCTGTTTGTGTGCCTGAGGGCGTGTGATTGTTGCATTGCACTCATAATAAGCCGCTGAGTGACTGGCAGAACCAATATCTTGCTATCGCTTTGCCCTGCGCTCACTCAGGCGGCTCGGTGTGCAGCCCCCGTCATGCATCTCAATTCCATAAACACAATGTTCGGAGCCGAGAGAAAGGGCCTGCTTTTTGATTAATGTCGCCATGACAACTACATAATTCATGAATTGTATTAGCGAACCATTTGTCATTTGCAAATCATAATTCAGGATAGGATGTGCGTTTAGGGAGGGCTGGCTGGAGAGAAAGGACTGCGGCCTGTTATTATCCTCAGTGTTGTCTTCTGTGTGCGCGCGCACACACACACACACACACACACACACACACACTAGAAAACAAACCCCTGCTGGAAATGCTGACGTATCCCTGTCCTAATCTGGGGAGCAGAAGCTCTTCTCTGGAAGCCGCCTGTCTCGTAAGAGGGTCCTTTTAGCTTCATGATGAACTCTCAGGTCTGCTCATTTGAGAAGCTGCATGCTAATTCTTCCCCTTCTTCATCCGTCTGTCTGCCTGTCTGTCTATCTGTCTATCTGTCTATCCGTCTACTAACAGCTGCTTGGCTGGCTCTACACTGACACCGTTTGGTGTGACAGTGAAAAGAGTGAAGGAGGATTCTCATTAAATCACCAGAGCAGATTATTTGCCATTTGATCAATGACTGGATTTACACTGGAAGCCCAAAATGAAATTGGATTTTCAGCCATATGTGAGCCAGATGGCAGGGTTTGTGCATGTTTATCCTGCTGAGCATAGATCAGATCCCAGGGTTACAAGAGCTTTATCATTAGGTTTATGTATTTATTTTGCTCTCTGAATAAATCCGACCCTTAGAGTGAGGCCTAGAGCTGGGTTGAAGATAATTCCTTCTTGGTTTTCTATTGAAACATTCAATCTCAAACGCTTTTTCCTGCACCTTTATAAGGTGTGTCAATTTCTGAATAGTGCGGATCCGTGTCAACCTTGATTCAGGGCTAATATTTCACATTTTATGAGCACCTGGAAATTAACTCTACTTCCTTTTACCTTAAAGCATGTCTTACAAAGTAGGTGATCAATCGAGGTAGGCCGGAGTGAGCTAATTTAAAGAGAAGGTGATCAGAAGGAATCGCAGGAAGACGGAAACTTTGAGGTAATCCTATAAAGGTTTATGGAGGACAAGATGAGGAACTTTCAGCACTGAGCTTTAAGACTGAACTTAAATTTAAATACTTAGTAGTTTTACCTTTTGGGTCTCTACCACACAGACCCCAACCAATACTTTCTTTCCCAGAGTCTACTTTGGTAGTCCTGTTTCATGTAAATGAGAAAGCACACCACAAAACTGCTGACAGCTTCATCTTCATGTTTTTATTTCCTTTCATTCGGATCATCACTACCTACATAAAGACATGTATAAAAATATCTTTATGTCTGTTATTTTCTTTAATTCAACATGTTGATTTTTCTCCACACACACAATGTCCCAGTGTGGTTTTGTGTTGGCTGAAAAGGAGCATTATTAGCTGTGAAAGAGCGCATAATAAAAGATTTATAAAAGGCATTAATCTGAACCTTTTAGAGCGTAAGTCAAGTCATTAAAAAAACATCTAATTAGTCTTAACAGGTGGTCCTTTAATTGTTGAGGTTTCAGGGGTGCTTAAAAGCAAAATAATATTTGTTCTGATTTGAATAAAGGCTCATATAGATATACTAATGTAAATAAACAGTTTATTGAATTAAGTGTGTTTACAAGCTTATAATAAATCTGTTTATTTATCCTTAGTTAACTCTAATCAAATCTGATTCATGTCAATAAAAATCCCACCAGTGTGTCTCAAAAGCAGCAGTTAGTGTGTTTATTGTGCTTTTATTAACACTTGATTATTATAAATAATCATCTTTTAAGTGCTTTATTCACGCCTAATGAATGATCCTTACAAGAACCTTAATATAAAGTGTGATCGATAAGGGGCACAATAAAAAAAATCTTCATGTTTTAAGAGAGCAACAGGTGTTTTGTTAGCATTTTAGCGCTTTGCTACATGTTGTCAGTGAAGTTAAAAGAGCATGACACATTTGTCAAACGTGTCAGGAGATAAATAAAATAAAAGGCTATAAATTTGTTACGAAAGTCTCACAGCAGCTCATTTCTCTTCAACTTGCAGCCAGTACTGAGGGTTTACTGAGGTTTTTATTTATTCATGTATTCAAAAATACTTGAAGGGGAGCATATTCAAAATAGCCGGACGTACAAAACCATTACAAGTGTTTGCCAGGAGCACATAATTTAAAACTGTTTTTTTTTAATTGAGAGTCGGCTGCTCTTCTTTCAGGCTGCTGCCACGTCTCCACTCGAGTGTTGATTGTCTGGAAGGCAGAGAAGATCTCAGTCTAATAGGCCAGCGCATGTTTTATTAAGAAGAGTATGAGCTGTTTCTTCAGTGATTGTAGATGTTACAGCTGCTCTCGGGGAATAATTTTACTTTACAGTCCAGTTTTTATTCAGTTTAACATTCAACTTGTTTCCCAAAAGATTTTTATTAATTCTGTGCACTTTGCTTTGAGCCTTGCAAACACACACAACCATTTTAGAAATGTTAAAAAATTGCATTTTTATTTTAGAAAACAGGTTAACAATTTAACAAAAACTTGACATTGTGTTCCTATAAAGATATTCTCTTTTGGCTTGTTAGAGAGGAGATTTTTGAAAGCTAACATTGACAGACATCTTTCTCATTCCACTCTCTGCTCCTCACCTTTACCTTCTTCCTCCTCAACACTCTCCTGACTGGTCGGTGATGCCTTTGCTGCCGGTTCTGGGTTTGTTTGGCCTCGCTCTCCCTCCCAGAGGACAGAGGAGGTGTTTTGGCTGGAGCGCAGTCGCAGGCGAGGTGGTGTTTTTTGGTCGCCGGCGCTGAACGATTGAGAAACTCCAGACCCTGCTCTTGCCAACCCGAGCCCCCAGCCGTGACGAGATCCCAGTTTACGACGGCCTCCTGAGCCGGGGCGTGTGGCTGGAGTTCCGGGACCTGAGATGTCAGGATCTGTCTGAGATGGGGCTCTTCTCATCGGGGAAGGAGAGACAGGAGCACTGCGGGGATCTGGAAAAAACAGGTAAAGAAACAACTATGACAAATACGCACAAGGTTAACTTTCACCGGCATCTGCAAAAATAAAAATAAAGGTGGAAGATCTGGTCAACCATTAACCAGGGTGAGCAACTGGACTTCTGGCGACCTCTGTCAACTCTCTCAAGTGTGTTCAGACATTAATCTTCCCTCAACCATGATCTATGAGTGAATGATTTGAAGAGACAAACCATCACAAGCTGCTGAAGTACAGCGAACACTGTAAACATTCATTTGAATCTCTTACTCAGAGCTCTTAATCAATATGAAATCAATAAAACCTTCATGCTTTCACACACAGAGCTAAGTGAGGCACATACAGTACGTTAAGTATGCATTCATGCATTTGTCAACAGTAATCTGCTACGGATGCAATTTCACTTTCTCGCTTTAAAGGTAATAAGAATCAAATCAATAAATGCCAAGTGTGAAAACCTCGAAAATGACCGAAGAAGCAACATTTAACTCATTAAAGGAAACATCCGCTTATTTGTTGGAGAACCATACAGCAGTGAGTGTATTTAATACCCGATTTCAATGAATTCACTGCTGATGGTCTGCAGGAGACTCTTAATCTTAATCTTTGTTTGTTTGAAATTGAAAAAACATGCTGTGACACATTTCAAAGGTGAGAAAACATTGAAAATATGCTTCTGTTATGATCTCTCATGAGTATAATAGTGTTATACTGCATAAACAAAGTGGTAGCTTTCTACTGAAAAATTAAACCTTGTCAATATAAATGTAAAATATATCACATGTGATGAAATTTTAGATGAAAATGATGATATTGAGATGATAAAAGTCTAAGTCAGAGCTTTATCAAGGTTTGCTCAGAAGGTTTCATTAAAATGAGATTATTTGGAGGGTGTTTTCATGTCCGGATCGAGAGGATTGGTCAGTGGATTTGAGCCTGCTCCGCCCTCTGGGTTGTGATCTAGCCTTTGAGCTGGACAGACCAGTATTTTAGGTCTATTTAACCTGTTTTAATGGCAGTGTAGTTTCAGGGTTAAAGGCAGGCTTGGTGATTTATTAAACGACATAAACAACAGGATGAAACAGGAATGGTGTATGATGTGTGGGCTGGCTTTACTTGTGTGTTACCAGACAAAGCCCACCTATTATTTAAGACCAGTCGCACTGGGATTGAATTTTTTTGCTGTTAGGCTGTAGCGTGTCGGCTACAGGCATGATTGTTTGAGACTCTCCGCTTCTTGCTCTTGTGGTGGGGTTTCAAGATGGTGTTTGATATACAGGCTCAATAAAAACCCAGCAGTCCACTTGTTGAGGAACAGAAGGAGCTGAGCTCACCCAGCTGACACACAGCTTTAGAAAGCAGGATAACAGAAACACAAAGGGAGAGAAAATAAAATTAAATGGGGATAATAATAGTGTATCAGAGAGGGTGAAAAAAATCTGAAATGCAGGTTGCAGCTTAAATCCTGACTTTGAAAAAAGCTGCACGCTTTTTATCTATCACTCAACGTCTAAATTCATTCAGCCGTCAAGGTGCATAAAAGAGAATAAAGCCTCTTTTCCTTTCAACATGTGGTTAGCAGAGAAAACCTGCCTCAGTCGGTCTTGGCGCTCTGCAGGGGGAGATCTGAGGGGAGGAGAGTGGTATCAATGCTGACCACACTTGGTAGTCATGAGATGATTTGTATGCATGCCTGTAGCCTCGCTTGATGGGGTGAGCATGCGAGCATATCTTCGTGAAAACCAGTTGGCTGCTGTTTGCGAGAGGTGGTGCGCCGGAGCACTTGTGTGTGTGCATGTCTGATTGTGTATGTGTGTGTGTGTGGTCTCACCGGGCTGAGAAGTGTGTGCGTCTGATGTAAATTCAGTGCTGTCGGCCAGGTTTTCCACGCTGCCCGCGGCGGTGTAGAGGGCGCGTCCCTCTTTCCCTCCTCCTCGCGGTTTGATTAGCTTCTTCATTCTGTCTGCAATCCAGTTAGATTTCCTTTAAGGACATAAAGGATAGGGACCATTTACAAAAAAGGGAATGAGTTGGGGGAGTCTGTGTTTATGTGTGTGTGTCAGTTTGTGCAAACACACACTAAAAAGTAAAATGCCCTGATTTTCAAGAGAACAACCAGTGTCACAATAGATACATCAAACTCATAAAACTGCATTGTGCTCCATGCTGTTTACTTTCTGACGTGAAATTTAAAATGAGGACAAAATACTCCTGCGGGTTCCAACTGTCATTTCTTATGCCAAAGACGTGCCTTTTCAACATAACATCAAAAAAATCAATGCGGAAATGTTGTAATTGATTTGTCAAAGCCTGACTAACTTGTAGCACTATTTTGACATGAGAACAGTTAATCCAAAACAATTCATGTGATTCACATTTAATTCACGGTTCAAAACATTTGCCAGCTGTTCAATCAAAAACTGTTCTCTCTGCCATAACTTTGGTTTTAAGGATATTAGGAAACAAACAAAAGGCGAGGAAATCCCTCATCTGGATCTTTCTGATTTTGAGGAGAAGCAGCGTGGAAATGGAAAAGAAGATTTAGTGTCTGATTCTGGGTTGCACATTTTGCCTCTGTAACCTCAAATCCCACTCTGAAACCTCAACAGCTCACATCATTACACACTCTATACACAATGTACATCTGTGGGCATGCCACATTATTTCAGGCTCTGTTTAACAACAACAGCTTGTGAAGCAAACCATATTCACACTGTAAGGTAAGCTTAAGGGGGGCCCATCGCTACACAAAACCAACAAGGGGAAAAAAAAAATCCTGTGGTCTCTGTCCTTGGTTTGGCCTGGAAGAAAATCTCTCATAACAAGAAAAAAAACATGTTTGTAAAGAAAAGTCATCATGTAATCCACAGTGTGCCATTACTCAGAGTACATTACAGCTCGAACAACATATTTTAAAATTAGACATGTTCAGAAAGAAAGATTGGTTTGCCCACAGCAGCACTTCAATTATTCAGACACTGTAGTTCACCAGGGTAGTGGCTTGTCAAGCACATTTACTCATCAGACTTCAGCAACATCACACAGCGCCATCTTCACCACATGCAAACACAGTCGCATTAGCAACCACATGATCAATCTCAGATGATCCACAGAAAACAGCAGCACCTACAAATGAAGTCAAACAGGAGATTTCATGATATTAAATGCATGGTTGATGATTGGAGAGATTGGTAATAATTATGAACCTCGTTTATATGGTGATCATGGTTCGATAGTGCGATCTCCACAAAGTGAAGAGAAAAAAGAATGGAAAAAATCCGTTCACCCTCGCAGGTACAGGGCTGCAAAAACATTGACCAATGGGAGCCATTCGTCCCGGACAGCTCCTATTGGTAGATCTCCTGCCCTCCTCTCCATCCAATCACCTTGCTGTATTCGTTCTGACTCGTCCCCTTCCACTCTTCCGGCTCTCCTTGGAGCTCTGAGTGGATAAAAGTAGCGTAGCAGCTTAGCTACAGGAGCTGTGATGGAAAAGGACGGGGAAAAAAAAAAACACCTCTGCTCGCCCCACCGCCAAAAGTGCTAAGGAAATGCAAGCCGACGGAAAAAAGGGCAGAGACGAAGAGGAAATGTGACTAAGCGAGGAATTATTGGGTCATCCTTCGAGTGGTGGAGAAAAGCTTCACCAGGATTTGGGCCTGAAAGCAGACGCAGACACAGCAGAGTTTTTGTTGAACAGGTCATTTTTGCCTTTTATTGTGGCACATGTTACATAAATAACTCTTATTAGTCCCTGTAATGTCAACATGGTAGCTGTCCAGGCAGCTGCAGACGGCACTCGCTAGCATAGCTGGCATTTACTGCCGCTAGTCACTAGCAATCCAACATGGTGAATCCTATTTGAAGCTAGCGTACGATCTTCTGCCGGCCGGCTTCTGCTCAGTCAGAAGGGGTGTGTCGTGGGGAGGGCGATACAGGTTCGGGGGGAGTTATCGTGGAGCACAGAAGGGAGAGGTTTGTGTGTGGGGGGTGGAACACTTTTTTCAAATCTGTCTCGACGGCTCAGTTTTTTTTCAACTGCTTCTCAAATCGTCAACCATGCCATTTCATATCGTAGCTGATGGTGTTTCGCCTAAATCTAACAAAATACTGGAAACATCTTATGGCATATCGGATTAAAAATTTAAACAATGAGTCCATTAAATTCCTCTAACAAGACCTGCACAGATTTGACAAAAACACATTTGTAAGTCTTTTTGTTTGGTTCTTTGAAAATGAGCCACGCTGTACAAACACATACATTGCCCTACACTCTGCAGGGATACTGTGCTGTAATGAGGTGCAATCAACTAAAAAAGGGAAAATATACAGACATAATACTTCTATACAGTACTTGGCTTTGCTGGCTGGAGACGGCATGCTGGGCTCGAGGACTCTATACTGATCCATAATCTTCTCCACCAACTTCTGCTTCTCCCGACGGAGCTCGCTCAGCTTCTCCCTGAAGAAAAACACAAGAGCAGTTCAGAAGAAGACGGAGGATTGAGGATTTTAAACGGTTTGATTTATTTCACAAATCTTTTATCAGTATAAGCAGTCTGACAATGTGATGTAATGTCTCTGATAGTGTAAAACTAAGGCCATTTCTTAAACAGATCTGGCTGTGATGTTAGGACTAGATTTTTCTTTTCAAAGCAGCCCATCAGAGTCTGTTTACGGATGTTCATGTTAGTTTGACGCTTGGGAGCAGAGAGTTCAGGATTTGAGCTGCAGTGTGGACAAATATAAAGCAGGACAGTATCAAAAGAGACAGCCTGAATGCTCAGAAAAACCTGCTGAATGTAAGACGCCTGAACACAAAGTCAGTGATGGTAGCAGCCGACTGCCGGTCACTGACACAGCTGCAGGCAGGGGAAAGGTTATGAGAGGTGAGTGATGGTCAGTATGCAGCCCTGCAGGCCGCACAGGTCTGGTGACGGTAATGTCTGCTGGTTACCCTTTTTGGTCAGCTTGGTTCTGATGACAATCCCACAAGAACAACATGACATGATTGGATTAAAGAAAGAAAGCGTTTTCAACATGAACTTGGAAAGGTTGGCTGACCACACAGAGAGGTGCTGCTGAACTGAACGGATTTAACGCAGATTCATGTTTTTGCTTGAATCCTGTAACAAGGCCGGATCTATAACACACTGAAAACAAAAACAAACACATTTACAGCAGCAACATTTTCAGAAACTTAATTCGAAAATCCTCACTATTAACAGCATGGATCTACAGACTGCAATGTCAGTACTCCAAAACTCTGACACAGCATCAAATATGTCTGCAGCAATGAGGCGGATTGTAGAGACATTTGATAGACTTTCATTTCCCCTGCAGGATGATTTTAAAACCTCCCCAGACTTTATTTAACAACCATCCATCAGCTTCAGATGTACCATGTGTTCTGTACTAATTAGTAAATGTTGGCCACCCACAAAGCTACGATGGTGAGCGATGGAGGGTTTTATTTATTTTTTATTATTTCTGTGTCTGTCTGTTAGCTCGTCCAAACCCTCCTCTGAGTGTTTCAAATACAGCCCAAAACTTACCTTTGAACACAACACTATTAAATGTGTAAAATAGGTCTGGAGCTGGAGGAAACTGTTGAAGGACACTTGGATCTATTTTATAAAAGACCCATCTCTATGCCCTGGCCTTCTGGAGACACAACATTTCTGGCAACATTAGTTTGCAAGGGCTCTTCATCATTTCTTCAACAAAAACAGATGAGATTTTTGAAAACCAAATGACCTCTGTACTGTCGTTTGCACTCTAAGGTCTTCAAAATATGTCTTTAGGGAAAAAACTGAGAGATTACAGATCTGAGATGTCTGTAAAATGTTTTCATAAGGTGATAAATGTTAGAGGAGGATCACAGAAATGTGGTGTGATGATAATGGTGAGTTTGGGTCCGCACATAATATCATTTCAGCTGGCACGTTAATTAGACTGTAATGTCATTCTCATACAGAGATGTATGAAAATATGATCCTCGGCTACAATCACTAAACCTCACTGAGCCTCGTTCATATTTTTAAAAGCTTGTTTGAATAAGAAACAGACACATCTGGGTTTGATATAATAACATTCACCCTCCTGAAACATTGTTCGGATTTGTATCCTGCTGCTACTTGGATTAAATTTTCATTTTTAATAAACCACACCACAGTTCACTTGGCTAAAGACAGACTCCTGTGTTTTCTGCTCAAATAGCCTAAGCCACAGGAGTTAATGCTCCCGTTTGGATAAACTATCTTAAAAGTGCGCTGTACACCTTTGATTCTTAACTTGAGACCTTCAGATGTTTAAAACTAATCTAATAAATCAGCAGGAAGGGGGTTGATCTGGGAGTCTGCTGAGTTTCAACAAAGCTTTTCTAAAGAGAAAAACAGTTTTCAAAAGGTTTTTAAAAGATCAGGGCCCGTACTCCTAAAGATTCTGAGAATCCAATCAGAGAGCTCCTAACTTAACCTAAAAACTCCTAACAAGGAGTCTAATGCTGCGTTCGCGTTCCCTCGGAAGTCAGATGTTGGAGCTGAAAACGACGTCACACCCAAGTTCCCAGCATTTCAGTGACCAAGTCGGAAAAAAGCGAAATCGGAGGCGGCCATCTTGTTTCCGCCTCCGATTTCGCTTTTTTCCGACTTGGCCACTGAAATGCTGGGAACTCGGGCGTGACGTCATTTTCAGCTCCAACATCTGACTTCCAAAGTAACTCAAACGCAGCATATGTTCAGGAGTGATTCCAGGACTTTTATTTATGTGAGGAGGTGTGGTTGACCCTGTTGCTAGATATATGAGTCATCATTTCCAAAGCTGTGATTGGTTGAGCCTAAAGCTACATAAAAATGTACTTTTGGTGATAATTGGCAAAGGATGGACCTTCAAATCAATGAACTTAATAACTGAATCTGATCTTATGAAGACTGTGTGATTGTAAATAATATTTCACATAAAAGAAAATATCTGTTAAATAAATAGTAAGTTATACTTTAAAATTATCTAACAAAATGTGTGAAAGCTTAGGCCCATTGCACAGTATTGACCAACCAATGAGACACAGTGTTGGTTGGCTTTCATTTCGGGTGGTATTACATTGTGTTGTTGGGTTGGAGAAGTAAGTGCATCTCTAATGAGATCAACCACAAACATCATGTTTCAAATAATTTTCTTAGAATTTGGCCACTAGGAGGAACTTTGCCCTCAGAATCTTTAGGAATACGGCCCCAGTTCTTTTCATTACAGTGCTGCTATTATGATAACCTATTATGAGTGAAAAACAGCCCTCTGTTTAAACATTTATTAGCTAAAGAAGTCAAGTGGTTCAATTCAGAGTAAAAGCTGAGCAGGTTTTCATTTCTGTGCTGCAGGTTACCAGTGAAATTAGCAGCATTTTAAAAAAACTGCTCCTACATCAGGTATTTCACATTTTTTACAATAAACACTCGTGTCCCTGTAATCAAACATATTCTAGCCATGTCAGTCATCATAATGTGTTACAGATTTAACACTGCAAGCCAACATTTTTTAACAACAAAATAACATCAATACACCCAGATGTTGCAGATGATAGCAGTGCATAAATCCCTCGATTAGGCTGCTAGTGATGTGTTTATGAGTGTGCTGCTTTCAGGATGATGTCAGGACGGTTTCTGCCTTTTGCGATCAGCTAAAAAAAAATCCCACACATGGGAATTTTAAGTCAATTTGAGATGAGCCAGAACAGTTATGGTGAGGAGACACACAGCTGGTTTTTAAGTGCCAGCTGCTTGTTAAAAGCGTTCAAATCAAAAGTAGTTAGCTGAGACACAGACAAACACTTGGAAAAGCTGAGGAGAACAGCTATCAGGTGATGACTCCGTGTCCCTCAGAACAAAGACCTCCACAGTCTTTCCTCCAGTTCTTTGGTTAAAGCTACACATTAAGAAAAAAACTACATATGGACACAGAAAAAAAAGAACAAATGCACAGTGAGGCAATGTGAGGTGAACTACTGTTGTGTCTCACAAAGCCGAACTGTTCATTTCCCGAAGGCCACACATGTAATTCATTTGCAAAACAGATTTTTTTTTCCCATTAATATTTCAAAACTGGTTTTGTTTTCATCTTAAAGCATGCACCCTTTGAAGCATAGATCCTTCTTTTCATCTAAACCACTCCATACTGTTTTATACAATCAACCTATTTAATGCATTTCTATGGCTCTACACAGAAACCTTTTAACGTGAATTTGCTGCACAGCCTTACTGTTTCTCACATGTAGCAGGGTGCTTAACTGAATATGTCCTGTAAAGCACTAAAATGTGATTATTTATTAGGAACATTTTCACAGAAAAATCAGCGGAGACTGTCTATATGAAGCAGTCTTGTTTAAAGAATGAGTGTCTTAAATTAACCTGCAAAAGGAATTGGAGGTGTAGGAGCAATTTGGCTCATTAGACATAAATGGTGAAGTCAGCTCTGCGTGATCACTGTTAGCTCTGGATTAATCTGTTACCAGTCTGTAAGTCATTTAAAAGGATGACTGCTGGGTGCTGCTGGACTGTAAAGTTATTTTCTTCCAGCATTAAACCTTTACAATGAAGAAGTGCTTTTATTCGCTGGGTATGAACAGACTGTTACATCCACATTTTTCCCTAGGCAGAAGATGAGTCAATTGCTGATGGCTGACTCTGTTATATATGACAAGTTCTTCATACAAGCTAGTGATTTAGTTTTTGTCCAGAGGCTTGAATGTAATGAACAACCAGGACTTTGATGTGTACAAAGATGTAAGAGCCAAACTTAAATGTGCATCAATGTGTGCTTAAGACAGACAGAGGAGATGGGAAGAGAAAGTGGGAGGTTAAACGGGAGGAAAAAAAATTAAGGAAGGAAGGAAAAAGAAAGAAAGAAAGAAAGACAGAAAGAAAGAAAAAGAAAGAAAAAAGAAAGAAAGAAAGAAATAAGAAAGAAAGAAAGACAGAAAGAAAGAAAGAAAGAAAGAAAGAAAGAAAGAAAGAAAGAAAGAAAGAAAGAAAGAAAGAAAGAAAGAAAGAAAGAAAGAAAGAAAGAAAGAAAGAAAGAAAGAAAGAAAGAAAGAAAAAAGAAAGAAAGAAAGAAAAAAGAGATAAAGAAAGAAAGAAAGAAATATGGAACTCTGTTTTTGTGCAGGAAAACCTGCCAGAAAGCAAGTCAGATTCAGAGCATATGTTGCCATAGTAACTAACCTGCCTTTTAAGTAAACTAGGTTTAATGATATTGGGTTTACCAAACTCACTCTACATCCAAAACTGTGACCATGAATATGTGTGTGTGTGATTGTGTGCAAGTCCAGGTTTGTGTGTGTGTGTGTGTGTGATTGTGTGTGTGTGTGTGTGTGTGTGTGTGTGTGTGTGTGTGTGTGTGTGTGTGTGTGTGTGTGTACTGACTGGTACTCCTTCTGCTGTGAGTAATGCTGGTCCCGGCGCTCCAGGCTCTGCTCCAGTAAGGCCCGGTTCTCCTTCAGCAGGCTCTGGTTCTGCTCTGCTAAATGTCGGTTCTCCTCCTCCATGTTCCCCTTCAGCTGAGTCAACAGCTGTGAACGTGTAATCAATTAAAAATATGGTTTTAATGGAACATAAATACATCATTATCTCTGTAAACAAACCTCTCTGCCTATTTTATGAATGTTTCTTTAACATCCATGACTGCACTCTTAAGACACAGTTTGATGGTTTGTATTTATGTACACATTTACAGCAGAATTAATATTCAATGATCAAAGTCAATCTATTTTAAAAGTGGTCCGTAATAATGAATGCATCAGTTTAGTAAAAGGAGCAAAATCAAGATGTAACTGCCAGTGGTGCAAGGAAAGAAAGAGATGGTGACTGAAAGGATTAAGTGCTGATGAGGAAAACTGACAAAGATTTTACCAACACTGACCACCCACATCTGAAATGACATTCAGCCGCTAGCAGAACAACAAACAAGGTCAACATGAAACAATGAAGAAGGGAAAAGCAAAAAAAATCTGCATGTTAAGCTTTAAAGTATCTGATTAAAGCAAAAAAAAAAAAAGCCTTTAAACCACAAATATTCTTTCTTTTTGTCAAACTTAAACAAAAGCTACATTGGAGCCTTGAATGAACAGTCATCCTAATTGTCTTTCAGTGAATCTCTTTCCAATTATTTTTTTGCCTTTGTAGTCTCAGTGCTGTCCAGTCCAGCCCCGTCAGTTATACCAGAGGCTGCAACAGGTTAATTGTGAGACCAGACAGGCTCGATTCTGAACTTTGGATTAAAGAGAAGCACTGCCTCTCCCTCTCTCTGCTCTCCTTCTGCAGAACAGCATAATGAGAGACCCGGGCGTCTGATTTCTAAAATTTAAACTGATGTATTCAATGTAGAGTTTTCAGGGACCCAATTAGGCGTCTAGTGTGGCTCCCATGGATAAATGCTGATAAAAATACATTTCTGGGGGGAAAAAGGTGAATGCCACTTTTAATCTTGATTGAACTCTTACAAAAAAAAAGCATTTAAAAGAAGTCTTTCCACGTTTTGAGAAATATGTCCATGTTTTGCAGGTATTTGAATGAGAACATTTACAATCCTACATCTGTTAGATATTAAGCTGCTTTGGATCAGCAGGTGATTAGAGATGAACTTTCACAAAGACTAAAAACACAGAGAAACAGCTACTCAGAATTGTGTATTAAACATGAGCTGTCTGTTCAATCTAGACTTTAGATAAATTCAAGGTGGTAGTATGTGAAACAGAGACGTGGTAAGGTAACGTGGATTCAGCCCAACTCTACTTAAAAAACTTCCCTGAATGAACTAAAAATCATAAACATGTTGCTACGACTTGATCCAGAAAATCATCTGCTTCAGTCATGTCTTGAATCCTGCAGTAAATTTGTGAAACAGCCTCCTCTTCTTCTTTGTTCTGAATCAAAAATAATCTAACCACAACGGTCTTGGCTACTTTAAAAAAGGTCATTTGATTCAGGATTGATTTCATGATCAATTTGATGATGAAGCAAGATCTAATCTCCAGTTTTATCCCGACGACGAGAAAAGACTGTTTTGCATCCTGACTTTTTTTCTCTTAAATATTCAGCGCCTGTTTTGACGGCAGTGGGAAGAAAATGAAGCTGTTGTAAAGATTCCCCTGGTTCTTATGACCTACTTGGTATTCATTTTCTGTTTAGCTCAATAAATCATCTTTTCTTTTTTTTTGGTAGAAGGATGAAATTGGATTTAAACCAAGGAATAGGAAAAAGCCTCTCATAGCTCCTCACTCGTGATATGAAGTAGTAGATAGTTGTTCCTCCCTGACCATAGCCATGTAAAACAATCTCTAAAACCTCCAATCAATTTTTACTAAAGTGTGTTTAATTACCCAATAATGCCCTGAATACTTTTTTTTCCTTTTATTTCAAGAGGGTGTCCTCACCGTGAAGCACTAAATCCCTGTTTTGCATGTCAGTAGTTGGCCGCCTGAATACAAAACACCTGTGTGTGTCTGCAGGTGTGTACATGTTGATAAAACACTGTTATGTGTGTGCATCTGGTTAATACCTGGTACTGGCTGGTGAGACGGGCACTGCTGAGGTCCAGGTTCTGGTTGGTTTCCCTCAGGGCGCTGAGTTCCCCCTCCAGCCGTGTCCGCTCCAGCTGGGAGGCGCTCAGCTCCCCCCTGAGCATCGAGCCCTGAGCCAGCAGCTCCGCCTGTGACGCCAACCACTCCTTCTGCTGGGCCTGCAGCCTACACATGCACACATGCACACAAACACGCGCACACACACACAGGCTTAACTTCTTGTTTCTGTGGATCATTGTTTGGTCACTCCTCTCTAACTGGAGCTCTTGTTATTTTATTGCACAACATGGACAGTTTTCATGAAGCCAGACAACAACCAACACATGAATCTGACATCCTCTCACATAAAACGACTGAATCGAACAGTTTTAGATCATTACTCACAATAAAGACGTTTGAGTCGTAACAAAACATCCAATTTCCTTCATTTTGTGATGATAGTAATGATTAGAGAAAACTCATTTCAATAACTGTGGAAGGAATTTGATGAGTTCAGTGTTGATCATCAGACACTTCCCTTCTCTCCCTTCATGTATTTCATGTTTTTAAAGTTTTTTGTTGTACAAATCTTTATACAAGGGTCAATAAACCACATGGTCTTAAGATAACATGTTTGCATCTTTCGATGTCTCCTTTTCACTCACTGACAGTCCAAAATCAGACAATAACACCATAGCAGATTAACAAAAACACCAGCCGTGTTATTAACATTTCATCTTTAGCTCGTTTTTCTCTAAACCTTAAATCACACGTTTATTTACTTTAAAATTGTGGCAGTGAAACACATCATTAATGCTGCTTTACCTTCAAACTCCATATAAACAGACTCTTACTTAAACATCTTCAGTTACAGAGCAACATTACCGTTCACCCTGAGAAGCGTTTAATCTAGAGTCCAATATTCACCCTCTGTTATCTGTTTTAGTCCTCAGTCTCTCCTGAGGGACATACTTGCTCTTTAGCTGTTAAATGCTCCGTTTTATTTACCAGCAAGCTGTTGATTTGGTTTCTCTGCTGTTTGCTGCAGCGCTGCTACTCTGCAGTAGTGTTTCTTACACGGTTTTGGTTAAATGTTACATGACTCTGCATGTCTAATCTTCGGTTCATTCTATCTTCAGCATTTAATTTACGTGTTGTCAGACATCTGACACCCAAAATGTTTCCCATAGTGCATCTTGATAACCCATCATGTGACATATACAGGGTTCCTACACAGTTTGAATTTCCATACGCTAGAATTTTAGCATTATTTTTGGAAATACCGACTTTTCTGTTTTAGAAAACAGTATTTTAGAACTTTTAGAACCATACTTAACTTTTCATTTTCCATACCATTTAAGACCAGGAAATTGATCAAATCTATTTCCATACTTTCATACGTTAAGTTAGTAATCATTTCTGCGATAAAAACCTGTTGTCATACTCACTGTAAACCACAGTGAAGTTTTAGATATGGTCATGTTATATGAGGATAAACTGTAAGAGGCACTTTTTACCAGAAATCTTACCAAGCCCGGTCTGAAGCTTAAATACATCTTTTCCTCTTTTTCCTTGTTTTGTTCCTAATATTTCTAAGCTGCTTCTTTCAGCACAAACTCAGTGAACAGGAAACATTTTGCATGCGCATTCAGACCGATTCCTGGATTTCTCCCCATATTCAAATGGTGTGTATGCAGTGAGAGAAGAGCAGTGAAAGTTAATGAGATTTCATGAATGTTATTCTGGGGAGGATGAGTTGTGAGCATATTTTTTCACCTCTCACTGTCTTCTTTCAGCCTCTTCAGCTCTCTTTCTGTCTCCAGTCTCCTTTGGGCTTCTGCCTCCATCTCCCCTCTCTCCATCTTTATCTCCTGCTCCCGCTCTTCAAGTTGGGTTTTACTGTCCAGGATCTCCTTGTACCTTCAGATTACAAACACAACATTCATCCAGTGAAAAAGAAATGTGGCTTCAAATGTATGACAGGAGGGAAAAGGAGCGTGTCCTAGCAGGATTCAAGTTGTGTTGGTGGATTATTTTGTTGATCTTGGGTACATTTTCATTTTTTTAAAAGCCCTCAAAGAAAGAAAGAAAGCGGGCGGAAATGCTCTGCAGTCACAGTCCCATCTTTGCACACTCATCAAAGGGTTTAATGAATGCAGACAGTGTTTTTGTACCTTGCCTCCAGCTCCCTGTGCTGGGCCTCCAGGCTGCGGTTGTTGCTTCTCAGCTGTGAGTGTTTGTCCAGCAGTTCCTCCAGCTCCACCTCCTGTCTCTGCTGCAGCACCGTCATCCGCTCGTGGTCCCGTCTCAGAGCCTCCATCCTGGCCACCGACTCCTCACGCTCCCGCGCCCACACCTTCGACTCGGCCTCCAGGGCCGCACATCGGGCCTCGCTCTCACTACAGCGGGCCAGAGCTGCTGCATGCTGGGAGTTTAGGGATGCTTGCTCAACCTGTTGGTGTGTCAGTCAAGAAAGAAAACACTGTATATAACAAGCTAACAAATCACATAATACAAAAGACTTATGATGGGTTTTTGATGCTTTACTGCTACCTATCCCTGACTAGACTCACTTGAAGCTGCGTGTTCAGTGTCTGTAGCTGAGTGCAGGAGTCCTGCAGGCTGAGGGAGTGCCTGCGCAAAGCCTCTAGCTGCTCCTTAAGGTGCTCACAGGCCTCCTGGGACTGGGACAACCGGGTCAGCAAAGCCTCCTGTGCTGCTACCGCCACTGCTTTCTGAGAAGGAGCAAAATCATATTGAGATGAGCAGTCAGAGCAATGTACAGCAGCACTCAGAGGCAATGCTACCTCTGGAAGGACAAACCGCAGGAAATATTCATACTGTTTGCACTCTGAATCTGCAGCTGACCTTTTAAAGCACTCCCAGTCAGGTAGCAGCTGTATGACATTTGCGTCAATCTATAAATGCAGAGATGAAATTCATCCTTGGTGTTGCATGCAAAAATAGAGAACATTGGAGCTTCAAAATAGATTTCTCCAGAGCCTGTCTGTTGTTTATTGTCGCTGCCAGAATTTAGTCTGTGAAATCTCTGCTCAGCCATTGAGAATAATCCACTCAGTATATCTGCACACTTTTGTGACTCTTGATTGCACAAATCTAGTGCTTTGTTGATCATGTCGCTATAAGTATGTTTCCACATTAAAAGACCAAAATAACTCAAATTAGAAAATTTTCTGCTCTTCATCTGAAATTAAAGTAATATTCCAGCGTGAAATTATTACACTAAGTTAGACACCCCCTCGAGGGATGAATGTTGCTGACCCCTTGCTTCTCTAGTTATACCAACTTTAGTAACGACCACACAATAGCAATACACAGCGGTCTGAGGAGCCATAAACAAACCTCAACCAAAACGCCACTCTATAGACAGAAATAACGCTCAGAACAGCACCTAACTTCATCAACAGTACATATAGGGTCACAGCCACAGCACTAGCCACCAAACATCTTTTTAACTTTGCCTAATTTCTTTAGCAAAGAGACTAAACACAACTCACCTTCTCTCTTCCAGCAGCCGCTTGTTTGCAGCGAAACCTCAGGCCAGTCCATTACGGACTATAAGGGGGTGATGCAGCTCAAGGAAGAACATTTATGATCATTTGTTTATCATTTCCTTGAAGTAATAATCATCATATTAATCATTTTGCATTGTAGACGCGGTAGTTCTTCTGCCTTAGCGTCTCAGTCTGAGACACTTTCTTCATGGAAATGCAATCAATGCTGTGGCTAGGACCTTATATGTACTGTTGATGAAGTTAGGTGCTGTTCTGAGCTTTATTTGTGGCTATAGAGTGGTGTTTTGGTTGAGGTTTGTTTATGGCTCCTCAGACCGCTGTGTATTGCTATCGTGCAGTCGTTACTAAAGTTGGTATAACTAGAGAAGCAAGCAGTCGGCAACATTCATCTCTGGAGGGCGTGTCTAACTCGGTGATATGGTGTGTTTGACCACAACTTAATTTTACACCGGAATATCCCTTTAAAACAAGCTTGCCGCACTAGAAGACCAACTACACACTCAGCACACACTCAGAACTATACATTTTCAGACCATTTCTGCAGGTACTGACACAACGACGTGTTTCATATGCAAGTCATTCAAAGGTCTGGAGTTCAGTTTTGTAGCAGCAGAGCTCTTTTTTCCTTTATGTTGGATTCTTATAGTTCTTTCAGTACAGCAATTGGCTCATTTATACTGCTACATCTGGGATTTCTACCTCTTTCAAAAGCTCTTATAGATTTTTTCAGCTTTTTCTATTGGTACGTCTTCCCACTAGTGTCAGTAGTTGAAGGTAAATATGCAGAGCTCTCCAGTGCTGAATCAAACGCACATTTTAGGCACAGAGAATATGATTTTACTCTCACAAAACAACCTTATGACCATTTAGAAAAGCAATGTTTGGTCGGCTGATTTCCACTCGTTCCCTTGAGGCACTTCTTTACCTTTTAGCTTTTCTGGTGATTTAACTGAAGTTACTGTTTGAGGCTAAAGGGGTCAAATCATCAAGTATTTCCCAAAGAAAGGGGGGCTAAGATAAGAAAAAGAGGTCCAAAATGACTACAAGTATGGGGAGCAGGATTTCTATTCCTCGTCTTTGCTCTCCCGTTAATCCTGCCGTGACCCCCCCGGGATTAGGATTAACTTGTTGTGACCCTTTTTGACAGTTTGAAGACACTTGACTAAAATAAAGAACTGAAAAAAGGAGGGAAAACCAGATCCACCTCAATGTGTAAAGATACATAACCTAATTCAGCATATTACTTAGTACATACCTTCTTCTACTTTAGCTTCTTTTAGGACATTTTCTTGATGATATTTCTGGACATTTATGGAACTTTTGTCCGCAAGTAACACTCATTACCCTTTAGTTTTTCTTCAAGATTCAGGCTGATAAAACATCTTACAAATATCAAAATCATACAATGTTAGTGTCATGCTACGTCCATCCAAACCTAGAACTGCCTGTGTTAATGCGTTACCATCCCAGCTAAAAACAATCCTGACCTTGGCAGTGCTGGAGATGCCTACTCTTGCTTCATGTGGGCACTTATACATGGTTCAGTGTGTGTGTGTGTGTGTGTGTGTGTGTGTGTGTGTGTGTGTGTGTGTGTGTGTGTGTGTGTGTGTGTGTGTGTGTGTGTGTGTGTGTGTGTGTGAGAGCGAAAAGAGAAAAATCCTCAGTACCAGAGAGGAGACAAGATAAGACAGATTAAGAGTAGCCGAGGTGACATTATAAAAACTGATGAGCACAGATAGAGCAACAGTTTCTGGAAATAAAGTGCTGCACTCAGAGAAGCAGAGGCCTACTATGAGCTGATAATCGTCAGGCATCCCTGGAGCCAGAATTTCAACATATATAGATACAAATCACCTCCATTACACAGAAGTTGCGCTGAACTACACAGAAATCCTGTAAATTAGATTCAAAGGCTAACACATACACATACACAGATACCCATCCCAGGATTATATTAAACCACACACACCTCCTTTTCCAGCTCTGTCAGCCTCTCACTCAGCTGCCGCTCAGTCTCTCCTAAGGCGTCCTCATGAGGAACCGAAAGGTTGTGACCTTTGCCAGCTTCTGAGGATTGATCCAAATGTGAAGTCTCCTTTGTGTGTGTTGGACTGGTGTGTGTTGCGTTGGAAGAGTCTGAATTTGAATAAGACATCACATCAATCTCAGCACTTTGTCGGCTCTTCTCCAACTGGAGGAGAGATTCACTCTTCCTCAGGCTCTGGGAGAGCGACTCGATTCTATCCTGTGATTGGTCGAGTAAACTGTTTGTCGTCTTAAGTTCATCCTCAGCTTTTTGTAGGTTCTTGTTCAGGTCTTCAACTTCAGCAGAAAGTTTCTGAGCATGTGCCAGTTCCTCGGATAGTTCCTTATGCAAAGGAAAGAAAACACAGTGTTTAAAGACAAAAAATGTCAGGAAAAAACTGGGAATATCTTTGTGTAACAAATGTCATGTAAAAGTGTCAACCTGATAAAGTTAACAAAGAACTATCAGATTTTTTTGTTGTGTTATGGATTCTTTAAAGGGATATTCCGGCATAAAAATTAAGTTAAGGTCGAACACAACGTCACATCGAGTTAGACACACCGTCGAGAGATGAATGTTGCCGACCGCTTGCTTCTCTAGTTATACCAACTTCAGTAATGACCGCACGATAGCAATACACAGAGCCATGCGCTCAACCAAAACGCCACTCTATAGCCACAAATAATGGTCAGAACAGAACTGATTTCATCAACAGTACATACAGCTCAAGGAAGAACATTTAAGATCATTTCTTCGTGGAAATGTGATCAGACTGAGACGCTAAGGCAGAAGAACTACCGCGTCTAAAATGCAAAATGATTAATTATTACTTCAAGGAAATGATAAAGTCATGATCATAAATGTTCTTCATTGAGCTGCGTCACCCTGCTGCAGTTGATGGACTCGCCTGGAGGTCTCTGTACAAACAAGCGGCTGCTGGAAGAGAGTAGGTGAGTTGTGTTTAGTCTCTTTGCTAAAGAAATCAGGCAAAACTTAAAAGATGTTTGGTGGCTTTGGCTGGGACCCTATATGTACTGTTGATGAAGTTCTGAGCATTATTTATGGCTACAGAGTGGCTTTTTGGTTGAGGTTCGTTTATGGCTCCTCAGATTGCTGTGTATCGCTATCCTGCGGTCGTTACTAAAGCAAGTGGTCGAACACGTTCATCTCTTGACAGGGTTAGGGTCTAACTCGGTGTTACGGTGTATTTGACCCTAACTTAATTTTACGCCTGAGTATCCCTTTAAGAAGACTAAAAGTGTGGTAAATAAAGGTTGATAAGACTTGTAAGTTTTTTTAAATGACTGTCTTCCACATTACACTGCACTTTACAGGCAGGTGTCTCTAAAACTGGGACAGCCAATAACAATGAACTACAAGAAAGAAGCACCAGTAAGAATTGTATTCCTTTGGCCTTAATCTTTTTTAACATGTCTTCATTTCCCTTCTGCAATGCATTGTGGGAAAACTGTGTTTATCAAGACAATAAACAATCTTGCCAATTTTGTATGCAAACTGCAAACCCTGAGGTTTAACGAATTATCCCAAATAAACACACTAAATAAGTACAATGCAGACACTAAGACATTATTTTTACCATGAGATTATACAACAGGAACAAAGCTCAGTTAATAAGGGACATTTTTGCTGTTTATGTTTGAATTATTCCTTAAATCCCTCTTGTCGGTAACTTAACTACCAGGTCACACACACAAACCTTGGACAGCGAGGTAATCTTGACCTGAGCATCTGCAAACTGCTCCTGCAGGTGCTGTTTACCCTCCTCCATGCTGGTCAGTTGAGTGCTGAGCTCTTTCTTCAGGTCCTGCAGTTGTGTGCAAAGCTCCTTGGACTCAGACAGCTGCTGACACACACGTCTGCATGCGCACAAATGGACACACACACACGCACACGCAGAGGTCAAACACAGGCTGAGTGAGGATAAAGTTGACATTAAAGATAAATGCACGCTGCAGCCAAGTACCTGTCTCCACTGCCTTGTAAAGTTAATTGCGTGTCTGAGCTCATGATGGAGGTTAAATGTACAAACCTGTGTTCAGCGTCCAGAGCTCGAGCTCTCTGGTTGCTGTGCTCCAGGGCCAGGGTCGTGCTCTCCAGCTGCTGCCTCAGCCTGCCCACCTCCCTCTCTCTCTGTCTCCCCTCCTTCCGTTGGCCATCCAGCTCCGACTGACACACCTCTTTCTCCTGCTCCAGCCGTGATGCCTCCAGCAGTGCCTGGTCTCGTGCACGGGCGAGGGATTCAGCCTCAGTTGTGGCTTCACGGAGCTCCCCCTCCAGCTCCTCCTCCCGACGACGAGAAGTCTCCAAACTTCGACCCTGACTTACTAGCTCAGACCTGAGAGTCTGAAGTGAAAGCTCTAACTGGTCACCCTGGTAAAGGACAGAACAGGGATTTTATTAATCCTTAACCCTTTTTTGCCTTTTGTATCATATTTGATACACACTTTTATAACACTTCTACCAATATGATCAACAAATTACTAAAACTAAAAAATTACTAAAAAAAACACCTTAACACAGTCCAATAAATAAAAATGTCCTCTTGTGGTTTATCAGTTTCCAAAAACATCTGATGTATCAAATGAGATAAATAAATATATTTGCAAAATTTTAAGGACATTTTGATATTTTTGGTTTTTTTAGTAGTAAGTGAAATAAACATTTCAGCTCCAAAAAAATTAGAATTTTCTGGCCATAATTTGTGGTTTCAGGCTGGATGATCTAAGGCAAAAATAACTGCAGAGGGTAAACTAGTTTAGCTGTTTGGGGAAACTAGTGGTTTCTGACTGTGTGTGGGCACTAAACCTGGCTCCTCTGGTTATTTTTCATGTAGTTTTTGACCATCAGAAATCAGTTAAAGTATCTTATGGGGTTTAGACCTTTAGTAAAAGTAGGTATGGGTCAGTCCCTGTCTAGGAAGAAGTATTAGATCCTTTTCTTCAGTAAAAAATGCATAGCTGCAGTTTAAAAGGTGCTCTCTTCTAAGATGAAGTCCTGCACTCAAAGACAGCTTCATGAATAGCTCATAGGTATCACTGTGCCTCATGTATTTCCTTTTGAACCCTGGTGATCCTGAGTCTGAGAATTCAAATGAATATTTCTGACATTTCTACAAGTTCATTTTTTTTCTGCATGAAATGAGTAAATAAACAACATTTTATCTAAGAACGGTGCAGAGAAAAAGAAAGGGATGTGGATGAGTTGTAATTTCTTATTTGGGTTTTATTTACCCCTTAAGCTGAAAGAACTGGAGTGCACTTTATGTTTCATTTAACACAAGCGTTTATAATCTCCATAAATTTGCCCTAGCTTCTAAAGCTGGTGGTCAGAGTACAAAGTCTACCTCAAACATAACTGGAAACTATTCAGGCTTGTGAAGTAAATTATCACGCTATAAAATAGACCAATTTTGTTTTTTGATGCCGGCTGTGGTAATGTCCAACAACAGTTTGATCTATTATTCATAAATCTGAAGGATTGCACCGTTCTTTCTTTGTAACACTGTTTTTATAAGTCTTCAGATGTTAAAGGAATTTTCCTCTACTTTGAAAAGCATTTTTGTATGCATTTATACATCTTTAAAGTGCGTCAACAAACAGCACGGTGTTCTTTCACTGACAGATGAGTGGACTGCTAAAACACTGAAATCTGAATGTTATTTCAATCCTATTTCATGGAAACAACTCGCTGCATGTTTTCTCTGCCAACACAGAATGTATTTCGCAGAAATGTGTGTATAATTTACATCATGAACGTATACAACATCCATAATAAAGACATGGGCTTTGCTTTGAGAGGAGGAGGCCCAGAAATGCAGTTGCATATTGCAATATCACAAGGATCTCTGAATGGGAGGTTTTCATGAATCCCTTTTATAGTATTTCTTAATGCTGACTTTGCACTGCTTTTCTCCTTAGCTTGCAGTTTTTGTAATGTCTTGCGATTTTACAGCAAAAAAAACTCATTTAAGACAAGATTTTGCATCGCTTTTTTTCCAGAAAGTAGATGTCTACATCCTGCAGGGAAGTTTTTGAAAAGGTCATTTTAATCTTAGTAGTTGCACCCACGCTGTGACCTCTGGTAGCTCTGAGTGGGTGGGTGGGTTTGGTCATGTTTCTTGTGTATAATTATCAATAGCAGGTCAAAACAGGCTCTCGATGCAAGGTCCGTAAAATATGTCGAGCAGCCTGTTCCATCTGTTTTACTTCATGTTTAAACATCCAAATCCTGCAGAGTAGTTTCTCTGTGCAGAGACATAATTAGATTTTAGATACGAGTGCAAGGCATGACACATTTATTTGGTAAAAAAAAAATCTCTATCTAATGCAGTGTGTTACATTTTATTTAAGGGGATTACAGAAAAAAAATTAGATCAGCTTTTTAAAATTAAATGAGTTTGTGTCACTGGGGATTTATGCTACGGATAAAAACTCTATTTCATTTGAACTCTCTTGTCCATCCTCCCTGAAGTAAAATGACATCTGTCATGGCCATGAAAATGTTTGGTGTCACAGCTGCATAGTGCCTGTCTGAGTGTGTGTGTGTTTGTGTGTGTGCATGTGTACTCTCTAACCTTCCGCTGGGCAGTGCGCAGGGCATCCACCGTGCTGCGGAGCGTGTCTCTGTCTCTCTCCAGTGCAGCCCGCTCTCCCTCCAGGGTGGCAATGACTGTGGTCTGCATCCTGTGCAGTTCTGTTTGGCTCCGTAGGCGGCACAGCTCCTCCTCCATAACCAGACTTTCTGACTGAAGAGCCTGGAGGAACAATGGCAGCATACTGAGATGTGTATCCATCAATGTGGACTAACGTATGTTAATGTCCTGCGTGGCACTTTTTGCATTGCATTGATTTTGGTGCCCCCTGTGCTGTGGACAAAGAAATATCGTGTATCATTGTCTAACTGTACATGTGTAAATATTCTTTTTTCAGCAAATTGTCTTCTTGCTTTCTCGTAATACTTAAAGTAGAACTCAAAATGGTTGTTTTGCCAGGGTGCTGCCACTCACTTCCACGGCAGCATTTGCATACATCAAACATAAATATAGTCTTTACAGAAAAAGTGTTTTTTGCCTTTTTAGGTTACATAAACAGACACATCCACAAAATGTTAGGTTTTTGGATCATTTATGGGTTTTTTTCTTGGCATAAACTCTGTCAAAAGTTTCTGAAAAGCTCTGTATAGAAATCTTTATATAACTTACATCTTAGTGTAGAGAAATAAAGGGTGTGATTCCCAATCAATACATTTCTAATTCAATAATCCAAATAAATTTTATGATCAAAAAGCAGTACAATCAATGAGCCTGAAAGTATAAACCCTCACAAGATTAAAAAAAAAGATTTTACTTAAAATCTGTTTAAGTGACTCAAAATCCATCCATACGTCCATCCATCCATCCATCCATCCATCCATACCTCTATCTGTCTGCGAGCGTCTCCCAGACTCTCTGCAGTCCTCTTTAGATGCTGCAGTTCGGCCTCAAGGACCACCAGTCTCTGCTCAGCCTCCCAGGTTTTTCTGCTCTGCTCCCCGAGCTTGAAGCGCAGGTCCTGGGCCACCACTGCCTGCCTGTCAGCCTCTTCTTGAGCCTCCTGAAGCTGCTTTGTCAGAATCTCCACATCGACACTAGACAGGGAACCTACAGTCTGGTGTGCAGCAGAATTATCTTCTACTGGTTCAGGGTGCTTTTGGATCTCTGGTCTTGTTGATACCGGAGCCTCTTCTTTCTTCATTTCGTTCTCTTTCTCCTGTTTCTGTCTGTCTTTCTGCCCTCCCTCTGCCTCCCCTCTCCTTTTGATTTCTACCTCCTCATTGCACTGTTCACTGTTTCCTCCTTGTGTAAGGTAGACCTCTTCCCCAACTCCAGCCTCTCTCTGGGCCCCGATGATTTCTCCTCTCCTCTCCCTCTCCTCTGTCATTCTCACTCTTCCTTCACCCTCCTCTCTACAGGATTCAGAACCCTGTACTCCTCTTTCCACCTTCTCCTTGCCTCCCTCCTCTTCTATGCCATGTTTCTTTACCATTTCCTCTTTCTTCTTTTCTTCAAGGTGTTGCAGTTTAGTCACCAGCTGTTCAAGGCTCTGCTTCAAAGTGGCGTTTTCATTCTTCAGGTTTTGACACTGAAAAGTATGACAGAGGGATAATGGAAGTGCAACATCAATGCTTTCCAAATATTGTGCATTTTCTTCCCTTTTTCACATCTTTTTGTCCTTCCAGCTATTGAACATGACTGAGCTTGAATGTATTGTGAGTAAGAGGACTGAAACCACCTCTCGATCTTACTCAAACTGCAACCAGGTTCAATATGAGCAACTAAAATAATAAAAGGAAGAGAAACAGAAAAACAGCCATGCGCCGGCAGAGAAACCGGAGATCGATTTAAATAACTGCTGGCTGGTTATAAAAGATGATATCAGAGGCACTCCTCTACATGAATAAACACAGAAAACCCTTAACAGATCAGACAGGGCAGGATGGAAAAGGTCACCACCAGACAGCAGCTACAACATGATCTGAAATAAACAATATGTAAACAGTGCAAAAAAACAACAAATCTATACAGTCTACTCTGCTTTGCTACTGCAATACACATGATATATCTGCTGTAAATGTACGTCCAAGCAACATATTTGCCTTTGATTAGATCAGTATTAAGACTTGGTTTCATATTGTTATGTGTGACAACTGTTGATACATTAACATCCAGAAATAGTCACAGGGCTGTAGGATATTATTTTGGCTCACCATGTAATCAAAATAAAAGAGCAACCATCATTAAGGTATGATAGGAATAAACTGACATGAATCAGCAAAAAAAATAAAAAGCAAATGTTTGAATTATAGATGCTTCGAACCTTTGAGTTATCATTTGTTTGTTATAATTAGTATTAGACTAAAATGAAGGCACAAATGTTTTCAGCGCTTACTGTGATATCATGTGTGTTGTAGGCAAATGTATATACATCCAAAAATATACAGTATGTGAACACATGTGGTGTTAGAGAGTGTTGGATGTTTTTGTGTGAATGACTCATCATCTCAAGTATTTCATTTGTTTGTTAAGACAAACTGCCACAAAAAGTTAAATATAAAAAGAAATTCGAGTCGAGTTCTGATCGAACTTTCTGTCTTAAACAAACAAACAAAAATAGTTTCTGCATTTTTTTTTTACTTGATACAACAAAGGAAAGAACAGCACCTGCTGTCACTTTGTATCGTACCTGACAAAGCAGGTCAGGAATTATTATTGTTACGACTGAAGTGAACTCAGCCTGTGGCAGTCTTTATTTCCCCCTCAGCTCACCTCTCTGAGCGTGTCCTGATGCTCCATCTCCAGGCATGCCAGCTCATCCTTTCCTTCTGGAGAATCCGCCTGCAGTGAGAGGAGACGGATGTTTAGTTCTGTCAACTGTTGCTTCCTGCTTTTCCTGTTTCATATGCAGAGAGGGAAAAACTAAATGTCTGATTTTGGTGATGCCTGGTTAACTTGACACCTGGATCTACTTACATTTCACATAATAGGCTGAAATGTTTCTTTCTGCCAAGATGTGATAACCACTTTAAATATTAAACAGACCACAGGCATGAAGAAACTGTTTTATTGACTTGACATAGTGCAGGGCTGGAAATGTGCAACCAAGCACAGTCTTGTCTCCCTCTCACCGATACTTTCCACACTCGTGTCTTTAATCAAACTCTGTTCGTGATCCTGATGACCTACTTTAGCCTTAACCATGGAGAGCTGATCTCTTTGAGATGATTTCTGAGGGTCATAATGATCAAACCCTTGGACTCTGACCTCTTGTTGGGCCTGAAGTTCCTCCAGCCGTCTCCTCAGCTCTGCATTCTCCTGCTCTGCTCCCAGCAGCCTAAGTGTTGAAGCCTCACCCACCTCCACACTCAGCGGCTTCTGATCTGAGGAGGGGTAGGAAGAAAAAAAAAGACATGAACAGAGAGAGAAAGAGAGAGAAAGAGTTGAGAGAGAGAAAGACTGGCCTGAAAACGCTTAAAAGCCATAGAGAAATGGATAAATGAAGATGTTTACTCGGTTACTGTTGATTGATATCCTGAGGGCCTGTATTACTCCAACATATTCTCTCTTATCAGTTAATTAAAATGTCTTAAATGACAAGGTGCAAAAAGGCAGGCGCTCTGACCAATCAGCTTGCTTAGCTCCTCGTCTGAGTCTGGTTCTGATTGGAGGAAAGGCTGGTGAACTGCAGCAGAAACGCTGTCGCCACTGCCGCCAAGCCTCAGGTCCGCCTCGAGGCTCATATTCATCTCCAGCAGCTCATCAACCCGCTGCCTTTCCGTGTCACGCTCCTATGCAGAAATATTCCCACACACATGCAGAAACACATTTAAAGGGATATTCCAGCATAAAATCACTTTAGGGTCAGACACAACGTAACACCGAGTTAGACACCCTCCCGAGATATAGCAGGACAGTATGACAGAGAGCCACGCACTCTGTTGATGAAGTTAGCTGCTGTTCTGAGCATTATTTGTGGCAATAGAGTGGCGTTTTGGTTGAGGTTTGTTTATGGCTCCTCAGACCGCTGTGTGTTGCTATCATGTGGTCGTTACTTAAGTTGGTATAACTAGTCGGCAGCTAGTCAGTATAACTGGTCGTCAATATTCATCTTTCGAGGGGGTGTCTAACGCGGTGTTACGGTGTGTTTGACCCTAAATTAATTTTACGCCAGACTATCCCTTTAAGGGAGCATATTATTGGAAGATATTGGACTCTCGTTTATGACTTTAGCGGCAGAGGTTCAAACCCACACTCAGATCCTGCCAAAAATGTAACTTCCTCATGTATCTGACCAAAAACGTGAACAAAAATAGCCACGGAACAAAAAGTCAAAAATATAAAAATTAATAAATTGCCCCACCGCTTCCACGTCTATAATTCTTTGACGCAGCAGAAGATTGTCCCTCTCAAGCTCCCGTAGTGAAGAGCAGCGCGCCCGTGCATCAGCCAGCTGTTCTTCCAAAAGCGCTTTGGTCTCCTGTAGTGCTGCACACAGCTGCTGCTGCTCCTGCAGGGGGCGCCATGAACAAACAAACAGGAAGAAGTTAAAACATATGATTATTCATGTGTCTAAGCATCACACCAAGGTTACGCTGCTGAACCGAACAAAATATGTCCCAAGCATTGAAAAAGGAAGACAGCCTTCAAGATTCAATAAAGTTTCAGCGATCTCCATCATTTCTGTAGATATTTTCTGATCTATTCCTTCTTCATTATTTTCCATCCATTAACTTTTATTCACTCAAAGTCTCTGTTCAGTCAACATCGGAGTGTTTCAGTTCCAGGCTCATTATTCTCCCTCCTACAGTATATGCAAAACGAAGCTAACCAGCTGCTGGCGGAGGCTTTATAAAAACTATCCCGACACCAGAGAGGTTTTCATCTTCTCGTCTTCCTTAAGAACATTTCTGAAACTATTCCTTTGAACACTGACAATCCCAGAGAACTTATGAAGATGCATCCTGGTCTAATGAGACAACTTGGTAACAGGAGTAACTGGTCTCCTCCCTTTATCCCCCCCAGAGACAACACAAGCCAAGATGAAAAACATACAAGTATAATGGACAGTGCTCCGGCATATACCTGTAACTTCAGCGTCATCTCTAGTATTTATGTTCAATCTTTTGTCACAAAGTTTTTTCTCAGATCAGGAAATATCACAGACAAGACCAAGAGATGTGAAGATCAGACAGCTTTCCACCAATCTATCTAGAATATCTCTATTACCTCGCTGAAATGTTCAACCTGGCTGTTTGTTTTTGCCCCCTTAGCCACCTTCTGTCTCGCCTTCTTCTCCTCCTCACAGATATCCGTAGACATGACAGGCAAAACTATGAAAATAACTCCAAAGATGTACTTGGATTGTTTAGTTGGTTTTACTTTCAAACAGAACACCTCTTCATGCAACATCAGCCCTCTGGTTTTGACAACCACGCAAGAGTTCACAGTGAATTTGTGAAACTCACTTCTAAACCCAAACATGAGAAACACTCATCCTGCAAGCTAATTCGGTCCGTCACAGGGATGCAGTATGAAGGCGGAATATATCAAAAAAGACTGAGAAGGTGATAGTGAGGACACTGTGGGCTGTTTTACAAGGATATGAGCACTTTTTCTGCTCCCCAGCAGTTATACTACCTCGGAAAAAAAATCTCATTTAGGTGTAAAAGCTCCAATAAATGAAGCCATACTTCTGCTCTTTGTCAACGAAGCAACTCCCGGCAGTAAATCCAGATGATATCACACAGTATAATCTCATTTTCCAAGCTTCAGAGTTGTTCATACTCACTCATGACTGAAATGTTCAAGGCCGTGGGAGTAAATTTATCGCTTTTGTGGATAAGTGAAGCTGTATGTCTTTTTAAAAACACAATAGCAATCTGAGGATAAAAGAGACGATCTTGATGATGTGACCTTCGCTACAGAGGATTTTATCACACTGTCGCTGTGTGAAGGAGAGTGAGACTGGTGTTATCATGCGCAGTGGGTTTGTCTTTGTTCTGTACGAGAGATTCTTGCATCTCACTGACAAACAAATATAATTGTATTTCATTGTGTAGATGTTGCTTAGCTCCTTGTTTTCTTTCAGTTGAAAATCATTGGATCAAAAGTATGTGTGGGAACTTGTAAGTTTGCATTGTGTGTGTGTGTGTGTGAGTGTGTGTGGCTGTTGTGTACCTTCAGCTGAGTTCGTGTTAGCTCCAGGCTACGCAATCTGTGCTTACAGCTCTGAAGCTCAGTATGGAGCTGCTCGGCCCGCGCAGCTCGCTCTCGGGTACAGTCCAGCTCGTCCCGCAGTGCACGCATGCCCCTCACCTCCCCCTGAAGAGAACGGTTCTGCACACACACACACACACACACACACACACACACACACACACACACACACACACACACGCACACACATTTATATACCAGTGGGGATGAGGTCAAAGATGGTTGTGAAAAGATCTGGGATGTGCAGTGAAGCAAATGTTGACAGAGTCTTATATAAAAAGAAAAGATGTGTGCGTGCGTGCGTGCGTGCGTGCGTGCGTGCGTGCGTGCGTGCGTGTGTGTGTGTGTGACAATGACAACACTTTGTAGTCTTCTCTCTCACATAATCTTATAGTTGATCTTATTTTAGATGTCTAAGTTTAAACAAAGATAAGGGTTATGCACATTTTGTTACAGCACCAGTCAGCTCCAAATCCTGTTTTCAACATAACTTCACTGCCTTAATGTGTGAGTGTATTCGGTTTACTCTTACATTAATCAAAACTACAATTAGAGGAATGAAGGCAGCTTTATTCGATCAGAATGTGCTTGACTTTGAATGACCCCTGATATCGCCTCAAGCTTCTCTCTAGATTCTGAGTGTTTCAAATGTCAAGTTCAGCAAAGTTCCTCTGGTTAAATCTGAAGTCAGCAGCGATGTGTGCAGTCAATTTTCTGTTTAATACCTAACCTCAGAGAAATCTGCTTATCGGTTGTTAAGTGCCACCTGTGTTTTGTGCTGTTGGCTGTGATGCGATGTTTTTGAGCCAAATATACAGTCTATGATTTGCAAAAGCTTTATGTGAGATTAAATATCTCTCTACATTGAAAAAAAAGGGATTTCTCAGACTGTCTTTACCTCTTTCTGAAGTTTCTTGAGCTGTTCCTCCATAGTTTGAATCTCCTGTGCGTAATCCAAAATCTGGTCACCTTTATCTTCACTAAAAACATGCAAAACATAAAACCGTAAAGAACAATATCACCTCGTTTAAAACCAATATTTCTTTTGTCATATCTATTATAAATCAGCTGCTCCAGAAATCAAAAGGGTTTTTCTTTATTGTGTATAAACTTCATAAACCTAATGAATCTGATTATAGTTGTAAGAACTTTATTTCCTCCAATAGTTAGTCAGCATGGATTCACAATTTAGTGTAAAGAAAGGTCTCACAAAATAGTTGGCACACATTTTTATGCTGACCTTTTTCTTAACTTTTTGAAAAGTTCTCTTGAGTTTTCGGTTGCACATGAACAAAAAACAAAATCACGCTCTCAGAAACACTCACAGTTGTTGTTTGAGGCGTCGGAGTTTGGCCTTGCTGTCTGCCAGCTGGAGTGCCAGACCTCGTGGAGGCTCCTCGCTGCGTCCACCCAGGGGCCCCATGGTTGAGTCAGCCTGGGCCTCCCGTTCCCGACACAGCTCTGCCATCCTCTGGGGGAGAGAGAGAGAGAGAGAGAGAGAGAGGGGAAAGAAGGATTGGAGATGGGAGGATTGGATGCAACAGGAAAAGAGGAAAGATGGATTTGTGGAGGGAGGGAAAGATGTGCATGATAAAGTATGGATTATAGGAATTAAGATCGGACAGAAAAATAAAATACAGAAGCAGCAGATATGATTTTAAACTAATATCAGATACAGGCATGAGTAATAATGTCTTTTTTACAAAAACTTACTTTCCTCTCCCTGTAATTTTCTTTCTGACATCGTACAACATTCTACAGTAATACAAGTACAAGCAGCAATTAAAAGTGTTTACCCACTGGAACTCAAATAAAGGAAAGCAAGGTGAACTCCTTTCATCGGGTCTCATTTAGGCTCTGAGAGAAAATCTGTGTTTTTGGAAAATATTTATTCAAAATGTGCTAACTTATTCTCCTCTGATCTTGTACCAAGGTTAAAGCTTACAGTTAAATTCATCATTCCCTTCTTGAAAACAGAAAAGATACCTCATTCCAGGGTGCTGTTTTCACAAAGAAACAGCAGTAAAACTTCTCAGTGGATATAAAATCATGAAAAAGGCTCCCGTATGAAACAATGATCAGGGTCTGAGTTTTCATGTTTAAAAAAATAAAGAAAAACCTGACCTCGCTCCTCCATCAGTAAAGTCAGTGCGGGCAGTGGAGAGGAGTAACCCCAGTCATATTTCATTTATTTCTATTATATCTTTTATAAGCTTTTGTGGACCACAAAGCTTTTCACATTTCAACCTAAAACCCCACAGCATACCTGCAGTTTACAAAATTGAAAATATCCCTCTGCCTGCCAAATTAAGATTCATTTGAATATCAGCTCAGAGTGTGGCTGCTGACTAACTGCTACAAACTGAATATGAGATCTAAGCAGCATAAGACATTAAATGTTGATCAAATGTGTGACACAGTTAAACCCTAATAAGGCAAGAGCTGCACTTACTTATGAATATCCATTATTCCTAGTTAATTAATTATCAATTATGTCATTAAAAATGAACTGATCTTATTGTAAACATTTCACTGGTCCTATACATGAATGTTGAAAAAATGTAAATGCACCTGAGAACCCAATATACATATATTTTTGTTGGGTATGTCTCCTACCCACCAGACCACCTCAAAGATGACACAAAGAGTTCATTTAAAATCATAAACACCTGTTCAGAATCATCTGACTGTAAAAGTATAAAAATGCTATGACAATATGTCATATTAATACATAATAATATCAATGAAAAGTATTCACTAATATTATTAACTGACTGTTTAATATCAGTATCAAATAATAAAAGACTCTATACTAGTTACACATTATTGCAGAGAGGTCTTGTGTGACCCTGATAGCAAATCAGAATCTGCACTGTGTCAGGATCCTGCTCGCCCTGTCAGTATTTAATTTGTATAATGAGCTGTTCTCTCCACACTGTCCTTTAAGTGCACGTGAGATTTCACTGCTTGTATTTAACTTTCCAGCTTTCCAGCTACATGATTTGAAATAATACCCAAACATCTTTGTGTGCTGTTTTGGTGAGAAAGCAAACTTCACAGAGATGATCAGCAGTGCTCTCTAAGTCTGTTTGCTAAGAAGAATACACATAATCAGCTATCTCAGCTTAGAGATAAAGCAGATTCATATTAATCTGGTTCTGTCAAGATTTCAGCCTGTTTAAAGGGATGTTTTCCTTGCCACCGTGGTGAATGTTGCAAAGTAGACTTTTCTGTGGAGTGTCCTGAGATAACTTTTGCTATAACTTGGCACTCTATAAATAAAAAATAATTAGATCACTGACAGTTAAGCTCAGCTTGGTTCACAATGTAGAATACAGTCAGCTTGGCTCTGACTTATGGTGATAAAAATCAGAGCACATTTATTCAATTATATCTTTTGGTTTGATTAATGTCATTTGATTTCTTTATGGAAATAAACTTGGGTTTATATGCTGGGCTACATTTGGGAAAATGCAATCATTGTTGCCTAGAAATCTTATTGGCAGCCCAGGTGATTACTTCACCTGGCCAAGAAAAAGCTTTCAGATGCCAGTGGGTGGATTTTGTCACCTTTGAGCAAAGCCAAGCCAAATGCTTCCCCCAGATTTAAGTTGCTAGGCTGTCTGGCTGACTGAAGCCATGTATCTACCTTACAACCAAGAAGAGAGGTATCAATATTTTCTTTTCAGGTTAAGCCACAAAAAAAAGAGTGAATTCCAAAATGTGATTTTTTTTCCCTCTCCCTGTGTATATAATACATGTTCACCTCCAATTGTGCATCCCTCTGAGCCAGCAGGCTTTGAATCTGTTTGGCCATGGAGCTGAACACCAGCTGTAGGTCTGCACCTTCAACCTCCTCCAGCTCTTCCCACCTCAGCGGCAGCACCATGCGAGGATCCTGAGTCACCTGCAGCAAGGACAGTTTCTCAGGTCTCAGATGAGATCGATGCAGCTCTGAGACACAAAACAGCAGATCTGGGGACAAGCTATGCAGGCGGTGAGTGGCTATTAGAATACTAATCACAATCGCTTCTGTGTGCCGATGGAAGGACAATTTCCACAGGGATGTATCTATTGGAAAAAAAAAAAACACGTCTGGCTAATGCAAGGAAAACTAACGATCAGGAGGACGGCTTTGAAATGTCCTCAGGTGTTAGACATATGAACAGCAAGCTGGGTGTGCATCCATCCACACAGACAGATCACCTCTCACCTATGATTTATGAGGCTGAGAAAAGGCTGGTGGGCCACATGCTGTTACTGTAATTCAGCCACGCCAGTATGCAGCATGCTGTTTGTAACGCACAGGCAGTCATTCACTGGAGGTATTTTTAAAGACGACAATCTGGCATTTAGGCTTTATTGGAGAGGAAGCAGAGGATGACAGAAACGGGATGAAGGAGAGATGGTGATGTGAAGAGGAAAGAGGTGGAGGGGTGGACAGAAAGGGTGAAGGATCCATCCCACGGTGGCAGCAAGGGACACCCAGAGGTCCTTTAAAGTCCGCCAGCAGAATAACAAGTAGCTAATTTTCACATTTCCTCTCAGCCCCAATAGAACCTGTAATAGTTTCACTCTCTCTGCCTACAGGCCAGACAGCAGAGAAATTCTTGGCTAAATCTTACGTGGCACCTCTTAGAAGTGTCGCCCAGTGATAAAATCTCTTTATACTGATGGTCAGTCAGTGAATCCATTTTATATTTTGGGGATGATTTGATTAGTTCTGGACTTGAACATACCTGCTGGATACAGCCGGCTATAGCTGCCTGGGTTTCAATATCAAGAGACTGGATCTGTTGAATGAAGGTCTCCTTTTTTTCACACTGCAGACACAAAAGGATTTGACAGAGTGGATCAGTATTGAATCAGTGTATATCCATTTCTTTTTGTAAAGTGTCTTGAAATGACTTGTTGAATTGGTGGTCACTAATAAAGATTGATTGATTAATGATGATAACAAGCATTTGTTGGAAGATGCTCAGCTGAAGAGCTTGTTATATATGACTGAATATCTGCATTGCCTTTAAAATACAATCCTACCTAAAGTCATTTCCAAGATATTGCCGTTTATCTGACACTTACCTTGGCACTCGTGTACAAGACAACCAGAGTACTGGTGATGAATACAGTTGATTAAATAGGGAAAAAGGCACCTTATATGTTTTCAGATCATCAATATTGTGGAAAAAAAGAGTCTTGTTTGGCCTGAGGGAAGCGCCAAAAGAGACGCTTTGTAAAAACTTGATCAGGGTTCAAAAAAGGTTCAAAAGAGGGTTTAACGAAGCATCAAACCCACTCACTTCAAGGAAGAAAAAAAAACCTCTTTTCATGCCTACGACTAATGCCAAAAAATTATGCTCATGAAAAAGAGGTAGATAGTGTATATTTATCCAAGAACATTGAATATGAACAATGAACAGAGTCTTTTATTCCCCCTCTGAAGTTTCCAGGTTTTATTGCTTCATAACATGTAATCCATGTTGCTTTATTTGTCTAAGTGGTACCTGTGAGTATAGATTACAATACAGAATCAGTCTTATAGCTCTAAAAAGTTCCACCCTCCTGATATATACATGTTTATGCTGCTGTTCATGAACCCCTCAACAACATACATACAGGGTATGCTTATTTGACTAATTATATGTGTTTTACAGCTAGTCCTCTGCAGCAGTTATAAAGAAGGATGAGAGTTTTTATTCCAAATTTTGTATGATTCACATCCAGCCTGATACATTCAGCTCCTCCTCTGTTTAACGGTTTTAAAGAGCAGCAACATCAAACCTTCTTTAACAGTATGAAAAATGACTGCAATGTGTTTTCACTCTGAGTGTAACTGATTGTAAGATATGAGTTTTTCTACATGTGAATAATAATTTGTTTTCAGAATACTTTGGGAGATCTCAAATAAGATGTATCTAGTTATAAAGTGGAGTAGAGAGCTGCACCTTTGTGGAAAAATATGGAGCCCCTTCATTGGGTTGTCATTTACTGAGGGCTTGAATTATATGATAATCCATCCTGTTTAATTTAGTCATTGTTTGATCAAGAGAAGGGCAGGCTGATTTGCATGACCAAAAATGTCAAATATTCGATTATCAGTGCAAAAAGCTGGCTGTCCACAGGTTCACTAGTATAATTATCGACCTTTATAGAACAGGATGTCATGTGAGAGCGGGTTCACCTGCACTGCACATCCGAGTAAAAGCAGCAGCAGTCGCCTGAGCTCCTCCACTGCCGCCTCTGAGGACACAGAAATAACTGTCATCATCATCATTATCATCATCATCTCCACTCCCCCACCTCCATCCCCCCTATCATTATCACCTTAATGTGTTTCACCGATAGCAGAGATATGGACTCGTATATAAAGTATAATTACTTTCTTGCTGCCTGAGAGACACGACACTGATAGCATCATGTTGTTATCTTGTACCTGTTAGGGGGTCCTGCCCCAGTATGGCAACGTTGGGGAGAGGCATCAGTATCAACTGCTGCAGGTCTTCCTGAAGAAAAGAATAAATTTAAAGACGTAAGAGAAGAAAAGTCCTCCAGTAGTCAGCTTGCTTGGCCTGTCAGTCTGCCCACAGAATGCCTGGATAAACAACAACAGGGAAAGTTTCCACCTGCCTCCTGCAGTTTGTAGTGCAAACAAAGAATTGATATCAGATGAGAGCAACTTTTTGTTGTTCCTGTGGGTCAGAGAGGTTTTTGTATGGATTATATTTGATATACGTCAGTGTATGCAAACTGTGCGTCAAGGTTAATACATTAAACAAATCAGATGATTGGAAAACAGTTAAGAAACAAATCCTTTAAGTGTTGCCTTTGCTATTAGACTGTTAAAGGTAATAGGCCAACAACAGAGGAGAAATTACTTTAAGTGTAATACAAAACTAGAGATCATCAAAAGCAATGTTACTGCTGGTTTAAATGCAGCTTTTCTCAATTATGCCCTCACACAAAGGGCTGAAGATATAAACTCACAACCTGAATCAAACATTTATATGTAAAATTTTACAATTTTGATAGTTGTGTTTTTTCAACGCTGCATGCCTGGCTTGAAAATGCAACTTTAAAATGCCAAGAAATGACTTAGCATTGCCTGTTGTGCTCAGTGAAGTCATGTTTCAGACATATGCCACAATAAAAGGTCACTGAGTCTAATCCCAGAGCCAATCAGCTAACTATTGATGCTTATATAGCCTTTGAGAGCAACAGGCAATATTTCACGCTTCTGATGGGGCAAGTGGTTCCCATTGAAAGACTTTAACAGTCATAGTGTGAGGGGTAATAGTTGCAATCAGACTTCTCAAAGCAGATTGTAAGAAACGATTGCATGCAGGTGTCTATAGTCATAAATCAAAGTCAAATCACTGTCAGATGACAATAAACAAAAATCAGGATGCTTCATACACCCAAGATCAATCTGCTTGCCATCCAATTTTTGTAGTTGTGCAGAATCTGTGAATTCCAGCAAACAAGAAGCCTCATATTGAAACTACTTAAGCAATCAAACAGAAAACAGCTTCACGGTGTCATGGGCAAGGCAATTACACCCCTTCGTTTTCTAAACCATCAAATGCTTGCAAGCACAGCCACTCCTTCCTGTCCTGCAGTAAATGTGTTTCCACCACTCTCATCAGCTGACCGTTTCTGTTTCCTGTGTGTCTGTGTCTGCAGCTTTGTGTTTCTCGCTGCTGACCGTCTTGGCCAGGTCTCCTTTGAAAAATAGATTTTTAATCTTAATGGGACAAACCCGAATAAATAAAGGTTAAGTAAGTTAAATCAATACATCAAAAATTTGCCAGAATGTCTTGTGTGCAGCTGGCTAGCTTTACAGCATACAGTCTGCTCGATTGACCCAGTGCCTGACCCTTGGTTTTATGACTCTCTGCTGGCCTTTTATTGGATTTGTCTGCCTGATTAGGTTGCCCACCTGATTTAACCCTTGCCTGTCTTTTGACTAAAGAAAAAACAGACTTCTATTCTAACCTACCTTTGTATGTGTCCTGCTTTCATGCTTAGACTTTTAGTGAGTGGTTTGTGTTTTATCTGGAAATAACATTTCTGCTTCAGTTCTAAAGAGACATTATTACAAAAATCAGTTCAAACATTCAGTAGAGTCAACAAATATAAAACATGCAAAGGCATGGGTTCCCTAGGTGGGTGTTAAATAGTCATGATGTTTTTTCTGTGGACTCATAATGTGGGTAAAGTGAGCCAATGAGTTTGAGTTATTCTGGCATGCGGTCCTGTGCTGCAGCATTATTCTGTGTTCCAGCATTAATGGCGATTCAGCACAAGCAGAAGGCTCATCAACACTCTGGTCAGCTTGTTTCACTGAGATGTAGTTTCTCATTCAAGATCTTGGACAAATCTCCTGGCACATTCTTAATGATGCTGAATCAATCTGGACCACAAACACTTCAGACACTCCCCGTCCAGAAACCTGGTTTAACTGGAGGCAAGACAAGTACTTCTAGCAGCTCCTCTTACAATATAATTCAGAGCAACACCAGAGAGGAAGGCAGATGACTTCCCTTCACGAAATTCAGTTTATTGTATTACTTTATTTATTCTGTCTTGAACTGAGAACAAACCGGAACAAAGTCCCTGTTAATTAAAAATGTTTCTGTCAGAGAGCCACACATTTTGTTGGCTAGCTTCTGCCCCAACTGCTCTGAAAGCCTGTTCACATCCTCTTGCACTCCATCCACACAAAATCACACACAGTGGCAACTACAGCCCTCTCTGCCACGGACTGTAATTCATAAACCGAACAATGTAACAGAAAATGTACAAAAACACAGAGTTGTTCCTTCAGCAAACGTGTGATTTTGGCATCAGTGCCACGTGAAGCCAACCTGAAGTCTCCCCTCCTTCAGGGCCTGCAGGGTGTGAGCTTCTGCAGCTCTGTGGCGGTCATCATGAAGCTCATGGTTTCAGATGCCAGACAGACTTCTGCATGAGATTAGCTGGACTACAAATTTTGTAAGAGCATGATGAACAGTTGCTTCTCCAGCAGCACACAGCCAAAATACATACTGGCTGCTTATCACTCAAATCCCTTCTGCGCTATGTTTTACACATCAATGCTTAGTACAACTGCATACCATGCTTTGGTCGAGGATTAGCAGTACTTATGATGCATGGTGTAGTTATCTGTGCTTCACAGTGATTTACAGGACAGTTTCTCCCACTGTGGATTTCTATAGGATGTGTAACTCTTTTCAATGACACAGTAAAAATAGTGAATTAGACTTTCTGAGTGGGTCTGCCTTTGAAAATTATCGACACTTGTATAAAATAGCCTTGGATTTGGGGCATTTTCATTCATGCTGCAGTAGCAAAGAGAACTGAAACTATGTGCAATATTTTCTACGCTGTCGAGTACTTTATGTTGCTGAACTGAAGTTGCTTTCTTTTTACTCACAGACAGTTAGATTTTAAAGTTTGGTGAGCTGTCTTGACTTTTCTTTATCTTTTATTTCTTTCTTTTTTAATTGCCTTTATGCTTATGAGCACACCAGATTCAATCTGAGGATTTTTATGTTAATTCAAACGTCATTTACGAGATGTTCAGCAGCCTTAAAAATGTCACGGTTTACTGAGAACAGAGATCTTTAAATGTAGAGGGTCAATAAATTAGTAGGCAGGAGAAATTAGCACTTAAAATCCCATTAACAGGAAAGTGTCTTCACTCAAACCCATTAAAGGATTTTACATTTAACTGAGAAAAGAACAAAAAAACAGAGGAGAACAGAGGAGCAGTATAGAATAGAAAACAGAAGAGAATGGAGCTGAGAAGTATGAAAATAACAACAGAGTTTTAAAAATCAAGGGAATAACTCATATACAGTACAATGTTTGGGCTAAGACAGAACTAAAGACAATTTAATCCAACTGAGAAAATGATGGAAACAACTTTTAGAGAGAATAATGTATGTAACAACAGAAAAGCAAAAACAAACTTCATACAATCAGCAACAACAAAAACTGAGAAGACCTCACAAGAATGACACAAAAATAGAGAATACACATTTAAACACGTTAATGGAATAGAATAGAACATAGTAGAAAAGAACAAATAGAACAGAGTAGAATAGAAAAACAGAATAGACTAGAAAAGAATAGAACAGAGAAGAATATCAACAAGCAAATAGAACAGAATAAAACAGAACAATAGAACAGAAAAGTACAGAATAGAGTAGCACATAACATAATAGAACAGACTAGAAAGAATAGAGTAGAATAAAACAAAATAGGACAGAACAGACTAGAATAGGATAGAACAGAAAAGAATGGCAAAGAACAAATAGAACAGAATAAAACTGAATAGAAGAGAATAGAACATGATAGAACAGACTAGAAAAGCATAGAATTCAACTGAATAGAATAGAATAGAATAGAATAGAATAGAACTGACTGGATGGCTCCTAGCCATCAGGGGAAACACAAGCTACCCCCTTCACCACATCCTCTCTGAGCAGTCCAGCAGTCGCCGTGGTGACCGGCTCATAGCGCTACGCTCTAGGACAGAGTGCCACAGGAGGTCCTTTCTTCCAGCAGCCATTAGACTGTTTAACACAACCTGAGTCGAGGACCTGTGCACCTCAGCACTATACACATATTGCACTGCTAGCACTATTGCATTTATTGTACTTTTTATACTGGTTTTATGCTGGTTTTAACTGATTTTACTCTACTTGGCTGGTCTGCAGAGGTGCACTTGTTGTTGTCGTCGTTGTTGTCTTTGTTAGTGTTCTGTGTATAAGTCTGTGAGAGGCGCGACTCCTGAATTTCTTGATTGATAAAGTATCTATCTATCTATCTATCTATCTATCTATCTATCTATCTATCTATCTATCTATAGAATTAAGCATACCACAATGAAAAGGCTGAGAATAAATACTGTATACCAGAATAGCACTATGAGAGAAGAATCTAACATACTCATGGAAATAGAAGTTAGCATGACACAAACCACATAGACATGAACAAACTGGAAAACAACCAACAAACTTCAGCAGAGGAGTGGAAAAGAGAAAAATGATGAGGCTATAGTACAAACAGAGCAAAGCAGACGGCACTTCGATGACAGTGTGAGTAGCTGTTTGAAAGCTGAAGTCACAGTAGGAAAAAATTTAGCACTGAGGCGTCATCAACTGTTGCTGTGGTTTACACTAACCAGACACACACAATGGTATTGTAGCACATACACACTTACATAAACACATACACAGCAATACAGGACCAAAAAAAGACATTGAGAAGTATAACCACAACCAGAGTGAAACGAAACGTCCATACTATAGACAAGCCTGTTATAAGTGCACTCGGTTTAACATCGACTGATATGAGCTCGCCAATTATCAGCAGTGTTTTCTGCTACTGAGAGCTTTCAAGGGACATTAGCAATTCACTGAAAATGAGGAAGTGAAACCTTGTAGACTCGTGTTCTCATGTTGTGTGACAAGCTATGCTGTGCATGTTCACCCCACCTGACTGCTGCTTGGGGAGGTTTTCTCTGCTGAGAACAGAGAGCTTTGAATCATCCTCGGGGAAAGCAATTGTGTCATTTCCTCCAATGCCACAGGCAGCTTAGATGCACATTATGCAATGCATGGTGCTGCTATTTGATAAATTTTTAGAATCCAAACCACAATTGCATCAAAAAAGATTCAGCTGGCCATCTCTCCACTTTTTCTCACCCAATTTGCCTGATAATAAGCAAGGACATGTCTTCAGAGAATGTAATTTTTTTCTGTGTTTCATCTTCTTTTTTGTGCAAATGTTCCATCAGCCCTCACACACACTTCAAACTTCGAGAATCACCTCAGGTGAAATATTCGTGTGTTGAGGCTGATGGTTGGGCTTCATCTTTTTCTGCTTTCTCTAACCTTACAGCAAGCCAACTGCTTCTCCAACCCTCCTCCTTCACCCTATCTCCCCTGCCATTTAGTGTGGCCCTGAGTTATGTTGAAGTAGATTTTTTTCCAGTGAATTTGAGAGACGTCTCTATTTATAATGAGCAGCGAGTCATTTTAGTTCATCCACATAAAAGCCATTACACAAGCTTTTTTTCTTTCTTTTTTTTTAAATAAAAAACCTTTTCCAAGAAATGCAAGAGAATGCTAATGGGGCTATTCAAAATATTTTTGTATAACACAATGCAGATCAGGTCAGTTACCATACACTGGTGTAGTCTGTGTCACACGGGGTTGCCCGATCACTAAACCTACTCTTTGTGGAATGAATTGCCTTCTGACCAGTTTTGACAAGGCATCAAAACATCCAGTTAGGCTTTGGTTGAGGCCATACTTGTATGGAAATAAAACTACAACTAAAGAAATGAGTTGGAGGAACAGTTCATTTCTCACTTGGGAATAAAATAGACAAGCATAAGGACCTGAAACAGGGGGACAAAAGCTGTCAATCAAGTTCCCAATTTAAGACTAAACATCTTGTTTCTTAAATCTCAGTTTAATCTAGACTGGAAATTATCGGTTGTTGATTTTAGAGATTGTTGTTTTTAGAGATAACAGTTTTTTACTGTGGTGTCAAAAGCTTGAGAATTGCTTTGACAATCTTAAATTGATATAAATATTACAACTAAAGATAAGACATTAACTAGGAAGAAAAACATTTAAAGCCAGTAGACAGACTGAAAGTTCATCATACAATGATAGGTTTAATCTACATGATGGCAGAAATATCTCAGGAAAACATGTACATGCTCTGTGGAGTGTCAGATCATTACTCATTATTTTCCTTCCCCACTGATCTCCACCTACCTGGTAAAAGGCTCTGAGGTGTCGATTCAAAATGGAAAAGTTCTGGACTCTCAGCATGTGATCATGTTTCTCGCTGTCGTACAGCCGCTCCACCTTGGGGTTTGGGTCTCTAAGATAAACAGAGAAGGGACATGGCGGTGAATCAACAGGAACTTGAACAAACAGCACGGCACCTCATCAGTCAAGATGGGACACCCTTATACAACAATGCATTTAAGCAGCCAGTGAATAAAACTTTAATGAGCCTGAGAAACAGAGGCAGTGAGAATCGACATGTGGCTATTTACTGGAATAACGGAGCAGATTCATCAGCTGCTTGGCATCGTGAACACATCGGATGACAGAGACAAGATGTTAAAAACGCTGAGAATTGAAGATGAAGATACAGAACACATTTAAGCCTCTCTTTTACATCTTGTGAGATCACATATCATATTTTTTTATGTTAAGTTTTATTGTAAATTGTACTACTTTATGTGGATTTAGTCACAAATTAATGAGTGGGCAATCTCAAAATGGCAAAGTCCCCCCTTGTGGTCTTTAAATATGTTACCATAATGTATACCAAAGTACATCCAATTTTTGGCAATTATCACATCATAAAAACAAGTGTGAACCCTAAAAGGCACTATAGGAGATGGAAGAGGTGATAAAAGTCAGCACAACCATATCAACAAAGACCATGAGTGCCGGTACATTTTTTAAAATCGACCCAGAATCTACTGCGATGTTTCAATCCAGACCAAAGTAATGAATGGATGATTAGGCTGAACTTCTAAGTCCTTTGTCACTGCATGCAAAAAAAGAAAATTTTACCTGTGATGGCTCACCCTTAAAGATCAGGTAGCTATGTTTCATTATGATTCAGAGATATTCAAGCTACATTTTACAACAAACTGCAGGAAGAAACATGCTTTTCTCTTTTCATATCTATATATATGTATTATAGTTTCTACAAATCCCCCTAATAAACTAGAGCTCAACACATTTTTACTTTTTTCTTAAATCAACTGTAGCCTGAGACATTTCCTTGCATGTTCTTCTGACAATAATTGTTTTGTCTGGCCTTCATTTGCATTGTAGACATAATGTGGCAGCAAGGCAGTGAAGTAAGAAACGCTTGATCAATCTTACATGACTCTCATGACCTCATTGAGGAAAACCCCATTGGTCAGCTTCATATACCGGTCCCGGGTACTCTGGGTAGTTGAGTTTACTTCCATGTACTGGCTGTAGAGAGAGACACCATCCTCTCCCTCTACCATCTTCTCAAACAGCTGAACCTGTGAGAGACAGGGAGGAATCATTGTGTGAGCTTTGAGATAAGCATGAGAGTATAGCAGGAGGTGGTAGGGGAGGAGGAGGATGACAGAATCAGGAGCAGAAAGAGAACGAGAGAGGAGTGGGAGACAGAGAATTGCAAATATTTCTCCAGTGCAGGAAGCCACTTGAGTCGGAGCACCTGTCTGGACAGGTGGGATCTGTGCTCTCACACTGGGAAGTACTTCACAGTGACAGGCAGCCAAGCAGGGCCGCAGCCAAGGTCTTTCTCCCCCCTAAGAAGAGCTGTGCCAATGCAAACTGCAATATAATGAGGCTTATTCCCACCTGCATTTTCTAAAAACTGCACTGTCTGTAAACACAACTACCAGCCTGGTCAGTTCACAGCTGATTAGGTGAAGATGAGCTGCTGGAGACCTTGACCAAGTGAGTAAACTGGGCAGTAGAGCCGAGCTGTTATCACGGATGTCTGTCTTGCGAAGCAGGGTGAAAGCTCTCATGCCAGTGAATAACTGCCTGGCTGAAGTGCCCTTGAGCAACACTATACCTACGCTGGCTGCAGGCTGTTGAACCTGACCCATGACCCTCTTTAGCGTTGGGTAAAACTGTGGAGAATATCCCCTATAGGGTTCGGGACATTATGACATTGTATTGTAAACAATGTTCATTGACCAGAAAGGGATATAAATCCCCCTGGGCTGATTGGTTTCTCATGTGGAAAACCCAGATGAAAACCAGCTTGTTAGAAACACAACAAACCCTCTTCAGACCAAACACACAGTAGATTACTTTTTCAAATCGGAGACAGCCCAAGGACACGGAAGTTTCTCTGCCAGGAGAAAAAAAATGGTCACTGAGAGACAAGGGAAGCTGCTAAAAGCAGAAGTCGGGTGTTTGTTTTGTTGTTACCAATGGCAAATATCTGGACTTATTTTAGACATGTATTCAACTGTTAACTTTAAACTAGTTTAGTACATATAACTGGGAATCAAACTGCTTTATATGACACCATATCATATTAAACTACATTCAAACAAGCTCTAACAGTAGTAGCCTACAGTCTTCAGCAGGTCTATGCAGGCTTTCCACAGAAATAAGTATTTTAAATCCCCTCTCTTTCCCTCTCCCTCTGCCTCTTAAAATCATGACCTTTCCTTTAACTAAACGAGATAAATGATAAATGACGTACCCATTGCACCAACGCACTTTCCATGAATTCCTCTATTATCTCCATAATGTTAGAGTCCATTGTTGTGTTAGGAGAGCTGCAGAACACTACATGAGCTAATTAAAAGTATTATCAACGCTGTCTGTGTAATGAATCAAAGGCTGAGGATCCATCTCGCGTCAAGTGGAGTAGTTTGACATTTCTGCGGCCCTTCCCCACCCTCTCTCCCTCCCTCCTCCACCTCTCTGCTGCTGTCTCTTCCTCCCTTCAACTGTTTTGTCAGTTGGTTTCATTGCAAAACCACACCGGAATTTTCAGAAAGCACATGTTGCGTTTTTTGTATGCCGACATATTGACACGCCTCTATACATCGGCTACTTTACATACACAGAGGCTACCTGACATTACACCTAAACGGACCAAAAGTGCATTCATTTTGGTGCGCACGGATTTGAGGCCTTTTTTATACTCCAGATATGCAACCTCGGTGTGTTTGTGGCCTAACAAATGGCTCCGTAGAAATGTTATTTCACGACATATATCCACAATGCTGCGTGTATTATTTCCACAAGAAACCCCCCACAGTGCCACAGTTTTCTAACCTGTAGTTTACCGGCCATCCTGGAAAAAATGACGATAGTTTAACTTTAGGGCGTCAGAGCTGTGGTGTTCAATGAAGAGTCCTCTCAATTCAAGCACTGTGCAACAGCGACCTCTAGTGGTTACTATTCTGGGTTCTTGTTCCTCTATTCAATTTAATGCATTACATCATTTTTTTCATGACAAAAACAAACGGGGAAGTTATTACCAAGCAACTCTGTTTATGCTCTGGTGGTTCATGCCCTGCACAGGGAAAGCCATGTATTAAAAGGTCCTCTGTCTTAAATCGCTTTTTTGGACTTGGTCTAGCTTAGATTTAAAGTTTTTGTCACGTTTTGGCATTAAACAAAAAAGAAAAGGACCCAAATGCAGGGCGACAAAAAAAGGATTTATTTTAAAGGAACTAAAAAGCAACAAAAACTTACTGATAATGTCCAACAGAAAAAAATTCCAAAGGCAAAAAACACGAGTGGCAAAATCCAAGGAACCAAAAATATCACAGGAGACTCACTGGAGCAGAGCCGGCCCAAGCCTCAATGGGGCCCTAAGCAAAGTTAGATTTTGGGGCCCTCTCTAGAATCATAGGCCTACAGAAAGCATCACTCATACATGCAAAAAATAAAAAATATTAATTTTTATTTATTTATTTATCTTATTTCTTTTGGGGGGCCCCCTAAGCAGGCACTTAGTCCGCTTATGCCTTGGGCCGGCTCTGCAATGGAGACACACATACATACCACGCAAAGAAGCATAGACACACAATGAACTGACAAAGAAACAGGGGAAGACAAGGACTACATATATACACACAGGGAAATGAGCAACAGGAGGCAAGTGAGACACAGAGACACAGGTGCAGAGAATGACTAAGGAGGGCAAACTGAGGAAGTAAAACAAGACTAGAAACACAGGGAATAAACTACTTCAAAATAAAACAGGAAACACTGCAAACTGATAATGAATAAAACCATGAGAACAAGAGGGAACTGAGGTCAGACATAAACTGAAAACTCACAAGGCAGGACTACAGGGGAACAGGAACAAGAGGGCACAGAAACACTTGGAAAATCATGAAGGAAATACACTTTAGGGAAACATAAAACCAGGGAAAAACTAACTCAAACAGCACAAATCATGACAGCTTTGAAACTAATCATTTTCTATCATAATAACTATAGGGATTTGTTGATTGTGTAGTGAAAGTATCAGTTGGCCCCTCATCTTGATAATACTGCCTATGTGTACAATACACTGGGTGTCCTTTTAAGTAAAGCAGTGTCTTAGTTTGCATGATTGGCTATGTTACAACTGATGTCTTTTATAATGTCTTTTATTTGTCATTTACTGAAATTACAAGAAAAAACACTCATCTTTATCACTCACCTTTATTTATGACTGACAAAATATAAACTCATCTGAGTCAGCTTGTTATGACTAATTAAAATAAACGATTTTAAAACTTTTTTTTGTTGAGTTTATTTGAGGGGAATGAGAAAAAATTGTGCAAAAAGTATTTTAACAGTTTAAAAAATAGATTAATAATAAACACATTGTGTAAGTGTGTTGCTTCTGTTCCTCTGTGGTCCTGTATACTGTCAGTGATGCTTGTGCAGCAGTTCTGGGATTAACTACACAAGGATTATCAGATTGTTTAACAGCTGCTGGAATAGACAAGATGACAGCTTCATAAAGGGCAACGCTCTCTCTTTCTCTCTCACACATTAGCACACATGCACACGCACAGTTAATCCAACTCTCTCTTCTCATTTCAGTTGACCCAGAGGTTCCTCTCCTCTTTTGTACAAAAGAAAGCCGACACATAAAAGCAGTTAAAAACTCTACCTTTAATATGTAAATCATGTTGGTTAGTATACAAACACATCCCTAAGCTTTTTATGACAGGGTATAACAAACTCTAAAACTGTGACTTAAATAATCTACTGAGCAAATGGGATCAGTATCTTCATCAGGTGATATTGACTTTGCAAAACTTCTTGTATAAACACTACACTTTCAAAACAAAGTTATTTTTCTCTACTCATGAGAAAAGGTTCTACTCATGTGGTCCTGCACCAAAAAGGTGTTTGTTTGGTGTCTGTGCAGAACCTGATTCATGCCTTGTTTTGGCTTTCTGCAAGGGAGGTAGCTGCTGAATTGGTGGATCGTATACCATGCCTAACATGTAAAAATCAACAGGTGTTTTTCTACCAACCAAAAAACTTGATCGTCTCCCTCCCTGATCAACCCTTCATCTCAGCTCATGTTTTGGTTATTATTCCTCTAACTAGCAGGAGTAGTAGAAGCAGCTTTCCCCGTGGTGTTGTCGGATGCTTTCTCAGGGTCTGAAGCTTCAGGGGAATCTTGTGCGGTGCTTGGGTCAACCTGGCCAAACTTTAGGAAGGTGAGGACTTTAACTTTAAGGTCCTCAAAGGTTTCTTTCAGGCCCTTCTCCAGGATATAACCCTCACTGTCACCTTCTGGGTCTTCAAGGGCCAAGGAACCCTCCACTGCTGTTTGCAGGTAACGCAGACTCAGAACCACGGACATCTGGATAGATATAGGCGACAGTGATGTGAAAAAAAACAACCAGAAAATCAGTGTCAGGATGCAGTCACCAAGTGAGATATTCAAATGACTTCATACACTGTTATCTGAAGAGAAATATCAACTTTCTATCAGTATCACAGATTCTCTGTATGTGCATTCAATCTAATCGTCGCTACGCTTAAACTATACCAGATTGTCATTTCTTTTTGTATATGCTGCTTTTCTGTGTTCGCTTTGTTTAAAGTTATTTTTGTGGTTCTAACCTCATTTATAAGCAGGAGTGTGTCTACCCTTTTTGACAGCAGGCCACAACTGCTGCATGTCAAACTTCACTCACTACCCCCCACATTTCCTGTCAATCTTCAGCTGTCATGCCATTTGAATGAAAATGCACAAAAATACAACTAAAAATAGATCGTGTCAAAAGTAACAATTGAGGGCACTACAGCCAAAAAAATGTGTTTCATTTAAACACAAAAAAACTTGCTGCCAGCCTGTTTACATTTACCAAATAGTTATTTTTAATGAGGCAAATAGCCAATTATAGTTGACGATTTTTGGGTGTAACCTGGGCGGCAGATCGGATTTTAACATGGGCCGGCGCCACCTGTGTGTGCACTGGTGTATCTGATACATTTAAATAATTTAAAATCATGGAATAATTAACATGATCTTTTCAATTACTATATTTTTCCCATGGATTATGTGGATGAAAACAAGATAAAGTCGACTTCAGAAAACGTCACTTGAACGGCATTATTAAGGAAAGGACTGATTACGATTAGCACAAGGGTGTTTGGCTTTGTTAGAGGGCTGTTCAAACAATAAAAAAACAGTTTGCCTACCAGTTAAAACAACTCTTGACCTCCACCCCTTACTGCATGTCACACACACACACCCACTCCCGGCATTCTTTGTCTCTATCTTATGAAAATAAAAATAAACCAAAATATGATGTTACCAAATTATAACACCACCATTATATTGACGTTAAGGATTATGTGACTGTCTGGGGGTGTTCCCTACAGTTTTTGAAAAAGAGTCATGACAAACTTGAAGATCTAAACAAGACTGCAGCCAAAACAAACCACTGTGTTTAATTCGGACATGGCCACCTTAGTTTGTTTCATGCTCCTTCCTACCTCTGTTATTTTATCTCAGGCAAAAATTTTAAAGAAATGCTTGAAAATGGATGCAGTCTTTAGCTTTACCTCGTTTACTTTTTATATGGCAGCAAAATAACCTTGACATGCTTGACGAGAAAAAAAACCCATACTGGTTCGTCGTGTGTATCCTAGCAGTTGAAAGTGCTATTATTCAATGAAATCAATACTGTTGCTTGATTAGAGATTGAAAGTACATGTTCATTGCATGAAAGAAATCAACTGAACAATTTTTCTCCCGTTTAGTTGGCACAACAATCTATTAACAACCATAATGCAAATTTTGTGGGGTATTCTGTGACTATGTGTGTGTGTAATTTTAATAAATGTGAAGTACTGTCTCCCCACATTGTGGCAGGAAACACATGCACATCATTTTTTATATACAATAAAGAAAATATGTTCCACAGATGTCTTCTCCCATGTTACCCATGTTTTTGAAGAGTGATTTTTACACCCTCATGTGTCCCACCTGTATTAGGATGACGGACAGCACACCAGGGCCAGTTGAATTCATCAAGCCCATGTAGTAATCGATCAGAGCTTTCCTGCAGCCGCGGTTGTACAGGTTGAGCTCTTCTGATTGGTAGTCATAGCTGTGGTGGGCGCTGTTATCTGTTAGGCGGTACTGCAGGCAGGGGCGAGGGGAGGCGGGGTTACAGCAGCTGAAAGGGACACCATCTAATAGGTAACGGCCGTCCACATTACTCCTGATGCGGCTGGATAGAGAAAAAGGGGGGAAACAGATGATGGGAGCAGAATAAAGGGGGATTTAATCAATTTCCTGGAGGTAAAGCACAGAAAATTTTACATTCAGAGAGACTAATGGCCTTTGCTTGAGTTTAATACAGCCTCTATATTAGTGAGGAATGAGCAGAGCCTCCATTAAGAGCCTTCATGTCATAACCTTTCTGTTATCTCATCCTTTTTTCTTACTTCATCTTTGACTAACCTTTCTCTGCTCACTTCGTATAACCACCTTTCCATCCATTTCTGCCTTTCTCTTCAAGAGTAAAGGCCACATCTATATTTAATACACTCTCCTGCTTTCTTCACGTCATCTTTTTTCTCCCAGCATCCCTTCATCCTTCTTCTATTTCATACTGTTTGACCTTTTTGAATGTTAAGTCTACTTCTCTAACACTCACTTAGTCCTCAATTTCCACCTTTTCCTACTTCAGTGTGCTTTTCTCCTGCATCGTGATGAACTCACTCTTTGATGTCCTTGGAGGTGAAGTCCAGGTATCTGTTGCTCACCCACTGAACCTCAAACCAATCCCTGAAGTTGTTGTTTCCACAACAACGAAACTCCATCTGCAGGTGATCAATGGTCTCTTTCTGAAAACAGCGGCCCGGCACGTCTGTGTCCTTGTAGAAACGAATTCCATTCCTCAAACCCACCTGACAGCCAGGAGAGAGAAGGGAAGGAGGGAAAGGGAAGATTAACTACACAGTACATCCCAAAAAAAATTGCAGCAAAAGCCTTGAGTCTCTTCGTTTTGAGGGGTAATTTTTCTGAATCCGATGCAACATTTAAACAAATAGGAAATCTTGAGTCCTTCCCCAAAACTGGACCAAATATCCTCTCAAATATGTTTGAAATTACAGGTAGAAATAAAAAGCACAACATATGTTTCTTAATCTTAATTTTCATCCTGAAAAAAACTGCAGTCATTCAGTACAACTGTTCTTTGCTTAAAACAAACAAACAAACAAACAAACAAACAAACAAAAACATAGTCATTTTTGTCCTTTATGTTGTAAACATAAGCAGATGGCTTCCCCCTTCAGTTACCAAAACTAAAGTGAGATAGGGTCCCATTCTGTCGCGTCTATTCATGACAAATCCAAATGATCCCACCTTCAGGGACTCCTCCAGGCTTCCCTGCAGAGCATAGCTGAGCACCACCACAGTAAGGAGAAGGAAACACAGCAGGGTGGCTACAACAAACCAAGCCAGCAGGAAAGCTTTCCAGCGAGGGAAGCGACTCATGTCCAAGGAGTCCTGACACACACGACTGGCAACCCAGTTGGTGCCAATGGAGGCCAGGCCCACCATCATCAGGATGTTGGGCACCACGTGGATCTCTGAGTTGTCCATCACCTCGAGAAAAGAAGAGCAGAGTCAAGGATGGAAGCAGCATATGGGATGTGCAGCCAACTGTAGGTCACTTTGTCATTTCCTTTACTCACTCTCATAGGTCATAATCCGGTATTCAATTAGTCTTATCTGTCCTAAAGAGGACCACAGCAGCCGAGTGCTCAATTAGCTGCTACTGCAAAAACTGCTATGGTAAAATGAAGACAACTTTAATTCATCACCCTTTCTGTTGCATCAGTCAATTATAGATTGAGTTAATTAATGGCTGACTTTTAGGAAGTCTATCAGCCATAAAAAAGCAACTTTGTTGTTTTCAAATTACCATTAAAAACATAACCCAGCCGTCACCTTCTAACCTTATCATCCTGTTATATCTGCCCACCCAGAAAATAACTAAAGAAATAATTAAAAATGATTTCTGCTTCATGTTGACTAATCAATTCTGTTGAGCAGTTGTTAAAGTTCAGTGAATAAGGGGCAAACAAGGTGACTGGATGATGGGTTAGTCCAACAAGTACAAGTAAGAATTAAACTCCTGTAAATACTGCCAACAGGTGCGTCCCTCGAACTCTTATGTTGTCACTATGATGATGAAATACAAGAAACTGAAATGTCTCTGACAGATCAATTATCTGATGCACCAAATGACACTTTGGTACACAAGTGAGAGATCATGGATTCTGGTTATCTCACAGTGGATCAATAAATATCTGAATGCATGTGTTCAGGGCCTGAAGCTTTCCTGTGCAGCCGCGAGATGTCAACACACCCAATCTATGCACATCGATGACCAATCAATCCAACCCAATGGCCACTTGACATGAACACATGCATCAGTCCTTTAGAAGTCCTGACCTTCACCTGCTGGTCATGTGACTCAAATTCCGGGTACATTTGACTCCTCTTTAGGCATTTTAGCACATGCATTCTCATATGTGAGTTGTATTCGTGCTTCGTGTTTGCATTTGTGTATTAAGCTGTAGAGAAAGTGAATCAATGTCACTGACTGATAAGCAGCATAAGCAGATAGCGCTTCTCTGTTCATATCAAGTTTATTTGCGCCTGTACATTTTTCCATCTCTACCTCAGCCCTTCGGAGCAGCTCTGCCTTCAGGTAAAGTCCCAGAAAAAAGACAAAGATGCCGCACATCACAGCCAGCCAGGACAGCAGCCACAGACCCTGAGCCAGACGCACCTGCCTCTGCTGGGTGAACTTCATCTTCAGCAGCCTCATGGCTCACTGCAACGCACAGACCGACACAAAAACCAAACAGAAAAGGAAGACAAATCACAGAATAGACTTCAGTGAGATCAGTGAGTTATGCTCATAAATGTGCCCCTGTTAGTCCAGTGGGGTCAGCAGCATGTACGGAGACACACGTGACAGATCCTGAGATAGTGGTCTCTGTATTGCAGAAAATAGGTGTCAATGCAGGTCTTGAACTTGTTGATATTTCAGATAAGGTTGAGCTTTGTGAAATTGTTCCATTAGAAAAAAGGAAGGAGATCCCCTCACTGGTAAAGGACACAGTCAATTACAAACAAAAAACCACAAAGTTTCCTCTTGTGCTGAAATTGTCCTGAAAATTTGTCATCCAAATCTGTGCTAAAGGTTTATCCAGAAGTTGAAGTTAAAACAGAGAGGAGATATTCCTTTTTCTTCCCAGAGATGACAGGTTTAATTGGTAATAACCCAGTGCTGGCCCCTCCTTCAAGCTGACACCAATTATTTCTTCCTCTTGGTGAGATGGTGCCTTTAGATGGCACTTCTATGGATCAGTGCATATGGTAAAAAAAAAATCTAAATTGCTGTGGCCATGGTTGGAGGACACAGAGACTGGTCAAAGTTGAGAGTTTGGAGCCATAATCCCTCCGCAGAGTCCCTGGGATCCTATTAGAGTCCAGGGCCCAATAGGAAAACAGGCCAGTGTCCGATCAGCAAACTTGCTTTGATTGACACGGGGACTATTATGACAGGTGGACTGACCTGAACCTAAAGCATAGGCAGCACAATATGAATGCCTCAGAGGTGCAACATATATCAAAAGCACAATCAGCTTTGTCATAATAGTCCCCATGTCAAGAACAGGTCCAGGCGGCCGTTTGTACCACAGGTGATTTTACAATTGAACAAACTAAAATAGATTGCGGGCAGCTTTATTCTTATTTTTTTATTTTTAGATACTGGTTCAGCGGGTCTGAGCACAGATACACTATTCAAAGACTATTTATTGAAATACTTTTTTACTTTTTTGAATTGACAAAGTACAGTACAGTGGTATTTTATATTGTCTTTTCTGAGTCGTTTTGTTTTATATGGGACAGTGTATGGAAATGTGTATGTGTGCTGTCTTTGTGCATGTTTTTAACTTACTGCAAATGAATTTCCTCACGGGGACAATAAATTCAACCTACCTACCTACCTACCTTTGGCCAAAGAGTCTCAGGTTTGCCATTTAACATCTGCACTGGAAAGGCATGGAAGAATGACATTGATTATTTACCTGTGTGGGGGAAAAAAAGTAGGAAATAGGAAACATTATTGGCTACATGTGCCTTAAGATTCATAATTTAACACTAGATTTCTCTCAAAATTTAACACCATAATTTTTAAATTCTCATCACATTTAACACAGCTCAGATACCAGTTCTCCTACATCAACAAACACAATTTATATTATACTGTATAGGTTGGAAGTGGAGCTACAGCAAGCACACCACACGTGATGATTTCTTCTTTCCAGGCAGTTTACCATCCATTCATTAACTAATCAATTTAAGATGAGAGAATATATTTCCACTATAATACCACTTAGGGATGTTGTGAAGGGACACTGAGAACATGCAAGTGAAAATAACACTGTATGGGATTATAGTTGCAGTGCTGTAGGGAGGCAGGATCAATAGGATTATACTGTTATTAAACGTATTTATGACAGCCTGAGTCACAGTCAAGATGAGGCCATCATTGTCTTAGCTGTAGTTCAAATGAACCAAATAGGGAAAAAAATCATTTCTATCTACAAACTGCTTGTGTTGCTTTAATCAGCTCACTTTGACTCTCCTGTGGCAGAGATGAGTGTGCAGTATTGTTGTTTGATCCCATTGTTGGCTTGAGTCTCTTTATTTACTTGTTGATGTAAACAGAGAGACTCAGAGATTCCTGTTTCTTGTTTGGTTTACTGTCCCTTATATATTGAAGGTGCAGTGTGCAGAGCTTAGCAGTATTTAGCAGAACACACTGGGTAAAAATGGAACATGATATTTATGAGTAAATTTAACCTAGAGTATAATCACCTGAATATAAAAGTCTTTCTGTTTGTGAAAACTTAGAATAAGCCTTTTTGAAGTTGTGCTTTTTAACCACCATGGTGAAATGAAAAGACCCCAAAAGTATGTGCTTCAGGGCACATGTGTGTTATGTGAGGGTTGAAAATGCAGCCTCTCAATGGGAAGATTTTGTAGTCCTAGCTATACTGTAGAAAACTACATTTCAGTTCGGACCACTTTCATCAAAAGAATAAATTACTTGCATGCGTTAGTCGTGTTTGGATGTTGTTCTGAGGGCTCCGTGCCCATCCATGTAGGCCTATGTGGAGCGCCAAAGCTTGCAGAGGGGAGAGAGCACCTCCCCACTGTTTTATGTGCATTCTTCAGCAGCAGCAGAAAATATACAAACAAACAAATAACCAAACAACCATACCGTGCGAACCTTCCCGCTTCCCTCGTGCTGTAATTGAACCTGGGATTGTAACTACTGTAATCAAATGGTGAAAAGACTGAAATGGGCAAGCACTACCAGGCATGCCTGTGCTGTAATGGTTAGGATTGCTCCCTGACGCTGAAATGGTTCTGTGTTATAATCCAGTGCAGAGAAAGCAAGCAAGGTTGAGGTAAAGACAGTGCGGTGTTAGACAGGGAATGAAAAGAAAGGAAGCAGAGAGGGAAAATAGTAGATAGGGAGTGTAACCTTTAGGAGACGTGATTTCGACGGCCGTTTTCGACCGGAACTGCACGTTCTGTCAACGTCCACAAGACGTCAGGATTGGACGTCGAAATAACGTCCGAAAAAGACGTCTAAAAAACTTTTATTCTGCACCTTCAGGAGACGTGATTTCGACGTCTAATTTCGACCGGAATTGCACGTCCTGTCAACGTCCGATTTGGACGTCCACAAGACGTCAGAATGTGACGTCGAAAAGACGTCAAAAAACTTTCATTCTGCACTTTCCGGAGACGTTATATAGACGTCATTTCGACGTCGCATTGCGCAGTGGAAAATAATTGTTTGTTTTTACCTATTTTGAGCAATTTACACTTTAAAAACATTGAAACACAAAATTAGTCAAAATTGCTGAATCAGAATGCCAAAAGTATATATACCTATATATTTAAAGTTTCTTTTCTAACATCACTTCATAAAATTTGCCTGATGTTTTTGTCTTTTTTTCAATACTCGAATATCAGTTACAGGAAGTCAGAGACACCTACACAGTGAACTCAACATCAGACCTAAAGTGGGGTGTGTGGGGGGCCTAATCCACTAGTCTGTCTGAGTGGATTTGTTATTCATTAAAAACAACTCATGACAAAAGGTAGACTGAATGCTGAGTTCCTGGGTGAAATAGGTCACACTCAAATGTCACAATAGTAGGCTATTATAATAACAAAAGGACAACAGGATGAGTGAATATGAAATGAATGTGATGTCCTTACATGGCAAAACCTTGACAAGGGCTTGAATCAGAGAGATCAGTGATCAGACTCTTTGTTAGATTAAGGAAACACCTTTTAGCGTATCATGTTGTTTGATACCTTATCACATTATATCGAATCTGTCCTTTCAGTTGAAATTAATATCTCAATAAATAAGGCTCAGGAATTTCACTTGAAAAAAATCAAGGACATAAAGTTTTGTAGTTTTAAGCAGTTACAGGTCATATGAATAGAAAGTTATCTGACTCATTTGTTATATAATATCCTTATTTCTTATAATGTTTAAATTGAACAAGGGCACTATGATTATTGAGGAGGTATTGAGGAGTTAAACATTAATATCTTTATTGGTAAAACAGCTGTAATGACACAGTAACATACTGAATGTATTTACAGTGATCAGGAAGGTATCATGTACACTAATTGAACATGGGAGTCATATGATTAAAATAACATTCATATTTTTACCTTTGCTCTCTAACCAATTTACGTTACAATACAATTTTTACATAAATACAGCTTCATGTTTCTCAACAATAAAGCACTACTGTGTGCTCTGACTCACCTTACCACATATAACCCATCAAGGAGAAGAATGGCATCCACAAAGAGCCTATCTAGTGCATACAAATACAGTTGTGGTATCTAAGTGTACATTATCACATGTTACATTTCAGAGAAAGTAATATTTCACAAAGGTGAATGTATTTTATAATGACTTCATTTAAGTTTCAGAGTAGATCCCAGAAATCTTTCTGGATAATGAATCAATTATCTGCCTCACACGCTTTCTTCAGGGGTAACGATTCACAAATAAACATGAAAAAAAAACAAAAACAAGGTGAGAACGAATACTTGATTAAAATTTACAAGAGGTATATCTCTCTGGATGTGATTATTAACAAAAGTAGAACTAAGACTGTCTTCACTGAAAGACAGTGCAACAGTCTGTTGTAAAATACTAAAATAATTCAAAGGCAAATTCATTTTCATAGCTTACTTGAAACACTTTTCTATGATTAAACCCCTATCTTTCTCTATGCTATTTTTTCAGTCTTACATGTTATTGGTCTGTTGCTTTTTATGTATTCACTGTAAAGAGTTTACACATGAAATAAATAGACTTTTTTTTTTTTTTTTTTATAAAATAGTTCTTCTAGAAGTGTGTCAAAATTATCAAACTTTGCCAGCTTTCATGCTTCAATATCAAGCAAAAAATGTTCTTCCTCCCTTTAGATTTTGGACAGTAAAAATATTTTAGCATATACAGTAAATACAAGCCACAAAACGCCCTTTTTGAGTTGGAGCCTGACAGTTCAGTCAGGGCAACAATGTCTAAATCTTACCACAGTGAAAAATGAATAAATACACACTTATCGTGTTAAGAACTGAATAGATTTCATCCTGCTGTGTTGTTGGATGACATTTTCAGTCTGCCACTTCGCCTGTTTTGTTTCTTCCACCCATTCACTCCTACTTTCCCTGCTGCTCCTTCCCTCCTCCGACCTCCTTTGGGGCCTGCAGCTGTTCTATGAAGTCATCCAGGATCTGCTGGGCTGACGCAGAGGTCACATCCACTATGTCATGCTCCACAAGAGTCACTTTTACCCCTCCATTTCCCACCCAGCTGTCAAGTCCTGCGTGTGCCTGCTGGAGCTTTGGTGGGGTGTCGGCATGGTTGGTGCTTAGGGAGGGCTGCTGCTGGCTTTGGGGGTAAAGAGGTCGGGGTCTGGCAGCATAACTAGCAGCCATTTTCTTGTAGATGGAAGTGCTGATGTCATTTACAGAGAAAGGTGGGCTGTGCCTGGGATCATGCTCGCCTGAGAGGCTGCTTTCAGTTCCTGTTGTTTGCACCTCCTGTTTGAACGGTATGAAAGCTGTGACCCTCTGCAGACCTGCCTCTGATTTTGTTAGCCAATCATACGCTTCTTCATCTGCTCGAGGAGCGTTTGACTGGTCATCTGAAAGCAGGGAGTTGGCAGAATGGCTGTTTGAGGCAGAGGTTTTCAGCAACTTCTGTATGTCTTCAGCAGAGTTAAAATGCTTTTCCAGTATCTCCTTTATCAAGCATGGCACCTGATGATGACACACCAGACACAAATATTAGCTCTGAATTCATCCATGCAAATCTTCTTAAACACAGGGTTACTTTTATTCCTGCTTTTATTTCTTAGGTGGCATCAGTCTAAAACACAGTGTTAGCTATACCAACTCCTCCCGTTGTTCCCCATTTAACCAAAATAGTTTTTCAAATAGGAGGAAATGATAGATTAGATTTACAGGAGAGAGGAAGTAGAAAAGCTGGAACACTTCAGCACAGTTCCTTTGTCTTTTTCATTCCCCTCTAATTTATTTTGGAGACCCTCAAATTTACTTCTCTGTTAAACAATGTAACCATATATTAAGTTGTTCAAGCTCCACCTTAAACAATGGTTACTACACAGTCCACCCTGTTGCTACACAGGGTAAGACTTGTAATAAATTGCATGTTTAGTCCTGTTTACGTTTTTTTTTTCTTCCTATTGTTGGCACTTTTAGAAGAAAAGGATCTAAGCACCACTGACACTAAATTTGGACTCAAATATTTTGGATTCCCATGTCGACAGTGCTCCTTCAAATACGATGTAAAGTAACAGGGCATTACAGCAATGGATGGTGTGGATTTTCTTCTTTTTTATTGTACTAATCTACTTTAAATCTTTTCTCAATTTTGTGTAAAAGTCAATAAAACTCTACAGGGGCTTGATCGAGCAGTGTGGCAGTGTAAATCTCAATATCTGTTAAGCTCTTTAACTTCCCAGCGATATTTTGTCACTTCCAATGTTATTGTCTTTGACTTGAAAACCCCCCTTTTAATGTTTATTTAATTTCAGTGGTTTTGTCAGCGTCCAGAGCTTTCTGGGTGCTTAAAAATGGACACCATGGTAACTTCTACTTCATGATCTTAAAATGAAATGAACATACATGCCTATTGCCTATTATGTTTAAAGTTTGAGTCCTTTAAAACCTATTTAACACGATCATTCTATTACATTTTATTCACTGAGATGTTTCCTACGAAGGATTACAGAAGATCCATCCATTTTAATGGTCGTATATCTACTTTAAGTAATATTTAAAAGTGAGCAAAAAAATATCCAGTAGATGGCACTATGCTCACATCAATGTTCTCTAAGGCGGCCATAGTCCTGTGGGCGTCCTCCAACTCTGAGCTTAGCTCGGACACACGGTTCAGTAGGTACTTTCTCTCATTGCTCAGGCTCTCTGACTAAATACACATAACAAGACATACAATGGTGAGTCATTAACATGCGAATGGCTTAAAGCTTGAGGTTATTTTGCTAATGGCTTTCCCAATCTTATGCAATCTATGCAAATTTTTCTTACCGCTATGTGGAGGCGTTCACCCAGGAGGTTATTGGCCTGTTTGGTCCCAGTGTGGGTCTCTAAAAGGCTTCAAGAAAAACAGACAGAAGACAAACAGAAAACCATCAAACATAAATCCTTTCATAAATAGTCATGCTGTTTTTACGGTCCATCATCATATGTTTCTTCAAAAAACATCTGTCCTTCTGGCCAAGTGGCGAGCACAAACTCTCATAAAACAACTGACATAAAACAACTGACACCAAACTGTGACCCAGTGTGAGATGACCATTCACTCCAGTTGTTCCAGTCTGTCAAAGAATGTGTGCTATGTGCCTGGTGGGCCACAGCAGTTGTTTGGTGAAAATACACAAATGCCATGAGTGCTTAAGTCCTTGTTGGCCAAGGAAAACAAGTCACAAAAAGACACGTGGAAACAAAGAGGGGGTGATGTGTGGTTTTTATTGGTTCATCCCACTGATCAATAAATCTATTTGAACTATGATGTGAAGCTATAGGTGGACTTTATGGAGTTGTATAGATTACTGTCAGCTCTGGAGGCCATTTGTGCACACATAACACAATGCCACTCTCATTCACATGTCCAGCATGAACTTCATCACCCTAAAACACATTGAGAACATAATGCTCCACCATACTCTGTAAGCTCCACTATCTCTTTGACCATCTGACTTGGTGACTTTCAGCAATGTTAATCAATCGTACATGTTGAACTGTGTCATGTTTACCATTACAAACCTTTTATACTTCTCTTTGACATGGCTGAGCTCGTCCCTGGTCCTCTGCAGCTCTACTTCCAGGCTCTCAATGCAAACCACAGTCTGCAGTAAGTTTTGGTGGAGATCTGTGTTTTCCTCCTGCAGTGCTCTGGAAAGTCAAGAATGTTGAAAGGGGAAACAGTGTCACATGATACTTAGGCATATTTTTAAAGTGTATCACTATCACGGACACTAGTCTTTTACAGTGGGTGAGACATTATGGTCAAGACTAAAGAAAAGCCCTGACTTTGCAATCATGACCTTAAAGAGGTGCTATTATACTCTTTTCTTATTTTGAAAACAAATTTTAAGTGAAAATATTGGATGACAGTGCTATAAATGAGCAAAGTTTCGGACTCACAGGTTAATGTGTGTTGAATCCCCAGTTGGGGCTACAGGGTGCTCTAACTGCTAATTAAAAAGTTACAGGGGAATTCAGCAATGTTGTCACTTTATGAGAGGAATTATAACTTTGTTTAATGGCAACAGTGAAGGAGGCTTCCAGAAAGCTTCTGGTACGCTGGGAGGACTCAAAAGGACACAAGTTTTTGGACATAACCTTTGAGATACACTGTTTTGTTTTTTTGCTTTTTACCATGATATGTGGACATTGTTGTAAAAAGACTTGAGTGTGTAAATAAAGATGGCTGCTGCACTTGTAACTTCATACAACTTAGCTTGGGTATGGAACTTCTTGAAACCAAAGTTACAAACAACATAACTGTCTTCATGAATTTTACAAAAACAAAATCACTGAAATAAATGGAATAATGTGGAAATTGCATCAGTCGACGTATGAGTTGTATTCTACAGGTAAAAGTTCAACAACTATCAGTTTCGAATAATATACAACGTTTTGTTAGTCAATTAAGTTACAATTAAGTTAACGTTCATATTGTTTCCCTATTTCCTTTTAGTCCTGTCACATACAATATCAACAAGCGGTTATATAAATGAGTTCCATTAATACACTTCTTCCTGTTTGAACCAGAGTGGAGGGAGAGCGGATGCTCATTACTCTGATCAATAACCACCGACTCCACACGTGAACACACAGTGTGAACAGAAGAGGAGAAATCTCAAGGTAGCAGACAGGAAGTAGGTTTGAATCATTCCACTCTCACCTGAGATGATCAGCATCATAGAGTGTTTTCTAGAAAAAGAATGACAAAAGGATAAGAGAAGGACAAAATGCAGGGCATATATTTTCAGGTATAATACTGCCGTTGTTTTATTCTTCTATACAGACATTAGATAGTTTGTATTGACCCTCTGAATCAAAAATAAAAATTCAATGTTCAGTTTTTATGACAGTCCCTCACTGGTCACTAAATCTGAATGTAAACACTTTTGGGTGTCCCTGATGAGTGTCACAGCTTTCATTTACCTTGAATTCCAGTGTGCTGAAGCAGAGCCTGGACGATAACAAACACACCACTGTCCTTTTACAACATATAGATATTTAAACAGTAAACTCAAACTCCCCAACAAGGGGATTTGAGGCCTTTTATCTGAATGGACACACAGTGCAGGCAAGAGCAGGATGAATTAAAAGCTTGGTGCCACAGGTGAAAAAGCCTTAATATATAAGGATAGTACAAATAGTACAAAGATGAATATCAGGGTTACACCGGGTGAAAGTCAGGAAGCACCCAGAATGCATCATTAGTCCATTAGAACTGCTGGCCACAACAGATTGAATAAATTATTGAGTAGTGGCAGACATTCACCCGGAAATGGACTCCACTGCAATCAATTAGTTCAGTATAGCTGTACTGTAGCCGGTAAAACTCTGCATGTATGTGTGACTTTGTATGAATCTGTGCATATGTTTGAATCAATGAGACAATCCCTATGTGACAAATCGTACACAGTGATCACATGGACATGGGAGATGTTATGCAATGATGTACATTTATCAGTACACTGTGAAAGCGTAAGCCTGTACAGACACTTACATAAGAGCAGTGAGATACTGGCTCTTATTCCACCAACTGACTCTCACATTTACCATATTGATGCCTGCTGCTATTTTGTGCAGAGTGCATTGTTACTTTCTCTGCCTTCACAAGTCATCATGAAAAATAAAGTGGCTCAACACTGACTCTTGAAAAGAAACATTTAAACTGATAAATCAGGTACTTTCAATGGGAGTTTACTCTCAAAGTACTGGGCTTTCATCTGCTGCAGTGCTGATGAATGACTCAGCTTGCACTGCGTAGTGTTTGACACGTCCCACAAAGCCTGTGACTCAGCTACACTGCCTCTGCAAGAGAAGAGCAGTGCTGTATTTCTTAGGCACATCCTGTTCTGTTTACGCAGGAATATCTGTCCTTCAATGCAGTGCTATGCCGTCAGAGGCTTTAGGACTGATTCACTGTACTGATTATGAAGTTAGTAAGGAATTTCACTGGAGATATAACCCAAATGCAAAACTCACAAATATTACAGTGGCAGTACAATGACACACCAAAAACATTAAAGTAGAGAACTTACTCTGTGTTGTTTAGGGTGCCCCTCATGCTGGGAGTGGTGTCGACCACTTTGCCCTGAACTGTGACTGGTAGCTGTTGAGGCTGTGTCCCTGGTCCTCGATGAATCTGATTTGGATGATGAAGACTCAGATCCAAGGCCTGGCTCAACACGCTTGGCTGAGGATGGAGAGGAGTTTGTGGGTCCTCGGTGTGCAGGGCCAGGGTGTGCCTGCTGAGGCTGGTCCTGAGGAAAGTGTTGGGTATGCTTGCCATAGGAAGCAGTTGCCTGCTTGTTACGGTGGTGCCTTTGTTTTGGCTGGACTGATTCAGGACTGGTGCTGGTGCCATCTGTCAGGTTAGGGCCACTTCCACCATATTTGACCCCTGACAAAGGGCCCCCAGTTGGTGGTGTTCTCCTGTCTTTGCGGTTGCCCCCATGGTGAACTTTGTGGCTGAGAGAGGGGGGGTAGTGGTTAGGTGGAGGACTGCCATGGTGTTTCTTAGCTGCATACGAGATGAGTTTATCAGGCGTTGAACAGTCTTGTTTGCTACGAGCTGCTTTCTCTTGTCTACCGTGCTGTTTTGGGTGCTGTGCCCTCTCATCCCCTGAGCTTTCTTTGTGCTTCTTAGGTGGGAGTTGAGGCTGAACTGGGCCTGGTTTCTGGGCTGCATCAGGTTTCTTTCCAGTTGACTTTTTATTGCTCAAACCCAAAATGTTAAGATCAGATGGACTTATAACCTGCTTTGTAATCTCATCCAGAAAAGCAGAGAATTGTAACTTTCCCTGCACAAAATTTGCCCTGGCTTGCTCAATCTCAACTTGAGTAATCCCTTTACCTTTCTGTCCTGAAGGATCTTGTCCTTTGGAAACTCTTGGGGACAACACCTCCATAGATTTAGCCTTACGAATGTCATTAAGAGGTTCCTTATTTTTGAGGATACCTTTGCTGGGCAGCTGGCTGGAGGACACAGCTCTTTTAGGGCCAAGGGAGACCCCCAACAGAATGTCTTCATCACTGAATGCCAGGCTTCTGTTCAAACTTGTTGTCTTATACAGGGTGCCATAGTTCATGTGTGGTACCCTAGATTGCTCTCTTCCAACATCAGAGCTTGCACTTCTGCTGTGAGATCGATCAAGAGAAGAATAACCACCCTTTCCTGTCTTGTGTGAGCCCACATGGGTCTCACTGCAAACACTGTCCTTTTTGCCGTGTGTGACAGTGGCAAAAACAATGGGCTCGCTGCCGTCGTCTTCCCTAAATCCTCTGCGGATATCTGCTATGTTGGAGCAGGACAGGGAGTGCTGTGGCTGCTCAGTCTGATGAGAAGAGAATGGATCATTTGCACTTTCTTCCGTGTACCAGGAGGAAAAAGAGGATGAGGATTCAGATGACGAGAGAGAGGAAGAAGAGGCCCTGGAGAGGATTACAGGGGTTTCAGAGTTATACAGTATCTCATCTTCTTCACTGTGGTGAGGTTGCTTTGTTCGATGACGATGGGGGGTATCATGATGAGAGCTATCATGGAAATAGGGACCATGTTGATGGTGATGGTGGTGCCCCAGGCTGTCATCTGTGTTTCTGTCTGTGTCATCAAACATTGTGTACCTACGCAAAACAGGGACAGGCAAGATATTAACTCAAATAAAAAATTCTAAAAAGGAGCATAAACTGTACAAAATATATATTTGTTTATTCATATAGTTATTATTTTATTGGTTGGCAGAGACTGTATGATTGATAATGAAAATCATAAAGTATGTACATTTCCTACATAATTTCCACCAGACGTGTACAGACTGGAATCAACAATACCTGTGTGACTGACGGTCTTGGTCATGCTGAAGGTGATGAGGATGATGAGAGTGGTGGTGGTGCTTCCGTGGTTTGACTTCACCCGGTCCAGTGGGGCTATGAACAGGCTTAAAATAATTCTCCATTACTGCTCTCCTCCCTTGTTACAGATCCTGTCCTGGTTTTATCAGCTTTGTCAGGGCTGATGATGGTGATTAGTGTTGATGCTCTATTGTTTCGTCTGTAACAGTTTTTTCCCCAGATATTTTTACCTATCAGAAAAACTTATCCAACTGTGACGACTGCAGAAATGAAAAGGTGAGATAGTAATGTACTGCTGTTTAGGGCCGTAAAACAATTGGGCTACAGCTTTGGATTAGTTACTCACCAAAGTAAAAAAAAAAAATACAATAAACCACTGAACAAGATCTTCAATCCTGAGGAGTTTGCCGGTAAAAGTCCACACAGAAAATGAAACACTGAGAGGTTCTGCCAACTATCCATTCCATTGTTATTGTCGCTAGCTATGAGAGAAAGATAGTCCCCTTCAGAGGCTGGCAATGGAAAAATGGAATCACCGCTCGTGAGCAAGAAGGTTAAATTCCTGGACTGTGCTTTTGTATCCCATCTGATGAAAACGCTGCTCATTGAACCAACTGAAAGAGCAAGACCTTTGTCCTCGTACAGGAGACAATCGAACTGAGCCCTGAGGGATGCAACAGGGTCAATTTAACTCACTGAAATAACTTGTGAAATTCGAGTTTGAGCATTTGATATTGTTGCCTCTCACTGGAATGTCATAGATTGTTGTCTTGTAAGAAAGTTTTTGATTTAATTCTTTTTATTTTGAGTAAACTAAAACTGAACTGCTCCATGACCAATATTTATGGTTTTCATAAATCCTTTTTTAAAAAACAACAATCACCATATTGGCATTGCTATAGTTCTTTGATTTATCAAGTAGCCTAGACTGTTTAATTTGCATGTACACTGTATCATTTATCTTTATGGATCATTTGACCAGTAACATTTGTTAACAAATATTTAAGGTTTGTTGGGTGTTACTGCCAAAACCTTCACGGTTATCCTCGCAGTTGAATATTTATCTTCTTAAACAAGTGACTCAATGCAAAATCAATCAGTCTTCATCATGACTCTGATGGGCAGAACTGCAAAGCCTTTGATAAACCCATGGGGTTAAGGCTCCTGATGTGGTATTGTCAGCACATTAAAGTGAATACTCTTACTTCTTTGTGTGGACCCAACTGCACTGGGTCCTGTGTACCATCCATGAAAGGATCAATTCATGGAGGCAGGGAGGGGTTGAAACTCATTCAAAGGGACAACTCCCTCCATCGAGCCGATAGTGATCAATACCACAGAGCTGTAATTTAAAATGTTACGTAAGGGAGGTTGCCCAGACTTGTTCTGGGTGCTATGATCAATGTTGAAACCCAGTTCAGTAGATACGTGGACGGTGTGTGTGTGTGTATGCCTACGTGCGTGTACAGAGGGCGGTATGAGATTTGATTTGTCACTGTACCCTCTGCTGGAGAGACGAGGGAACTGCTGCTTTGGTCTCCCAGCATTTGTAATTTTCCACCCTGTCACACAGATCCTGGCAGTTCTATGGACATTTCTATTTTTGTCACGTACACTTACAGCCAACCTTGCAGCAATACAGTTTGTCACAAGTCGAAACAGAACAGTAACATGAAATCAGAGTGATCATTTAGAAACGCGTAAAATAACTGAAATATTTCTAGATTAAGCCGTGTGATAAATCAAATAAGAAAAAACAGCATCAAGTACGTCAGTGGCTTTTCATCAGAGCAAGAAAAACGACGGTATTGGACAAAATTAATCAATTTAAAGGGATTGAGTTGGCTGTTTTCTATTGTTCATGAGTCACAAACAGCTATCACTGCAGTAAAGGGGAAGTAGATCCGGCTGTTCAAGCAAATTCTAGTTTAATCCGGTTATCACGACCGTGTTACTGCCAAAAAGAATCACTCCGCGTAACCGTCTCACTACGTCATCTGTTTTGACGTTTTTTTCGAGCATTATGTTGGAAATTAAACTTTGGATCACAATGTTGCAAAACTATCCGTCTTTCAAATGTGTCTTAAAGGGAATTTTAAAAACAACCTGAATACTGTAACGCCCCATTCATGCAGGAACATTTAAACTCCATACAACGAAGAACCTCGCACTGTACTGTTTTGAAAAGTACGCAATAAAAAGTATTTATGTCCCGCATCGAATTGTCATCAAATTTATGCCATGAAGTCGTTGCATGAGCCACTAGCAGCAGCCCAACCACGAAGAAAATGCACTTTTATTCGTGGGGGTGGGACTATTTCTTTGTCGGATGAATACCTTCCTTGCTGTTGGGGTCAGTCAAACAGTATAAATACCTCCAGCGACGCCATTTGCCTTCACACAGGACAAGCGCGATTTCGTCCGTTCCGTCGTTCTCAGGTGAAGCCAATCCAATTTATTTTCTCTTAAACCTTCGTATTCTTGACAGTCAATCTTCAGTGTCGTATCAACTGTATCTAGCTCGATCTCTTTTTTTGTTGTCGTATGTTTAAACCTGGGACATTGAACGTCGGTCTCAAGTCTGAGAGGCTTCGACAAACATCGCAATACGTGGCGTAACGCGTCTTTAGTGTCTATGAGCGACACTCGTACTTGATTTTTATTTTTATTTTCAACTTTATTAGGCAAATGCCAGAGGACTAGATCTCAAAACGTCGACATGACGACCATATGATAGCCATGAAGCTATTGGCAGGGCCTGTTAGCCAATTTTAGGCCTGCTACATTGGCAGTTCGAAAAAAAAAAACGTTAATCTTATTAACTTGGTCGCAATCTAAATACCTTGGTCATGTATTTTTATATTTGGTTATCGTTTTTGATAGCAGAAAACTGTTTAGGGACATGTTGTTTCCATCGTCGATATAGCAGTTGGCTAAAGAAGGGATCCGTGACGTGACTGTTTGCGAAGAACCATTGGTCTATTTGAAAAGAGGGCGTGGCTTAGATTGTTAAATTTGGCAAGGGAGCGGCCATATCTAGGGCTACACTTAGCAACTCCCAGTATGCAATTTATATTTATCAGTGCAGAAGACTTAAATGAGTGAACAGAACTTTCACGGTGTATTCTCTAACGAATGAAAGGATTAACAGAGTCCGGCTGATACGCTGACTACTTTAGAGTCCGGCTGATACGCTGACTACTTTAGAGTCCGGCTGATACGCTGACTACTTTAGAGTCCGGCTGATACGCTGACTACTTTAGATCAGTGAGCCACGCTTAGTGTTCTGGATAAGTTATGAATAGCGAAGCAGGAAAGCCAAGAGCCAAGCTAAGCAAAACGTTTCTGAACTAAGGTGAAGAAAAGTCAGGCTGACAAAGAATAGAAAATACTTCTATCTACGTGATTCTTGATATCACTTAAAAAACAAACAGGCTAGAGAATCTAATCACAGAGGGATGAGGTTTGCATAAAGTTCTCTAAACCTCTTAAACAAAAAAAAAGTAAGCGACAACCTCTTAAAAAAAAAAAAAAAAAAAAAAAAAAAGGAAAACTGACGACTTGTGAAAAAAAAGGATAACTGACGACTTGTGAAAAAAAGGAAAACTGATCACTTCCAAAAAAAAAAAACTGATCACTTCTTAAAAAAAAAAAAAAAAAAACTGATCACTTCTTTAAAAAAAAAAAAAGGAAAGCTGATCACTTCTTTAAAAAAAAAAAGATCATTTCTTTAAAAAAAAAAAAGGAAAGCTGATCACTTTAAAAAAAAAAGGAAAGCTGATCACTTCTTAAAAAAAAAAAAGGAAAACTGATCACTTTAAAAAAAAAAAAAAAAAAAGACCAATTTCTATTTATTTGCAAAGTCGCAGTCCAATGATTATTAAAATAAGAAGTCAGTGTAAATCAGGCTTGCAGCAAGCTTTAAAATGGCATTAATGTAAAGAGCAGAACAAATGCAGACTTTTGTTAAGCCTTAATATAAGCGACAGTCAGATAATCTATCAAACCAATGGCAATTGCTGAATGTAAAGATGGTACAAAGTGAGCTTATTCAAGAAAAAGGCAGAAAAGTTAAGCAGAGTAGCTGTGAATATGACAAACGTTCTCAGGAGCACTCTCTAAACCATTTTATGGTCTTGACAAGAACACCAGTAGGTGGCGAGAGGGATCTGCCGTCATAGATTTTTTTTTTTTTTCAATCTAAATCTGCCCTTTCATGGGCAATTATCAAGGCGTACCTAGTACGATTCATAGATTATACAGCTTAAATGTCAGTCAGGCAAGTTGTATTAGATGTGTCATTTATTTAAAAAAAAAAAAAAAGGACATTGTGTCCAAGATGAAAATTTAGGCTGTGTTGTCAAACCAAAGAAACTATCAAGACAATCAGTTCAAGGTCTTTGACCTCAGGCTTATTAAACGTGTGCTACTTTGTTGGCATATAGCTTAGATCCCAATGAATTTAATTTTTTTCTATTAAGTTGTACTTGAGTCAATTTTTTTGATTCTCTGATTCATCTAATTTTTACCGAAAGCAAGCAGTACAACATCAGCCTTTTTAAAAAAAAAAAAAAAATCAGCTTATTGAATTGCAGCTCTAGCTGTAGCTTGAGGAATCTAGAGCCAAAAAGTTTTTCGTTTTTTTTATTTTTATTTTTAATTTGTCACTTTTTTATCGCTTAGAGAAGATGGAAGATTTTTTTTTTCTGGGGGGTTAAATGGACTGAGTTGTCAAGGGGAAGAATGGACTTAGTTATACAATGAAGATCGCGGGACCAGCGTGGAGCGGGGCCGAGGAACGCAGGGAGCACCAGTGTGGAGCCAGGCAGGACAGGACCAGAGGGCTTGGGAGATCCAGAAAGAACCAGGCAGGACAGGACCAGAGGGCGTGGGAGAACCAGAGTGGAGCCAGGCAGGACAGGACCAGTAGGCGTGGAGGGGAAAAGCAGAGTCAGCCCAACAGAGCAGAGAGCAGCAGCTGTCGTGTCGTCGAGTGTACACCAGAGGGAGCCAGAGGCGCAGAGCAGGGTAGCAGCACATAGAGGCCGACCTTCAGTCGTGGCAGCAGTTCCAGAGCAAGCCAGCCAGCCAGTCATGAGCGGGTGGGGAATGGGCGCACAAGTGTCTTCTAGCTCCGCAAGTTAAAGCAGGCGGTGGTTTGTATATTGGGTAGAGGTACCTCTGTAACATAATAGGTATTTGAATATTCAAGCTCTTTCCTGAAATTGTTTTGTAGAACAAAATTTCTTGCACAGCTCTCTCTTCCTCTTTTCAGGCAAACCGCGTAAATCGTTTTGTACGGTGGTCCCCTCTCCTTTTGTGCGCTGACATGAGTGTGGTGGTTTCTGCTGTGATGAATGCCTTGGTAGTGTGCTGTCAAGAGGAACATCAGTTCGGACTTCTCTGCCCTCCTGCAATAAGAAGTAGTTCCCCAGCCGAAGGGAGAGGCGTTCCTCTTGTTGTTCGATAGGTCTTCCCAAAGAAGTTCCCAGCATTGGGGTGTGAGAGTGGATGGTCTCCCATGCAGCCGATTGATGCGTGTTTACAGCAACCCTTCGGTGCTTCAGCTGTTCTTCAGCGGTACAGATCAGCTACATCTACCTCTTAATCAAAGCTGTGAGTTAATGCATGTGATGTACATGTGGGTGTAACTATCCGGTACATTGACTTGTAAGTCCCTATGCTGTCTAGTCTTAAAGTCACTGCTGATGGTATTTTTAAAAAGTGCATTGAAACAGGGCAACTGAATATTTGTGGGTCAGGGGAGGGGGAGGGGGCATTTAAAACGTGTTTCGAGTTCTCTTTTTACAGGCCTGGCCCTCTAGAGCTGATCACCGAAAGAGTCCCCCTGTGCTAGCCACTCAGTACACATCTAAATATCGTATTACTGTGGATCAGGATCATGTGCATCCACTGCGGTTTAAAGGGATATAGCAAGGTATTTTGTATTTACAAAGACCATTAGATACTTTCTTTTTTACTTCATCACTCAAGACCATGCTAAAATGGAATTTTGCACATATTTTGGGTAATGGGGAGGGGGGTTGGGACGTTAATCAGTCTCTTCCTAGAATTTTCAGCTTCGTGTCACCCAACCCAAAACGGCTTGAATAAGCAACATCCAGGTGCACCCAACAAGATTCAAGCGGACACTTTGCCTCACAGGATAGCAACCTCGAATCTAGTCTCCTGATGTAGTAAGAAGCTCTGTTTCCCAAGGGAGAGTGGTAACATATCTCTTTACTAGACATAATTGTAACTTTTGTATTGTTAAAGGTTGAAGCAGTGTTGTTGGGTTTGGAGTGGGCTGTGTACTTGTGACTCTTGCAGATAAAATTTTATGACCCACCCTTCGAAAACCAGTCAAGTTCATGTCTTCAGTCCTAAGGATGGGATCCCTCGCGTTCATACTTGCGGTATTTGAATATATCCAGTGAAACCTAGCTAACTATAATACAAATGTGATCATATCCAGTGTCCTCTGTTAGGCAACATTGTAAACCTATTATTGTCCTGTAGTTGTTTGTACTGCTTCGGGGGTATTGTGGGGAGGCTTTTTCCTTTGCATTTTTTCAGTGTGCCGTGTCCTGTTCGCTTTCCAATACCCAAGGCCATCAGGAACTCTCCTAACTCATTGTATGTTCAAGTTTCCTTGCGCATCGAGCATCACGTAAGGTCACTAAATGTGTCACTTCTTTAACATTCATTGTCTAGCTAAAATGCCTCCATTGAAATTCCTTTGCAATTAGTTACTGTGCCTTGTATTGACAATACAATGAGTAAACTATCTGTAAAGGATTTTTATTTTTGCATAATAAATGCATAGCTTGTTGTGATTGAGTACAGTTCTGGTATGCATTTGTTCTTCTTGGGCTTGTGTGGGGGAGCTTTTCTTGTGCTTTTTCAGGTGTGACTAAAGCTTGGAGCTTTATAGAGCACGGATGTGACCTGGGCTCGATTGACAACCTTTTCAAAGTGGAAGAATTGAAGGCAGATAAGTTGAATCCATCAAATATAGATGTTGGAAAGCAGAATATTCTCAACCCTTGATGAGTCACTCAATCTTGAATGGGCCAAACTGCCCTCATTTTCGAAACGACAGCAACTTGCTATACTTGATTGCAGAAGTAGCACTGCTGTGCTTTCTTTACAAGAGTCTTGTGCTAACTGGATTTGATGGAACTTCATTGATTCTGACATTATCTGCTGTAAAGCATTTGGGTAAGGATAACAATAGTCAGTTCTACGATCTGTGGGGGGTTAGGGGTGTTTCTTGTCTGCCTCTTTGATCTTTCAGAACAGTCCAAAGGAAGAATGCAGTCTACCTAGGACAACACAGGAATCATCTTGTCCCTTCAATCGACCAACATGCAGTTTGATCATGTGGAGTCAGGTTGTTTTTGATGCGTTTACCAATTGGAAGAATTAGCCCTCAGCTGCTAGCCCTTGCGCAACTGTGCAGGTGGCAGGTTGAATTAAGTTTATTTGCTGAATGCGCAACTGTGCATTGTTCCCAAAGTGAATAGCAGCTGAGGAACGCTGTGCATGGTGCAGCTCTTAATTTGGATTTAAAAAGCAGCGCAAATGTGTTGCCGTAGTTTACTTCTTGCCTTGGTGTTTGTTTGGGCATGTCCCTATACTTCTCTTTACAGAAATTAGACTGCAAGACGGTTCAAGGGAAGGCCTCTGACCTGGACTTTGTAGTAAGATGTTGGCTTAAACTGTCAAAAATGACTCCTACAATGTTGTAGTTGACAAAATGACATCTTGGAACTGGCTTTATGTTAACCCCAAATCATGAGTTAATGCTTTACTTGCATTTTCCTCTTTGGCCACGGGGCCCTTTTTGCTTTGCATCTTCAACCATAAGATGAGTAGAACTCGAATCTTTGAGTATTGTGTGGTGGGTGTGTTGTGTAGATCACTCTTTGTTTCAGATTATTTTCGTCTGTCCGCTCCGATCTCACCTGCCTCTGAATGCAAAGCCATCTGTGGACGCTGTCGGCGAATATGAGTGTGGCTCCTGAATGAAGTACCAACCCCCCTGTGCGCTTGAGCTTAAATCTGAACCCCTTCCGACGTCCTTCGCAGAAGCCCCGCTCTCTGTGTGTTTGTGTGTGTGCCTTTTTTCTTTCCCTTTGGTTTCTCAGGTCAAATTACCTTTTTAAAGTAACCTTTAATTTTCATCCGGGATGGCCTAACCTGTGATGGAACACTGAGAATCCAGTCACGTTGAGATCAAGAGCTGCAAGCTTGTTTCGCTAATACTGCATCACTTCAGTCTCATGGGTGCTGAGTTAAGTAATTTCGGTTCCCTTGATTTTTCTTTAACACATCATGGCTTTAATGTGTAACTCAACATACATGCATGCACATCAGCTCTGCATAACATTTTATTCTTGAAACCCAACATAATCATTGAGTTGTCGTCAAACATTGCTGTAGTATTTGGTTGGGGCTTTTGGGGTGGGGCAACACTCTTTTCTCTTCCTTTCAGATGTATTGTTCAGCTTAACTTGATTCTGAGCCAGGCGGCGTAGGGCTCTGCACGGGGTCATGGATCAGTTGGCACAGCCACCCTTTGGGGTAAAATCTTAAACTTCGAAGACTTGCGCATCACTGACTATGAATAGTTGTGACCGTTGTGGTAAACATCCAAATCAGCAAACTCTGTCATATTGATATTTGAGCTAAAGTGTGGGTTGATGTTGGAGGGGGTGGGGTGGGGAGGCTCAAATTGTCTGTGTCTTTCTGTTACAGCTGTAACCTTGGCGAGCAAAGTCTTTTTGAAGCACAAGTCCTGCTGAATTGCAAAAGGAAAATGGCTTTTGAATTTCACCAGGGATGCTGGCATCTTGTCTTTGTAAATATGGATAAAAGGATTGTAAAAGTCATACACATACTGTGTCGTTGGGGGATGCTGGGGATCGGGGAAACCAGTTGTTTGTCTTCTAGTTTCAGGATCGCGACCAAGAGAAATCCCTGATAAAATAATCAAACAGCCAAGCGTTAGGGGTTTTCTTTTCCTGGAGGAACAAACCTCTGGTCTTGTTCCTCCAGGTTTTGCTTTTGCCCTCTCTTGCAGCAGCAACAACAAAAAGCAAAAGACTCCGGTGGTGGCACTCCTGACCTAGTCAGGATGGGGTTCAATTCCCTGCGGTGTCTTGCTTTCACAATGTTTGCTGTTTGAGGTAAACTGATGGTTCCTTTCCACAAGGAAATGTAGAGGCGTAGGTGTAGCTTCATCCATCTTATACAATGCTCAGAGTCCAATAATTAATAGTTAGTTGGTGGTTATGATATTGCAGACTGTCCCATTCTGATAAGTGTATTTTGGAAATTGTACATCCTACTCTCAGCCGTGGACAAACAATGCAATGCTAGCATGGGCTGTAAACCACATAGGACATTAATAACACAAAGTAACAGAAACAGTCTGTCAACAAAATCTCATGTGTGAAATGAATAAAAACTGTCCTTGATGAAGTCTCATTTTGTCTCACTTAATTGCTGTTTTTGAACCTTTCACTTGGAGGATGGCATATATCAGTTAAATAAGGATGTTAATGAATAGCCTATCAACTATGTAAAAAATCATGACACTAAATAAGGATTTCAAAACTTAAGTTCTAGTTAGGATAAAAAAAAAATTAATTCCACACATGGTTTAGTTGAATTTCTTCAGCTGGCTCATTAATCAATTACTACTGCCCCAATTTGTCTTAGATGTTGTCCTCTAACACTGCAGAAATAGCTGGTTTATGCTGCACTGTTATTTCCTTAAGGACAACGTGTCAATCCACAGGTGTTAAAACACTGATTAACTAGCAGATGTTTGGCCATACCATCTGGTCTCCATGCAGTCATAATCTTGGGGATATAGGTATCATATAACCTAAGCACTTTGTGTTCCAGTACTTATCTTCAAAATGGATGAACCAGTCTCTGTGTAAAAATAACCTTATACCTGCTTGTGTTCAGCATTTATAACAAATGTTATTGAACACCAAACACAATTTGGGAAAACTAGAGGGAGAAGCTTCTGTGTATTGTGTTATACTGAATAAATGTACCTCTCTTTGATACTGTCTTATATCATATATAGTAGATCCTACTGCCAAATGATCCTCAGATTATTACTTGACCTTGCCTAGCCCACCTATGAAAACAGCAGCTCTGGGGTCAGTATTGCGTATGAAGCCTGCTCTTCAAGGATGAGTGTCTGCCTCTGTAACCCAAACTGCTTCTGCCATTCTGAGCCACTGCAATAGATGAACATAACATTGATGGGGAGAATAACAAGTACACATTCAGTTATAACATTCACATTTACACTAGAAAACGTCCATTTTCTGGATGTTACCAATGAGCTAACAGGGCACCACTGTTGTTTTTTGTGTTAAATTTGCAGTCAGCTTTTAAAACCTAAAATTGTAGGTTACGGTGTTTCCATCAAACAAACAGGCCCCAAACTTGACGGCAGAATGATGTTTCTCTTGCAGCCATGAGCAGTTTGGTTTAAAACTTGTTATTGTGTTTAACCTGACTGCATGTGTTTGTATTTTGGTATTATTAGATTTATAAATGGTGTCTGGTTTTTTTTTGTTTTGTTTTTGTTTTCATTGAGGGCATATGTTATATTGCACTTACATTTATTTTGAAGGTATGCTCCACAAAGGAGGTAAACCAGAAAAGGTTTCCTGGATTTCCTCCAAGACAAGTAAAGTAATCGTTAAGGGTTAACTTTGGTGTCTGCATTTTTCTTATTCTTTTATTTCAAACTTGTCAGTCTGTTAAAAAGTGACCACTATTTTCTGCTATATTGTCTTTCTTTGGGGCATACCTTGGAGATATTTTTTTCATACTAAATTTTAACCAGACAGGAGTCCAGTTAAGATAGTCCCTGGAAAAAAACCTTAACTTTACAGACTTTACAACAATCAGGATACCTCCCTTTTCCCTTGGAAAAAAAAACAGAGAAGCATGACTGTGCAGCTATTTTGCAGAGAATGTATACAGGATGCCTTTTCAACTGTATGTATGTGGTTAATAATAATAATAATAGATTTTATTTCTAACGCACTTTACATTTAAAAACAAATCTCAAAGTGCACAACAAGACAACAATAACAGTAAAAACCAAGCAACAGGGCAAAACAATAAAAACAGTCAGCAGATAAAATTAGTCCGGGTAGGCTTTCCGAAAGAGGAAGGTTTTGAGTCCTTTATTAAAGAGAAATACTGTAAAATTATTGTTGACCTAGAAAAAAATCCAAGATTCTTTAAAGTGGTGATTTAAGACTCATGTCTTAATGTTAACCAAATTTGAGGGTCTCAAATATCATTCTTTGATGATGACCTTATCTTCATCCTTGTGATGGATAATATTTATGTTATTCAACACATATATAATATCTAATGATATTATTGCTGGAACAGAATTTCATGTCGTGACTTTCTGGAAACGTTTACAACTATTATTATCCTCCTGTAGCACTTGTTTGCGGAACCATTGTGCAGACACTAAGTTTACACCGAGCAGATTTACATCCGTGCCATTTGCCTCCCTGCCTGATCTAGCAGTTTGTTCAGTTCCCCTGTAGCTGCGCTTGTTTGATGAGGTGTGGAGGAAAGAGGAGATGTGGTCCTTTTTCGCCAGGGATCCTGTCAAAGACTTTGCGTATGAAATCCTCCCGGACACCCAGGAGAAATCGGGAATATGGAGCCTTCATCGAGGAAAACGAAAGGTAAAAGTCAGGTGTGCAGTTAAAGCTCCGTCGCTGTTAGCTAGCCTGCTCCGTTATGGAGGCCCGTCACTATTAGCCACCGGCTAGCTAGCATTTTCTCCTGACATCTTTAATTAGAGACAGTGTTGAAGGTTTAATCAGCACCAGTACATCCCAGCTTTGTCAGTATCTGTCCGATCCTTTCTACTGGTTCGTCAGTGCAGATTTTTCTGCTCCTTACATGTCAGCTGTAGTTCGTGCTAACCAGGTAACTCGGGCTTTGTTTACTCCGGGGCAGACACGTACCTCTCGCCACGTCACCCGGTTTTAGCCTAGTTAACAATTTTTAAACAGCATAATCTTTCAGTTCTTGTCTCATAATGACAAATACTGCGTCCTTCCTTTCTAAGAGTTTCCCATATTGATCATAACCGACCGCTTTATATCCGGGAGACTCGATCCAAACTGCCAGAGTCATTATCCTCAACTCTGATGGACCAGATGATGACCAGGACAAGCCTCCTGTTCAGAATCAGAAATACTTTAGTAATCCACAGGTGAGGGGATAAATAATAGTAGAATAAGTAAAAATAAATAGAGATGCACAGATCCATTTTTTTCGTTCCGATCCGATACCGGTTCCTGGGCTGAGCGCATCGGCCGATAGTGGATACCGATCCAATGCTACTGTTAAATGAATGAACTGTATTCCTTGCCCCGTGAGTGAAGGCATCTGGCTTGACATTAGCCTTGTTAAAAAAAAGTTAACAAATTAACACAGAGATAAATTTAGTTATTTTTTTTATTAACAAATAGCCAATTGCACATTAGCACACAGCAAAAAGAAGTAAGACTTCCATGTAAACATTTAGTGCAAGGATAGACAGACATAGAATATAGTGCGGACAGAATTGCTTTGTTGCTGTGTATGATATTGATTAAAAGCAAAAAAAGACTGGATTGGAACGCTGGATCGGTGTCATTCATCAGATATCCAATCCAGTTAATTTGTCAGTTTGCCGATATCCGATCCAAATATCCGATCGGTGCATCCCAAAAAATAAAGAGATAAATAGATAAAATAATTAAAATAAGTAAAAATAAAGAGATAATATACAAGTATTTACACTACAGAGAACACAAATAGTAACATCGTATGCATGCATCTGGATAATAAGAACAAGAACATAGGCATCATTTATAAAAAGGGGCAGAGCTGCCTCTTTTGCCTGAGAAGACTCCGATCAATAGACATCTGTAGCAAGATGCTGCAAAATCCTCAGCATCATCCTGCAGATGTGTTTGCTGTCATTTCTTTAATATAGTCGTAGACAAAATTAGAGTTTCTTCTGTTTGAATTTAATCCCCAACCTGATGATTTTCTCAGACCAACGGAGAGCCAGTGTCCGTGTTCCTGTACGAGGTAGCACAGGGAACAGAGCAGCAGACCCAGCTGGCCAAGGCTGCCTTCAAGCGCATGAAAACCCTCCGGCATCCTAACATCCTGGCTTACGTTGATGGGTTAGAGGTATGGATCTTGCATCACTTTAATTGTTAATGTTTTTTGGGAACCATGTGATTAACCATGTGCTGTCATATAACTATAGTATATTTAGTGTCTCACATCCATCATCTTTTTTTTCTCTGCATGTTTACGTTCAGATAGAGGTGAGTTTGAATATACCACTGCAGTCTGTAGAAAGTTGTAAGTAGTAAATGGTAAAGTAAAAGTATTATCTCACACAGTTTTTACACTTGTTTGCTAAATAAAATCATAGATAACCCAATTAATGGTCATTTCCTACTCTGTAACTGCTATTGTACCCATGGAATTTGTAGCTAGCTACAAAAGAGAAAACAACAGGCATTTATTGTCTTCTTGCTTGTCCAGAAAGGTGTGTTGAAAACCAATAATTCTAAATCAGTTTGCAAAACATTGCACTGCCTGAAATTTTGTAAAACATGGAAGAGGATATCTTCACTGCATACTTCAATTATTGACACAAATCCCTTTGAAATAAAAGGCCATGCTGTTCTATTTCACTCCCTCTACTTTAAAAGGTCTTTTTAATGTTAATATATTTGCATTTGAACCAACTACTCTGTAATGTGGACAACAAACAGCAGAATTTATCTCAAATATGTGGTTATGTATGTATATTAGTTCAGATTTTTATTGATGTTAATTTAACAACAACATCAATGATAATGATAACAACAAAATAATAAATGGAGTATATTTAGTCCCTTTCAAAGGACCTAAGGTTGCTTTAAGAAGTTAAGTAATAAGACAAAATTCAGTCAGCTTGTTGTGTACCCTTAGCAGTGAAGACATAGCTCAAGAGTTCTTAACACATTACTTTATTGCTGATGTTTGTACTGTTATGTCTCACAGACAGAGAAGAGCCTGTACCTGGTTACTGAGCAAGTGACCCCCCTTGCAGTCCACCTAAAGGCCCAGGCAGACAAGGGTGGAGCTGGGGATCTGGAAGTTTCTTGGGGACTGCATCAAATAGTGGTAAGGAGTAGAGAGTTAGTCTAAGACTGTCAGGACAGCTGTAGATCTGTCACCGGGCCTCTATGAGTCTTACTCCATTCCTCTCTTCTCCCACAGAAAGCTTTAAGTTTCCTGGTAAATGACTGCCACTTGCTGCACAACAATTTGGGTGTATGGTCAGTTTTTGTGGACAGAGCCGGAGAGTGGAAGCTTGGGGCTCTTGACCATGTGGCCCCCGAGCAAGGTGATCCAAGCGGGGCCTCGCTCCCTGCGCCCAAAGCTGTTTACCCAGACATGGAGAAATATGACCCTCCAGAGATGCCAAACAGCAATGGAGAGAAATGGTAAGAGAGTAGTGTAATAACACAAGTTGAGAGGAGTACCTCAGAATGATATGTGACCTATAGAGACAAGAGAAACTGCAAATTGGATATGTGGAAGGAGTGATACCTGACAGAAGTGTTGATGAGATTCTAAACTAAGCTTTTGTTGACACTGAGTATATAACTGTGTTCATGTTGGTTGCAGGGCAGGAGAGGTGTGGAGGCTAGGCTGCCTGATCTGGGAGGTGTTCAACGGGCCTCTGCCTCGCACATCCTCACTTCGTGCAGTAGGAAAGGTACAGTACCCCCCATACTGCTTTTCCTGTTATTGCTGCACTAATCCCTTTAATGTCATGTCAAATTTGCATTTCAAAACGCAAATCATAATACAGTTGTTTTGATATTTTTTAATAAATGACATTCAACCTAATAATCCATAATAAATTTACCTTGCAGTTTTATAGTCCAAGCAAGTCTTTGTTTTTGGTTAGGTGTTTCTTCACTGAGTTATGTTTCCTGTCTTGTTCAGATCCCCAAAACCCTGGTGCCTCATTACTGTGAGCTGGTGGGAGCCAACCCCCGAGCTCGACCCAACCCAGCCCGCTTTCTACAGAACTGTCGAGCCCCAGGAGGGTTTCTCAGCAGCAGCTTTGTGGAGAGCAACCTCTTCCTGGAGGAGATACAGGTCATTAGATTACAGCGACTCACCTAATCATGTTTTTTCAGTGCTATAGCCAAACTAAACCATAAGAGTCACGTCCACATAGAAAAATAATGTTCCTTTTGGATGCTAAAGTGAATTTGATTACACAAATGATAACAACTACCTCTGGACAGTGATTGATATCCAAAATTAGAATCCAGACATGACAACTTTATCCATCTCTTAGATTAAGGAACCAGCTGAGAAGCAGCAGTTCTTCCAGGATCTCAGTGAAAATCTCGACTCCTTCCCCGAGGACTTTTGCAAACACAAGGTCCTGCCTCAGCTGCTCACTGCGTTCGAGTTTGGCAATGCAGGCGCCGTAGTCCTCACACCACTCTTCAAGGTTAGCCCTTATCTTATCTTTTTTAAAACAAAGGACACAACTGTGGTTGAAATGGTTTGACTGGTTTTGAAGTCTTTGTACACAGTCCTCCTCAGACCCACCTGTCTTTTAATGCGATTCAATTTCTCTCTGTTCTGCAGGTAGGAAAGTTCCTGTCAGCAGAAGAGTACCAACAGAAGATCATCCCTGTCATTGTGAAGATGTTTTCCTCCACAGACAGAGCTATGAGGATACGGCTGCTGCAGCAGGTATGAACGGTCACCAAGAGTAACCTTTGTTGACAACATGTCATATCAAAATCATCCTTTAAAATCAAAAATGAAAGATAAATGATAACAGAAGTCAGTTATTACTCATGACTGCTGTTTTAAGCCTGTGTTCCACCTGGATGCCATGAGTTTCCTTAACCCTGTTTTTCTCTGTGTCTCAGATGGAGCAGTTCATCCAATATTTGAACGAAGCAGCAGTCAACTCCCAGATATTCCCTCATGTCATTCATGGCTTCACGGACACAAACCCTGCTATTAGAGAACAGACAGTCAAGGTAGATTGCAAAGTGGAACATTTGCACAAACCAGGAGGTGTTATTACATAATCGCTGTGTACCGTCAAGCCTCAACTCTTCATTGTCTCTCCTTCTCATTCTTAAGTCTATGCTGCTGCTGGCACCCAAATTGAATGAGACCAACCTGAACCAGGAATTGATGCGTCACTTTGCCCGGCTGCAGGCCAGGGATGAGCAAGGCCCAATCAGGTGTAATACCACGGTCTGCCTGGGCAAGATCGCCTCCTACCTCAATGCTGGGGTAAAGCACTTCCACACCTTTTTTGCAACAATATATTTAAAGTAAAAAAAAAAAATCAAACTATCTTTTAGTTATGAATTAAACCAAAGAAGGTTGTCTTTCATCTTTTCACAGACTCGCCAACGTGTTCTGATTTCTGCCTTCTCACGAGCCACTAAAGACCCTTTCCCAGCTTCACGCTCTGCAGGAGTACTGGGCTTCGCTGCCACACATAACTTCTACAGTGTAACAGAGATCGCAGCCCGTATCCTGCCCACTCTCTGTGCCATCACCGTTGATCCTGATAAGGGCGTCAGGGACCAGGTACACAAAATGATGAACATTTTTTAACGTATGCCTTGTTGCCCAACATTTATTGTAACTATATGAAGAGAATTTTGTTTACAATTGAGGTAGTAAAATTCTGTGTATTCAGTGTTTGTGGTCTTTACCTCTGGTTTAAATCATTGTACATTTCAAGTGGAAGAGTAACATTCGAATAAAACTGATCATTTGGGATAGGCAGTCTGTTTGTTCACTATGTTCATTGCTGCTTCTCTCTCTCTTTCAGGCATTTAAAGCCATTAAGAGTTTTCTTTCCAAGCTGGAGGCTGTATCAGATGACCCCTCTAAGCTGTCTGAAATAGGTCTGTAAAACACTGCTCTGAGCTGTGAAGTCCTCTGTCTCCTTCTGCTGTAAAAACTTTCATCTCCATTTTTATAAATTGCCTAGTTTATAGGGGGAAAAAAGAACAAATTGTTGCAGATATATTTGGATCAGAGCAAACTTTTCTGAATTTGTTTTCTAAAACCAAATCATCTCCTCTCTGTCCAACAGAAAAAGATGTGTCGTCATGTGCTCAGCCTGCAGGAGCCTCTTCTACCTGGGCCGGCTGGGCTGTGACTGGCATGTCCTCAATAACTTCCAAGCTGATTCGCAACACTCCGGGGACAGATGGGGGCACAGCAACTGAGGGTGGTGAGGCTGCAAATGCCCCCAGCCCTACTAGTAACACTGGTGGAACACCTGCAGCTGGTGGGGTTATCACATCTTATTTGTTTGACTCATAAGATAGTTTGACGTTTACAAGTGTTGTTGTTTTGTTGTTATTTTCTTTTTCAAATTTGGGGCGTCAGCAGTTTCCATGAAGCCTCATTCCCACTGATAGTTTTATCTGGGAGCAAAAAACTGTAAAATTCCTTTTCATAAATGCAGTAAATCTCCTAAGACATACAAACCAACATTTATGTATATAATTGGGGGAGTTCTCTTTTAAGACATCCTGAATGACAGTCTCAAACTTTTTGGGGTATTTTTTTTTTCCCAAATGCAGGTTCTGAAGAAAAAACTCCACAAGACTCTGTGACTCAACTCAGTGCCTCTAGTCATGCCAACCAACCACAGACCCCTGAAGTAAGGGTCAATGAGGATGAGCCCGTGGGAGATCGCTGGGATGATGAAGAGGACTGGGGAAGTTTGGAGGTAGAACTGACTGCTGCTTTGTAAACAAACTGGACATCAGAAAATCTTAAGGAGATGTATTTAGAGGTTTTTATTGTAGTCAGTTTTTATTATACTGACTAAATAATGTGTGTCTTATTGGTCAACATTAGTGCTATTCTTTGAAATCAATTTTACGTTGATTGGTCACATGACATGGAAGCTATTGAAGGAAAACAGCCTTTTTTGAGAACATCAGCCAGTAATTTGCTGATGATCCCTTATTCAACACCCAACGTTGACAGCGAAGGTGCTGAGTAGATTTAACCGCGCTGCTGTTGCTATTCCCGGTTATGTAGAGTGAGAAGGCACCAGTAGATCCGCAGTGAATGTCTGTCGAATATCCAAACTAACTTTACTGCAGTATTTACATGAAAAAACATTTGTCGCCTCGGCTGATTTTTTTCTTTTCATGCATACATGTGCCCCTAATAACATTTTACAATTTGCACACATCTATTTTTAGTCACAAATGCGAGTGAAACAGTTGCACCGTTGAGCCCTGTATTATCTAATATAATATAATTAAATGATTGTTTCTCACATAGGAGCCAGATAAAACTCAAACTGAAACAGAGGACTGGAACTCTGACTGGTCAGGGATGACGTCATCCAAAAAGAAGGCCAGTGATAGAGGGGTATGAGCATTTTAATTCAGATTCACATATTCATATGCTACACAAACTTTAGAGCTAATACAACAAACCTGATGCTTTTACCATCTGTCCAATATCTAGGTTGGCCGGACATCGTCCTCCGTGGCAGTAAAAAAGCAGAGCTCTGATTGGAGCAGCTCGGGATGGGATGCTGATGACAGCTGGTCCAACGAGAAGGAAGGGCAGGGTCAGAGCTCTGCGGGAGAGGAGGGCTGGGGTAATGACTGGGCTGAAGAGGACACAGACACAACCTTGACAAGTGCAGTGGCTTCTCTGCCTGAAGGGGTACGGTTAGCCAGTGATTACAACTGGGACACTGGAAGCGCTGTAACAGGGACCGGACAAAATGATCTTTTCGCCAGCGTATCTCAGAGAAGCTCAGCCAGCGCTGCTGCAACCACGGTGAGTGGTGTAGGAAAGCAGATGGACAGAAGAGAGGCTGGTAAAGGTTATGCTAGATCAAGGACAAAACTTTATGTGTCTTGTGTTTTCTTTCTGTCAGGCTGGAGATGGCTGGAGTGCTGAGGCAACAGGAGACTGGGGGAATGAAGATAGCTGGGAGTCAGTGGATGGTAACCAAGGTGAGTCTTTCATATTTGAAAATCATGACTCTTGATGGTCCTAAAAGAAGCTGCAGACAGATGTCATGTATTGATGAATTATTTTCACTTTTGGGTCACATCAACTGAACCAAGGCTAAAATATTCTCAATAAATGTTCACACTGCAAATCCCTGTATCACTTTTCATTAAACTGCCCATTGTATCGTCAACCAGGTCTCAGTAAAGCTGAGCTGTCCAAGAAGAAGCGGGAAGAGCGGAGAAAAGAGTTGGAAGCTAAACGAGCAGAGCGCAAAGCTGCTAAAGGTCCACTCAAACTGGGCGCACGCAAGCTGGACTGATTAGGGACAAAAAAACGAAAGACTCAAGTGTGGAATTGGAGAAGGGGAAAACTTGGATCGGCTAGTTTTGACCTCAGAGTATTGAGTGAAGGCTTGATATTCCACAAGGAAGAAGAAAGAAGTGTTAGCAGTGGATCAAATGCTCTGGGAGTGTTGGTGGAGCGTAACGCTGTTAGCCCGACAGCAACAATCCAGTTCTTTATCTGCAGTGGTGTGGATGTTGGGGCAAAGACAGACAAGACAGAGAGACATGACGCAACACAGAGAAGCACACTCTGTACCAGAGGCTCGTCTTGATTGCAAGAAGTACTCCTATTTCCTATTTCTGTTTTTTTTAATGCATTACTTCAAAGTCTATGGTTGTAAAGTAAATGTATATACATGATGCATCTTCTCTTAAAGTCACATGAGGTAATGACCCTTTTTTATAAAAGAAAATAGAGAATTATATATAAACACCTAACAATCAAACACGTATTATTATGCTGAATGTTAAACACAGTAAACATGAATGTTTGAGTTCAGCTGTCACAAATTTAAGGGTTTAAACCAATCCCCGCATGCCAGTGTGTATTTCTGTGTCTTAACAATGGTTAAACAAAAGAAAAACAAAACAAAAGAAGATAATCGTTGAGTTTTACTTTTGCACATGCAGCAGTGTATTTCACTGTACTTTACCTGGAGTGGCTGGTGACACTTGTGATATATCCTGCAGATGTGATGGTAAGGAGACGTTAAACTGAAGCTGGTGAGATAGTTTTCAAATATTAACGCGTTTACATTTCTTATCCCTTCTTATTTCTGCTCGGACGTGATGGTGGAGGGCTTATGAAATCTGTTAAAATCACATGAAGGATCTGATATGCATTCACACTTGTACAATCCTGCAGATCTCCTGAAGCATTAGTTTTAATCATCAGCTGTTTTTAACATCAGGGTAAGCGAGATGGTAAACTGCTTTTACTTTTAATGTGCCTTTGAATGATGACGGATCCAAAAAGTCACTGTTTTTAATTGGAAATTAAAGATGGACCAGAAGTGTATCCCACTGCCAAACCATGGTCGTCAAAGCTTTTATCAGTTTGACCCATATCTCTGTCTATGTAACATGTCCTTGTTGGGTTTGGTGTTAATCACCACACAGTGTGCTGCTTTATTGATGACAGAGCTGGCAGAGTAAACAGCCATCATCCTTTGAGTAAATGTCAAGTCATGATGTGATGATGGAAGGTCAGAAATGCTGTGAAGAGCTGTGTCGGTGGAATGTAACATTTAATAGAAAATCCAAATGATGTAGCATGTGAGCTATTCCAAAAAAGAAAACTCATTAAAACTGCTCCTCCTTTAAAACCGACACTGTTTAGAGTTATCGTTATTGTCCCTTCATGCAGCAGTGGCTCCCTAATCTCTCCATGCTACGTACACTATCTATTTTTCTTCGTACTGCAGAAGTTTTTTCTGCTTTAAATTTATTGAAGAAGTCATCCTCTCCATATTTCCAATGTCAGACATCATATCTAAGTAGCCAGTCTCTGTTGGAGGGATGGGCTGCAGACATTTCTTTGTTGCATCTTTTTCCTGAGCAGTCAATCCCAGTGCCAGAAATATTTTTTAACACCTGCATTGCTCTGTCAATACTGCGAACTTTGAGGGCAATTCCAAAAAAAGGAAAAAATTGTCTGCTAGATGTTCACCACACCTCTTCCAACACAGACCTTCTAACCTCAGCTTTTTGTACTCCTTTTATTTGAAGGTACTCGAATCAGAATCAGCTTTATTGGCCAAGTATCTGTACACATAAAGGGAACTTGACTCTGTTAAACTTTGCCCTCTATGTACACATTATGAAATATCTCACTAGATTACGCAAACAAAAATCCCTCCATAGGCCTGAGCTGATGGAGGTAGGGAAACATTTCTTATGAGAATACTATGCATACATATTCAGGACAAGGTCAGCAAAAAGTATGTTTTTCCACAGAGCCTCACAAAATCAGCACAAAGGGAAAGTCCTCATAACTTCTTTGAAGTGAAATAATCATATTTTCCTTTAAGGATCAGAGACGAATATTGTCATTTGACTGACCGAGTTAGGAGGACCATTCACTAGATTCTCTTCAATCAGAACCAGCGAAGAGTCCCATTGAACTGAATATGAATTTCTGTTAGAACTACTATCAGACATATTTTGGACATATATTTTCCTTTAACAGATCAGCTAAAGAGAGACAGGAAACAGGGAGAAGAGAATAGGGGGAGACATGCAGCAAAGGGTTACAGTCAGGAAATGAGCCAAAAACTGTTGATGAGGACTAGAGCCTCTGTATATGTGGTGTGAGGCCAGTGGTGCTGAGCCGTTTTTGAAAACTGTCTCTTTACATTGGCAACTGTCAGTGGATAAGATATGTCTCACAGAAAGTGAATATTTTGCCTTTGAAGTTGATGTGCTTGAGCAAACAATAGCCTGGCATAGAGCTAATCTGACAGGGTTTCAATCGACCAGATGACTTGGACTGAGCATGTCCAGAACTGCAGCTCCAGTGAGGTGTAACTAGCCAGCAGCAGCCAGTATCTATCAAAACTGGTCCATGAGAGGCAAACCAATGAACCAGCAAAGAAGTGATAGGGAGCTATACAGCTTTAGGCAGGTAATCCAAATTTTATGCCTGATCAGTTTATGTGGTTTTGTCCTGAAATAACTTCAATAAAGACTGATATGGTGAAGGGTTTAAGAGAGCTAGACTGAAGAAACTCTGCATCATCATGCCATGTGATTGTGTCACATGGCTTCAAAGTTTAACCTTTTAGGTCTCAGAGATAAGAAACAGTGTGAGCTTCTCATAAAGGATATCTATGACATAAATGTTGATAAAACTTTGACTAAGTTGCATAAGAAGGCCACCACCCAGACTCATACCCAGTTATTCTTTATTCAAACAGTTACAAACATTTAAAAGCCAAAGAGACATGCCGTTACAAAGATGACATCAAACTGACAGTTATAAGACCACTGCACAGGTGTAAAATTGGTTCAGTGAAATATCACCCAGGACTTACATTACCAAATATCTACCACTTGTTGATTAAGTGTATGTTACAAACCATAGCTTATCTGTTAGATACAACTTCTTTATATTAAACTCATCATGTTATAAATATCTGTAAGAAAGCTGTTAGAGTTTTGAAAAACAGAATCCATTGTTGAGATTACAAATACATTTGTGGATTTCATTCAAGTTACTAGCATTTCTTTACCGACTTCTTTTTTCACGACAAAAAGGCCTCCCAAGTGACTCCCAGACACTACAATAGTCTTACAAAACAGCTTTTAAATCCTCAATCTTTTTACAAAACATTTAAATTTACATCATATTGGCACCTTGTTAAGGAGTACTGTATGTGGAGCTGCATTTAGAAATCCGAAAAAGGCTGAAAAATACAGAGTGTTAATCCAAAACCATCTAGTCTGCTGTTATTCAAACCAAAGACAGAATGAAGGGCTGACAGTGGTTAAAGGGGAAGCCATGAAGTTAATAAAAATTCTCCCAATGACACTGATAGTTGTTGTCAGAAGTGGCAGACAGTTTTATACTACATAGGCTCTGCTGGTGATCTGTTAATATATACCATCATCAAGCATCAGGGGCTTGAATCACTTTTCATTCTTGTTTTCTTTTTTGCTGCCTCCAAACAAAGCACTCGCCAGAGCGAAGACGCCAAAACCCACCATTGCAGCCACGCCTGCAACCATGACAACTTCTCCTGCTTTACGGACCTGCAGAGGGAAACATACAGTTCAAGAGACTGTGCAAGGATGCTATCAGCCTTAAAATAAAATAATAATAATCATAATAATGAACAAAAACAAACTATTTTAAAACACATCTCTGGAGATAAAATACCAGGAATTATCACCAAGATTTCCCTTTTTTTTGACATGTAATGAGGAGATGTTTGGATAGTGCCATCAAAAATACTGACATGAATTTGTTTTTTGTGTTATATAACTTTACTCTAGCAATACGATGCCTTTAACTTGTGAACTACAAATTAGGTCTTAGTTGACTTTCATTTTGTAGTTTATTTTTTAAGTCCTATTTTGAATATGGCCCAAATCAATGCAAAAACAGCATCTCTATCTTGGCTGGTTGGATTGACAAAAAAACTGTGAAAGCTGTGGTGGTTAACCAAGAACTTTGTTGTCCCTGACCATATCTGGTAAATACTGTTGTCAGTAAACAAGGAGTGCAAAAGAGAGAACTGCCTTCATTAAACAACCCAGTGTGGTTTAAAAGTTGTAGGATCTGGGTAAACGTGACTTAGTATTCTTAAGTTTTCATATGCCCTCCTCTCTCTCCTGACTTTACGCGATTATAATCCTCTGTCCCTTCTGGTAGTTGATTTCCCCCCCGGTGTGTTTCATCTATGAACAGTGCAGTACTAATCTCTAAAGCACAATTACCATGTTTTAAATCACATTCCTGACCAAACCACTGTTATGCATTTTAGTACAACCTCTCCGCCAAACAAATCAAAAAAGAGAAATACCTTTGCTGTACAAGACTAATATTGGTGAGGACTCACCTGCCGGGACTCTGCTTTTCCATATCGCAGTTCATTCGCAAAATGTTCGCAGTTCCCCCTGAAGACACAGTACGGCAGCTCATGTCCCACCAAGGCATTGGCCTCCCTCACAATGACATGAGCCGGACGAGGTTGGTACTTATCATCAAGGCTATTGTTGATTTCCCATTTGTTTGTCCCCACTACTTCCCACAGCTCCTCTTTCTTCACCACGGCCCTCTCTGCTAGGACAGACATCATGCTGCTGGCACCTGCACCTGGGACCTCAGCTATATATGAATAAATTGTCATAATTTTAAACACTGGAGTAAAAAAAATGCACAGATACAATTTCAGTGTGGTTTTGTGAAAAAATGTGCTGTCACTCAAAGCTGTTTTCCATTAAAGGGCTGGGATAGGTCAACATTTTGGCCAGATGGCTCAGTGTGTGCATGAGTGCTATTGTGTGTTTGTGTATGTCTGACTGTGGTACTTACATGGGGGTGCCAAGTGAACCACAAATCCATCGCCAACATACACAGCCCAGTGCTGATAGTTGCCACGGAAGATCTCAATCAAGTCCCCAACCTCTGGTTTCTCGTCATACTTGAGTTGGAAGAAAACATTGAAAATGTTTGCATCAGGAATAGTTTCTCAGTGACTACATAACACATGGCATGGAAATAATGAAACAAAGACAACACTTTTAGTGTAGGGGAGAGTGGGGTAAGATGAGCCAAAGAATAAGTTGAGCCACTTGAGCCTGTTTCTTGGAAATGGTAAAAGAAATTGATCATGTGACCAAATATTTAGTTGACCACTTTTTTTGGCATGCTGTATTATCAAGACAGGTCTGTTTACACCCATTCTGTTGGTTTGCAGGGATGCACAACATCTTGAAATATATGCAGATACACTAGTTAGAGACAAAACTATGATTGCCTTGATGTAGTGATCCAATATATGAAAAATGGCTCATCTTACCCCACTCTCCACTATATATAAAGAATAGTAGTTTCTACACAATAAAAGCGCTATGGTTGAGCTTTCTGTACGCTCATGCTCTTATCATTTTCTTACAAGGGTGGGGGCCATGTTGATCCTGTGGGCTACAACCCAATGTTTACTTTTAGTTTCGAAATGACCTTCAGTACCTGTATGAAAGAGAAAATAGACAGTTGTTAAACTAATCTAAGACCGAATATCAGCACACACCAGGGCAGACATAAGAGAACTAGAAATGATGAAATATTCTTAATGGTGATAATAACACTAACAGCAAACGGCGGATGTAAACTGTAAAAATGTGGATGATGAAAACCGGTTTGTTTACATCATCCACATCCCGTCAGAAGCTAATGCTACGTTAGCTCACGGCAACAACACGGCAGCTTCATATAAACTCATTCTCACCGACATTACAGCCTAGTTAGAAATAAGGTTTGATAGACCGTCTAGTTACCGCTGAAGTCGTGTGTGTATCAGAGTCGCCACCAAAGCTCAGCTGTGAGCGATCAGCTGATTGTTGCTAATATTAGCAGAAACCCTGGACCTTCAAAATAAAAGCCTCACAATGTCAGACTGTGCCCTGCCTCGACTAACACCGACCTGTAATTACATAAGACATATGTATGTCATGATCTGTTCGAGCCTCATATTTCTTACAGTACGGTCATTCAGAGGTGGGGCTTATTTTAAAAACAACTATTAAGACCAGTGGTTCTCAGCTGGTCTCACTCTAGGACCCACATTTTCCCATGGTCCTTAAGTCGCGACCCACTTTTATAGGATTCAAACAAAGCAAATTAATAAAAAGAAAAAAAAACCCTTCAAAGACTCTAATCTTTAACATAAATCCACTTGTTTTATTGAGTAAAGTGCATTTCAGAGCACATGAAGGGGACAACATGAGGACGACAACTACTGAAGTTGCATATACAGAAAATATTGAAGATCTAATAAATATCACATCAAATATTTACTTTTTTGAACAGCTGTTCGTGACCCGACAGCAACCCAATTTTGGGTCGGGACCCACCAGTTGAGAACCACTGATTTAGACCATGTTTGAACAGGATGTTAGGTTAATTCGCATGAAACATCATATTTTTGCATTCAAATAAGATCTCAAGTTTTATACTTTGCTTGGTGTGAGTTTCATTTTTAGGGGGGCAATGGTGAACTGTGTTTTAAGATAATGTATAAATATATCAATCTAAGAAAGGATACATTTCTTTAAACCAAATAAATAGTTTTATTTATGACTTTCAGGCCAAAAAAAAAGACACTTGGCCAAATGGGCCCCCTTTGAACAGTACTGGTCATTGGCTGCATTCATTAGCTCCTGTGTTTTTAAGAGGTTCAACCTGAACAGACAGTGTATGTGTGTGTATATTTACATGGCTGTTAAAACAGGAACTCAATTGATTTATAGCCCAAGCCTTAGTTTTCTGTTGTTCCTCCCTTACATAGTGTAGAGATACAGTAGGCCTATTATAGGTGGGCCCACTTCCTGTATTCAAAACTTTTAAAAACAGCAGTAGTGAATTACAAGAAGTACAATTGTCCAATATGTGGAGTAGCACTTGACAAAATAATTATATTTTATTATTGTATATATATTTTGCATTACTTTAGTGTTACAGCTGATAAAGATGGAACTAAATCTGATTGTTTTAAACAACTTGGTGGTTCTTGCCATTACTCACAAACCCCAATAATTGTAATACTACTTAATTTTTGTTATAGTTGTTATCATAATTCAAAGAAAAAAAAATAACTTTGAAGAGGACTCAAAACTTGGAATTTTAGCAGAACTTTTTGGTCCATCTTCACAGTTTCTTTAAAAAAAAAAAAAACTTGCTTATCTTGCTTTTACTCTTCAAATGAGATGCTTCTCTTGTTTTGTTTTTTTTACCTACCAATAACCTGTTTTTATATTCCTTTACTGTGAAAAGATCTAGCCCTTTGAGGTCGATTGATGTAAAGGGCACTAAAAATAAAATGTATGAAAAATAAAAATAACAATTTGAAAATATAATAATAACAACAACAACAACAACAACAACAACAATAATAATAATAATAATAATAATAATAATAATAATTATTATTATTATTATTATTATTATTATTATTATTATTATTATTATTATTAAAATACCCACTTAACTGGCGTTGAAGTTTGGACCTTTCTCTCAAGGGGACCGTTTGATTATACACTTTTTATCAGTTTATTTTTTTTAAAGTGTAAAAGACATTTTAACTATTGAGTTCAAAATGTTTTTTTTTTTTTGGCTATCCATTTACTTCTAAGCATTTCAAGTGTATCATCTCTATAATACGATGCTGGTAAACTTGTTTCCACTAGGTGTCGTCAGTGACTTCAGCTTTCTTTGACGGTTTGGCTTTTAGAAAAGACGAAGAAGAACCTACATCCGGCTCTGGGGCGCCCTTTCGGTGTATTTTTGTTCTGCAATTGGACAGAGATAATAACAAAAAAAACTGTCATATTCATTAGCGTCGAAGCCCGAAGACCGAGTGGTGGATTTGATGGGACGTATTACCGTTTAAAGATCAAGCGATGTCTGTGGTGTTTGACGGGAGTCCCCTGAAAGCGATGCAGAGCTCTCACACGCTCACAGCTCAGACTACTGCCCTGAGGTGAGGAAGCGGCTCCTCTGACAGCACAGGCAGACAGCTGGAGTTTAAGATACTATTAAATCAGTCAGGCTTTTTAGAAAATAACATATTAAGTTAATTTAACAAAAGTAAAAGTGTTAATGTAAATACACCGGTCTCTGGAGTCAGTTCAACTACTGAAAGTTACTGTATTAACAATAGACATCAGGGATACTTGGTGTATTTTCCAGCATGTTGTTATCTGTATCCTGATATTAAGAAGAAAAGAAAAAGATAAATCTTGTCTCACAGTTATTATTTCTCTTCGTCACTGAAAACACTTTAAAGTAATTGAAAAATAAGCTGATTTTTTTCTTCTAAAGCAACATTCAGCTTATTTTGGTACAAGGATTAGGGGAGAGTGGGGTAAGTTGAGCCACTCCCTGTTGCTTATTGAGGAGATGGGCATCAATTCATGGAGTCTGTGAAGGTTAGAAGCACATGGGTGAAAAGGGTTAGACATTTATTTCCAAAAAAACATTTTCACTCTTGAAAGTGAATTTAGTCTGTCATAAGCTTTATTAGAATTGTGCTCAGACCAAAAAATCATTTTAAATTTGTTTTATAAATCAATTGTGGTATCTATGAGCTACAGAATGAGGTCAAGAACCTAGCATAAAAGTCCACCATTTTAACTTAGAGGACTAATAAAGTCATAATAGTAGTTCTGGGGTAAGTTGAGCCAGTGGCTCAGCTGAGAAAGTAAAGGAGTCTGATGAGAGGATCAGAGCTTCAGTTCAGATTGTTGAAATGTGTTACTCTTTTCAAAAATACAGCTGTGAATGTCCTGAATCACTTAAAGGCATTCTCATGTTAAAATGTTTTTTTACAAAACAGCTTTTCAGCAGTTATATGTAATAACAACAACAAGAATTACTGTACCAGTTGAATAGTGTATAATAGATAAAAATACACATGAATGTGAAGAAGTGACTGTTATTTAGGGAGAGAGAAGGTGAGGGAGGGCTGGGGTGGAGAGTGGGAGGGTAATAGGGATACGGCTCAACTTACCCCGCTCCTATGGTCAACTTACCCTGTCTATGGGGTAAGTTGACCATAGGAGACCACTTTTTTTGGCATGCTGTATTATCAAGACAGTTATGTTTACACTCATTCTGTTGGTCTGCAGGGATGCACAACATCTTGAAATGCAGATACACTAGTTCGAGACAAAACTATGATTGCCTTGATGAAGTGATATGAAATATTAAATATGGCTCATCTTACCCCACTCTCTCCTATATGTAAAAGTCAGTCAATGTACTAAAATTTTTGATGCAGTTATGCCAAATATTTTGTTGCAGTTTGGGTTGTCTGTCTCAAGTATGTGTCTTTGAGCTTTGAAAGTTTTAATAAATGATTTGGATCCATTACCAACAAAAAATAAATAGCTGATGAAAAACCTACAACTAAAATGAGTGTTTCTTTAGTTTTTTTTAACAGTAATTTCTAGTTAGATTTACACCAAAACATTATTTTTCTAAAGATTCACCAACTTAATTTTCACCAATTGTTCCACACCATTTTTGCTTCATTTAAACTTCCCTCTTGGCCCATCATTTCACAATTTCCACCTTTCTTTTCTAGTGCCCAAGAACTGTCTCAGGAGATCAAGTCCTTCATCAGTGGTATTGACACCATTCAAGGCCGGAAGCTCAGTGTCCGAGAACATGCTCGCTGTGCAGTGCGCCTGTTGCGCTCGGTCCCTGCCTGCCGAGGTGCAGTGCTGGAGCATTTAAGAGGTGTATATGATGAGCATGTCTCTGCCTTTCTGCACAACCTGGAGGCAGAGGCTGATTCCAGCTCCGGGGTCAGCTCAAACCTAGAGGACATCATTCAGGTGAAACTTACACAAGGACATATACAGAAATATCAAAAATTACCACTTTTGGTTTCCCAGTAACAAGGATTTGCTGCTTTTCTGTGGCTCTTGATGATAATGGTTCATATGTAACAGATCTAACCACCAATTGGGTAATTAAGATTGTCTTTATTACCTAGTTGTTGTCTTGCTGTCATTAGAAAAATACTAAATGTCAGGATTTGACTAAGTTATTCCTGTTTTCTTTCTGCAGGAGGTTCATGGTGTGCTATCAGAATTCATTCGACTCAATCCCCGGGCCTGGGCTCCTCTGGTATCCGCCTGGGCTGTGGACTTGTTGGGTCAGCTGAGCAGCAAACACACCGGCCGCAGGGTGGCTCCACATTCCTCCAGCCTCAATGAGCTGCTCCAACTATGGATGTCCTGTGCTGCCACCCGGTCCCTGATGGAGGCTTACTCCCAGTGTTTGGCTGCCATGTTGGCCTGGTGCCCAGATGCTTGTGTGGATGCGCTGCTGGACACCTCAGTTCAACACTCTCCACATTTTGACTGGGTGGTGGCTCATATTGGCTCTGCCTTTCCCGGGACTATCATCAGCCGAGTCTTGGCATGTGGACTCAAAGATTTCTGCTCTCATGGCACAAAGGACCAGGGGCTTACAGTGGTTGGAGTAGATAAAGGCAGCAGGGTCCCCAAAATTGGATCAGTAGTGGGAATCCTTGGACACCTTGCAGTGCACCACTCGGATAGTATCAGGAAGGAGCTGCTCAGGATGTTTCAGGAAAGCTTGAATCCATCCAGCCCTCTTTCTCCCACTTCATCCTCGACATCTTGGGAGAGTTCGCCACAACTCCGTCGAGCTGCGGTGCCGTTTCTACTGCAGCTGGCTGCCATGTCCCCAAACCTCTTTGGTGCTGTGTCAGCAGAACTGGTGGAGCTGCTACGCCCTCCTGTGCTGCTCCAGCTGCAGGCTTTACTACAGGGCCTCCCCAGAGAAGAGCTTGATAACATGCTTGGGCTGGCTGTTCACCTCATTAGCCAGAGTCCGTCAGGAGGGGCCAGGGTCCTCCGTTTTCTTGCTGACACAGCTACCCCAGCCTCTGTCATCATCTCTGGCCCTACACCCTCCCCTCATGAAAGAGTCAGAGAAGGTTGTGATCGCCTCCTCCAGATGCTGCTTATTCACCTTCACAAACTGGTCTTCAACCGCTCCGATGGAGGTGAAGTCAACCCTCATCATTCCGCCTCTTCTCAGCCCCAGAGAGTCATACCCTTCCTGGAGGAGCTGCAGTCTCACATAGGTGAGCTCTGTGCTGAGACCCTACGACTGGAGAGGAAGCGTCACCTCTGGCTGCACCAGTTGCTGTGTCTGCTGTCTGTTTATGGGGGCCCCAGCGTGGCTACCGAGGCCCTGTGCCAGCTGCTGACCCAAGCACGCAATCCAGAGGAGCTGGCTCTGGCCTGGCAACTCCACACCACGCTCTCTTCTTGCATGGCCGGCCTAATCCCCGCTGCTGTCGCTCGCTGTGTGGCCCAGATCCATACTCACACTCTAGGGCCCAGGCAGCTGAGGCAGCTGCTGCTTAACCTGGCAGCTGCCATCCAGAGTCAGGATGAGGAGAGAAGAGGAGCAGCTGCAGGTGTTCAGTGTTCCATGGCCATCCAGGTGGGCTCAGCCGTGTCAGGAAACCTCCATGATTTTGGCCCTCTCCTTCTCCACTGTGACCCAGCTGTATCTCACGCTGCTGTGCGCCTCCTGTCCTGTAGCCCGCTCCCTCGCACCTCCTCCCCAGCTCAACTGCTTTTGCTCTCCCGTGCTTCCGTCACTCATTTCTTTCTCGTGTTGCGGAGAAGAGGGGAGGTAGGAAAAGCGGGAAGGGATGGGGGACAGGCAGGTGAGGCGGTGACCTCTTCAGTCCTGCTCCTCTCCCGTTTGGCAGCGTATTCCCCGCTCACTCTTAAAGCCGTTCTTCAGCAGCTGGTTGAGGGGGCGCTTCATAAAGGCAATGCTGATCTGTTTGGAGGGCAGGCCACCGATATGTCTGGCGCTCCTATTACTGCACCATCTGTGTCCCCTGACCTTGGAGCCTCTCTGTTGGATATTAACTGTCGATTTGGTACCACAGTCAACTTTTCTGGCAGTGTGTGGTCAGTTTTTCATGCTGGAGTGATTGGCAAGGGGCTGAAGGTTCGCACTGCCAGACAGTTGCCTGATCCTTCTGGAGTCACTCAGGTGAGCTACACAGTTTTAGAATTGTAATTCAAAACAGACAGCAGTCCAAGCAATACATATACAGCAGAATTTATGTACATATAAATCTCTGTGTTTTTAAATACTAATTTTTATTGTGTTTAAAATTCAGCAGCAGAGAAGACATTAACATTGTTTTCGTTGTCATCTTCTCCACTCTGTAGAACATCCAGACTCTCCTGTCTGTCGTAGTCCAGTGTTGCAGCTCCTCTGGTCTCAATGGCTCCATCAATGGCTCAAGGCCATCATCTGACCCTGATGACCCACTGCCTATCAATGCAGAGGCAGCCAAAGTTGTGGCGGTTACACTGGTGGAAAACGTTTGTCCTGATGTTGCCAACAGTGAGCTCTCCTGGCCCCCAGAAGAACACGCCCGCACCACAGTGGAGCGAGACATCCACATTCGGCGTTGCTTTGAGGCCCACCCTGTCTTGTTCCCTCTTCTCCAGGTGGTAGCAGCTGGACGCCCGGCTCTCTGCTACTGCTCCGCTGTTCTCAGGGGCCTCCTTGCAACTTTGTTGGCCCACTGGGAGGCTTCCAGGGAGGTGTTGTCCACAGACTCCCCGTGGCATCTCCAGGCCTCCTGCCTCCTGGTGTCCTGCATGGGAGAGGGCCAGCTTCTGCCTCCTGTGCTGGCCAACGTCCATGAAGCTTTCCCTCACATCACTCCCTTCGAAGTGAGGCTGCTGCTTCTGGCCGTCTGGGAGTATGTGAGGGGTAACGGGCCCATGCCCCAGAAGTTCATCTTCAACTCAGAGAGGGGCCTGTTCTGCAGGGATTTCTCACGGGACGGTGATGTAGCAAGATATGTGGCTCCAATTCACAGTGTCCTGCATAAAAACATTGACAGATTGGGGCATCTGTGCTGGCGATTTCAGCTTTAAAAGGAAACTTTGGCCAGCAAGTGACAAACAGTAGAGATGGTAAAATAGAAAACTGTGTTAAATTGCTCCAAGAGTGGACTGTAAAGTTGCCATCACTGTGTGTTTAAGTTTAGTATACATTTTCCACCATATTTTTGGACATTGTCTCTAAATGATGCCATGTGGGTAAAAGATGAGGAGCCAAGAGAACTGGCATCCACATACAATACGTTCAGCCCACCTTTGCCTCACACAGAAACACCTTTTGTGTCATCTTGGTTAGAAAATGAAACATAATTCTTCTAAATCTTTTGATATTTGTGTTTTTTTTTTTCAGATTAGTTTTGTTGCCAAAAAATTGAGGTGAATTGTTTGTCACATGCACAAACTTCTGTTTCAACAATTTTACTGAATAAATCTTAGTTTTGTCTTTCAGATTAAGCATTGGTTGAGTGGTTACACTCATAGAAGGAATTTGTCTTTGTGAGCTGCAGTTTTTTTTTTATTTTTCACTTATGGAGTTTAAAATAAACTCAACTATTTCACATCATTACTCTACACATATCAGCACTACTATAGAGATAAATGAGCTAAATTTCAAATGTTTTTACACATAACTAGTGAGAGGCAAAAAGTTAAAAAAAAACTCTTAATAGTTGTTAACGTAGTTTACATTTGTTTTAACCACAGATACATGGTAGGCCTATGATATTCTGTAGGCTACCTGCAACGCCATACCACAAGCCAAAGTTTTACTTAGGCATGTAACCCCCAAAATAAGCTTATTTATTTCAGGTAGGGGAGAGTGGGGTAAGATGAGCCATTTTTCATATTTCGGATCACTACATCAAAGCAATCATAGTTTTGTCTCTAACTAGTGTATCTGCATATATTTCAAGATGTTGTGTATCCCTGCAAACCAACAGAATAAGTGTAAACATAACTGTCTTGATAATATAGCATTTCCCAGTTGAGCCACTGCATCAACTTACCCCAGAACTACTATTATGACTTTATTAGTCCTCTAAATTAAAATGGTGGACTTTTATGCTAGGTTTTTGACCGTATATTATAGCTCATAGATATCACAATTGATGAAAAAAGAGTCAATTTTTTTTTGTTCTTTTTGGAAATAAATGTTTAACTCCTTTAGCCATGTGCTTCTAACCTTCACAGACTCCATGAATTGATGGCCATCTGTTAAATATTTGGTCACATGATCAATTTCTTTTACCATTTCCAAGCAACAGGGAGTGGCTCAATTTACCCTTTGGCTCAACTTACCCTACTCTCTCCTACATGGTAGGCCTATGATATTCTGTAGGCTACCTGCAACGCTGTACCACAAGTCAAAGTTTTACTTTGGCTTGTAACCCCCCAAATAAGCTTGTTTATTCCGGCTACTTTCTCTACTTTGATAAGGCTTTAGTTAAAATTGATATTAGAGACTTCAGGAGATCAAAACACTATCAATCCCTCCATAACACTCGGCCCTTATAAATATATAAAATATATATGATAGTGATTCACTAAGCTGAATTAAAAGAAAGACGTCTGTTTTTCTGTAGACTCAGATTTAAATTCAAGTTTGATGTAATTCAGGTTGAAAACCATCTCCCTGCCCTCAAAGGTAATGTGTGCTTCTCTCACTGGAGCGTGGGGATGACGTGTCCATGCTTGAGAGGATAAATATTCATACATCATCCCTCGAGCATCTAACAGATAAGGAAATATTACACCATAAAATAAATAAAAAGATTATCTGATCAAAACTTGCAAAGATGTATATTTAAATTAAAAAAAAAACTATTTATTTCACCGTAACGAAACTGATTGCGTCAGTAACGTGAACTGTATATAGCCGAGAATCTTACTTTTTAACGATCTTTGTTGCGGAGTGAAATGGGCGGAGCCAAATGTGAGCATAATCAAGATGGCCACCTTCACTGAAAGGTAAGACAAAGCAGGTCCACTCTTTCATCGTAAATTAATATTTTTTTTGAAGCGTTATCAGTGCGTGAGTGGGTCGAGATTATTGTTGTGGTGGCACACTTAATAAACCGAGCAATTAGACTTCTTGTTTTGGGATTAATCGACCACCAGACCAGGAAGAATCATACTGGAAAAGTCCAGATCCACTCAATTGAATTAGCGGCTTGACAGTCTGCCTGTGATCAGCGAGGTTAGCAAGGTCTCCTCATCCACAGGGGGAATTTACCATGACACATCTGTCAGACAACAGGACGTAACCCCGCCTGTCAAAACTGAAGCATTAGGTTTATAAAAGGAGTAATTCATGCCTGTTATCTCACACTCTTTCACATTTCCAGTGAAATGCTACCCAAATTTAGCCCGCCGCATTAGCTGAGAAGTTAGCCGACTAATGCTATCTTTTGGCATCGATTCAAGCGGATCACATCACCCGGCGGTGACATAACTTCAAATAACGGAAATAAGTATTTACGTTCAGACTCAGTGCGTGGCAGAAGGTGAAGGTTTCACCCGTGTAAATAACATGGTTGTGTGTAGCTCAGTGTGTAGCTGCAGCAGGATGAGGAAACGGGAAATTGTGTCGCTGCTGCTTGTCTTTGGTTTGTCCTCTCACCGGTTTTCACCACCACAGACCGACCAAAGTCCGCTTTGTACATGTTTAACTCCAGTTTGCTCTCTGTATTTTCACCCAGGTCCTCCCTGTTACCTTTGATATACGACTAAAATCAAATAGCAGAATACTAACATTAGCTTTGAGCATCTAATCTCATGTTGTTTCTTTTGTTTCTCTTTAGGATGGCTCCTGTCTTGGTGCTCTGGCTGGCTGTTTGCCTCAGTGGGTCATGGGCAGTGGATAAAGGCAACTTTAAGACCTGTGACCAGAGTGCCTTCTGCAAGTGAGTATAAAAAGGGACATGGTACAATGACTACGAGTCCTGTCTTTTAACCCATCTCCACAAGTAAGAATCCTGGGTGTCATTTTTGACTCTGAGCTGACTTTTAGTCCACACATTAAGAACATAACAAAAATAGGTTTTTATCACCTAAAGAACATCGCCAGAGTCTGCCCCGTTCTCTCTTGGGCCAACACAGAGACACTAATGCATGCTTTTATCACTTATCGTATAGACTATTGTAATGCCCTGCTTTCTGGTCCTCCCAAAAATGATATTTCAGGTCTACAGTAGGCAAGCCCAAATTACACCGGTTTTAGAATCATTACGTTGGGTTCCTTTTACTTGTTTTTAAATGTCTTAATGGTCTTGGGCCTTCTTATCGTTCAGGACTGCTTTTACACTTTATAAATAAAGTTTGATTGATTGATTTACTCTAGGCTGGTTTTATAAAGAATAGCAAACCATTTTCAATGAATCACTGATGTCCACTTCACTTAAAACAGGCGCCAGCGAGCGTTGAAGCCCGGTGAGTCTCCATATCGAGCCCTGCTGGAGACTATGGAGCTGACCAATTCTAGGCTCACCCTGCAGCTCATCAATGACAACAACAAGGTAAATCAGGCACAGAGAAACGGCTCAAAAATGGGGAAATTTACAGGGACTGATGTCTTCACCTGTCTCCCCCTTTTCTCACGCCTCTTCTTCCATCTCAGGTGCGTTTGCTGCTGGAGCTTTACCGTCTCCAGGGGAACATGACAAGGGTGAAGATAAATGAGCTGAAGCCGCTGAAGCCTCGCTATGAGGTCCCAGACGTGCTCATCAGGGAGCCACCTACGGAGCCGTAAGTTTCCCAAGGGTACCAATGACTGTGTGGTGCAACTGGTTGGGTGGGTGTAGGTTTTGATACAGCAAAGCAGTCTTTACTTTTTCTATGTGTATTCTTTCCAAAATGTCAGGGTTTGATTCTTGATCTCTTCTTCCCTTCCTCTCTACCTCAGGTTGTCCCTCCTGTCTCAGGACGAGAACGGCGTGGTGCTGTCCCTGGGGGCCGAGTCTCAGAGGGTCATTGTCAGTGCCCGGCCCTTTAGATTGGACATCATGGAAGGCCGAGAAGTGCTGATGTCGCTGAACTCTCGCGGCCTGCTGGCCTTTGAGCACCTGAGGATGCGCAAGGACACGTGAGAAACCACGCATGCACACACACATTTAAAAAATGCCAGCCCTCTCTTTTTAATTCACATCCTCACTCAGTGGATGATTTCTGTTTTTGTTCCCATGAAATGGTTTGTTTTTTGAGTACTGTCTCTGACTCGTTGTTCTGTCCTCTTCTCCCTATCATCCTAGTTTCTCCTATAAAGTAACTAGCACAGTGGCTAGCGTGTGGGATAATGTCAAGAGGGTATTCTCTAGGTAAAGACTCTTAAGATTCGTAAGTGTGTATTCTGTCCCTTGTGCTAATGCTGCCAGTAGTGACAAAGATGTAGGGACTCCCATCACACAGAGTACAATATTTACCCTCAAATAAATGTGAGTGTGAGAGAGGAGTGTGGGTGAGTTTGTGCATGCTGGTGTTTAATTGAATCCAGATTGGAGGGGTCAGTAAAGCCCTTTATCATCCTCATTCTGTTGAAGGATCATTTAAACAATAAGCCACAGCCTCTAGTGCAGTATGTTGATTTTTTTGTCTTATTTCATGAAACAAAGAAAAATCATCCTGATCAAAAAAAAAAACTAAACCTGAATGATGTGGGTTCACCTGTCTCTACCGGTGATTTAACTCTGCTCTGCTCTCTGGTCAGATTGGTGTCCTTTTAACTTAATCAAGCACTTAGAGTATTTAGTCTGTCACTCCAGCAGATCTAACGCTGTGCCTGCATGACTAAACATGTATGTCAACCAGTTTATATGAACAGAGATTATTTCTTACCGCTAAAGTGGAAAAACAGAGCTGATCACAGCAGCCGTGGAGCAGGTGTAGATTGAAGACAAAAGCTCAACTTCTCTGTAGTAACACGTGTGTTTAGTCTGTGTCACACCACCGTTTGTTTTTCCTACCACTAGTTTCTTTTCTGCCGTTTGTTCTAAAGTGTAAAGCTGTGATTTCAGTATTGTAGACAAACGGCTCATGTAAGTTACGGTTAGGTTCCACATCTCTGTCTTTGTAGTTCTACTCTGGCACTAGCATTAATTGTAATTAATTCAAGCTAAATTTTAAGTTGAGTGGAATAGGAGTCTCAGCCTATAGACTGAGTTAATGACTTAGCCCAATAAAACGCTGTGTGAGTCTCCGAACTGTGAACACTGTTTGAAAACTGATGTTAAAAAATAAACTTGACGTCTTTCCACACTGAAAAAAAACAGGTCCTGGGTAGTGCTACTGTATTTGTTGAAGGACAGGCCTCAGAAGGAGAGGTTCCTCGTATGAAGTCACCCGAGTCATTGACGTTTATGGTTGACACTATTAAGTCAGAGAACAAGCAAAAACAACATATGCCCTTAACAATCCTCTGTACGCTACTCTTCATTACAGCTCAGAGCTAGTGGGTAGGGCTGGGCGATAAAGCGATAAGGATGTACATCGAAAATTAATTTCCCTCAATATCAACATGAAACGTGGTCAACATGCTTTTCAGTAGTCTGCATTCTGCCATGTTTTGATGCACCATACGAATAGCCAATGAAAAGGGAAGTGTCCACTTCATACTGAACCAATCATCTGCTGATTAGCACCTAGTAGCAAACAACTGTGTAGTAGCACGCTGCAGCTACATGCAACCAAAGCACCTTAGCAGCGCAACGTCTTAAGACAAAACGTCGAAGAGACACAAAGACCTCACAGATGCAGTAGCTGATTGTATTGTAAAAGACATGCTACCAGTAAGCACAGCTAAATTTCTTTTTTTACATTGCGATATATATCATAATCGACTGATATGGGAAAAAATATATTGGGATAGATTTTTTCCCATATCGCCCAGCCCTACTAGTGGGATATAGATGCATCAAAAGCTGCTAGCTTAAAATACCCAAACCTGCAGCATTGTGGGTAATGTTGCTAACAGCCTTTTAACATGGTAGAATAAAATTCATACTAAACAACAGACAATGTCTTTGGTTATGCTGCACTGATGTTTGTTACAACATGTATACTGCAGATCCTCTAGGTGCCGGTTGGATCTGCAAGAGGCCTTATGGGTGTTAGGTTGCGGCAGTCTCTAGAAACCCTGTCCCATGATGTCTTGCTTCAAATAGCCACACATTTGGGAGTTGCTTAGTCCCCTCTGCCATTAGACTGAAGTAATAGTGAACCACATACATTAGAGCATTGGTAGTTGTCATTGTTTAGTCAGGGGCATTCACCAACCTTCCCATTTGTGTCATTTTTGTTTTTATCATTGTGTGCTTATACTTACACCTGTATTTTGTCACTCATCACAAGTGAGCATGACTTTGTCAAAAGGGCACACCTTTTCTTTGTCTCACATCCCGTTCCTCATCTCTCCCTGTTCTCAATCTGTGGAGCAGTCAGGCAGACCCAGAGGGAGAGAAGAAAGAGGAGGCTGACCCAGCAAACCAGGCCGAGGTACAGCACTCTAAAATATTCCTTCTGTTTCCTATCTTTATATCCTAACTCTGTTTCCTTTTAATTAATTTACTGTCCTCCTGAATTGTGTGCCAGACAGCAGAAGAAAAGGAGGAAAAGGATGAAGACGGGATGTGGGAGGAAACATTTAAATCACACTCTGATAGCAAACCCAATGGTAAGTCTTACTCATACAGTATATCAAGTTCTTATTAATTTGACTATAATTACAGCTCTGGGTTTAGAGGAGTTTTGCTTCAGTTGGATTCCAAATATACACTACCGTTCAAAAGTTTGGGGTCACCCAAACAATTTTGTGTTTTCCATGAAAAGTCACACTTATTCACCACCATATGTTGTGAAATGAATAGAAAATAGAGTCAAGACATTGACAAGGTTAGAAATAATGATTTGGATTTGAAATAAAAAATTTTTTACATCAAACTTTGCTTTCGTCAAAGAATCCTCCATTTGCAGCAATTACAGCATTGCAGACCTTTGGCATTCTAGCTGTTAATTTGTTGAGGCAATCTGGAGAAATTGCACCCCACGCTTCCAGAAGCAGCTCCCACAAGTTGGATTGGTTGGATGGGCACTTCTTGCGTACCATACGGTCAAGCTGCTCCCACAACAGCTCAATGGGGTTCAGATCTGGTGACTGCGCTGGCCACTCCATTACCGATAGAATACCAGCTGCCTGCTTCAGCTCTAAATAGTTCTTGCACAATTTGGAGGTGTGTTTAGGGTCATTGTCCTGTTGTAGGATGAAATTGGCTCCAATCAAGCGCTGTCCACTGGGTATGGCATGGCGTTGCAAAATGGAGTGATAGCCTTCCTTATTCAGAATCCCTTTTACCCTGTACAAATCTCCCACCTTACCAGCACCAAAGCAACCCCAGACCATCACATTACCTCCACCATGCTTAACAGATGGCGTCAGGCATTCTTTCAGCATCTTTTCATTTGTTCTGCGTCTCACAAACGTTCTTCTTTGTGATCCAAACACCTCAAACTTGGATTCATCCGTCCACAACACTTTTTTCCAGTCTTCATCTGTCCAATGTCTGTGTTCTTTTGCCCATCTTAATCTTTTTCTTTTATTGGCCAGTCTCAGATATGGCTTTTTCTTTGCCACTCTGCCCTGAAGCCCAGAATCCCGCAGCCGCCTCTTCACTGTAGATGTTGACACTGGTGTTTTGCGGGTACTATTTAATGAAGATGCCAGTTGGGGACCTGTGAGACGTCTGTTTCTCAAACTAGAGACTCTAATGTACTTATCTTCTTGCTCAGTTGTGCAACGCGGCCTCCCACTTTTTTTTCTACTCTGGTTAGAGCCTGTTTGTGCTGTCCTCTGAAGGGAGTAGTACACACCGTTGTAGGAAATCTTCAATTTCTTAGCAATTTCTCGCATGGAATAGCCTTCATTTCTAAGAACAAGAATAGACTGTCGAGTTTCAGATGAATGTTTTTTTTTCTGGCCATTTTGAGCATTTAATTGACCCCACAAATGTGATGCTCCAGAAACTCAATCTGCTCAAAGGAAGGTCAGTTTAGTAGCTTCTGTAACGAGCTAAACTGTTTTCAGATGTGTGAACATGATTGCACAAGGGTTTTCTAATCATCAATTAGCCTTCTGAGCCAATGAGCAAACACATTGTACCATTAGAACACTGGAGTGATAGTTGCTTCAAATGGGCCTCTATACACCCATGTAGATATTGCACCAAAAACCAGACATTTGCAGCTAGAATAGTCATTTACCACATTAGCAATGTATAGAGTGTATTTCTTTAAAGTTAAGACTAGTTTAAAGTTATCTTCATTGAAAAGTACAGTGCTTTTCCTTCAAAAATAAGGACATTTCAATGTGACCCCAAACTTTTGAACGGTAGTGTAGATCTCACTTTCTATTATCAATGCAGCTAATGTTTGGTTATTTCAGGAATCATCTGCTCTATTCCTCAGTCTCATTTCCTCAAACTAATCGCTGGTGTTTGTCGCCTCACAGGTCCATCTGCTATTAGTTTAGACTTTTCATGGCCAGGTGTGGAGCATGTTTACGGCATTCCCGAACACGCAGACACTCTCAGACTCAAAACAACCGAGTGAGTATTGATGAAAAGATGATTGATATTTCTTTACACTTTTCCTTAAACCTGTTATGTTGGATTAATTTGAGCTTTTCTGTTTCAGCAATGGAGATCCTTATCGACTTTACAACCTGGATGTGTTCCAGTACGAGCTGGCTAACCCTATGGCTCTTTATGGCGCTGTCCCAGTCATGTTGGCTCATAATGCACAGCGGACCACAGGGATCTTCTGGTTAAATGCTGCTGAAACCTGGGTGGATATCAGCTCCAACACAGCTGGAAAGGTAGATCTCTCATCAGTCTTTGTGTTGTTGGGCCCTGATGTTAATCGAACAGCTTCACAAACCCTCTTTTGTCGTTCTCCAGACTGTGTTTGGGAAAATGCTGGATTATGTGCAGGGCTCCAGTGAGACCCCGCAGACTGATGTGCGCTGGATCTCTGAAAGTGGTATCATTGATGTCTTTATTATGCTCGGACCGACACCCAAAGATGTCTTCTCCCAGTATGCCTCCTTAACAGGTAGGGAGATAGATGATGGGTTCATATCTTTCTCTTATTCCTTCAGAGTTCAGAGACTTTCTAGTTGTTGTTTTTGTTTTGAAGAAAAATCTCTTTTGTCACCATTCTTTACAAAGACCTTCGTAGCATGGTTCAGTTATCAGTTTTAAGTAACACAAGTTTCACCCAATCACCACCCAGGCTAGAGTCAAGATAATGGTATTAAGTCATTCTCTTCGTGTTGCCCACAGGTACTCAGTCCTTTCCTCCCCTGGCTGCTCTCGGCTACCATCAGTGCCGGTGGAACTACAATGACCAGGAAGATGTGCAGACAGTGGATGCTGGCTTTGACGAGCATGACATCCCCTACGACTTTATCTGGCTTGACATTGAGCACACAGATGGCAAGCGCTACTTTACCTGGGATCCACACAAGTTTGCAACACCAAAGGAGATGCTGCAGGGTCTCGTGGACAAGAAACGCAAGGTAAAGATGAGGAGTTACGCAAGGAACCGCCATCTTTATGGGCTTTTCCACTGTTGAATTTTTCACTGTTTATTTTACCACCTTTCACCTCCCTTTACCTGTTTTCTCGGCGAGTTAGTTATGTGTTTTGTACAATTGTCTTTTACTCTCATAGATGGTGGCTATTGTGGACCCTCACATTAAAGTAGACAGCAACTACAAGATCCACAATGAAATCCGCTCCCGGGGTTACTATATCAAGAACAAAGATGGTGGAGACTATGAGGGCTGGTGCTGGCCTGGTAAGAAACTAAACACATGGACACAGACTTGATGGACTTTTTTTTTACGTTGTTCTTGAGTAAGACTTTTCAAATCTCCAATTCCTCTTTCTCCTTAAACTTGGTGACGTCTTTTAGGTAGTGCCGGCTATCCAGACTTCACCCGCGCAGACATGAGAGCCTGGTGGGCGAGCCAGTTTGCTTATGATCAGTATGAGGTGAGTGGTGGTTGCTTCTTAGTGAAAGAATACAAAAAAAATCATTCCTGTTTTTGCTGCGTACCAGCTTGCTAAATGATAACTATCAGTTGATTTGAGGGGAGATGCACAAGGTCGTATTTGTAACTTTTAGTGTCATCACACATTTCCACTTTCTCTGAAGACTATGACCCTTTAAAGGAGCTCTGTTTCTCAAAAAGGGACATTATCCATTTCCAAAAAGTCCCTGCTGGCCCTGGAGTGAAGGGTAGTTCCTTTTTTAAAGTGCAAAAACAGAAGTTGCTTTTTCACACATTTTCTTGCTTATTAGGCAAATCTCAAAGGCTCTGTTGACCATTTCGTTAGGACTAAATGGTCTTTTTTTCATGTGAACAGAGGTGGAAATAACTCTGATTGAAATGTATGGCCTCTGGGTGTATGAATTGTGCATATTAATTCAGTATAGAGCTTATTTTATATGGCTAGTGTGGACTTGAGACTCATATTCTGTATCTGTTCACCATCCAGGGCTCCATGGAGAACCTTTATACTTGGAATGACATGAATGAGCCCTCTGTCTTCAACGGGCCAGAGGTCACCATGCACAAGGATGCAGTGCATGGAGCCTGGGAGCACAGAGACGTGCACAACCTTTATGGTTTCTATGTGGTGGGTGTGCACAATCTGTCAGTGGCGTTGAGTGTGTTTGTTTAACTTTCAAGGCCTCAAATGTCTCTCAGTTATTAAATAGAAAGTATATATTTGCACAAAATCAGATGAGGTGTAAAGATATTCCCATTCCTCCAACTGTTGTCCTGTGTGCAACTTGCAGCAAATGGCCACAGCTGAGGGTCTCATCCAGAGGTCTGGTGGCGTTGAGCGTCCATTTGTGCTGACCAGAGCCTTCTTTGCTGGGTCCCAGCGCTACGGTGAGTCGACTACAGATTTAATTTTCACTTGACTTGCAGCTCCAGCATACTTAGTTGTTTCTATATAACTGTGTTGATTCCTTGAAACCCTCTACAGCTGCAGTATATGCATTTATTATACCCAGTGTAATTAATGAGTGTGTTGGTGTCTTAGGTGCTGTCTGGACTGGAGATAATGCTGCTGAGTGGGACCATCTGAAGATCTCCATCCCCATGTGTCTGAGCCTGAGTCTGGTGGGAATTTCTTTCTGTGGTGGTGAGTGTTCACAAGCTTCAGTCTGCTGATCCACAGAGAAGTTGTCTCACAGGTCAGCTAGAGTAACAAACCTAATTTCAAAGTGGCTCTTTTTTGGTTGAAAGTGCTTCTATTTTCAAAGATTTTATCACACCATGACCGTCCATTGGAGGTTTAACTCATAATGCTATGAAGGAGTAAAGATAAAGCTGTACTCTCTGTAGCAATATGTCTTATCAGCTACAAAAGTGAACCATATTTATGAGGTCAGGAGCTCTCTATATATTTGACTGTCAATCATTTAACAGATCTTCTTTCTCAAAGTTTTTTCTGCCCTTTTTAGACCCTTTTTTTTTACCTTTTAATGATGCATCATAAACCCTGTCAGGACTCTCATTAACATCTGAAATTGAGTGAAAAATCTGTTTCCTTGAAATAAATTGACTTGGAGACTTCCTGGAGGATTTGTGCTTGTTGTCATGGAAACATTCTGATTAACGCATGAAGTGTTACCATGGTGAGCACACAGGTTGCCAGGGCAATTTTGGTGTGGTTATGTGTATCAGTGTGAGGCTCCTCTCCCTGATCAGATTTACATTATTTCCCCACAATCTCTGAAAAACAGAAACTCTATGGAGATGTCATGAAGAGCTGCTTTTTTTTCCCACCATGACATAATGTTTATAACAGACCATCCAGACCTGACACTAACTCTGATCTCATCCGTCTCTTAGCTGACGTTGGAGGTTTCTTCAAGTCTCCCAGCACCGAGCTGTTGGTGCGTTGGTACCAGACGGGAGCTTACCAGCCATTCTTCAGGGCTCATGCTCATCTGGACACACCTCGCCGCGAGCCCTGGCTGTTTGGCCCAGAGAATACTGCACTAATCCGCGAGGCTGTGCGTCAGCGTTACACCCTTATGCCCTACTGGTACCAGCAGTTCTACAACACACACCACACTGGGGAGCCTGTTATGAGGTGAGGATGGACAGAGTTTGTCTCTGACGTGAATTCAGTTCAATCCATTAAACACAGGCCTGAATGTCTCCCTGTTCTGAACTAAAGACATGATAAACATTTAAAATGGGACTAGAGTACATAGAGTGACATACAGGGAAGAGGATGCAGGCTGGAGTTAAGTCCTGGCTGTCTGCTTAAGGCATAACCTTCATGTACTGGGTGCCTGCTTAGACCACTAGGACAACATGGCCCCAGACTTTTAATACTAATCTATTATTTTTAAATAAGAGGTAATGGCTGAGTCATTGTCATAGGAAAAATATACACATGATGATCTAACAAGTTTGTGCTTGTTTCAAGATAAACAGTGTCTTAATATGACATAATTCCACTTTGCTGCTGTATACTGTGTTACAGAGATTCACATTATTTCTGAGTAGAAACGTCTGTAATGTCCAAGTGCACAAATACTCTCACTGTGGTCTACTTGAATTCACTGCAGGTTTGTATGATGTTTTGATGCACATGCACCTTATTATTTTGCTTACATGTTCTTATTCATCGCAGACCACTCTGGGTGGAGTATCCTCAGGATTCGGCTACTTTTGCTCTTGAAGATGAGTTCTTGATCGGTGAGTCTGAAACTTAAATGTTGAACTTTTCCTTGTGTGAACAGATTCATTGAGATCTGTTTCTGAATAATGTTGGTCATTTCCTTCAAGGAAGGTCAAAGTTGGTGCTTTCTTCTTCTTCAATGAAATACAGCTCCCTCATCTAAATACGAGCACTTCCATTATTAAACTTTCCCATGGTTGTTACGTCAATATGAAATATGTTTCTCACAGTGTTGGATGGTATAAAAACTTAAAATCAAACGTTACAACATGACAGACTTGACAAAAAAAAAAAGTCTGATTTACTGAGATTGTGCAACTTTTCTGCAGGGAGAGACTTGTTGGTACATCCAGTTACTGAGGAGGGAGCGAGGGGAGTCACTGCATACCTGCCTGGCAAAGATGAGGTAAGAGGACGCTGCACAGAGCCTTGAACACACCTTATAAATTCAGTCGAAAAAGGGGCTTTAACTGGACATTAGGACATGTATACAGAGTTAGGTGTCCTCTGACCTAAAGAGATCTCTGAACCTTTTGTGTGTTCCTCAGGTTTGGTTTGATGTCCACACCTTCCAGAAGCACAATGGGGCCCAGAACCTTTACATCCCCGTCACCATGAGCTCCGTAAGATACACATGCTAATTCAGCCCTAAGCAGTTTTTATATGTCTTTTTCTCTCACTGGATCTAATACGGAGCTTCTTGGATTCTGTACAGATCCCGGTGTTCCAGCGAGGTGGTTCCATTATTCCCAGGAAGCTCCGAGTTCGCCGGTCCTCCACCTGCATGGAACATGATCCCTACACCTTACATGTGGCTCTTAACCCGCAGGTAACTTCAGTGTTAAAAATCTCTGATGACAGCTGCTAGACAGTCATGTCATCCACTGCAAAGCAGACAGGCTTGTATTTGTCCTCGATGCAAATCCTAGTACTAATTGCTTTGACCTTTTGTCTGGCAGAGAACTGCAGTGGGCGAGCTCTACATCGATGATGGCCACACCTTCAACTATGAGAAGAAGGAGTTCATCCACAGAAGGCTTTCTTTTGCCAACAACATCCTCTCTTCTGTGTGAGTGATGAATTTCATGTGTATTTAAATGCAGAGGACCTGCTTGTTTAGGCTAAATATCTGCCTCCAGGTATATTTCTTGTCAGAGAGATATAATCATAAAGAGATCACAAAGCACCATCATGTATTAATCCATGTTTTACTCGGTTCACAGTAACCTGGCTCCAGATGCTCAGTTTTCCACCCGCTCCTGGATTGAACGGATCGTCATACTGGGAGCCAGCAAGCCCAGCAAAGTCACCTTGAATACTGCTGGTGAGTCATTGAACAGCAATTCTTTCACACGTTCATTGTGACAGACTGATTTTTAAAAAAAGAAAAAAAGGTAGAGTCTGAATGTTAAAATGGCCTCTAGCTAGTTCACACTAGGCAGCTCAGCAGGTTTTGTACCATTTTGTTTCAAGACATTATGATCAATAAGAGTGGCCCTTTAGCTGAATGCAGGCAAACATGATTGTAAAGTTGCCTGTTCGTTTGTACATCTGCTGCCAAAAACCAAACTTCCTAAAAGTCTAGAAACTCACAGTAAAGCTTTTCAAATCTTTTCACTGGTTTCCTGCTTTAATACTTAAGTTACAATACAAATTTGGCACCAGAGAAAATCTTGGTGCAGCTTGGAAACAGCAGACTTTGTAGAGAATCAGGGGGATAAACAACAGTAATGTGAAACAGGTTTTGTTTTTCTCAATCTCTGACACTGTCTCTCTTTCTGTTTTGCAGATGGCAAGGAGAGCCAGGTGGAGTTTGAGTTTGACGCCTCCATGTCTGTGTTGACCCTTCGGAAGCCCGGTATGAACGCAGGAGAGGACTGGAGAGTGACCCTTCAGTAACGATGGAGACAGAGGATGAGAAGGAGGAGGAGAAAATGACTGAACTGGGCTGAACGGGAGAGAATGGAGATGTGGCGCCGAAACTGACAACTAACTAAAAGCAAGACAGCAGAATAGCGAACATGGAAAATAAAGAACATGAGCACACAAACACACAGACACACACACACAAACACACACACACTGGTAGAGTTTCAAACCATTCACAAACCATGTAGACCCATAGTAGAACTGAGCCATGTAATGCCTCTGCCATTTCCCTTTTGTGTTCAGTCACACTGTGATACTTCAGAGGAAAGGTTACTGCTAGAAAATATGTTTGTCCCATTTTAAAAGACAACTAAGCAACTCAAATCATGTCATAGTAATGAATCTTTGGGCTTTTGAAAGAAAACATTAGGGCACTTGTTTTTGTTCCTTTTTTTTTTTGTTAATTGTTTACTTTGTCGTCTGCTGCAAAGACACTGTCCGAGGCTTGTTGCTGCTTAAAATGAAGGTTCACATTCAAAGCACCTGCTCCACCTGCTGGTGATTCCCCGTGCCTGATTCTGACTCGTCCATCTTCAAAAATATTCATTCCATTACCTTTCAAAGCCAAGCACTTCAATCATGTTGACCTCATCCCTCTTTTTCTCATGCCACATTTCACATATTTAAAGGTGGGGGGGTTGCCAACAATCAGCTGTGTGGCTCTAAAAAGCGATTACTTGAATCACCCTGAAGCCAGAAATGATCATTCATTCTCATGCCATTCCTTTCCACTTTATTCTTCTTTAGCTTTTCTTTGAATTTCTAAATAAATTGTGAGCAAGGAGAGGAGTCATCATTGCTTCACTGTGGAAGTGATGAAGGTGTTGAACTGCTTCACAGAGGGAGGATTTTCGGCTGTTTGAACTAAGTTGGCAGTGGGAATCACATCAGGGGGCGAACCACTGATGTTTGTGGATCATCCTGTTGACGTGTGTTCTTTGTTTTATCGAGTTCTTTTCCCAACATAGTTTACTAGGTTATTTTTAATGCACTTGAGGAAGATAGAGGATTTAAAAGTTGTTTAGATTTTCATGTGTTAGTAGATGTATAAACAGAGCAGGATTTCCAGTTTTTCATTTGATCTTACAGAGGAGGCTACATCTACCCCTTGAGAAGTGCTTCATGATTAAACATAATTTCAGGTTTTAAATGAATGCCCACTGAACAACCACAAATGTTGAAATGATTCTCCGGAGACTCTGCATTGTGTCCTGTCCAGTCAAATAATCGGACCTTTTAGGGGTTCTGTTTTTCTATGAGTTTGTCTCCTTGATTGTTTTTATGATCATTAATGTACATGTTGCTGCAGTTTTGTTGATGATGGCTTAATGGAGGAAACGGAAGTGAAGGAACAAACTTGGGTGGTGAATCATAGTTGTCAGATGTACTCAAAAAGATGAGACCAAGTGAAAATAAAGTTGACCAAATTAAAATAAGTCCTCAAGAGAATTATTTCATTTTCATATTCCTGGATTTCATTGAAGTCATATTGACGTTAAGATAATATTCATACTTGTTGTGCTTTATCTAAATTCAGAAAGCAACTTTGGTTTTAAAAAAGGATATTTTCACTTAAAAGATGATGGCAAAGTCTTTTTCATTTGTAATCCAAAAATTGCACATACCTGTAGTTAGCATATGTTAAAAGGTAAATAAAGTCAAAAACAACTATTTGTCATCTTTTATTGAATAAAAAATTTAAATGGGTGAGGTAGTTGTTTCCTTAAAATCTCTGATCATAACTTGTTCTGTTGTAACCATTGGTGATGTTGAAATACATTGTTGATCCTCTGTGAAGTCATTCTAGATTAATTTGGGAAGCAGTTAATTGACTAAAATCACAGCAAAATTTTTAAGAGGTGGTATTCAAGACTACTTTTTTCATAATTAAAAAAAAATGTAGTTAAAATTTTGGATGTACATACTTGCCAAGGGCAAGGACAGGTTCCTCTGAACAAGTCACTCAATAATTCAATGAGATCAATTCCAGGTTTGCCAAAATCGTGACATTTCTGGTAGGCATTTCCCTCTAAAATTTGTCAAAATAAAAAGACAAAAATTACTGTTGCACGGCAACAGTGAATTGGGCTCCCACAATGCTGGGTTCTGGGATGTTGGGGGGCCTTAAAGACATAGTAGTTAAAATTAGGCATTTCAGACAGATGCCAAAATTACTGGTGAAGACACCAGGCTGAGACAAGTAGAGTAGTCTTTGGGCTGTAAATCGTTTTAAGTTCTACAAAGCCACCAGAGGTAGAGTATACAGCTGAAAATATGCGCATAATACCAACTTTTTAATGAGAGGGGATTATTATTTATGCTATCTTTTCTGGCTGTATGTTCTGATAGCAATACTTCTGAAAGCTTCTTACCCACTTTACATGATTTACAACTTGACATATTTCAAAGTCTGTCTGAGACTCTTCAACTCTTCTTTAACCCTAGAACACTATTGCCGGGTGATTTTCACCTGACCACACATGTTTACGTGATTTTCATTATATTGCATTTGTCTGAGTATCATGGGTCTCTAGGTAGCTTCAGCATTGCATTTGACATCTTTAAAGGCCTATTTGTTTCTCTGATCCAAAACCCACTACAGGCACGTGTTTGGGTGATTTTCACCCGGCAATAGTGATAGAGGGTAAAGTAGGTTTGGGTGGATTTGATAGCTGCATGTAGGCGAATAAGATCGGTAAAAGTGGTCCTGGAATTTGCATGCTATCTTTATTTAGCGCAGTGTTTATGAATAACTATCACAAATGAGTGATTTTAAAGGGAATTCATGGTCATGAGAAGTGTTTTAGTCAGCTCGTCATTTTTACTCACTGAAAATGTGCCATATTTTGACCCTAACAAATGTTAATATATGTTGTTGTTATATGGTAAATATGGTTAAAATATAATACAAATGTTAATATATATTGTTCATGGAGACCTAATTTCAGTTATTTTGTTGCATTTTTATATAGTCCCCTGATGGCACTTTTTTCTTCCCTTAGGAAATTGCACAGTTGAAACTAAATGACAAGTACTTTAATTTGTAATGTATTGTCCTGTTTTGATATATTTTGATGACAAGTACTTTTCTCGGGTATATTATTTCAGGTAAAAATCACCCAGCGATAGTGACGGTGTTACTAATTTTAGCGATAGTGTTCTGGGGTTAAGGCCACTATCCCTTTCTGGAAGCCTCCTTCATAGTTGTCACGCAAAACGTGGTGTTTCTGTAAAATGTAAAATGACATTTTTTCCTCTATATGGAGATTCATAGACGTCACCTTTAAAGCAAATTTCATATTGACCCTCCTGAATTTTCGTGTGACCTTCTGAGCAAGCCACTGAGAGTTCAGCGCACCCTGGAGTTCATCTGGGGCACGTATTAACTTTACAATCAGAAACTTTGCTCATATTTTTTTCCTTTTTTATTTCATTTTATTTTTGGTTAAAAAAATGTTAACGTTTTTTCAAAGAAAGAAAAAAAAATAAACTATATTAAAACAACCAACAAAAACATTCTCGTCGCTTTATGATGACGTAGAGAGACGTTGTCAGTTATGGCGGCGGAGGGCTGTGAGGAGATGAGCGGCAATGGGGAGCTCACAGAGTCCTCAGGTAGTCAAATCAGCATGAATTAATATGTGTGTGATTTTTTCCGACCCGGGGAAATTGCTTTGACCTTGTTTCATTTGCAAGAATTCGTAATGTACGTTAAAACTTGAACCGTTTGAACGACAAACATGATAGGCTAGGCTAACGTGGTTTGCATGCACCACGGAGAAGCACAGAGATGTCCTAATTATCTTAGATTAACTTGTCTTATTTAACATAATAGTATGGGCTTCTCAGCGTGTTCACCCAGAGTTATGTCTGTTTTATATAAACCACTGAAAGGCATTTAAATATCCTCATTGCACGTAGCTTTTATTAGAATAATAACTATGAATTTGATCTATGGACTAGAGGCGCTTTAACCATGAAAGGATAAACAGTCTTTGGTGTTTGTAGGATGTTTTTGTGACTGTCACACATATGGAAAGTAGTTGTCGTTGTTGGAAAACCTGTGGGCTGTTTCCCACGCGTCTGTCTGGGAAGTAACTTTGACAGTTTTTAACCCTTTACATATCCTATAAGTTATTTGCGTTTCCCAAGTAGCCTTACAGGTACCCTCAGCCGACAATGTTTACTCACAGTTTGAATGAATGAGTAAATGAAAGAATGGATGAATGAATGGTTGGTTGGTTGGTTTCTTGGTTTGTTTCTTGGTTAGTTGGTTGGTTGGTTTCTTGGTTTGTTTCTTGGTTAGTTGGTTGGTTGGTCGGTTGGTTACTTGATTTCTTGGTTTCTTGGTTGGTTTCTTTCATTTTTGGTTGGTTGGTTGGTTGATTTCATGGTTGGTTTCTTGGTTAGTTGGTTTCTTTCTTTCTTGGTTGGTTTCTTACTTTCTTTCTTGGTTGGTTTCTTACTTCCTTTCTTGGTTGGTTTCTCGGTTTCTTTCATCTATTTTGGTATAATATGACCGAAAGATTATCAACACTTCAACATATATTCACTCTTCAAATCAGATAGAGTATTGAACATGCTTTACACTTTACATTAATAATCATTCATTGTTTTCTCTACAATATTGACAAATAACATTATTCTTGTCAAGTCTCATATAGCTTACCAGAGTACTAAATTTTCTAATTTCTACCAGACAGTCGTTCCATATTTTCCCCCCTTTTACAGACACACATAAATACTTGCCATTGTTTGCGCTTTTGGTTTCTCAAATAACACACAGCCTTTTAGGTTGTAAATAGAGTCCCTTAGTTTAAACAGGTTCTGGACATGTTGCAGTACGGCTAGGTTTTTGGCTTTGTACATGATTCTATTGTGATGTAATCTACTAGATCTTTGAATTTTAAAAAATTTGAGGAAGTAAATAGGGGATGAGTTGATTCATGGTAATGTTTATTGCAGATGACTCTTGCGGCTCGCTTTTGTGAAAGAAATATTGGGTTTGTATTTGTTTTTTTTTTAAATTAAAAAGAGAGTTTTTTTTTTCTTTTTCTGTACTTTTCCCTCACACCTTTATCATTTACAAAGTAACAGGAGTTAACTGGAATACTCAAGTATATTTGTTTCTTTTAAGCCATGGAGGCTTCTGAGGTTCCTATGCCGCCACCAACTGAGATGGATGAGACATCAGAAGAAAATGGAAGAGCACCGGAGCCCCTAGAAGGTCCTGACCCCGCTTCCTTCTCCATGCCCCAAACACTGGAGGATGAGGAGGGAGAACTGCCTGCAGATTTCGAGCGCCTGTGGAAGGCCGCCCACGACAATCCTCAAGATTTCACCAGCTGGACTGACCTTCTACAGTACTGTGAGCAAGAGGTGTGTGCTGGCCAATTTTACTAGAAATAAATGCCATTTCCAGGCCACATTTGGTGTGGTAGCTTGCAATGGGTGCATGAGACATTCAGACTCTTATTTTCTCTCATTTTTAAGAGTCATATCACAGCATCACGCAGAGCACTTGAGGCCTTCCTTGCCCGTTATCCGCTCTGCTACGGCTATTGGAAGAAATTTGCAGATCTGGAACGGCGTGCTGGTAACAACCAAAAAGCAGAGGAGGTAAAACTGAAGAGAGAGTCTATAATTATTCTTTCTCTATATCCTTAACCTATTAGAAATAAGTGTATCAAGACGTATTTTTATATCATTTTTTTGTGCAGTAATGTTCATGATTTTGATGTTGTGTGTTAGGTGTGTGTACAGGGCCTCCAGGTAATCCCTTTGAGTGTAGATTTGTGGATCCATTACATCAACTTGCTGCTAGGAACACTGGACATGAACCTGTCTGAGTCACCTGTACGGATTCGGAGGTAGATAAGCAATCTCAGCTGTGTTTTTGTACCTTCTGTGGAGTCATATATCACAAGATATCTTAATAATTTAGGAAAATATCTCACAACAAAAGTAAATAAGTAAGTATTGGTGAATTTGGTGAATCAAGTATTTTCCAATCTCAACTTTTAGTGTGTTTGAAGATGCAGTGGCAGCAGCAGGTCTGGACTTTCACTCAGATAGGCTTTGGGATCTTTACATTGAGTGGGAGAAAGAGCAGGGGAACATGAAGAACGCTGCAGCTGTCCTCGACAGAGTCCTCAAAGTCCCTACTCAGCTCTACAATACTCACTATGACAAGTAAGACTACAAATGCTGACATTCTTCATTTTTCTTTTTAGATTCATAAACTATTGTCATTACATCTATCTTTTCAGAAATAACCATATCTTGCATTTTCCTCCTTCTTATCTTTGCTCTCTCCTAGATTCAAGGAACACCTGAACAGCCTTGAGCCCAAAGAGTTGCTTTCCCAGGAGGAGTACGAGGAGCTGAGGACATCTTGCCGTCAGAGCCAGAAAGCAGAGCGTGCTGAACAAGCTCAGGAGGACGAGGCAGAGAGACCGCCGGGGGAGGAAGAGCCAGCCACACCTGAGGGCACAGACACAGTGAGTAACATCAAGCTGGCTGAAAATTTGTAAATGTTTATTTATGGGATACAAATCAAAAATGCAGAGAAAGTGATGATTGTTCTTGTGCATAGGAGGAACTGATGCAGAAGATTCGGGAACAAGTGCTGGTTCTGAGAGACAAAGTGTACCAGGACAATGAAGGAGAAGTCCGAAAAAGATGGCACTATGAAGATTCAGTGAGTTTTTCTGACTTTCCCACCCTTTTCTTAGCTTTTATTTTTGAGAATTGTTTTTGATTTGCATTTTCAAGAATCTGCTTTTTTAATAAAAAAAAAAACATACAGCTTGACTAACTAGACCCCTCTGAACCTGAATCCTCAAGTCTTCAATATTTCTGCTCGACAAAAGCAAAATATGACTTGTACTGTTCTATTTCAGTCTGATGCATCCTTTTTATTTTACTCTTTATGTAACTTCACTACTTTAGTCCCAAGGAACTGATTTCTCCATTTATGGTCTACAGATCAAACGTCCCTACTTCCATGTCAAGCCACTAGACCGCCTCCAGCTGCGGTCCTGGCACTCCTACCTGGACTGGGAGATCTCTCAGCTGAACAAGGACACAAAAGACCACAGCCTAGGTGACCATATAATCAAGATACTGTTAGCTATCATACATTATCAGAGATACTTTAGACCCCAAAAAGAGACCGCAGTTTGACATTGTTTTCTCCTTCCAGATCCAAATGAGACAGCTACAGAGGGGTCAGAGGTTGCAGCCCTGCCGCAGGAGCAGTCAGAGGATTCTGGGGTTGCTTCTGACGACCACAGAGTTCGTATCCTCTTTGAGCGCTGCCTGATTGCCTGTGCCCTGTATGAAGAGTTCTGGACCAGGGTAAGGAGAGGAGTGTGTGTGAGCCATGTAACAGTCAGTAAACAAAGCGCAGTGACATTTAGGTTCCTGATAATGTTCCTTGTCTGTTTATCTTGTCTTTGTGGTTTAGTACGCTCAGTATCTGGAGGCTCAGAGTGTGGATGAGGCGCGGGCTATTTACAAACGAGCCTGTGAGGTCCACCTGACAAACAAACCCAACATCCACATGCAGTGGGCCACCTTCGAGGAGAGGCATGGTATGACAACAAGAAGACACACTGACTGTATAATCCCAGATTTGTTACTTTTCCCTCGAATGAAATCTCAAATGTCTTTAGTGAGTCCTACCTTGTGTTGTTGGGATGATCCAAAGTTAAATATCACCAATGATGTAAATGTCAACAGACCAAGTGAAAAACAATGTTGTTCAAAAGGGAGAGTGCTTTTTAACTTGTCACCAGTGATGCTGATCCCCATATAATGATTAAAGTTCAAACACCTCACTGCAAAGACACCCAAGACAAGAAAACTGTTCTAGACTCTTGTTTTCTTTCTTTTATTTTGTATCCACTACACTCATGAAAACTCTCACATCTTCTCCACCAGGTGAACTATCAGAGGCTCGGCGAGTGCTGGAGGCTCTAGAGAAAACTCTGCCTGGGTTGGCAGTGGTCCGTCTTCGACGGGCAGCTTTGGAGAGGCGAGCAGGTCAGCTGGACCAATCAGAGGCCTTACTGCAGGAAGCAGTAGCCGAGTCCAAAGACAAGCCCACGTTACATGCTTTCTACTCAATCAAGCTGGCTCGTCTGCTGCTGAAGGTTGGCAGGGACCCCAGGAGAGCCCGCAGAATTTTACAGGAGGCGCTGGAGATCAGTCCAGTGAGTCACTGACACACAGAAATGTTCACTTTATTAATGGAATAGTTTGCCCCTTCATTTAACTGTCTCTATTTTGCATCTTCCTCTCGATCAGTACCGTGTTACATTTGTTTATTGCATATGTTGCAGACTCATTCATGCATTTACCACCATGCTTGCAACTGAGGTAGACAAGCAAGACTTAAAGCACACTCTATCTTTAGAACTTAACTTCTATCTCTTCCCTCCTTCCACCTCAGGACAATGATAAGCTGCATCTGAACCTGTTAGAGCTGGAAGTATCTGGGGACCCCTGGGCCTCATCTGAGGCGGTGCAGGAGTGTGTGACCCGAGCCCTGGCAGCTCCCCTAGCCCCACACACCAAAATCCTCCTCTCACAGAGAGGCCTGCAGTTTGCCGAGGACTATAGCAACTCTATCCAGAGGTCAGGAGCTCTTTGATTGGTCATATTCAAGGTACCCTATAAACCCTTCATCACCTGATTGCTTTATTTGTCCCATGACTATTCTCTGCAGTGTGCTGTCCGTGTATGAAGAGCACCAGAAACTTCTGAAAGAGCTGGGTGGAACAAAGAGAGAAGCAGAGAATGGGTGAGAGTGGAGATTAAACTGATTAAACTGATTCAAAGAAAAAAAAATTTAAGAAAACATTGAAGTGCTGTGTGTTTTCTTTGATCTCCTTTACTGTTAAGGGATATGGCATCATTAGATAAAACAAATTAATGTTTCCATTTCCTCAAATATGTCCTTTGTTGACTCACTAAACTGGAGTATATGTTCCAGCTGGACTGCAAACCTGCTGTGTAACATGAGAAAAACTCTGTGTGTGTGCTGTGTTTTTCTTTGATCAATAATAATGACTGATTTGTCTCTTAGGGATGAGGACCCAGAGAAGCTGAGCAAAAGTGAAGATGGCTCTGCTGTTGCTGTATCTGAACAAGTTCCACCCACCATGCCACATGTTCCCATCACCACGCCTCCTCCTCCTGTAATGGGTGCTGATGTGAGTGCACAGACGGGTTATGGAGGATATGGCAGCTGGTACCAGGTAGGTCACGAGATGTAACTGGTGACGGCTACATTACAATCCAACAATAATTTTGATTCTTCTGCATCTTCAAGAATTAAACTGAATTTAAACAGATGTTAAGCCTTAGGTAATATTTGAGGTGATGGTTTTAACTTGTTGCTTTTTATTTCTATTTCAGCAACCACAATACGGCAGCTATGGTTACCAGAACACCTGGAACTACAACCAAGGCTATTATCCTCCCAGCTAAAACAGCGGACAGTACATGACTCCAAAAAAAGTCACAGGAAGCAGTTTGACCCAAAAAGACTTTTCAGCCAAGTATCAAACTGAGTTTTCCAGTCCTGCAGGCCCATCTTCTGAAAACATTACCATCTGAGCATCCTGCCCACTTCGTCCTTCCTCTGAGTAGCCTCACTGTCCTGGATTTTTTTTAAATAAGGGACTACTGGAGTCAAGCTCTTTTATCACATGGTGTCATTTTCAGTGTTGCCTCTGATTGACAGGTTTTAAGATGATGAAAGGACATGTTGACACCCATGCTCAGCACATCAGCATGTCTCCATTTCAATTGGAACTATTTTTGTATCTTTTTTTTTTGTTTGCTCCACATTTAAGGCATCCAGTTTTATCAAACTTGACAGATGATGTACGATTGACATTTTGTACCATTCCAGAGTAGGATATTTGTCGTCTTTTTCTAATGTATATAAAGGTGTTTTATAGTGTGTCACAACTTATCCGCCGTGTTTGTGTTGTTTGCTCACACTTTGACCAAAGCTCCTAGAGTCCAGTCTATTTTTAGTTGCTCTGTCGTTTTCTCTCCTGCATTTTCATTCAACCAAAACAGGAAAATAAAAAGTCAGGATTAGCTTTTTGTTAAATAAATTAATTTTTTCCACCTTTTTTCACTGATGAATAAAAAATACAGAAGAACTTATTATTATATTATAGGACTTAAAGAAAAAGTCCACCATTGTAATTCTGAGTCAGATTTATTTTAAGTAGATTCACTGTGATAATGCAGACAACTGTCAATATATTTCAACTTATAAAAATGGCAAAGAATGTCACAAAATCAGGAAGAGCGGAACCATTTCAGTACATCTTGTGTGGTACTTTTCTATTTAAGCATCAGGATAAAATTGAATTCTTCTGTTCTGTATTGTTTTCATAAATGTATCATAGTAACCATCTGAAGCATCTGTATAGATAGGAGTCCCTCACCATCACTGCACACAAACCCATCCTTCCACCAAATCTTTTCACAATTCGAGAAACCTCTGTTCTAAAAAAGTTATTTCAGATTTGACCGCAGCCTCCTGCTAAATTCCACCGCTTCAATTCAGCTAGTTTGCTCATTGAGTGAAACTTAAAGGTAGTGACTCTGTTCCAGGTTGAGTCTATTGTCCTGTGTCTCTTGTGTTGATGCTGTGGAGGGTGAGGGGGTGAGGTAGGCTCAAAGAGCAGGTCATCCTGTTCTCACTTTTTGGTAACGACCAGCACAGCCGAAGGCACCAAACCTGCAAAACCAACGAGAGGTCTGATACAGGCTGAACATGTTTGTGCTTCAGGTCCACATTAAAGACACTACATTAAACTCACCCAGTTCTTTTAGAGGCTTCTCCATGTCCATTTCAGTGTAGATGTGACGAGGGTAGGGTGACAGCAGCGTGAAGTCTTGACCCTCAGGTGTGTTGCTGTTCATCTGAATGTAGACACGCACAGCTGCCAGAGGCTCTTGAGCCTTGAAGACTGTTGTGATGGTGGAGCCGTCAAGCAGCCGAACCTTAGAGCAAAAACACAGTACAAAAATATCTGCTGATGAATAATGAATAAACAGTATATTAGCACAAAAATTACGAGAGGTCAGCCTGTGCCATTTAAAAACTATTTACATGATTAAAAATTGAACCAGCTCTTTTGGCTCCTAATGGCTCTCCTTTGTAACAGTTTCACTTTTATCAATTCGGCCATTTGTAGAAATCTTTAGAGTATGATTGATGTGTGTAGTAGTGTGACCAGCAGTATGTAGGAGTAGACAAATCCAATACCTGTATCCTAGACTCATCATACTCCTTCTTGGTGGGTGGAGGGCCGTGACTGGTGGGGGATGAAGGGCTGGGCTCGACAGGCTGCGACGATGTTGCCGCACTTGGTCCTCCACCACCTCCGAACTTGACCGATTAAAATGACAAACAAACAAGCAAATGACTGCGTAAGTTTTTGGTTCAATAAGAAGTGCTGACATTGAAGTAAAGAGGGGGAAAAAAGGACAAAGCTCTTTGTTTGGATTACCTTTTGTGCTCTCTCCTCTCTGTCCCGTGCAATCTTTTCTTTAACTCTCTGTCTAAAAGGCAGAAAAAAAAACATCAACACAAGAGAGTCACACAGAAAGCACTGCAGTGGAAAGAATTGACAGGCTGGACAGTCTGATGTGACCAGGAAAGTTGTAATTCCTTTCTGGGATTAGCTTCTCCACTGCTTTTTCAGTGCTGTGTCGTGGTCTTGCCTTACTGTCAGAGTACCACCCAATTTTGATTTCAGGGATATAAACTAAAATATTTGACTGTGTAGCATCATAAGATGTTTTTATGAAATGGAAATCAGCCATTACTTGTTTCCACTTTTTATACTGTCACCTGCTACCATTATTCCAGGCACAACTCTTGAACATTCTTACAGAAAGACTGTGGATCAAAAATAGGAGAAGGAAATGTTTAGGAGAAACATCCATCTTCCACCAAACCCCTAACCTCATCTGTTTTGTTTACTGCTCTAAGGATGTAAAATTTAACAATAATAATCCAATGAAGAAAACGTTTCTTTTCCACTAGGCTCCACTAGTGCTTCTTGATTTCATCTCTGGTCCAGCATGACACAATGATCTAAGGTAGGCGCAGTTAGATTAAGGATTCATATCTCACCTTGCCAGTTTGTCCTCCATTTTTTCTCTCCTGCGCTGATCGGCAAGCTTTTTCATTTCATCGTCTTGCATCTTTTGGCGAATTTGCTGAAGCTCTTGGCCCTGTCTCCGTCGCTGCTTCTCCTTCTCCAACTCTTCTGCCCGCTCTCGTTCTCTCCTCTCCGCCTGCTTTACCCGCATCAACTCCTCTAGCCTGAGAAACAGACAACAGCGCAGGCTTACAGCATACTGACAAGACAGATCAGGTGTGTTCTCGTGCTTTCACCAAGTAAAACAAGGACTGAATAAACTAGGATGTTTAGGATATGTTTAGCAACCATGAGCACATTTATCGATTCAGATTACTGTATGTTTTCTGGGACTTATAAAATATAAATATAGTAACACTATAAGGAGAAGATGAAGCTGTAGGTTGTCATCAAAGTAAAGGAAGGATGCTTTCTACTAGAAGTGCACTCTGACCTTTTGACCTGCTCTTGTCTTTCCTCCTCTGTCATCGGCTTTCTCATGCCATCCTCATCCTCAAGTGTGCCGTCTCCACCTGCGGTCCCTGAGGTAAAAAATAAATAGAGGCACTTGATAAACGAAAGAAAAAGTTAAAAAGTTAAATTCTTTACCATGCTGACATGCAAGACTTGCTTTACTTACTCAACCCTAACACACCAAACGTCTTAGACTTTCAATGAGACACACGTGCAAAAAGACTGATGGGGACTAAATGAAGAAAATGAGCTTGTGTACTTCCTTTGTCAGGGGAACGACGATAAGAAAAGAAATTCATACATGGATAGAAAGAGGCAGAGAATCTAAACTAATGTTTGATCACATTCTGAATGAATGAGTTTCAGGACCTTTTAGTTTATGTTTCTTGTTTGTGGACAGAGCCTCTGGAAAAATAGTCTTGGAACTGTTCATAGATAGAACATCCAGATGGAGATGTCTGTTTCTGTCCGATTGTGAATAATTAAATACTCAATGAATGAAAAAAAGTTACAATTTTGATATGTAGAAAAATACCTCTCACAATATCTGGATATAACCGCTCAGATTACTGGGACAACTACTTTATAACAACCATTCTGCCACAACATTATGCTATAGACGCATTTCTACTGTCTTATAGTGTAGACCAGTGGTTCTCAACTGGTGGGTCCCGACCCAAAAGTGGTCACAGTCACGTTCAAAAAAGTAAATGTTTAATGCGATATTTATTAGACATTTGATATTTTCTGCATATGCAACTTCAGTAGTTGTCATCCTCATGTTGTCCCCTTCATGTGCTCTGAAATGCACTTCCTCAATAAAACAAGTGGATTTATGTTAAAGATTAGAGTCTTTAAAGGTTTTAAATATATATAAAATTAATTTGCTTGGTTTGAATTCTATAAAAGTGGGACACGACTTAAGGACCATGGGAAAATGTTGGTCCCAGAGTGAGACCAGTTGAGAACCACTGGTGTATACCATCATATTACACATCACCGGGTGGCTTTTCTGGGGATGTCTCATGTTCACTTATCACACAACAAAGACCTGCTAACCTTCAGCTGTGTCTGCTAGTGTAGGCTGTTCTGAGGTGGATTGGCTGTCTGCTTCCCCTCCCAGGATGTTCCCCACAGGTGGCACATAGGGCTCATCAATGTCTGGGTCATTCTCATGTTCCATTAACCTGAAAACAGTAAATCAAATAAGAAACTCAAAGAATACAAAACAACTTTGACACGATGACAGCAGTACACAGACATCTGGAAAGTTAAACTCAGTCTCACCAGTCCATGGCTTGCTCTATTCCCTGGTTCCCCGTTTTGGCCACCGCCTTCTCCCTAAAAAACATGAGATAGAGGAAGTGTTCATATGGCGCCTTAAATGACATTTTACTTTCACTTATATGGAAACCAAGATCACTTTTGGTTTTGGTGAGACTCACGCTCTGTTCCTGTCAAAGCCCATTTCCAGAAGACTCTCTAGTGTTGTCAGCTCTGCCATTTTGACCTGAAACACATGATAAACCAGCAAAAGGTCCAACTTTTACTAATCCGTTTACCACTGTTGCAGTTCACATGGGGGTAAAATGAGGTAAGTGGCATTCTTGAGCCCCTCACATCAACTACTAATGAAATAAGATAGTCTACCAACACTTCATTTAGCTCAAAGCTGTGTGAATCATCTTTATCACAGTCTCCAGTTTAAATACACCCGAAAGGAAAAACTGACAGTAATATAGGAAAAATAATTCACATCTCTCCACACTAGTTGTTTTGCTGCATAATGAAAATGTTATGGTAATGCTGAGTGCTAAAATTAGCAGTAATGTGGCTAGCGTTCAAATTAGCTTCCAAAACTAGCTGGGAAGCCTCGTTGCATAGGACGGTTAAAAATGAGCGGGCACTCGTGCGAACTCTTCATCATTTTAGCTCTTAATAATTGTTTGTATGTAACATGTAAGGACACACACATCTTATTTTAATGCTACAACAAGTAATATCAGCGTTAGGACTCGTGAAGACAACGTTAGTTAGCTACTCACACATCAGTCAACGCCGCCTCAACAGTACGGAAACTCACATGGGTCTAAAAGGAGACCACAGTAAGGATAGCGTTTTTTTCACCCATGCTTTGAATGGCTGTGTCGCGATTCAGCGTTTGTGTTTATGGTGCATTAGTATGTTTCTCATAACTATGATCAAATTGATGTTTTAGTAATGAATGAAAGGCATTTAGTTTCGGTTGTTTATGTTGAATTAAATTGCATTTTAAGTAAATGGAAATGAACAGACTATATACGACAAAAAAGTCTGAAATTTTCCAAGTTACATTACAGAAAATTTACCTCATAGATAGATAGATAGATAGATAGATAGATAGATAGATAGATAGGTAACTGAGTCACTAAACAAAAATACATATATACATATATTTGTCACCTGAATGTAGAGGAGCAAACCAGCACCAAACCTGTTGAAATAATTGAACCTTATAGGAAAAACACATTTTCTATTTCATCTTTTTTATTTTCACAATCAGCAGTTTGTAGAATGAATCCAGCAGATACATTGCCTAGAAATGTTGTTAGTTGACCAACATTTTTAGCTCTCTCTCTCTGGTCTGTTACTGTCATTGCCGTGAGCCCTGGTCATATCAGATGAAACTGGGACATCTTTTTCTAATTTCCGTCTTCCATGGACTTTGACTTTTGTTTTCTTTAGAACAAGATTCAATGACCTTACAAATCTATTTAATTGAAATGAATGGACGATAGGTAAACACTGTATGAAAGGAGAAACGAGCTTGAGCTGAATGGGGGAGAAAATACCTTAAGATTCTTAGTGTGGCAGTATTTTATTTTATATCGGTGTAGCATCAGTATTGGTGCTAAAATGTCATGACAAAAGCAGTTTGAATGTACATGTTGTCAGCAACAGCTGCAAACAAAGCCATGGCATTAAAATCTTTACATCCACATCAGTCTGTAAAAATTTGGAGGTTCTGTTTTTTCTCTTGAGGTTGTAAAGCAGAAGAAGTGTTTTTTAAACATTTACTTCATGGTGATCTTAGCTGTAATGAACTGTTTCTCTATTGATGTTATAACATCACCAGATGTGACAAATCATACTGAGTATATCTCTGTCTCACTGTCTTTGACAGCAGAATCAGGAAACAGGAAACTAAACTGGCTGAAATGTGAAGAAGCTGATATGAAACACCTCAAGGCACAAAGGCGTCTTTTATTGGCTGTTCTCCATCCTGCTTAATGACTCTATCTCATCTCCATGTGTCCTTGTGTTCAAATGGAACACAATTTGCTGACTTTTATTGACAAGTTGTGTCTGTTACATATTTACAGTAAGTGTAATGATTAATTTTTTCTCCCCCCCACACACAGTCTTAAGTAGCCCTCATTCACCAGTCCACCATTACTCAAGGACAGACTTTTGCTGCAGCATGCTCACTTCCCTTTCATTCTTTCCCTGTTAGACCTCACTCTCTGACTCCTTTTCTATCCTTTACTATTTCTCTGGTTCGTTTTTTTTTTTCACATGTTTGTTTAGTCTTTTTAATGCCTTAATCTTTCTGACTTTTCCCACAGAATTAATGACTGATAGCGACCTGATTCAAAGGTTTTATTTGGTGAGTATAGACTATTCACATTCAATGTGTCTAATTAAGTAGAAAAATAGAAACTTCATTGTTTTGCTTAACTACTTATTAGTGAATATTTTGTATTCATTCAGGATATGTCTAAACTGCTTTTTCTTTTTAGCAAAATGTAGATGTTAGATGTTATTGTGTTTGGAGAAAATGGAAACCTTTTACAAATTTCCTTTGAATCTAGTCACTGAAGGTGAATTTATTTTCCTCTGAAATGTCAATCACAGATCACCACCTGAGTACATTTGCAGTCTCATTGAATTTAGCTCAGTGGCTGTAAATAGATATCCTAAGTGCTTTTTGAAGAAAATTTTGAAATAAGAGCAAAGTTACCTAACTATGTTCAACTAAGTTGCCGGGTGATTGTCTTTACCAAGGGCTGTTAAGGGGGCTGAAACCTTTTTTTTTTCTTTTTTACAATTTGTTTCAGTCACAGAATAGATCATCCTACGTAAACCTTGAAACTTGTTATGTCTTTCTGTAAACCATAACAGTGGTGAAATTTTACTTGAACACGAAGGGAACCCTCTTTAGCTGTCATCCTAAAAGTTAAGCTAACTAGGAGTGAAGCTGTCTAGTCTATTTTATATCACAAACATCTTGTATAAAAAAACTGTAAAACTGCTAAAACTTCATTTTTCACAACCTGGACCAACTTCTCTGCTCAGACTTTCTGTTCAAATCTTTCATCATCACTCTCTATAGGCTTGTGCTGAGATTCACAGGTTGTCTGATTGCACTGATATCAACCTCCCAGCTGAATTACCTGCTTCAAGAAATCGCTCCATGGTCAAAGTCAAAGGAGGCAATAGGGGCGAAGGTCTCTTTAATCTACTCTTAAATTGCTTTATTACTTTGTTTTTATCTTTACAGGTCAAGGGTCAGGGGTCGAAGCTCATTTTGGAAAGGCTTAGTGAGGTTCTGGGAGACTAAGAAGAGGTGTACCCAAGGAAATGCTGCATGTTCAAGGCCATATCAATGCCTTCATGTAAAAGATTAATTTTAATAGACCAAAGGCCGAAATTCATTCACTTTGATGGCACCCTCTCCTGACCCCTCATGCACTTTTATTGAGTGCATGACCCTGAATTTATAGGTGTCATAATAGTAAACTGTTTCTTAGAAGCAGTAAAAAGATCAGGTGATATAAGTTTATACACTTTACTGTCCCTTTATTAGATGCAGATGGCAATATCACATGAAGACCAGTTTCAAGATTAGCAGGAAAGGGATTTTATTTCATGTAGTTGTTTGAGCCGACCAAAAGAGGGCAGCATTATTCTAAGTGTGAGAGCATGTCTTACTCATTTAGTTGTGTTCAATATGCTGACAGTGCTGTGACTGTGATGCTTTAATTCTGACCTTTGCTTTATTATAAGTATTCTCCAAATGTTTCTTAGTCAAAATGGTATTTGTCAGAGGAACTTTGTGGGTCTCACCAGCTGTAACAGCATCTCCATATGGAAAAACTCTGGCTTCCAGTGGAGCTGCTGTTATCTATGGAGGGACACCTCTTGTCGTCAAAAGGCTGCTGGGTATTGCAACCATTGCTTACAGTTCACACTTTATGTTCACACTTCACACTTAACTCTTGGTTGAAGGTCGGTGTGCAGTAACAACTTCTATTTTTGTTCTTGTCATCTTGTGCTCACACTTTTTCATGTGCAGTTTGGCTTTATAATAAAACTACTGTGATCTTTAAAAAGCCTGTTTGAGTTGTCTTTCTTTTTCTTTGGTTTGTTGTACTGTTTGAACAAGACAATGTAAAAAAATCACATTAATCTAAATATGTTTTGTGTGTGAAAAAGAATAAATATATATTTTATTTTATCCTTGAAGGGAAATTCAGTGTGTTGTCTAAATGTAAAAGTTCAATGTCTGAACAGGGATTGCAAGCTGTCTTCTTAGAGTGGGTGGCTAAGATAAGAACAGGAACCAAAACTAAATACAGTAAACAAAAAAAAAGAAGAACCATTTACAGAAAATGATCGAAGTAACAAATAGTTTCTGGAATATGACAACAAAAGTGAAAATGAAAGTGATACCAGTGTGGCCACATATCTGGATGATGATACGATATTGTATCTTAGAGTTGTACTTATAAAGTGGAATACTGCAATAAATCATCTATGCTGCTACATTTAAATATATATATGGTATTCTGTTAATAAATAAATGATCATTGATAAACCTTTTTGAGGCTTGATATAACTGAAAAGAAGATTAAAACCTCTAAGTAGACATTGAAGTTTACATTTAATAAATGTTTTTCCCCTCAATAATGTCGTTGTTTGACACTCTCTGAAGTAATTAATGTTCAAAAGAGATTTGAAAAAATAGTCAAAAACAAACAAACAAAAAAACAACATGGGGTGAAAACAGGGCGGTGGCAACTTAGTCGCTGGTGGAATCAATAGCGGTCTTTTATTTTGAAAGGAGCGTAAACAGTTCCGGTAACTGCGTGTCAGCCTTCTTTGGTGGGTCCCCCCAACTGACAGCCGGTTGCTAAGTGAGTTAGCCAACCGCGAAGCGAAGTTGTCACATTTCCCCCTTGCAGTTGTGTATTTACAGGGGCAAACGGTATAAAGCTAAGCTATCGAAAGTAAAGAACTCATTCTGGATTGATCAGCGTTAGTCATCGTCAGCTACGGTGGGAGTCCTCCCCTGAATGAGTGACTCGTGGTGGTGTGTGGCTAGCTGCGAGTAGGAGGGTGGGGACTAAAACTTCAAGACCTCGCCCAGCCGTTGCTTCATTCCCGTAGGCAGCTACTATCCTGACGGTGTGAGAGACCCGCACCACTAAACCAGATAAGTATTGAAAGGGATACTGACACACTTGTGTCAAATAGACAAACCAAATCAGTCACCATGTTCAGGAAAAACTTGAAGAAGGACCCCGAGCTGTTTCAGAATGTATCGGAGGGGCTACGGCGGCTCTACCGGACCAAATTGTTCCCGCTGGAGGACACGTATAGATTCCACGACTTCCACTCTCCTGCTTTGGAAGATGCCGACTTCGACAACAAACCCATGGTCCTCCTGGTCGGTCAATACTCTACCGGGAAGACAACCTTCATCCGGCACCTCATGGAGCAGGACTTCCCTGGTATGCGGATTGGCCCAGAGCCGACTACAGACTCTTTCATCGCGGTGATGCACGGTGAACAGGATGGGGTGATACCCGGTAATGCCCTGGTTGTCGACCCCAAGAAGCCCTTCCGCAAACTCAACGCCTTTGGCAACGCGTTCCTGAACAGGTAAAACCCGCATTTAACCAGCTTAAAGTGAGACGTTTGAAAAATGCAATTCCATGGATTACAGGGTCTGAGCCGGAAGTGCCCCTCAGTCACCCGCTCCGTATGAATGAATCGAAAAAAGTCGACTTGATTTCATGCCTGTCGACTGTAGAAAACGTATTAGGTAATCCAACTATGTGTCAGGAAACGTGTCATAACAACACACCACCTCCTGGTTTAAATGTCCTCTCTACGTGTCTTTGCACGTCGCTCACTCTTTCAAGGTAAACTGGCAGCATGCCATTGCACAGTGCTGTCAGCTGTCTCAGAGCACACTGAGTGTGAGTGTTTCCCCTTTCATCATCCAAGGGGAATGCAGGTGTTTAGTGTCAACTGTAGTTGTAAGCAAGGTGCTTCCCAACACCTTGTCCAACCATACCTGTTCACATTTTACTTTGCAATTCTTCCTCAAAGCACCTGACTGAGTCATCAGTGACTGATCTCTCCATACCATGGTCACAGGGTGGCCCCTTGAAAGCAGAAATAGTTGCATGTGATGTTGCTAGGCAACAGGCTGACCTTGTCCTGTCCTGAGATGTTGGTGCTCTAAGTTTCCTGCCCACCGGCCGTAAAAGTTAATTCATCAGTGGAAGCCGACAAGACCAGCCCTCTTTTCTCTATCAGTCAGTAGGCCAGGCATAATCTTATCTCAAAGAGGTAAAGGTTTTAGTGTCTCCTTGTACCCTTTCATTGAGTCAGCAAGTTAAAGTCAAGACACTCAGCTCATTAGAGACTGATTCACATGTCTGGTGAGCCGGATATGCTCAGGGAAACTTAAGTTAGGAGTTCACAAAGTTGTATGAATCATATTTAGCAACACTGTGTGGAAAAAACCCCAGAATGAGTCAGACTAAATATTGTTCAGGTGGGGTAAACACTTGACGAAAGTAGTGAAAGCAAATACAAGCAGAAGACAGAGTGAAAGAGAAAAAAGGACCAGAGCGATATCTTAGCTGGTGAATGAGCGCTTGTTTTGATCTAGGAAGACAATGTGGACTATAGTAGCTCTTTCCCGGCAAACTGAAGAGTCTATTTCCCCTGAGTTTGTGAAGTTGCTTTCTTTGTAGGATAGTCAGGGTGTGAGGTGATTCTGCATAGCAGTGAGTCACAGCCAGGATGATGAGGCCAGGCAGGAGCTAAAACATCTTAATCCAATCTATTGTGTGTGGATTCCTGATGACATCAGGTGGCTAAAATCCAATTGTTGATGGTGTAACTTCCTGTAAAGGATGTGGGTATATCCCCTCTCTTCCCAGGAGTTAGTGGGGTGTCAGCCAAGAGGATGAGCAGAGAAACTGAGGAACACATGCCACACGAATAACTAACCTGTCCTAATCTAAATCTGCAATTGGATTTAGATTGTCAGGTGAGTTGTGTGGCCCTACGGTGTTAAACACTCAAGCTGACATTTCCTCAGTTTAGCCTGTTTCCCATTATCTACATAGATCCCTTCCCTCAATTATGTTGAGTGTTTGTGTTATCTCGCTTGAGTGCAAGTTTCTGCCAAACCGCATAAGTCAAACTTAGAGGACTCGAGGCATGCATTTTGAATGACACTTTAAAAGGCGTGGGGTCAGGCTTCATGGACCACAAATCACCTCCTTAGATTATATTATGGACTTGGAGGAAAACAGATAAGATTGTGTACAAACAAAGACTATTGTCCCTTATAACATAATTTTGCTAACTCTCTGACACAAACCTGCAGCGTCATGGAACTTGTGGTTCCCGTCGAAGTTGTTGTGCTTCTCGTTCTCAGAATCATACTCAAACAGAAGAACAGCTCATGTAATTATACGGAACAGAAAACATGTTTTGGACAAAGCAGGTGAATGACCTGTTTGAACAAATCTCTGTGTGTATTTGGTCAATACATCTTTAATCATTTCTCTCGGGCACATAGCCTTAAACAGGCCTCGAGTTTGATAAAAACGTATGTCAAGTACCAGATCCAGACAAGCAGGGCTGTTTTTGGCTCAGACTGGGCCAGATTTCAACTTTCCTCTCAAGAGGCCAAAGGCATTTAGAGTGGTCTTTGGTTGACTGAAAATGTTTTTGCCCATGAAAATCAGCCGGAGAAATTGAGTATTGACGGATTCATTAGGTGGAGCAGAAATGTCACATTTGGCACACACAGCTTTGTAGTGGAGCTCTTTAACTACAGTCATTCAACCTGCAGATTAGCCTTTAACTACCACCTTCAGGAGCCGCTCTCAGTGTAATCAGTTATTTATCAAGAGGGTAAACAGGAATCAGTCAAGGGATCAACACGCCTACATTTTTCATCTAAGTAAAGGTTAGTGTATTTGTTAGTCTATTACCAATTTTTCCATCATTTGTTTTTCATAGCAAACTGGTTTGGTTTGTATCCAGAGGCATGAGTACCGATTTGTACAAAGGCCTTAACGGCAAAGTCTGAATGAATTCATTCAAGAGACTTCGTACTTTCTACAAGCTCCTGACAAACTCACCCACCTTTAATCTCTTGTGCTGTCGAGTTAAAATGTCACAGCAGTCAGAGGGCCTCGGTGTGTCTGTGCTCTCTGTAAGCCATTAGTCAGTAAAACCAGAGTCAGCAAAGTGTAAGTTCCGCACTGGCCCACCCCGGCTTACACTGTCCTGCTCCGTCCTGTCCCACTCAAGGCCTGTTATTCCAGGACACTGACTCTGCACTTTACTGGGATTGGACACAGCCTTACAGAGCACCCAAGTAAACTAATACCAGAGTTGAACAGGTGTGTAGACATTATATTATATAAATAATTGATTCTCTTTCACATACACACAAGAGGAAATTTTGCAGGAAGTAGCCATGGAAAAGTGACACATTCATGACCCCCCCAGTTCACATCCCCAGTGTAAGCAACAGCCGCCCTGTTTCCTCTTGTCTCCAGGAAGTGGAGGTTATGATGGGAGAAAAGGTAAAAGGTCAGGAGGTGGAGCAAGAGCGGAAGATCTTTTCTCAAGAGTTGGAGCCAGAACGCCAGTCACATGAGAAGTCCAATGTTGAATATTAACCCAGACCTTCATGCCAAGAGTGTAGCTCCACAGAAAGGATGGGTTTTCCACTGTCTTGAGACATACTCAGACGGCACAGGATTCCAGATAGCTCTAGGCTCCTGGGGCCCCCATGCCTGGTAGGGTCTTCTGTTTCTAAGAATTCGGAGATCATTGCAGCATTTTTTCCAACACGCGCTGTGTGGAAAAAGATAGTTAAAGGGAAACCCGTGCCAAAATTCCTAGCTGGATATCAAACACCATCAGCTATGAGAGAGAATGGAAAAACACGCACGATTGTTATCATTCACGTTCACTATTGTTGTAAATTAATAGCATGCATGGTTTATGCAAGAGGCTGCACTCTCATATTCCCTCGACTTGTTCATTGTCCTTGAAATTTTCCTTTTTCCTCTCTACATGTGGTGTGGGATCTCTGTTCGAGTGGGTGTGTGTATGTAAGTGTGTGTGTGTCTGCCCTCCGTGTGGTTACAACAAGAATGTAAAAGCAAAGTTCTCTCCGAGTCTTATGACCCGGTGCCTCTGAGCTCATGTTGTGAGTATCGGTTCAGATTGAGTGAAAAGGCAGCAGAGTGAGAAGCCGAGCTCAGAGCTGTGGGGTTCCTTAACAATCCCCTTCTTTGTCCTGAGTGGGACACTGTGGGTTTATGCAAAACCACTCATCCTCTCACTTTGTGTATGTCTGTCTGTCTTGGTGTGAGCCTGGCCCAGTTTTTGTCAAAGAGAAAATTCGCCTTTTTAAGTTTAAACCTGCAGCGTCCGAGCTTTTGGGAGACCACCGTGTAGTGCTTCATGTTTAACTTGTAATGAATCACACCTACACTTCATGACTGCTCAAGTATTATCCTCGTGTTTCACAGACAATCTCTCATTAATGGTAACCTCCTTCACAACCCACCCCTTCATGTACACAGAAAGTTGTCTGGGAAAATCAGACCATGACATCATATAGTCTCTTTGTGTTGGTATCAAACAGTCTGAATTAAAATGTATCCATCAGAAATTTCAGTTATTATAAAACTGCAAAGTGTTCAGTGATTCCCAGCTTTTCTTTTGTGATACTAATGAAAGTATTTCAGATGATTTTTCACTAACATTTACCGCCTTAAATGAAAAGATACTATAAAGTGAGCAGCTACTATAAAGATATCTGAAATGAGATCATAGAAGCCTCTTGAATCCATCAGTTACTGCTTTACATGCTGCGTACAGTATCCTGCTGATGTTCGTGCGTGAGAACATGAAGGTTGTTACTAAAAGCTCAAGAATAATATCTGCTTAATGCCAAGCTTATGTATAAACACTCTCACCCGACTCTTTTCTGCGTCACTCCTGCCCTTACTCTCTACCCCCATGTCTGATGCTCTTGATTTCATCTTTCTCTCTCCTTTACTGTATTTTTTTTTTCTCTTGTCCATTCCTTCTACATTCTTTTCTCTCATCCTTGTCTTTTCTTGGCAGGTTCATGTGTGCCCAGATGCCTAACCCTGTCCTGGAGAGCATCAGTATCATCGATACTCCCGGAATCCTGTCTGGAGAGAAGCAGAGGATAAGCAGGGGTACGTCTATGAAACAGCCACACTTGTTCCTTTTCCTCGCTCACATAATCAATACCTCTACTACTACAACCACTCCGACTACTTTTTAACAGAGCGGCATAAAAGCTGACATTCAAACAGAGATCCTCATGCACATGAGAAGTGAACACCCAAAGTCTCAAGTTCAAATATGAAAAAGGAAACATACTTAACCTACATACACTTCCCTCAGTCACTCTCTGGTATTTCTGTTTGGCATGTCGCTCACAAAGTCAGCTCCAGCAGTCAAACCTGTATTTAACCCTTAACTCCCTCAGGTCAGAGCCTAACTAAATAGGTTGTGTACATCAGATAGGGGCTTTCTCATTTTGACAATAGCATGGTGCAGGCTGGAGGCGTTCTGAAGTTCATTTCCTGTTCTGTACCTGTAGTTTTCTGCAGCACACTCCTCTTTCACATCCTTCCCCTTTTTGTCTCTCTTATTTCATTTTAGCCTGTAGCTAGCTTAGCGGAAAACACTTCCTATAATGTAGCTATGTGACATCTTGGTTTTTCCTGTGCTGTATCATTTATCACTTTATGTCTGAGTCATTTCCCTGCGCTCAGTGGACATAAATCGACATATTTTTATCTGTGTGCTCTAACGTTACTCCAACCCGCAGGGTTACTTCAGATCTGCATCGTTTGCAGCTTTTCCTTTACTTTTGATGATCCAACAAAAACACACAGATGATAACTGTGCAGCTGAGCACAGCTTCTGTATTTTTTTCTACCTGATTTGAGCCCCTTTTAGAGGAAGTGCACATACAAGCAGTAGAGTTTTTGTGTACTCTAGGGAAAGGATGTGGGGTAAAATGGCAAACATAGCAGAGAGTTTCCCAAGACCTCCTCCCAGAACCCCCAGCACTGTCTGTGTTGGATGGAGAGTCTGTAAATCTGAAATTGATTGATCTCCCTCAAGACATTTTTCCGTTTAAGTGTCAAATATTCTTCTTGAGTTACTTTTGCTCAATCTAAGAACAAATACAGTCTTTTACTGTGAGAAGCACTGAACATTGATTCACTGAATAAGGAGACTCAATAAAACGAGAATCACCAATAAAGAAATGATAAGTTATGACGCCTTTGTTTAAAGCAGAAAGAAAGCAAGCCACTCAAAAACACAGTTGTAAAAGGGGACAATCTAATCCAATCTACAAAAGAAAATATGTGCAGGTCCTAATGAATGAGAGGACCAACATGTGGTGGGGTGACGCTGTCAGAGAAGAGGAGCAGATGAAATCTGACGCCACATACCTCAGGAAGTTTGGTTTCCAGACATATGTACTTTTACGCTCCTCTCAGACACACACACACACACACACTCATGTTCTCTTACTCTCTTATACACACTGATATCCTTTTGGCTGTTTCTATATAAACACAGATACAATACTGTACTACCCAGACATACTGAACTGTCCTGTGTCACATAAAAACAGGAATTGGATTGTACAGCTGAGGTGTGACGGGCATTTGTGTCTCTGCAGCCTGACTCCATCAGCCAGTATAAGCCAAAATAAGTCTCAAAGAGCTTTACATCTACAAGTCATGATATTGGAATGTCCATTCATAGATGCTAAACATTTTGATTGCATAATAATGTAGAGTTGAGTTCATTTTTTTAAGTCAGCAAATATGGCTCAGTACTTCTTCCTTAGCGAGCTATGGAGTAACAACAGCTATGATGAAACATTGATTTTGCAGAACCGGTTATTGTCTTTCCTGTAGTCTCTGTTGATGACTCTACATGAAAACTAACATGTCCAACATGTTCGTGTTCCCATACTGGAGGGAAAAAATAGCTGACAGGAAAAAAAGACTTCTCAGGGGAAATGCCGAAACTTTGAAGAGTTAAAGCATTAAGATACTCAATGCAATTTTTTTAATGAATAAGCTTGTAATCTTGCTAATGTCAAGATATGAATATTAGTATCAGTATTATGTCTGTGGGGCTGAAGATGGCATGAAAAATGTAGTTAACTGAAAACTGCCAGCACAGATTTACTTCCTTGTCCAAAGGAGAGCATAATTCAAAACATACCTCTGAAATTACAGAGCACCAGAGCATCATTCAAGAAATGCTGATAATCAAGAATTTTCTTTTCTTCAGATTGAGAGTTGATACAGTCAGTGCAGGTCAAAAGCTCCTACAGACTGTGCCATGTTGAGTAAACTTTGGACCAGACCTAAACTTCATTATTTATGGACCAGAGGGTCTGTAATAGTTTTGAGCCCACGATCTGCTGTCTGTTGGATGTTCATTTTTTTAAGGTCTCACTACTTTCAGAGTGAGATCTTAACAGCCAGTGAGAGGAGTCTTCTAGAGGACTGAGCTGCTGACATGTTTCTAAGCCACAGCCAGTATCCCAGCCCCCCAGGCTAACCTTTACTAGCATACTACTGTTGACAGTAAACAAGAGAGGTAAATTCTCTCCTCCAGGTCTTGGGGAAGTATTGACAACCTGTGGAGACTCTGTCTCTCAAACCAATTCCTCTTCCAGACTTGTTAAGCCGTCTGTCTCCATTTTTTGTTTTTTTCCCTGCAAAGCATCTGTCCAATAAGTTTAAGGCAGTCTTAGTCTTAGCTTTGTTTTCATGAGCTCCCACCTGAGATCATTTGGAAGTTTTCAAGACCTTGTAGAGAGTTCCTTTAAATTCTGTTTTGCACCCAGTGTATTATTTTCCGCTGAGTAATACGCCATTCGTTAAAAATCTTTCAGAGTTCACCTGTTTGAAAGAAACGAATGTGCATGAAGATTCACCCGATGTTCATTATACAACGAAAGAATCCGTTAGAATTTTTATGTTCAAGTTTATTGAAGCCATGTTAGGCTAAGTTAACTGGCTTCTGACTATAACTTTTTAATTACAGACACCAAAATGTTGTTCTCAACTCCAAGAATATGACACATGTCTCAGAAATGTTCAACTATTTCTTTCATTACCCCGGGGACTTCAGTGTTCCGAAAATAGATGAGACGATTCTCTAGCCTTTCTCTTCTCTGTTCTCTGTCAGTGATCAACACATACTTTCAAGGCCTGCCCAAATTTGTCATAAGCGATTGAGTGGGTTTATCTTTGTGTGCCTATGAATATGGAACAGAAATGACAGTTGCTGGAGCTGTGTGCTATAAGTAAGTCCGAGCTGGAGCAGCTGTCACTCCCTATGATTCTCTGACATGTGTTTTAAAGACGGACTCAAAAAAGAATCCGCAAATGTCCTCGGGTGGCTCCCACGGGGATCTTGGACTTGAAGTATTCCCTTTTTATAAACCCCACTACTTTCACTTGTCATGCTCAGAAACAAAGCGAAAGTCCACTTTGCCGTGGGTAATTTCCAGCACCCATCCTCGAGGTCATCTCGAATGACATTCATCTTTTACTTTCACTTTTACTCACCCTCATCTCTCTCCTGTTTCTCTTTTTTTCCACTCCTCTCTTCATCTCCCATTTTATCTCTTTAACTCTGCATCTATAGACTGTATCTCCCTGTCTCTCTTTTGTATACATGTGCTCAGACGCAGACAAAAGCCAGCCATGTTGGAATGCATGTGCAGCAGATCTGGCGCTGATTGCGCGACAGCCGAGATGAGCTTTTAGAGCGACTGCATTCTTCTCTGATCAGATGACACACAGAGACTAATCAAAACCATAATTCTCTCTCTTGTACTCCCTCCTCCAGGCAAAGCCAAGTTCAGGGAAAAGGCCTGTTTATTGTAATCTGAGTTAGTCTCCCTGCTGTTCTAGAAACCGAAGGAAGTGAGCGGTACAGTGAGTTTCTGTACAACAGTGTTGGTATCAGGCTGCCAGCTCAGGCGGGCACGGCTGGTTATCTTCTGAACTTTGTATTTACAGCCCGTCTTTTATTCTCTCTTCAAGTTTCTTTATTGTAATCCAATACATTCAAGCCCGTCGTTTATGAGTGTTATCATCTTATTCCATATCACATTTCATGCCTGAGATTGACCCGTTGAAGGGTTTAAACTCTCTTTACCTCCGTACACCTACTCTCTGCTGTTTCAGTGAAGCGAGTTAATAGGTAACCAGGGGAGAAAGCCCTGCCTCTTCAAAGCTCTTATCTAAACATTATTGGATCAACATGGTTTGGAAAATGAACCCCACAATTAAAGCTGCTCAAACGTAACAATCTATTGCCCGATTGGAGCTCTTGAGCTCTTTGTCAGTTCGGACTCTTGTGTTTCTCCACACCACTAAGCCTCGAGGGCTGTTAGTGTTCTCAACACATGTGCAAAATGTCAAACATGCTCTCCATCCGACAAAAGTGGAAAAACAAACAATGGCAATTCTTTGTCAGTTAAGGTCATATGCTAGTTCGCTACTTCACAGTACATCTTTGTTTCAAAGGTGACTCAAACTTGATCATTACAGAAACAAATCACACCCTGAATGCAAACAAATCACCCAAAGATCCCAGAGATGTTTTTCTTCTGACCAGGGTTGACCTTGGTAATGATTTCATCTTTTGTGGTTTGGATAAAGTAAACAAGCTCTGCTTGGAATTAATCATATCAACTTAATTACTAAACCAACAAAGCTTATTATGAGGACTCCAGCAAACTCCACTATGAGGGATCTGATGTAATCTTTATTAGTAAATGGCTCATAACAAATAAATCAGAGATAATACTGTACAGTAGCCTGTGATACGCAAGGACAAGAACATTTAAAAACTGCTGTTTTAACCCCAATATTGACCTTGTATTCTTCTGTCTCTCTGAATACATTTAAATAGCTGGAAGAACTCCTCTAAATTTATTGAATAAAACAATTTGATATCTGCATTATATGACCCTACACTCTCATTATTGGCATCAGTTATTAAAACAGTGATATCAGTCGACCATTAGTTAAGAGGCCCACAGTGAAAGTCATTGAGGGGCTCTACAGTTCCTGTGCTGATCCCATCTTTAACCAGGCTGTCTCCTCTTTGGTCCCCAGGTTATGACTTTGCTGCAGTGCTCGAGTGGTTTGCTGAGCGAGTGGACCGCATCATCCTCCTGTTTGACGCCCACAAGCTGGACATTTCAGATGAGTTTTCAGAGGTGATCCGAGCCCTGAAGAACCACGAAGACAAAATGCGAGTGGTGCTGAACAAGGCGGATCAGATCAGCACTCAGCAGCTCATGAGAGTCTATGGGGCTCTGATGTGGTCTTTGGGAAAGATCATCAATACACCTGAGGTAAAATACACACTTTTAAAGTCTTCAATTAAAAAATCTCAGTTTGTAATTGTTATAAAATGAAATATAAGCTGAAGTGAAGGGACACACTAACGCCATCAATCAGAGAACGTGTTCAGAACCTTATATCAGGTGACTCCATTTACCTTATGATTTCTCCCTGACTGTTAATGGTTAATGTTTAATCTGGGGCCATATTCATAAACCGATACCAGAGACACCTTTGAATTATGTGGAGAATGATTCATTGACTTTGAGACTGCATAGTTGTAGGCCTTCCACCAGGATGTGAAACACAGAACATACAGACTGCGAAATTTGATCATCGCTTAATTGTGAACTTAAGTTCTGTCACACATCCTGTAAGTCTATTTTGAGAATACATTTTTACAAATACAGTTCTATGTCTGCTTGGGCGAGATTATAGCCACGTGTTTGTGACCTGTGAATGAATTTCCTCTGGTGTGGGTGTGGGCAGTTTATTGTCACCTGATGGGTGGTGGAGATTAATAGAGGTTAATGTGTGCGAACTTTATTCCAGGTGGTGCGTGTCTACATCGGGTCATTCTGGGCCCAGCCCCTTTTGGTCCCTGACAACAGGAAGTTGTTTGAGGCAGAGGAACAGGACCTGTTCTTGGACATCCAGTCGTTGCCACGCAACGCGGCACTACGCAAACTGAATGACCTCATTAAACGTGCTCGCCTTGCCAAGGTTAGTAATATCACAAATTAAGAGTCTGCAGCAATCCAAGAACCTCTTTGAGCTGCAAAACTCAATAAAGGCTGATGAGGATGTTGTTGTATTACTGGTATTCAGTCAAGAAACTAAGTTAATTTGTGAATCAATACTTTAGTTTGATGATGGTGACAGGGAAAGGGCGGGGATCATTAATAGAGCACAACTTGAGGAGCGCATGACTGTCTGAACCAAATTTGATGGTAATTCTTTAAACATTCACAGTAAGTCTGATGTTATCACTGGGAAAAGTCAAAGGATTTCAAACATCAGTCTAAATATTTTTCCAAATATCTGCACAGTTGTCAACGGAAATTCATGGAATTATTGGTGGATAATTACCTCAGGACAGAAGTGGTGGACTCACTTACACACTGTATATTTTATCACTTGAGCTGCCAGAGCAGCTAAATACCGCCTGGTCAAAAAGTTTCATAACACTTTTTATCTGTGTTTTTTCTTCCCCTTTTTTTCTACGATCTGCTCCTCTAGCCCTCCAAGAGAGCTGTTACACAAAATGTTTTATTTTTCATACGACTCAGTAAGTGTTTCTCGGTTAACCACAAGGCTAGTCAAGAAAACCTTGGTTCACAGTCATAAGATTATGCGGTTTTGTAAACCTGTGAATTTTCCAAAGTGTTGGTTCCTTCCAGTGCAGGGTGTGAACATTTTGTAAATTCCCACAGATGCAATAAATAGACTGCTTGAAAGGTTAATCAGGGTGATAGTTTGAGTCACACCAAATGAAATCAAACAATGCATCTCCATACAGTTAAACCACAAGAGTGCAGTAAAATCATAAAATGATGAATTTGTCTCATGTTGTCCAGGTGCAAGCCTACATTATCAGCTCTCTGAAGAAAGACATGCCGAGTGTGTTTGGAAAAGAGTCCAAGAAGAAGGAGCTGATCGCTAACCTGGGAGAGACCTACCACAGGATTGAGAAGGAGCACCAGATCTCACCTGGAGACTTCCCCAACCTCGCCAAGATGCAGGTGAGATAAGAAGCGTACCATTGTTACATTCAGTTTCATGATTAATGAGTCATCTGCCTCGACTATTTCTGGCTTATTATATAAAAGGTTTAAAAAAAAGATACAGTTCAGGGGAGAATGACCTCCCGACCTTTACTCTCTTCACATCTTTGCCCTTCTTTCCTGCCCTTGCCCTCCAGGATGGGCCAGGACGGGGATGAGATTTATTTTTCCTGGTTTGTCAGGAAATCCTGCTTCTTGTATGCTACTCCCATTGGTAACCACTGAAGACTGATCTATTTCTATCACCAATTCCTGTTTTCCCCTAACCCCCATCCCTTCAGGAGCTGCTGAATGGCCAGGACTTTTCCAAGTTTGCAGCGCTGAAGCCCAAGCTGCTGGAGGCGGTCGAGGACATGCTTGCCAACGACATCGCCCGCCTCATGGCCATGGTGCGCCAGGAAGAGGCTGCCATGCCCAGCCAGACCGTAAAAGGTGGAGCCTTTGAGGGTACTATGAGCGGTCCATTCGGTCACGGCTATGGAGAGGGAGCCAGCGAGGGCATTGACGAGTTGGAATGGGTGGTCGGCCGTGACAAGCCAACATATGATGAGATCTTCTACACCCTCTCACCCATCAATGGCAAAGTATCCGGAGCCGCAGCCAAGAAGGAGATGCTTAAATCCAAGCTGCCGAACACTGTCCTGGGTAAGATCTGGAAGCTAGCAGACGTGGATAAAGATGGCCTTCTCGATGATGAGGAGTTTGCTCTGGCCAACCACCTGATCAAGGTAAAGCTGGAGGGCCATGAGCTGCCAGCTGCACTCCCTGATCACCTGGTGCCTCCGTCCAAACGCTCGGCAGTCCTCGAGGCCTAGAGGAAGAGTGAGGTGTGTGACGAGCCACGTCAGCGCTTTGCACCACATTAAGGACTCTCCAGACTAAAGCCCAACCATAAGCATGTACAGCATCACCCTCCATCAAGCTGTGAGTCCACGAGCATCCTGACACGGCGAGGAGTTATTGCTGTGATCTTTTCGCCAGTAAGAGACTGGAGGGTTTCAGGGGAAGGTGAGGGGGGGGGGGGGACGCTAAGATATCTATTAGAAATGAATGGAGGGAAGGGGGAGGGGTTGATTTGAAAACTGATGAAAGGACATTACAGGAACATGAACTGATGGGCTGTTGGAGGCTGCATGATGGGGATGAAGATGGATTTTTGAATCCTGTGTTAAAGATATCTTCTCAGTACACAATCCATATTAATATTATATGTTGATCCAAAGAAATATAGTTTTTTCCATGAAGAGTGACAAGGAGGAAATAAATCAAAACAGCTGTTAGAATTGTTTTATCTCTATTTTTGTATTTCCTGACTGTTAACTTTGACTCTTTCCAAATGCTTCCCTTTTTATTATTTTGCCAGATAAATAAAAAGGAACACTGTAACATCTGACTCACGATTAAGTGGCTTTGTATTATTTTGAGGTCTTTAGATGTTTGACTTACAGAGGAAACGGTCCCTGAAACAGTCACTTGTGAAAGAAGTGAAAACCTGCATGAGTGATTTGCTTTCATTTTGTAGACACTTGTCATTGAGGGTCATGTCAAGGTCTGTTAGGTCACCCAAAGGCTGGCTTTTATTTTGAAATGCCTTGATTTCTATCATTTCAGTGCAGTGCACTGCCCTCTGTAGGCAGACAGGCACACTGTTGGCACTGCCACAGGACATATAAGGCCATTTGACCATGAGACAAGTTGCATATTTTCGAGGGCAAATTAAAAACAGCCCTTGAAGAAAACACTGAAACAACTGGAAAGAATAGAAGCTGAGCACAAGTCGTAAGAAAGAAGACAGAGAGCTGTTGATAAAACCAGATTGGAGTCTGAAGAGAGAATGAGGTGGCTGTGTGTTTCTAGGCTTTCACATTGTAAACTATTACATAACCTGAAGAGGTCTAACCTGCTCTGAGGTCTGTTTGCATAATTCAAATAGGATATAAGTGGAAGAAACTGAAATGTAAATCAGATGCACCCCAATGGTTAAAGTTTGGTTGAACATTTAAACAATTCCCCCCAGCAGTAAGTCGCTGAAGTGAACAACAGTCAAATGACTGATGCAAGAATTATGTAAACACAATCCCACATTTATCTTTCACCGCACGTCTCCTCCTGTATGTTTACATTCTTCATGACTGGTTCTTCTTGTGACATCTATCATACCTCTGTCAGTGTTTTTTTAAGACTAAAGCCAGTGAAGATTAATCCTGCTAAAACACCTTCAGTGTCACTCATGCTGCACTCACAGTCTTGTGTCTCCGGCTCATCAGCACAAGGAGACTCATTGACATTCAGCGCTCTGACTGACTCACTGGATAATCACCCAGTGTCAGATACACATGATGTCTACCAGCTGTTTTTTTCGCACACCAGAAGGAGATTGAACTTTGATTGAATCCTGAGGCGCTCTCTTGTGTCCTGGACTGCCATTACAGTTTTTTTTTTAAATTACGGATCATTCCTACCCTGTGTATAGCAGTGTGTCCCTCAGTGTGTTTTGTCAGCTGTTTTCTGCATGCAGCTGTAGCACTGTCTGCAGCTCACTTTTAACACTGTGACTCCTGTTGCATTGAAAACAAAAATATTTACCTTGAAACTAGCAAACCCTTTCATCTGTACAGCTTATATCTGATTGCAGAGCAAATAAATATGAAGCAGGAAAGGACGTAACTGACCCCTGCATTATCTTTTTTTTATAAAGAGTCTGAACTATGATCAGTCAAGTTGTTCCTAATCTTTTTGTGTTACGACCACTAAACATTAAGTCTTTCTGATCCTGAAGATTATATCATCAGAGTTGAATTATAAGAAGTTTAAGTATTTAATTTGAAGGATTATTGAAAGCTCAGACAAAATAAGCTATTAGGTTTTAGAGCAAAGGAAAAAAAACATGTTAACTTTCAACACTGTTTAGTATGAATCTGGCCATAATAGTTTCTTCTCAAATAATCCAAATCTACAGAGCGGCAATGGCTAATCTATACCAAACAACCCAACCAGGTTACAAATCTTAAAATGGATTATTTTCATCAAACATGTAAAACTGATGAAGATAATTCTTAAAAAAGAACATTTCAGTATAAGCAGATTTGATAGATTTGGACTGAAAACATCTGAAACCTGGTGTGTTTATATACCAGTGTGCTTTACATTAGACAATCATCTGTTTTACACCTTCTAGTTTGTCAAAGTGTTTGCAAATGTATCATAGTTAATGTTATAAGCCTTCAAACATCAATATGAGATATAATAACATGGAACATTGTTGACAGAAAAGGAAAAGGTCACACAAAGAATGCAAATATGAAGTATCATTAGGTTTAAATGCATGAATTTACAATACCACTTGCAAAATACAGATTTGTCATGTGTTTTTTAGTATTGTGATGTGTAAATGTTGAAATCAATCTACTGTGTGATGTTGTTCAGAAGTTGATACAGTTTTAAGCTCAGACCTGAAACTTCACTGTGGTGAAAGCATAATTTACAGTCAGCTCACAGGCTGCTGTGGCTGTACTTTCCTCTGTTCTGGTATGATAATGTCATGACAGAGAGCTGCTGGAATGCTCGGAAGAGTGTGAAGTAAGAGAGGAGGCATGACAGTCTGTCCCCTTGTTTCTGTACTACGTGTTTGGATAGCCGACCTGCTCCCCCACTGTATATCTCTCCTATACACTGTTTCCTTTTTCCTGCCCTCCTCTGCTGAGACGTCACTATCTTCCCTATGCCTCTCTTCCCCTTACCCCGCTTTTTCTCCCGCTGTTTATGGAGAGCAGCTCTTTGTTTTTCATCTGTACCCAGTCACTCCCTGCTCTCTGTCTCTCACCCCCCTCTGTCAGTGTTTAGGGTCGCATTTGTTCTTGCATGACTAAAAATACTCCCGTTGGCCCTCTAACCCACTGACCCCTGCAGGTAGTTGACTGGGTCAGGCTTATATAACACAGTCATGTGGAGGGAGTGCCACTTAGCAGGCAGGTGAGGAATGGGGCACCTCGCTGTATGTACATCACAGAAGAGTACACATACACAGAGTAATAATTGGATTTTAAATATCACACCAATGGCTTCAATATTGAAGGCTAAAGAAAAACAGGATATTGTGTAATAAGACACTTTAAATAATAAAAAAATTAAAAAAAACATTGCTCTGCAGCCTGAGCAAAGATTACGTTCAGTGACCTGCAACTATCTAGAGCAGTGGTTCTTAACCAGGGTTCTATCGAACCCTAGGGGTTCTGTGATTCAGTCTCAGGGGTTCGGCGGAGCCTCTGCCACGGAGGTCAAGACACACCTGACTCATTATGTAAATTCGAGAAGGGTTCGGTGAAAGTGCATACGAAACTGGTGGGTTCGGTACCTCAAACAACGTTAGGAACCACTGATCTAGAGTTTACTGCACACATAGCAGCAACTGAAGGAGTCAACAACCTGGTCGGACTGTTTTTTAATCACTACGTTTCACATCTGGATCTTATGTCACCCCTTTTGGGATTCTAATTCACACTCTACTGGCTCACTTTGCAAGGTCTCTTACATAATCTCTGGAGTTGATCATAAACATTACAGGAGGCAAACAATTACAAGGACAGGAATTTATTCTTTGGTTCACTGACAGCTTGACCCAGAACAAGAAATCAGAGCAGCATCAAACTGACATACTTTTTCTCAGGGAGTACCTCAACAGGCAGGAGCACAACTTCACATTTTCAGAGGGAAGAAGAGGGCAAAGCAGCAACCAACACAAGGAAAAGGAAGAAAGAGTGATAAGTGCCAAGGAGTCTGATTACAAGCTATATATTTACCCTGTCCATGTAGCCTGTAGGAGGCAGTGGTGTTTTGCACTGAATTGGCATCGCTGCACAATGAAAACAGGCTTATTTGCATTGAAAGTAGACATTTCAAAAGGTAACTCAAGTTCAGAGTGGAAATATATGACCTGTAAAGAAATGCAACAGGCAGACAACATCACAATTTCAGCCTTTATCAGATTTCAGAGCATCAATCCATAAAAAGAAAACCTTAATGCACCTTCCCCTACAATTGCAATTACTTCTTTCGAGGGGAGTCTTGTTCACTGCTCTCTCCTCCTGGCTGGCTGAAGTTGCAGCGCCTGTAACAACACGGGATGGATACTTTTGCTCAAAGTCCAGAGGGCCTCATGAGGTAGGTTGATCTTCAGTTTGCGGCTAAAAAACAGGACAAAAACAGTCTGGGCTTGGCTCAGCCTGTCCTGTGAGGTTGCGTGGTGTCGCCACCACTGGTCGGGTTTAGTTCATTTGTTGTGCTTTAGGCTCAACAGGGCAGTGTTCTTGCTGGCTGAGGTGCTCCGAACATCTCTTGTGAGGCGTAGGTGATGTAGAGGAAGCCATCTGTGTCGCTGTAGCGGGAATAAACCTCCCCCATGCTGGAGGACATGCAAGACATGCTCTTCTCTGCAACCAGCAGGAACAGAGCTTGAGTTGAATCCAAGGCTATTTTATTTCTGAAAAAATGAGAAGAAAACAGCAAATCTTAATGAGGAGAAAATGGAAGGATGGATTGAGAAGAAGAGGAGCTCAGAAGATGAAACATAAGCTACATTAGAAGTCAGTGCAAAATATCTACCTTAGTAGACACAGGAACTGTCCTAACGTGAGCTCAAATGGGACCAGGAACTTTGTTTTGTCCAAGAGGGGGAGAGTCTTTTCACGGATGTAACGTTCCACAATCACCTGAACACAGCAAAACATCTTAGATGAGCTGTTTGAGCTTCCACGTGCAATAATACAAAGAGTGGAACAAGTTGCTGTATATTTCTAAACAAATCAGAGAGAAACTTACAGGCAGTTTGTTGGGGAATTTGGACCGAATGCTGCACACTTCATCTTTTCTTGTTTCTAAAGAGAGATTTTTACACAATTGACGCCTCTAAAACTAGCGCTCATGTATTTTCAGTGACATCCACATAGCAATTACAGATTTTTCATCCTTACCGAGGCATTTCCTTTGCTTGAAGGGCATCATCTCCATAGATTTTTCAAAAGGAGCCATGGTTTCTTGCTTGGGTGGTTTGCAGGGACCACTGGTGATGGAGGCAGTGCGGCGGTCTTGCTCGGGCTGACACAAAAGTCCCCTCGAGTGGAAGTCAGCAAACCCCGCTGAGCTGGCCTAACCATTGCTGTTTTATAGGGAACAGAGCAGGGAGGAGTCCAAATGTGTCACCAACAAAAAGAGACACACTCCTGGTGTGTGTGTGTGTGTGCTCCTGCCCTCTTTACTGGCCTAAACCAGATTCACATACACTGGTTATCTCACAGGGTATTGTCACATCTACTTGTGAAATTGGTGTTGCTGTCACGTACACATTTGCACAGGGGGGTACAATCACAAGTAGAGAAGTGTAATAAGGACAGGCTGACCATGTGAAGAGCATAAACAACACATGACATTAACAGTTTGGCTGAAGAGGGACTCAAGAGAAACATCCTGTCTTTACTCGTTTAAAAAAGAAATCTTTCAGCAAATTCCTGGTGCTGACTTCATCATCTGATTGCTTAAAAATCGCATTATACACATGTGTTTTCTCTGACCCTTGACCTCACCTTCTGATAATTGTGCTGGTCACATTGCAGCTGTTTACTGATCTTATTTTAGCCATAGCCGATAACAATGATCAATAGAAACGACAGCAGTAGTGAGTGTGCTCATGTAAGCAGCTATGCTATGGTTACGTAACTGTACTTTTCCCATCTCTGCAAAATGCAGGCATGGAATATTTGAGATTTTTCTTACATTTGCTGTAAGATTGTTTTTAAATCCCATTAATTATATGTTATTTCCATGGAGAAGCTGACTCCACGGCTAACTGAATGTTGTTCACCTGCTTTAGTTTCAGAGTCCTTAAACTGTAGGCGTGGAAGAAGCAGGGGAACATTTGATAGGATCTGATACAATAGGATACAAAACATACCATACAAAACAATACAAAACAATACAAAACAAAACAAAACTTAACTAAACTGAACTGAACTGAACTGAACTGAACTGAACTGAACCGAACTAAACTAAACTAAACTAAACTAAACTAAACTAAACTAAACTAAACTAAACTAAACTTAACTATGATTCAACAGTTAGGTGTGGCAAATCACACTGGAAGAGAAGCTGGTTTAGACTGCTGCGTGTTTTTTTTTTTTAAATTCAGAATATCATAAAAATTATATCTACAAGTTGGGACAAATGGGATGAGATATAATGCCGAGTAGAAATTTTGTTACACCCTTGTGTAAAATCTCTGTGTTGTATCACAGTCAGTGCTTTTCAAGAGAGCTGTTACATGAGTATCAACATTGTGGTCGTCAGTCCTGAGTGAAATTCACTTTGTAATCATACCTATTTTCACTTTTTGGCACTTAAGATAGTCTAAATCTTAATAAAGGTTTGAAGTTCTTAACTTGAGGGAAATATTTTTTACTTAGTCTTAGTACTTCCATTTCAGCATTTAACACATCTACATCTAATATAAGCAGTCTGATGCACAAAATGCTGCTTCAGGGACAAAGATTTGGATTTTATTGGGGCTGTTGGAGTTGATTCAGTTTTGTTCTCCCTTTTAGAGGCTGTGTTTGCCTGTGTAGGCTACTTGTACTGAGTTTTTATTGTCCTTCCTATGGCCAAAACTTTAACTTAGAAGTGGAAAAAGTCCCTTTTTTTAGATTTCCACTGAAGCAGTAGCCTGTAAAAATGTTCAGGCCGTAATGCTTTAGAGTGGTTTAAGATCCCCCTCTGCTGGTTGAAAGTTGGCACTAGAGCAAAGTGCACTGCACCTGTCAAAGCTAATGAACACTAACTCTTACAAGCACTAGCACTTTCTTTAAGTAACATTTATACAACAAATGAATCCTCTTTTTTTAATCTCAGTCATACATTTGGTAATATTTAAAGAAAGTGTGTTGACAAAGGAAATTGCATCAAGCTTGAATCAACCAAAAATAGCGAGCCTTGCCAAAGAAGACAACAATTTTAGTTCTGGTTTGACTTTTTAAAGAAATAGTCAGTTATTTATTCATTTTAATTCTAAAAGGGTGTCAAGCTTTTGCTGATGGGGTAAGTTGAGCCGGATCCCTACTACCCCCCCACTCTCCACCCCAGCCCTCCCTCACATTCTCTCCCCCTAAATAACAGTCGCTTCATCACATACATGTGTATTTTTTATCTATTATACACTATTCAACTGGTACAATAATTATTTTTATTATTATTATTGCATATAACTGCTAAAAAGCTGTTTTGTAAAAAGCAATTTTAACACAAAAGTCACACATTTCAATAATATGAACTGAAACTCTGATCCTCTCATCAGACTTTCTCAGTTGAACCACGGGCTCAACTTACCCCAGAACTACTATTATGACTTTATTTGTCCTCTAAGCTCAAATGGTACACTTTATGTTAGGTTTTTGACCTCATGTTGTAGCTCATAGATACCACAATTGATGTATAAAACAAATTTAAAATGATCTTTTTTGGTCTGAACACAATTCTAATAAAACTTACGTGTTGTTGTTTTTTTGTGAATAAATGTCTAACCCCTTCGCCCATGTGCTTCTTACCTTCACAGACTCAATGAATTGATGCCCATCTCCTAAATATTTGGTAACATGATCAATTTCTTTTACCATTTCCAATCAACAGGGGGTGGCTCATCTTACCCCACTCTCCCCTACAGTTTGAAATTAAGTTAAAATGACTAATAATTAATAACATTTCCCACGCTAAAACGGGTATTTTCTACTGAGTTGTTATTGTAGACATATACGTTTTTATTGCATTTGAGAATAGGAACCCTGACTGACACCCTGAAACAGTATCAGGTCGTTTTAGTTAAGCCATTTTTTGAGTATTTCAGTAGCCTGTTAATATCTTCGATTTTCCGACAGAATTCAGCATGAGAAACCCCCTGACAAAAAGTTTCGTGGCCCCGGGCTGACACTGCAGCCTGCAACGTCGCCACCAGAGCCTGAAATATAGGTTACAAAAGAGCGCGATGATGTCATGGTTAACTTCACCCCCGAGCGTCGTCTCGGTGGGAGCACTGTAAGAATGGATTTGTCTCCTCCTGTCATCCTGGTAAAGTTGGAAACATATTTTTCCACGCGTCCGTTCGAAAAACTTAACAGACCAATCAGGGCTCAGTTCTGGCGCAGTGGCTCCTCCCCCTTTCAGCTGCCTGCTCCCACATGTAACGTTAGCAGCAGCCTGCTCTCTCTCTGCCTGTCTGTTGCATTGTCTCATTGGGGACGCAGCGTACAGAGCGCAGCGCCATGGTAACTTCAGATGACCAGGGAGCTTCTAAGTGATTTACAGGAAGACGGTAGTGAGTGGAAAATAAGCCTCGGTTCACAACAGACATGGCGTGTTGATTCGCTCTCTGTGTACCCGCGGATTCATTAATTCCAGTCTTGTGCCAGTCAGCAGGGCTGCCTGAAGCTTAAGCTGCATGGCACGTTAGTGATGGTGAGGATTATATTGGACTCATAACTAAACGGCTCTTACAATGCTATCGCTCGCCAGCGCAAGTGGATCTCTACCTGAAGCTGGTCCCTAGTCCGTTCATTCTTCCAGACCCTCGCAGAGCAACTGAGCGGTGGTCGGCGGTGCGCCCGGTTCCCCCTGCCGGGCAACCAGACTAGGATGGCCGGCCGCCGCAGCTGCGTGAACTCGCTTTGGTCGGGTTCTGAGCGCGTCCGCATCGGAGAGCGCCTGAAAGCAACGCTGGCTGGGGTGCTGGAGCTGGAGGTGCTCAGGTGCAAACATCTGGAGATGGTGGACCGCGCTCTGGAGGACCAAACCCACGCTTCAGCCAACGCTGAAGAAGAGCCACGGGAGGTGGAGGAGGAGGACGAGGGGGAGGGCAGTGGGACCCCGGAGAGCGGCGCCACGGATGCCGAGCATGGCACTGCGACATCCCGCAGGCAACAGGTCAGTCAGTGCGTCTGTTAGCCCTGATCTGTACATGACTAGAGTATTAAATATGGATGTGGAGATGATTGTTATCCGCCAACAAGCTTGTCCCTCTGCGGCTCAGTTGACAGATTTTATCTCTGCCTGGGCGCATGGCTGTGCCCACAGATCAACACACAACTGATTGAGGTGGTGCCAGAGACCATCCATGCATAAAGCCCATATCAGTTTACGCAGCAGTGTGTGTGACCCTCACTTGGAGCAAATGTCATTGAGGTCAGGGCACCAGGAGCAGCTCCTGCCTGTCTGGCCCTGTGCCCTGCCTCAAGGTTATGAAGCAGGATGTGGTGGGAAACAGGCGCTAGGAATCAGGTGGGGGTCTAAGCAGACATGCCAGAAACCAGACACTGCTCCATTTGCTAGCTCTGGTGGGTAAGCTCATCAACTGTAAAGGTCACTTTGGCACCCAGTTAGCATTCAAATCACTCTGAATACAATATGAAGGTGGACTACATCACCATCATTTTGTTCTAGAAACCCTAGATTTTCCTTCAGCTTCAGAAAGGTGAGGATGTGTGATTCTGTGCTTCCTCCTAACACACCCACATATAAGGTAACTCATTTCCCAGCCTTTCCTGAAATCTAAACAGAGGTCCTTTTTGTGTGGGGAATGAGAGGAATGTAGGTTGACATGTAATACAATGGGAGGGGAAGGGAACAGGTCTCATCCTGAGGCCTGGACACCGAGGTTGGGGGTGGCCCGGTCCGTTATCACTGAACATGAACTAGATTTGAACTTGTGATGTCATGATGATGTAGAAACTTAGAAATAGGCACAACTTGAGCTGAGCATGAGACAGTAAGTGGATGGATACTAGTTTTGATATACTGGTTGGGCAAGATAAGAATTTTGAATTTTGAAGATTTCAGCCTTTGAAAGGAGACATTTTGGGACCTTTGAACCCCCCCACCCCATCTGTATAAGCTACACGTTTGAATGTATATGACAGGATTTCTATGCAGTAGGGAAAAAGTGGGCAAAGTGATGATATCAATTATACTTAGCAGATTTTTTCAGATGTAATCTCTTCACTGCTCACCTTTGTGTAGGGCTGGGTGATCAAACGATAACGATATATATCGAAAATTAATTTCCCTTAATATCAATATAAAACATGATCAATATCCTTTTCAATAGTCGGCATTCTGTCATGTTTTGGTAGACTATAGGAATAGCCAGTGACAAGGGGAGTTGCTCCGGGTCCACTTCGCGTTGAACCAATCATGTGCTGAATTAGAACTAAGTAGCAAACAACTGCGTAGTAGCAGGCTGCAGCTACACACAACCATAGCACTTTAACACATGAAACCGACAGCACAGTCGACAGATGAGGACATTGTCGACAACACTGGCACGAAAATTTTAGTGGTGTGGAGGTATTTTGTTGTTTTTTTTAGGTTGGACATGAAGCAGAGTAATGTGCACTGCAAATTATGTCGAGTACATGCTCTCGCAAAGTCGAGGAATACCTCAATTCTTTTTCACCACCTGAAGCAGTGCCATGTGGCAGAGCACGCACAATGCAAAAGGTTACAAACCCTGAGTGGGGCAAGGAGCCCATGGTGCCTGTGCAGCAGAAACAGCTGAAACATTCAGTCTGCTTTCTCTAGCCCAACGCCTTACAACAAAATGTCGAAGAGACACAAAGAACCTCACAGATGCAGTAGCTTATTGTATTGAAAAAGGTATGCTACCAATAAGCACTGTTAAATTAATTTTTTATATCGTGATATATATCGATATCGACTGATATGAAAAAAAAGATTGTGATAAACTTTCTCCCATATCGCCCAGCCCTACCTTGTTTACTCTGTCGTGTTTGTATTGTGGAAACATCATTTTACTGATGTAGTGACACAAACTCAAACAGTAATTTGGGATGTCCTTATCAGCTCTTTTGGCCCCCAATCCCTATCCAATCTTTCATACCTGCCAATTCCGAGTGTCAGTCACATACTTGCATATTTGCCCAGATATTAGAGCTGCCCACTATTCTTTGCTGCATGCACACATCACATACTGGTGTGCATGCAATACTGCACACTAAAATTTAAAAGTAAAGGGATCTGTGTGCAGAGAGGCCCAGCAACAACAAGGGAAAATAATCAGAGCTCCAAATGTCTGATGTAAAACTAACAGCAGTCACATCATGTTTTAAATCGCCCCGTTTGTTGTCGTAATCTTTACTGTACAGCTCCAGTTAGACAGGGTCTGAAATGTCAAGTCAGCAGGACATACTGTGAATCCAGGAGAAAAAACCTGCACTCTTTACCAGAAAGATGGACTTGTTGTCTAAAGCCATGAATTCAACCACCTATGTTTTAATCTGTTGCTCTCTTCAGGTTATTTATCCTTCCCCCTTAAAGTGAAGGGTTTGTTGCTTTTTCACAAACGGCCCTTCTTCTTGAAAGGATTATACTGCATTTTGCAGGTGGCTGTTTGACTGGTTCTACTTTCTTGAAAATATATGAACACTGCTGACATTTTAACCCTGGGGTGGCTGATGTACAGATTGTCTTGTGTGTATTTGATATATGTTTTTACCTTTTGTACGATAGGCCTCTTTATACAACTGTACGCTGCCTCAAATCTGTTATTTTTGCCGTAATCTGGCTGGCTGTGCACAGTTGAATTTATGCATTGAAGGAAGTGCCTTGGCTTGAGTTCATGTTCCTGCTTTGTTAAATATTTCCTCATTATGTGTATACAGTTTGGCGAATCCAGAGCCACTTGTTCTGCACAAGTTGTGTTCAGTGACAGCAGGTGAAAATGATGGAGATTAAACGATGGTCCCAAATTGCTGAAGCCCTCAGATTGGCTCTGATCCGAACACTAAGATTGAGACAGCCTTAACAGTGACTATTACAGAAAGCTGTTCCTCTTCCTGCCTGTACTACCAACCACCCCCTCTTATCCGAACCAAATGGTGTGTCTGACAGAGAAACTCTCCTGCTGGGAGGACACGTGTGAAGGGCAGTTCTTAAAAGTATGATGGCCTGAAAATGCTGAAATAATGTGGAAAATATCTGGAGTTCATGTGGAAGGGGTTTATGGACAGCTCTTATTATGGAGTGGTTCTCTTTACTGCAGTGAAATTCTCTGTAAGACTAAAACAGCAAAGTATCACTGACCGACTCTCTTCGACTTAATTTTAAGAGGATTTGCTGCCCATCTGTTTATCCATATCAAAAAAACATGTGACATGACAAGTTCAAATAATGGTGAGGGTTTTTGATTTACTGTATGAAAAGCAGTCTTTCAGAGAAAGTAACAGAAATCTCTTCGGGGTCACTTTGTTCAGTCTGTTATGATACTAATGAGTCTTGTTAGTCATCAGCCTGCAGCACAAGAATCCATGTTCTGTCTCAGAGGTCAACTCTCTTTATGTTGCAGCACTGTAACAAATTGACATTAAACAACATCCCTGAAAGACTCCTCTGAATAAAAAGAAGCACCCTTAATAAAAAACAATCAAATCTGTTTCTATCGGTGCAGAGACAGAAAGCCCCGGCCCCATCTGAGGAAGGGTATCAGTATGAAAATGCAGCTCATAATGTTCTGCCTTCCTCGCCATCACCCACCCACAGACAGCTCCTCTGTTTCCCCCGTGCTGTGGAGATATCCCATGGAGAGGCCGAGCAGCATTGCTCATTCTCACCTCTGAAGGGAGCTGACAGTGTAGCAGAGCACGCTGGCACTCTGCCCCCTACCCAGGCTGGCCTCCGCCTACACAAACAGACACACAACAGTTGCATTAATGGAGAGAAGTTGATGTCGGTGTTGTTTAAAGAAGTTATCACAATCATGAAGCAGCTGGAGAGAGAATCGTTTATGACCATAGAAGTGAAAGGTTGTGCTTTCAGCAAAGGTTTCCACCAAAAACACATTTTATTCACGGTTCCTAAATTCATCACCTACTACCATAAAGAACACAGGTTTCACTGCCTTGGTTTCACTGCTTTTAAAACATTTGTAAGCTGAGGATTACATGACTCACTACAGAATGCACTCTGCTTTGACAACAGCTTTAGCTTTTTGTAGGATTTAAACTCTTGAAATGTGATTCACCTTTTCTCTCTCTAAAAACACGGAGAGGGCAGACTTTCTCAATGTGCAAATCCATATTTGGCCAGTCAGGATTACACTGTATCGTATAGTGTAAACCCTAATCTATTAATGGAATGTAAAACGGCCCATTTTTATATAATTTTAAGCCCTGTGAGCAGGTTTCTGAAAAAAAAGGCGTCCTTGAGAATTTTGGGGGGTAAACAAAACAATTAACTGTCTGAATCTGTTTGAATACGATAAATGATTTAGTTTTAGGGCACAGAATCTGGTCTTATCGATAAAACCCCCTTAAATAAAAGTCTTCTGTATGGATTTCATAAACCAGAAAACAGTTTTTAGTATGATATTTTCACACTTCCAGAAACTCTTCAGTGCCTTCAGACCAGGTTTCCAGGCAAAGCAGAAGAAGCTGGTGAATCACTGGTTGTCGCTGCCGTTGCCATGTTGGTGTTTAAAAATAAAATTCCCCTTGCTGAGAAAGTACACAGCGGACAGGAGTGGGAGAGGCAGGGAATCTGGTGCAAAGCTTACATTATTGCACATACAATGCAGAGCTGAGGTATGTTGGTTATTCTGTTCATCAGCAACCGTTTTGATAATTTTTCAAACAGAATACCCCAAATTTAAAAACTAGTCGCTTTCATCTTCAACCATCTGCTGTCCTGTGTTCAGTTACCGAGACAGTCTGCCTTGAAAGAGGGTGAGGTTTAGCACAGGAAAGCATCATCTTACACAGGGAGCGATTACTCTGACTTGTGGAGTGAAACAGCTTTTGTGTGTGCTTTTCCCCCCAGGATCATTTTGAGTTTACCCCAAAAGAAGTCTGTTATGTTGATACCTAAGTGTGCTGTTGAAGAATTTTACCGAAATGTTTCTTTTTCTTTTAAAAAAAGAAGCACAACTCTACTTGGAGGTGCAGAAGAAGACACACAGCGTGGGCTGTCTTTAAATTTCAATAGCACATTAATAATGCATGAAACAATAAACACTGACAGGGCCCTGTTGAACAAGCAAATACATCTCACCATCAACTCGCTCCATCCCACACTGTTTGACCAAATTATTCTGCCCCTACATGGCAACCGCTGCAATTTGTCCCAGTAATGATATAATGCACTTACTAAGAGGAGGTGTGTTGCTTTTGCAGCTCCGATCTCTGTTGCATTATCATCAGATCAGCCCATACATTTCCTCCATATTGCTCCAGAGGGGCAGAACGGCTCCCTCACATGAAGGGATATCAGATTTCAGAGCTCTAAGCAGACCCCCACCAACTTATCCGTCAGCCATCCATGATTTGATCATGCACTGGTCTCTGTGTAACATTATATCCTGTTATGTGGAGTGCATTAGGTTGTTGGGGGATAAAATGGAGAGGTTTTTGCTTAGGAGAATAGAACGGCTGATGGTTCTTGACTTAAAATAGACTGAATGAAAGAAGGGGCAAACTTATGGTACACACTAGAGCAGGAGTGCATTTGCAGAGAGGTGGATTTTGAAGCAGAACAGACATCAGGCGCACTGAGTCAAAACCAGACTGGTTTGTGTGCATTCGGACTGAGGATGAGTTAAATATTTCGCCAGGCCTGTCGTGCTGTTGTAGTTGTGTGTGGGAGGAGAGGCGAGTGAGAGTTAGACAGCGAGCAGCTGTAGCTATGGTGAGTACGGGGCTGGAAGGATATTGAAGGAGTGGGAGGATGGGGGGGATTATTTGTCAGGGTGTGGGGGAGGTGGGGGTCCTTCAAGATGCCCTTCTCTCTCACCCGGCAACCACTCACCCTCTCCCCTCCCTACCTCGCCCCCTCTTCCTTCACTCGCTCGGTGACTCACTCTCATTTCCCAGTTTCTGTCTATTTTTTGTCCCTTACACTCGTTTTTGGTCACCCACTCAGCCACGACTCACTTCAAATTCACTTGAGAGAGGGAAAAACAGGGGCAGGAGTGAGTGGAAGCGGCTAATCTCACAGAGCTGAGGGGCAGAAAGGAGATAAGCCTAATACAGGTCAAAGTCTGTGACTCTTTCTCCCACTTCTTTTCCTTCCTCCCCTCTTTCCACCTCTGTACAACCCCCCACTTCTTCCCTTCTGCCACTCTGGACACTCTTTGTTACGTCATCTGTCCTCTCCCTTTATCTCCTCAGCCCCTCCCCTCCTGTCACCCCAGCAGTGAGTCACCTGTATTGTTCCCTCAATCACAAGGGGATTGATCAGCACCACTCACAGTGTTTCTCTTGTCTGGGCTCGATCGGTCTAATGTGAGGCTGCCGTCCTGCAGGGGGGTTATGGGGGATTTGGAAGATAATTAGATAATTGGAGGAGGGGGTTTCTCCTCCAAGACCCTACTAATCTTGGAAATGGAGGCCCTTTGCTAACTTGACAGGCTGATTGTTGTTGTTGTGTGTGGGGCCTCTTTCCTGACTGTTACGGTAAGCGGGGTAAAGTCATAGGAGCGTATCTAGTAAATGATGCTACCCTGCGTGTGTTTTTGCATGGGTCTGATAACTGTCTCTATTTTTAAAAATGACATGCAGTGCTCTCACTGTAAGCAGTGTAGAGTATCAAAGTTGAATTTACTGTACACATTCAGATTTCACACCAAATAAAACAGTCAACTGAGTATAAAGACAGCTGAGACACGTTATATCTGTCAATATCTTACAATAAGGCAGTATCTAGTTAGTCTCCTTCTTCCTGGAAAAACAACTTAACCCCTAATCTTTTAGTTTTCGCGTCACTATTGGATATCTAAAAGTGTCGTGTATGGATCATAAACTGTGTATCTACTTTAAAGCTCCTGTAAGGGGCTTTTAGTTTGTTGATTTTGGTGCCTCTCCTGAACAAAACAGTTCCTCTTAAAGGGATATTTCAGCATAAAATTAAGTTAGGCTCAAACACACCATAACACTGAGTTAGACACCCCGTCAAGAGATTAATGTTAACTTCTTTAGTTATTCCAACTTTAGTAATGGCCGCAGGATAGCAATACACAGCAGTCCTAGGAGCCACGCGCTCAACCAAAAAGCCACTCTATAGCCACAAACAATGCTCAGTCAGAACAGCACCTAACTTCATCAACAGTACATATAGGGTCCCAGCCATAGTACTAGCCACCAAACATCTTTTTAGCTTTGCGAATTTTTTTAGCAAAGAGACCAAACACAAATCACCCACTCTCTTCCAGCAGCCACTTGTTTGTACGGAGACCTCAGTTGAGTCCATTACCGCAGGGGGGTGACGCAGCTCAAGGAAGAACATGTATGATCATTGCTTTATTGTTTCCTTGAAGTAATAATCATCATATTAATCATTTTTCACTGCAGACACAGTAGTTCTTCTGCCTTAGCGTCTTGGTCTGATTGCATTTCCATGAAGAAATGATGGTGTAACGGTGTGTTTGACCCTAACTTAATTTTACGCCGGAATATCCCTTTAAGTCTTTATCAATTTTTTCCTTTACATAGTTGTAATTTCTAATAATCCCCCCTAATTTCTGGTATGGGCTTCTGTATTACCAGTATTTCCCTCAGACTCAAAGCTGTCAGACTATTCAAACCAAGTTTGATGAATCAATTCCCAGATGGAGAAACCAGTTGGTTGTCCAGCTGTCTTGGCTGGACACAGGCTTCAGCTTGGCATGGATTGAGACACTTCTATCCTTTCAAAGCAAAACTATTTCCATGAGCGTCTATCAATTAAATCTGACGTCAATTCTGTCACTGTATGTTCACTCCTTTCTAACATGAGTCATACAGGCAGCTACGTTAGCTTGGCTTGTTGTTATGTGTTCTCAGTGCACATGGAGTATTCTGTCCTACAAGGTCTGATCATATCAGTTAATGTGATTTTACTCTTATGCTGTGTTTGCACCATTTTATCTTGTCAATGTTGCTCATACTCATATGTCTTTTCCAGGCCCCCTCTCCGTCAGATACAGTGGTCTTGCCCTGTCAGAGCAGCCCTGAGGACTGCAGCAGTAATTCAGGGGACACTACGGTCCACAACTCCTCTTGTAGGGGGAGTAACTCACGCTGGTCCACTCTTTCCTGGGATGCTCCCTCTGACCTGCTCTCTCCTCCAACACCGGACCCCGGTGGTGCGGTCCATCTGGACAGTGACTCTCGACCTAGTTCAGGTGAACTTACTCTCAGTGTCTCTTGTTTGGCACTGACCAGAACAATGACATCCATGGTTTGTCACCCTCAGATAAAGCCAGAGCTCAGCTTGTGTAAGAAAGGTCACAGTAAACATTAACCAGTCTATTTTTCTTTCGTTTACTTGCACCGTGACTTGGCACTGACTTGTTCATTTCTTTACCCTTGTCAACCTGCAGTGTGCATTGCCAAACTCTTATCCAGCCTGTTTTCTCTGTCTCTGCACTATACTCAGACATTCCTCTCTAGGCCATGCACCTCTGCACACCTTCAATTATGTAATGCAGCTCCCTGAAACTCAAACAACTAAGCCATTCAAGTTATTCGGAAGCTCTAAAAACCTGAAAGATGTTTGTTTAATCTTTAAAGTAACTGTAAGACAGTACACCCAGCACAGTAATATGTTTATTCAGGAATTTATATAAATAATTATGTATTTTTGAAGATGATAAAGCTAAGTGTTAAACCTAGATTCCACTGCTGTGATTAACAACTGTTGTCAAGGAAACTGTGTCGTTCCTCAGGCTAGACAAGACAGTACAAAGAGGATGCGAAACACAAGTTTGAACACTGGAGGTTGTGCTTCATTTTTATAATTTTGTGATATATTTGAGCAGCATATCAACAATGACGTAAAACAAAAACTTCAACCTGAGATCAAGGCTGCTGTCAGCTGTATTGTCTTTTCAAAATAATGATCCCAAGTATTGAGGGAAAAATCTTCAATGTTTTTATTTTGAAGCAAAAGTCAGATGTTCATGTTGGATTTCTCTCGGTCTTGTCAAGGTTTCTACTCGGTGAGTGGGAGCTCTCTATCCGACTCTTGCTACTCGGTATCCAGTGATGCTGCTCAAGGAGGACCAGTGCCAGTGGCCAGACCTGTGAAGCTATGGGAGCATGCTCCTCTGACTGCTGACAACACTGACACCATGTGGTCAGAAGGGGCAGTGCAGCAGCAACAGCAGCAGCAGCAGCAGCAGCAGCCTGCACTGCAGAACAGCAAGGAAGATGCACTACCAGAGGGTACAACAGTTTCAGGTGAGTTGATTCAGTCAGTGAAGTCATGTCCTGTTTTTTTCACCCATAGAACCATAAAGTTGTCAACTGTTACTCTTCTTCTCTTTTACAGTCCAAAGTGACCTTGACAAAACTGGCCTCAGCTTCCTATCAGACCTCTGCTCAGAACTTGGTGATGCCCTGATTACTTCTCTTCTTCAACTTCTTGACCCCGCCTCCCCGTCTAATGCCACTCCCTGCAATCTTAAACCCCAGTTGGACCCTCGCTTTTGCACAGATCTGGTTTCCCGTCGCACCAAAGAGGTGTACCCTTATCCCAGCCCACTACATGCTGTTGCTCTCCAGAGCCCCCTCTTCACCTCCCAGAGCCAAGAGCAGTCACCATCTCAAAGCCCTGAAGGACCCCAACTAGATGACCAGGAAGAATCCAGCACTGACACAACTCTGCCTGTCCATCATCACAAGACCCCCTCTTCACCTTCTTTCACCCATCTAGAGCAATACATCTCTCGACTGGCTCATCAGTACCACAGTCGGGTAACCTCCTCCACCCCAGATCTTGCTTCAGTTGCAGCAGCTGGCTCTGTCCCCAGCAGAGGCCTTTGTACCCCAGGCAAAAGTCATGGTTCCACCCAGTCCCTCTCGGCCTTTGAAAGCCGGAACACACTCACCATCACTCCCTGCAAATCTCTGCTCGGAAACTCAGCGAGAGTCAGTCTCAGCACGACTGGGAAAAAAGCCACGAGGAATTCAATCAACCTAGGCAACCTACCTTCAGCAACTGGAGAGGACTTGAACATAAACCTGCATCTCAATCTGAACTTGAACCTGGCTCCTAGCTTGACTTCAAGCCAGGGACTGGTGGATGGTTCAAAAAGTGGCAGTTGTGGAGCTCTGAGGAGTGACTTTGCTGCTGCCTCCACAACTTCTGCTACATCACTTTCCTCTGCCACACCCACCCCAGCACTTAGAGCTCGGCCTCGCATTTCAACATGCCCTAGCAGCTTGAGCCATCGCAGCTCCCTGGAGGTACCTTCCAGTTCTGGACCTAATCCTGCATTTGGGTCCTCCTCCTTCTGCCGCTCATTAGACTGGAGCAGCGGTGCTCTGCCTGAGACTGGACCGTCAGTGTTTGGTACAAACTCTGGATCAGCTCCTGGGTCCCAGCGCAGCAGCTTGATCCAAGACCACAGTTCTAGTCCTAAGGTTAGCGAAGATTCCCCCATGGTAGAGGAGATTTCCCGCCTCTCTGGACTTTCAAGGGCTGTTGTGGTTGGACTAATGGAGCAAGGCGTAGAGCTGGATATTGACTGCTTCCAAACAGATGCTGCAGGCGAGGTGAGGGGTCACAGTAAAACTCACCTTACTCCCCAGTCAGATCAGTCACATGACTATGCCAGACTCACTGACTTGAATCCTCAGAGGCCAATTCAGCTGTCTCTCAGTGTCACCCATTCGCCACAGTCTCAGTCCAGCCTTACTCCCCCCCTGTCTCTCTCAAGCAGCCCCATACATCCTTATCAGTCCATCCATGTTCCTTCTCCTCATTACTCTTCACATTACCACCACCACCAGCAGATCCCTTCCCCATCTGACCTTCCCTCTTCAACAGCCTCCTCCCCTGCCTCCCGCTCTACTCCAAGGGGTCGCTCCCCTCCCCGACCCCTCCAGCCATCCCCTCTGGGTGCCACTCCGCTATCTGTTTTCCGCAGGGACGCGCCCTTCCAGTGCTCCCTGCCTCGTACCAACACGAGGAGCTCTCCTGTTGAGCATGGGGGTATCAAACACAGAGGTGGATCACTACGGCAGAGTGCGGGAGGGAGTGCAGGTGGTGGTGGGTGGAAGAGGGTGGAAGGGGAGGGACTTTATAAGGGAAAGCATGCCTCTCACAGGTTGGTCAGGGCAGCAACAGTCAGCAGCTATGCCAAAAGAGAGGACTACCACTCTGTTTGGGGTGAGGAGCAAGAGACAGATTTACCAGCGGCCCAGACGCCCAGGAAGACCTCCACCAAACTCCTGAGGAGCTTTGAGGGACGCCTGTGGGGTAAAGAGTCTGAAAACGAAAGGGAGGAGATGGATAGAGCTGAGTATGGCTACGGATGGAGGAGGAACAGTGTTGGAAGCTGGAGGAAGGAGCATAGAAAGACGAAGGCTTCATCCAGCAATTATGACAAGAGGCCAAAAGTAGACAACTCCCCCATCTTCTCAAAGAAGAGAGGGAAGGAAGACGGGGACAGACGCAGCTCCAGTCTCAGGCTCTCCAGGAGGGCTTTGTTTAGAAGCGAGTCCCAAGGCTTGTTGATGCCTCGTAACCAAAGTGAGGAGTCCACGAAGAGGGCACACTGGGTCTCCTCATTAGACGTTGGGCAAGGTGGCATGTACATCAGCAAAGGCGAAGGGGTGAGACTGCTGAGAGCAAAAGAGGGAGACAAACACCTCTCCTCCACTGCCAGTCTCTTTAACCTGTCCCGTTCTCAGAGCCTCGAGGGTAGTTGCCATTCCATCTCCCCTCTCTCCTCCCCTTCTTTTTCTCCATCCCCTCCGAGGATGCCCCTCCAGCGCTCTCGATCTCTTAGAGACTTGGGGAGGAGAGTCTTTGGCTCAATGAGATCCCTCAGTCTCAAGCGGAAGCCATCTAAGAAGTGACTCTTGTACAATAAATAAACATGACAGTAAATGCGTTTTCAGTGTTACCTTCAAACCACCGATCATGATGATGGTATTGTATTTCATGTAATAGAAGTGCTATCACTGCAAAACTTCAAGCTTCCAAGACGAATGATTGATCGAATTTTACGGCTTTTCTTTTAATGGACAGTATGTTTGTCAACCATCGATTAAGCCTTATACACTGACTTTGTTCTGGGCTTGAGGCATTCACTCTGCTTATTTCTTTGTACATTATAAAATCATGGATATTTTTGTAGCCCTGCAATCCTGTCAAATTTCTCCTAACTTGACCTGCAGCTTAATCTGGGTGCTTTGTAGCCAATCAAGTGCACTGCCTCAATATCTTCCTTAATGGCAATGTCTCCTTTTGAAGTTTGCAGCCTACAGTAGCACCAAGAGCACTGTAGGATGTTGAATTGCATCTTTTGGCAGTTTCTTTTGGAGGTTGCACTATTTATTTTCTCAAAACATTCTCAAAAAGTAAATGTTAATGAGTATCTGCAGATTTTACAGCAAGGGTGCTGTTTCAAAGGATTTGACATCTTGGTGGGAACATCCTTTTAGGATCGTTTTGATTGTTTCAACTAGTTATTGACTACAAGTAATAAGCAGCTTAACTACATTTTGGTTAAATCCTCCTGTAACATTACATATGAATGTGGATTTCTGCGCTTCTCTCCTGCATGCTGCTCTGTAACTTGTAAGGTGATAATAGCTATTGTGAGAATGTGATATACCTGTTTGTTTCTTGGCAATATTGCCTCTGAAGTACAATCATATTGGCCAGATCATGACCAAAACAAAGCAAATACTCTTTAACTTGATATAGTGCTCAGGATTTTCAAATAAATATTGAATGACTAAAATACTGATGATTGTTTGAGACAAGATGTGGCTTTTCATGGCTGATAACTATTAAAACATATGTGTAACTCAACTTGTCATGTTCATTTTATACCTAAATGACAAAGAATTTTACTACCAAGGACACCCAGGCCCAGGCATTTATAAAAAATACTTTATTTGAAAGAAAAGAGTAATCATTTAATGGACATTCACAGCACCAATCAGGCAGCAGGCAAGACAGCATTAACAGACCTTGAAATAGTGCACAAAGAGTCATGATTTAGCCTCCAAGAGCATTTTTGTGAAGTATCCAAACTCTTGCACTTGTGGACTAAAAATCAGCATTGTGTCCCTGTTGCTAGGAAACTGACACTCTCTTTCTCTCCTTTCTATTTTCAGTAGCATCATCTTTACTTTCCAAATGACTGCTCTTCAGTATTCTGTATGAAGCACATTTCTGCCTCATAAAGATCGACCGGGGATTTGGGATGACCATTCCCAGTAAACCCTGTGTTTGAGTAATCAAATTACTTTGGTTACTGTTCATCAGGTACTGTATGTCTGAAGGACAGCTGGCTTCAGTTTCCAGTAGTGCATTAAATGACAAGTGATAGTAAAGCATGATTTAGTGGTGATTCCGGTCCATGAGTCTGTGGTGACATGATGCATGTACATGTAAGCTAATTGAGTTGCGGCATGCGTAAGTTGTGATGGTAACAAGGAGGACTCGAGTACTTGAGCATTTGTCCCTATCCTTACTGGAGATCTTAACAGAAATTTAAGGTGTGAGAATATTCAGTAGTTGGTCTCCGTTTAATTGAGGCCAAAAACAGTCTGTCTCAGGATGCGGTCTTCATCAGCAGGTTAGACACCCTCATCTGTCCGGTGGGTTTTAGTAATCTGTTCTGCAGAGCTGCTTTTCAGGCTGGAGGAAAACATGCCTTGGCACATCGCCTTTTCTTTTTGTAGGTCTCTATTCAGCTTCTCTTCTGCCCGTTGTAGATGCTTCCTCACATTGGCATCTGTAACAGAAAAACACAGGTTTTGTTTTTAATAGTTTATAAATAAACCTGTCTTGTCTTGTCATGTACTAGGTCTTGTAAAATAAACAGTAAATTAACTGACAAGTGAATTGTTCCTGGAACATTTTATCTCGAATATGAACGTAACAGAGCCGAGAGGGTGGGTCTAAGTCGTACCACTGGCATCAATAGTAAAAGAAGTGTTGCAGAGGTGAGAAAGCATCACTGTGAACTGGCGGTACAGTGCTGTCTGCTCGCTTACATCTGAGTGTGTGCACGTACAGTTTATCTAACTTTATGTGTGCTTAAGTAACACCACAATGTCATGAGAAATCATGCAGTTGGACTCCAATGTGCCGTTTTGAATTAGCACAAAGGCATTATGGCACTGTTGCAGGCTCACAATATGATATGGGGACCAGACATGTGATGGGTAAGTGGTCATGTCATCAATATCATAGTAGGAGTTACCATTTGAGCCCATTGTCACTTTTTTCTTTAAATTTTAGATGGATATTAATCATGAGGCAGGGAACAGGATCAGTATATTCAGTGCAGAGACTCGCTGCCACCTCTTCATGTGACTATTATGACTACCTGTTGAGCTTTCAGTGCTGTCAAAACACATCTAGAACACAACTGGCCTGACACATCTTGGGTACACTTTGACAAAGGTACTAAAATCATGTGGGTGGTCCTGGTGTGCCAGCTCTTTCCTTACCATTAGGCTGAGCTCTGCAGGCCTGAGAGAGGTACTTTTGGGCGGTCTGTGCATCTCCCATCTCCAGAGTAGCTACTCCCGCCCTGTATAGTGCTTTGACATCACCTGGTCGCCACTGCAGGACCCGCAAGCTGTAGTCTTTCACACGAGTGTAGTCAACTTTCTGTCTCTGCAGCAAACAGGCTGAAAGAGAAATACATGTGCATATCTAATAAAAATATTAAATAAACTACATACACTAGCCAACGCAATACACTAAGAATGAGCTCCTTTGAACGAGACCACTGCTTTATTTCAGAAGGGTGTTCTTTCAGGGCCTGTTTACAATTAAATTAAACTACGACCTCCTTGTGGATCTAGTTTTCTAGCCATTGTGTGATGTGACAATGGTATGCTGGTGGAGTCCTGGCAGATGCAATCTGGCTGGTAAAGCCACAACTCTTTCACAATCCATAACAACATACTTAGAGACAAAATGTCAAAGATCCCTCATGCAAGTACAGTCCACAGGCCACACAGGAACTGACTCTTGTGTTGATTAAGAGGACCTTCGTGGCACCAGCTAAATTATGCCAACTTCTTACAGTGACTGGGCCAAATCCCATCTTAGGTTGGGTCTTGATAATTTATCAAACAATGAGCGTGGTCTAGACCTGCTCTTTTTCTTTGGAAAGCGTCTTGGGATGACGGCTGTTGTGAATTGGCGCTATATAAATAAAAATGGATTGACTGATTGAATCACCAAGCTGCTAACTACAACTGCAGAAATATGAAGTATATATATTTTTGTTTGACCCCTGTTCTGTTATAATGAAGGAGGTAAAGTCTAGGGCAGGGGTAGGCAACCATGTGCCACGGAGAGCAGAGAGGCTGCAGGTTTTCTTTCCAGCCCAAAACTCCACCAGGTGATTTCACTGACCTGGTGGAGTTTTGGGCTGGAAAGAAAACCTGCAGCCTCTCTGCTCTCTGTGGCACATGGTCGCCCACCCCTGGTCTAGGGTGAAGACTACTTTTTAAATTGACCCTTGTTCTGTTATAATAGAGGAGGTGGTTCATACTGTAAACACTAGCCAAGTGGAGCCCTGAAATCACAGCTTTCCATGAATGGCTGGCTGTTGTTTTATCAAATCTCTTCACAGTGAATCTGTGTTTGTTTTCGTGTTATTATGAATGTTTATGTTGTCATTTTAGTGCAGTTTCCCCCCCCCATGTGTTTTTATCTACCAGCTAAGTTGTTGTAGCAGTCCACTTGAGTATTCCTCAGTACAGTCTCCTGTTCGGGTGTCAGAGCAGGTGCCTGTGGTCCGAACCCTTCCACTGAGGCCATTACATCTGAGTCCAGGCCTCTGAGGACCAGCAGAGCACGGTGATAGCGCCCGATGGCAGAGCGAATGTTTCTCTCTCTATAAAACGCGTTTCCTTCTGTTTTCATCTGGGTTGCCTCTTCCAGTGAAGTCCAGACTGGCTTTGCAGGAGTCCGCACTGGTCTTGAAAGGCTCGGCTCCTCTGCTGCTGCTGCTGCTCCCATACTCTCCTCTCCCCCTGCAGCCTCCATTTCTGCACAGTTAGCTGCTGCAACACAAGAGTAAACATGCTGTTATTTTAAAAACAAATACACGTAAGCAGTTACTATACATAAAACACAGGAGAAGAACCTCAGCGATCATTGTTTCAGGTCTCACAACAACACATATTAAGGCACCAGCTAAAGTATGCTAACCTCATTTAACGATACACACTTTTCTACCCTCTACGTCTGACAATCTGAGGCTTTGACGTGTTTTAAAGATTCTTAAACATACCTTCACCTAATACGGCACTTGAAACAGAAATCACTTCAGCTGCAGCAACTTCTTGCGTTTTACGACTGTCGCTACCCGATCCGTCCAATATTCCCTACTCGATCCGTCCCGGAAGCAGAATGTTTTTTTCGTAGGACGGTAGGGTAAGGTCCCGCCCTCCTTCGCCTCTCATTGGCTAGAAACGTCATCACACGCGCAAACCAAATGCGGGCTGTCGGCTCTGTACATCAAACAGAACATTACAGAACATTATCGCACTTCTGAATCTCCTAACCCTAACGTAACCCTAATCCTAACCCTAATCTTAACCCTTAACCTAACCATAACCCGACAGACCGTGACGTTTCACAGTCATAAAGAATAACCAATTGGAGCCCAGCACTTCTGGCCAATTAGAGGCGAAGGAGGGCGGGACTTTCCCCTACCATCCTACAAAACGCGTCTCGGAAGCAGGATTTTTCTGTAGGATGGTATAGGAAGGTCCCGCCCTCCTGTAGTTTCTGAGTATTTAGGCTCCTTTGGTTCGAATTTGAAAGCAAGTCTCAAATGGCAGATTTATCATTTTTCATGTTATTGTTTGGCAAACAGACTAACTTTAGTACAGTAAAATATTATGACAATAAACGTTCGGGGTTTTTCTAATCGATTACAATAAAATCAAAAAATATAACATACCATCCATCAGCCTGATTATTCAGTCGACCAATTAACAAAAATCTGGTACATAACTTTTTTTCAAGAATGTTTTATTGCTGAAAAATGTGTTTGTGGATGAACCGACACGTGCATTAATTTTTGAGACAAACGTCACACCGTTTTCAAGATACGCACACACACAAGTTGAGGATATTCACATGTGTGGAGAACACCCCCTCTCTCATCCACTGGGCGGCAGTGTTGCTCCTTCTGTTAAGAGCATAGACTGTGAGGAAGCTGATTGACAGCTATCCACCTTAGAAGTGGGATAGCTGTCAATCATCTTCTTCACAGTCTATGCCCTTAACAGAGAGACAGAGAGTTCTTTACACAAATGTGGTCAAGTTTAACAACAAATTAAACTCGACTAGGAAGGAGAGTGAAAGAGGAAACAAACAGTATCTTTTTTGTGTGTGCACATGACTCGGAGGGTTAGGCGACTGACTGGGACCTCTGAGGTTGTGGGTTCAAACCTTATCCAGGATGAATTTTAAAGTCCAGGAGCCATAGCACCAAATTAAAAGCGTGCAGAGCTCATCCCCAAGTGTGGATGGTATCTGGTGGCGCAGCGTGGTAGACAACTGGCACCCAAATGCAAGTTAAGCGGGCAACCCTGGTACAAAGGACATCCTGAAGCAAATCTTGGGGAACCAGGCCTGGGGGGTGGGGTTCCATCCCGATGTTTCCGAAGAGGTTAAAGAGGGAGCTCATGAGACAGGAAGTCAGAGGTGGTTGACATTTTGAAGAAACCAAGTCATCAATGTAATGACTATAGACTACTATACCATGACATAATAACATAATAGATTATAGTATAGTCATATAGTCATCACGATGACTGTACTAGTTTATATAGTATAGTCTACAAGTCATCACTTTTCTAATAATCACTTTGTCATCTAGTCGACTGTTGTTCAATTCCCTTACAGTGTAGATATTAAACAGGTTCTTCATTTGATCCTGGATAAACAATTTCAGTTAATTGTGCAAAGCATGAACGATTTCTCCATTTGACCCCAGACCTCTGAACAGCAGTTTCAATGTTCCTTTACTCTGGATGTTTCCAGCTCACACCTAACCGAAGCTTTTCTTTTCAAGGTGAAATTGTATTTTTCTTTTCCACGGTGGTCTGTATGGCAAAATACAATCTCTCCTTTCTTTACCCATGTGTTTGCCACCTTTCTTTTACGGGTTTAATGAGGATTTCTATGTTCTCTGACAGCCAATACTGTTAGGTGATTTAAGTTCTTTCCTCCAACGCTGATGAATTACCGCCACCCTCTGGATAGGAGAGCACACCGCATTCATGCATCTTTTCTGACATAGTCCTACTATGGCTGTTCAAAAATGTACAAGTACAAATCTATAATACCTAAATTCTATTTTTATCTCTCTGATCTACAGACCAAATACCCTGTAACTTTATGCGCAAAACAAATAATAGAGTTTTCAAACACTGCTTATTACGTAAATGTAAGTAAACTGAAGCTGTCAAACTTGTTCAATTGATAAACAGATATACTGATGAAAAAGAACATGCAGTCTTCACTGTGAAAAATATGTTATTATGTATTCTAAATTAAATTATTAGATTTTTAGAAAAGTCACAATAGCTTAAATGTGAATAAACTAACTTGAAGGTGTGAGCTTGATGACAGTAGATCCAATCCTCTGGTTGGATCCCTTTCTTAATAATAAAACAATCTAACTAAAGATATTATATACTTGCACTATTTCAGAGTGTTGTAGGAGTCAGCACAGCTGCTTCAGAGTGGGGAATCATCAGAGTCATTCAGCCTGCGAGTGAAAACAAGAGTGATGCAAACTCACTGAGCAAGAAGATATGCAGACTAGGTTAACTGAGGAGTGAGAGTGCTGTGATAACACGTGGTTTTTTAGAGAGTCTTTTGATGAAGTGTAACCAGACCTCTTGTTTTAGCACTCAGACACTCTACAGCTTCCTCCACCCACACTGACCTCTGGAATCTCAAACCCTCTTACGTCTCATTCAGAGCAGGGAACACATGGAGGCCACGCAGTGAAACCCAACTGGATAAGTCTGTTGTTTTGTTAGCTGTGACCACTGGCTGGTTTCCTGGATGTTTGCGTGTGTGTGTGTGTGTGTGTGTGTGTGTGTGTGTGTGTGTGTGTGTGTGTGTGTGTGTGTGTGTGTGTGTGTGTGCGTGTTGGTGAGATGTCTATCTTGTCTTATCATCGGCCTTCACTATCTCTCCATGTAATCTGGGGATGTTAGTCTGAGGATTACAGAGGATTTGCTCACATCAGTTCGAGCCTCAGTTGTGGATGTTGTGTTTTCAGCTTTGATGCCCTCAGATAAGAAAACAAAAACCTTTGTTCAAGTAAAGAGAAGTCACTCTCCTTCAATATCAGCAGTAGATCCTTTAGGCCTAAACTGTTCGAAAAAGGAGCAGGAGTAAGATATGGTCTCTAAATTGGTGCAGGGGGCGGGGGATTGAAAGAAAAGGCACAGGGGGTGTTTCTCGCCCCTCTCTCCTCTTTTCTCTCTGCCTGCTGGTCTCCTTGGTCACTCTCACACACAGACACATCCTCACACCCACACACACAAACACTGACGAGGGGCTCTGTCCTGCTATGGCCTCCACCACCAACGACACCACTGCCGAGGAGATCTCTCCAGTCCCGGCCCATAAAGCAACTGAGCAGCCCGACTTGGAAATTAGTGTAGAACCCAGCTCAGCAGTGACGCCTGAGCCCAGCAAGGCCCAACATGACAGTGAAGAGAATGAGAATGAAGAGGAGAAGGAAGGTGGAGCGGGATCTGAGCAGCAGGAGGAGAAAACGAGAGGGCAGGACCCGGAATGGGTGGAGGAGAGGTTCAGGATTGACCGGAAGAAGCTGGAAAACATGCTGTACGGTGAGTGACAGAAGCAACTTCTCCCCTTTTTTAAACAGATTTTTCTCAAAGTTATCCCCTCCTGTGTGTTCTTCCTCACTGCCTCTGCTATCTACTTGACCCTGTGTGTGAGTCACAGCCTCCAGCTGGCTGCACCCTTGTTGTTTCCATCAGTATAACTTGAATCCACTAAACTCCTCTTGCAGTGTCACAGTGATTTATGACCTGTAGCGTTGTATGCATTCAATAGTCATTTATGCTATTATCATTGCTGCCTGTGAAGCAGGGGAAGCTGCCTCTGTAACTTATTGCTGCCTGGCAGGTTTATGACAAATGCCTCTCCTGTAAAAGTGCCTCTGACAGTGTGCCGCTGATGCAGATAGAGGCTGATGTTTGTCCTCGCGCAGACTCCTGATGGGAAAGCTGGAGTGTTTCCCCTGATAACAGCAGGCTGTTTGAGCGTGTGTGTCAGGTGGGACTGTGTATCTGAGCAGCCTCAGTCAGGGAGTAAATATCTCACCCCTTCAGGTGATAAGCTGTCGGAGTGCACTTGAGTCTCCACTCTGAAATGATGAGGAGTCTTTTTTTCTTTCTTAAATCCTCTCTTTGTTTAGAGGTTGTTTTTTTTAATATTACCGTCAAGTGGGAGGTCTTTGCGTCACCAAATGCCACAATGTGATTAGCTGTCTCCAGGCTAATTTGTGGTCGCACCCCCCGACCACCACCTTCTCTCTCCACCCCGTACTGTTCTCTTCCCATTCCTCAGCTTTGGCCAGCGTAACCCATAGAGATGGAGGGGGGTTTTGAGGGCGTTTCTGGGTGTCCCCCCAGTACCCTGTAAATGTCACAGAGGAGCGATGGCCTTTTAAAATTGTTGATGTTCCCGGCAACCTTTTGTTGCAGTTGCTCGGCAAATTTGAACCAAGTCCACATTTGCATGTTGACTTTACACACGCTGTAAACAGAAGAATATTGTGCTGCTGACCAACAGCCCATGAACAAACCACACGGCGGGGACTGTGAATTTCATCTGTTTGCTCTTTACTGTCTTTCAGCTCCACAGAACGGAAATGGTGAGACAGGAGAGCAATTTTTTGAGAGAGTAAGTACAACTTAACACCGAGAAAAGTTTTGTCAACTTTAGAAGACTAAACAATAAAGCAAATTTAGCACCTGGTCTCAACAAAAGTTACGTATAATCACTGCTACACAAAGCCCGCTGGATAAGTGTAGCTTATAGATAATTGGGATCATTCCTGACACCATTTTAACATTTGTTCTATCTTCTGCATCCAGTGATTACTGGTTTTACTGAGGTGGTAATTACAGTCTTTGAAATGCAAATAAGGCTTTGTATTCTTTGACTGAATACTGTGTCTGGATGTGTTTGTTCTATGATTGTATCCGTAGGAGAGAGTGTGTATTTTCTTGGTATACAATGACTGTCTCAGCTTTGTTTGACACACGCTCCTATTGTGTGTGCTTCAACAGGTGATGAAAGAAACAGACACTCAGGTGAAATGGCCGTCCAAGCTGAAGATTGGAGCAAAGTCAAAGAAAGGTGACGAATTCTTGTTATTTTTCTCCCACTATACCAGTTCTCTCTGTTTCATCACCATTCTGCTGGGTGTTATCTCTCTTATTGGTTTTACACTGCCTATTACTTTGAGCATACTTACATCTTAAACAATTAAACTGAATTGCTACTTCAATCTAGATCCACACGTGAAGGTGGAAGGAAAGAGAGACAACGTTTTAGAGGCAAAAAAGAAGATACTGGAAGTGCTGGAAACAAGGGTGAAGGCAGTTCTGTCAACTATAATCACATTTTTTTCACATTTTCAACTTTTCTATTGATTTCCTTCAATGAAAACCCTTTTTATCACAGAGTTTAGCATTCATATTTTAATCTTCTTTATTTAAAACAACCAGTTGTTGTTCTATATGATGGTTTTTCATAGTAAATCTGCCCCTATGGCTACCTGAAACTGTTATATGTGCATTGAATTTCCCTGCGGCACTGCTCCTATCCAATCCAGGTGAACAAGGTTACTCTAAAGATGGATGTGGCCCATACAGAGCACTCCCATGTCATAGGAAAAGGTGGAGGGAATATCAAAAAGGTGATGGAGGTCACAAGTTGTCACATCCATTTTCCTGACTCTAACCGCCACAATGCCTCTGGAGACAAGAGCAACCAGGTGAAAACAACTTAGGCAGACTATAAGTGAACCAGCGACAATCTGCTCATGAAAATAAATTAACCAGATTTTTTCTTCAACTTTTTCCAGGTCTCCATCGCTGGGCCTGTAGAGGGGGTGGAGGAGGCCAGAAGAAGAATAAGAGTGAGTGATAAACAGTGTCTGACACAAAGAAGACAGGCAAATTGATCATTTCTGTCTCTATGTCTAACAAGTGAATTTTTTCCCTCCCCTACCCTCTATGCCCCACCTCTGCTTTTTGTTTACCCTCCACACTTCCATGTCCCAGGACCTGCAGCCATTGTCCCTGACCTTTGACCTTCCTGTTAGCTTGGTGCCCCAGGCTCTGCCAGATGCCAGCTCTCCCTTCATACAGCAGGTAGTGCAGACTTTGGGGGTCAGTGTGAGCTTCAGGGCTGTGCCACCGCATCCCCAGGCACAACCAGCTTTCTATGAGAGCTGCTGCACCGTGTGGGGCCTTCAGGGCAACGCAGCTGCTGTCAAGGTTGGTGTCAGACATTCCCAGTTCAGACGCAGACATTTAGACTATCTGCCCACAGCAACTGATAGTGTTATTGGTAATTCTGGTACCTTGTTACCACATAAATGTAGTACTTGTATTTCCTCCTGCTGTCATAACCAGACCAGAACCAGACAATTAAAGCTAAACTAAACCTAACATACCCAGTTTAACATCAGATCATGATCAGTCCTGATATGATTGTCATAATACTCTATGTGTATTTACAACCTGCAGAAGGCAACCTGCATCCTGATGGATCTGCTGCTGGGGTCAGAGGTCACAAATGGCGTTGTGAACAGCCAGTTGGATGTCACCTCCCAGCAGCACCTCTTCCTGCTCGGTCAGAATGGAGCTCACTTTCTGAGTGTCATGCACCAGACCCAGACCCAGATCATCCTACCAGACCTCAGCGCCCCTCAGAGCCCCTCCTCACTGCTCATACAGGGCAGCCCTGATGGCGTGTGCCTTGCTCGACAGCAGCTCATGGTACAGTGTAACCTCAATTTTATTTCTTACGATCTTGTGTCTCATTGATCTATATAAAGTATGATCTATAAATACAGTAAAAGCAAACCCTCCTTTTTCTATAGGCTATCTGATATTTTGAGCATCTATGTGATTATTTTTGCACATGTAGGACTGTCTGCCTGTGTGTCTGATGTTCGACATGCGTGAAGATGGGGAGGCAGATCCTTGCAAACTGTCTCAGATGATGCAAAACCTGGGAGTCTTCATCAGCGTGAAACCCAAAGTAAAGCAAACCAGCAAGGTAAAAATCTGATTGGTGATCGTTCTTTTTTTTTTTTTTTTTTTTACTGTGTTGTTGAAAGTCAACCAAATTTCAAAAAGACAGATACTTGTAAAGTTTTTTATGTTTTGAGTTCACCTAAAATCTTGAACATCAGTGTGGAGCTTTCGGAAAGACACTTCATACGTCATAAAAATAAATACCAAACATGTACTGAAATGTGTCACCTTAATATTTACAAAAGAGGATTAGGGCCACATGAAGAGAAAAGAAGAATTACAGGACGGAGATTAAAATCCAAATTTTAAGATTAAAGTCGAAATTTCAAGATTAAAAAAAAAATCAAAATTAGGGCGATAAAGTCGAAATTTCGAGATTCCAAATGTCGAAATGTCATAAATAATGTTGAAAATTTCAAGATTAAAAAATTCAAATTTTGAGATTACATTTAAAATTTCAAGATTAAAGTTGACATGAAAAGGTTGAAATTTCGACTTTTTAAAATTTCGACTTTAATCTCGAAATGGAAATAAAATAATATCCCTCTTGTAATTATTTTTTTCTCTTCTTATGGCCCTTAATCCTCTTTTTAGATATTGGATGTAATTCCCCCGCCCTGTTGTGCTGCTGACTACTGACGCACAACTTTGTTTTGGTGTGTACTTCTCAGTCAGTGGTGGTAAAAGGTCTGGAGAGGAACATCTCCTGTCTTTATGAGGCCCGTCGGCTGCTTCTTGGGTTGGATTCCTGTGAAACCTCCAAGGTAACCGAGATGACCCCTGACCCCGTGCTGGCTGGCAGCGGACTCACACACTATTGGCTCAACATGTTATTGCAGCAGCTTCGCCTCTCTGAGCCGGGTGAGCATGTCACACATTAACATGTTTGTGTTTTTGTCCATTGAAGTGCCACAGACATCGGAAACCTTCAGAGTTCTGAGTTTAAAAATGTTTACGTCCAAGTTTAACCGTAACAGACTTTATTGCCCACAGCAGTTGCCCCTCCCCCCTCAGATCCAATTTAGAGACCCTGAGAGACTGGGTTAGAAGAGGCAGAAAGACAGATCCAATTTTAACTTCCTTGTCAGAAACAAAAACAAAACAACACAAAGCAAAACTAATAAAAATCCAGTTGTTTTGAAACTAAAATGCTTCCATACTTCCTCCAGCACTGACAAGAACACATCCTATCACAGTCTGTCTCTGAAAGATGTTATTTCTGCTGAAGAATGTGACGAACTTCACAAAAAGAGAAACAGATCATTTTTCCGACAGTGACGGCTCGTTCTTCCATCACAGTTTGGTATTTCTGCTAAAGCTCCTCTTTCTCTGCTTCATAAAGTAATTTGGTTTTTCTGTCCTCCCTTGAATGTTGTTTTGTTCAGCACCACAGTTGCACTCTGATGTTGTCTCTAAACTGAAATAAAGAACAATAGAAGCTTCAGACTCCCACTTTACAAATTCTGATTTAAATCATAACTTCTCTTTATTCACTTTCCTCTCTGCCCTTGGGGATTAAAGTTTCCTCTAAACTTGTGTGCAGTTACTTTGACTGGTTGTAAACTTGTTTCTATTATTTGTGTGTTTATCAGTTTTGAAAAGTAATTTGACCCTCTTTTTTTTATTAGGCTCTGTGTCTGCCCCCACTCCAGAGGTGCTGAGTGGCTCTAAGCCCCGTCCCACACCTCCACCAGGCCTCACCCCTCCTGCTGAGGATGGGAGGACAGGACTAAAGGGAAATGACAGCCGGCCACTTGAAAAGGTCTGTTAATAGATCGTTGCTGTAACAGATTTATTCCTCTTTATGACACTGAGTTGAAATTTAATAACCGAGTCCTCAACCCTCTCTCCTCCTTCAGATCCTTGAAAATGAAGACCTGTCCAGCCAATCAGATGACGACAGCCCGGTTAATGGGATGTCATCAACTGAGATGGGTGATGTGGTCAGCAGCATCAGCAGGGTGGCGCTGATGGGTCGGAGGGGGAGTCTCCAGGGTCCTGAAGTTAAAAAGGTCTTTGTCCAGGGCAGGCGTCATTCAACAGGGCAGGCATTGACATACAGGTGAGATTTAACACGCATTAAAGAATGAGTATAAACCTAAATTATGATCTAGAAAATGAGTGGAAACCAAAGTTTTGTGCCGAGATGAGTCCTTTAAATGACTTTGACCAGATGTTTTTTCTTTTCTGCTGCAGTAAAGCTAATCTACACACGAACAATAGAGACCCCCTCCTGTGCCTGATCTGTCAAAAAATGATAAATCTAGCTTAGACAGGAAAATGAAATGGAAGAAGGGCAGCTTGTTGACCTCATATAAATTTTCCTTTTAGCTGAGTCGGAGCGGAATAAAAGCAGCAGCTCCTCTTTGATACCGTCTATAATTACAGAGCATCATTACTCTGTCTTTGAAATCCTCTAATAGTTGCTATCACAGCAACACCTTACACCCCACTTGCATTTGTGTGTGTGTGTGTTTGTGTGTGTGTGTGTGTGTGTGTGTGTATGTGTGTGTGTGTGCGTGTGTTTGTGTGTCCTGAACGTGCCAGATTGCTGAATGCAGAGATGGAGGGAGGGAGGAGTGAGTGGAGGAACAGCCTGAGGAGAGATGTGATGCTGGCTCAGGATGTTACAGCTGACTCATCCCAGGCTGAGGTGAGGAAAAACAAGAAGTGCAGGTCTATTTTATTGCCTCAACAAAAAGACGCAGTACATCTGTGGACGTCTATATTTGGGCAGCTTGTAATTCTCAGAGGAACAGCTATGAAGTTTTCCTGAATCCTTGAAAGACTTTTGACAGTGGAGGTGCGGAAGCTATCCAGTGGTATTAACTTATGGAGGAAGTGTGTAAAAGAAAGAAAGAAAGAAAGAGACAAAGTTCAAGTCTTAAACTTCTCTGTATCAAACTGGAGAGAAAGTGAAAAGAGAGGCAACATTTTATTAGCGGTGTTGTGTAACCTTTCGATATACACACCCCTAACCCTGTTGCTATCTGATTTTGAGAGTGAATTCCTGTGTTTATTTGCTACCCTTCTCGCTCTTAAAGGTTATTGCACTGTAGATTAATGAGTTTACGTGCGCAGCAGCAGGATGTGTTTGGATAACTGTTCTCAGCAACTGGAATTTTCAATTTCATGCATTATTTACTCCCCCTGTTTTTCTTTTTGTGCTCTGTAGGATTATGACTATGAGAAGAAGAAACTGCTGGCGACTCGAGGTTAGCACGTTTAATGCTTTTTTTACCAATCCTTTGTTTGAGTGGTCCTGCAAAGACTTGTGCAGCAATGATCAGGGCTTTGTCTTGCAATGTTTTTATTGATCAACGGTTGCAGCCAACTGTGAACGATTCATTTTGAATAACACTTGCATGCAAATCCATTTTATACACATTTAAATTGCTTTTTTTAACTTGTTTAATGGCCACCTTTGCACAGCCTAGGAGTTAAACAGGACGAGTAAATCTACCCAACTGTTCAAACATCATTTTGGAGTCATCTTGAAAAATACAACCATTTTTTTGGGGTCATTTTGTTACCAAATGTGATTTAATGTCTCATGATTATCTGTGATAAAGAAGCCTTTTTAGTTTATTTAAGCACATTAGCGAGGGAACACATTAATATCCTGAGCAGACGCACACACTTGATCTCTGTGCTGCTCACTGCCAACATGGCTGATGAAGGGGACCTGTTTATGTGCTGCACCGTGCCAGAGTTAGAATAGAGCTGCACCGACACTCCCCCTAGATTCACACATGGTAGATTCTCAATGAAGACAACAAACATGCATCCAAAAACAGTGTGTGGGTGCACTCTTTTGCACACATGCATGCAGGAAGGAAACACTCCCTAATCCATCTTGCAGAATGAGAGATGCTGCAAAGATCTGCAGCCAAATGTTACTGAATTCCCTCAGTGTTGCTTTATGGGATTATGAATTAGCAGTTTGAATGGGCCATCTGCCTCACAGTCATTAAGACACCCATATGCCAGTGTATGAATGGGACATTTACTCACACAAACACACATACACACACAAAGACAGCCCCATGGTTATGATCCGATTGGTATCACACCCCTCAGAGAACTGTTACAGGTTTTATCACGTTCACACACTGGTTCTGTCTCAGTGCTTAAAGTAGCTCAGGTTTGCTTATCTGTCAGTTGAGACTTGGTTTCTGTTGAAGTCTCTGCATCGAGAGTTTCTGTGAGTATGCAACATAGTGGAATGGGAAGTACTGTTTGTGGTTTATTATTTCACACCTGAGTCCAGTTTGAGTCAGTGGAGTGGAGAAGACTAGCGGTGCTTTTTAATAAAGGATGGACTGTAACTACAGCTAACAGGTGGTTCATGAACTTGCAGCAGATGTAATCCTCAGGAGCGGACCAGGGGCACATCAGTGGAAAAAAAGAAAGTTTGTTATTCAATTAGATGTAATTGATTAGGGAGAAAGACAGCTCCAAAATTAAAGCAAATTAGCAACTGTTAGCCCACATGCCAGCTAGGGCTGGGAGATAAAACAATAATGATATATACTATCTATATATGGAAAATTAATTTCCCTTAATGTCAATATGAAACATGGTCAATATGCTCTTCGATAACCGACATTCTGCCATGTTTTGGTAGACTATACGAATAGCCAATGAAAAGAGGAGTTTCTCCAGGTCCGCTGAACCAATCATGTGCTGAATTAGAGCCAAGTAGCAAACAACTGCGTAGTAGCAGGCTGCAGCTACACGCAACCACAGCACTTTAACAAATGGAGCCGACAGCACAGTCGGTGAGGAAAAAAGAAAAAGAGTGCTGCCCTTGGCAGAAATGCAGATGAAGGCTCAACAGATTATGACATCGTTGACAACACTGGCAAGAAAACGTCGATGGTGTGGAGGAATTTTGTTTGTTTGAGGTCGGCAAGATTAGGGAATACCTCAAATCTTTTCACCACCTGAAGTAGTGCCACGTGGCAGAGCATGCACAATGCAAAAGGTTACAAACCCTGAGTGGAGCAAGGAGCCCATGGCGCCTGTGCAGCCGAAACAGCCGACCACTCAGTCTGCTTTCTCTGGTGCAATGCCATACAACAAAATGTCGAAGAGACACAAAGACCTCACAGATGCAGCAGCTTACTGTATTGCAAAAGACATGCTGCCAATAAGCACTCTTATATTTCATTTTTTAGATCATGATATCGATTGATATGAAAAAAACATATTGTAATAAACTTTTTCCCATATTGCCCAGCCCTAACGCCAGCTAATGCCAATGCTTTAGCTCCTAGCTTGTTTTTGCCACCCTGGAAACATGCTCAAAGATCTTGTGAAGACTATTTCTTTGTTTTTCTGTCTCATGTCAGCCATGCAGAGGAAGCCTGTGGTCACAGAGGTGCGGACGCCCACAGACACATGGAGTGGTCTTGGTTTCTCCAAGTCTATGCCGGCCGAGGCTGTCAAAGAGCTGCGCAACATTAGCCGACGCAGCTACAAACCCTACCTGAGCACCATCAACAGCCAGCAGCAGGTATGGATCAAGTGACAACCCCCGGTCTTGAGAAATGAAACTGATGCAAAAGTGCTAAAAACTGCAGTTCCTAGAGTGCCCATTAGAGGCTAGCTACAGAAACCTAAAAGATAATTTTTAAGTCAAAAATAAACATGTTTGCAACCTTGTTGGTGAAACTGAGACCACCGGTTGAGCCACCATTTCCAATATGGCGACTGTCACCAGTAGATTTCAAATACAAACAGATGGTTGACGTCACTGATGCTCCTCCATTTATCATACAGTCTACGGCACCAAGTTAGCATCTGATTAAACTAACTGGAAAAAAAACAGGCTCAGCAATTTGACTGTTAATTCAAGCTCCAGGGGGGTTAACTCATCTACTTTTACCAAACTTAATTTCCTTTAAGCTGCCATAGCTGTTTTTTTTTTTTGTTGCAGTGCAGTGAAATAAGCACCCTGCTGCGGCCCACCAACACGGCCTCATTTATCGGTCTTGGCCTGTAACACTTTAAAGCATTTATCTCCCTGTGTGGTAAGCACTGCCAATTTGTACGCTCAATTACCTGGGGTCTGATACCATCACCTCAGTCAGCACAGCCACTCCTCAGCAACCTGTTTACCTGTTTCAGCTCTACATTAAAGGACGGCTGAACGAGCGCTCTCTGAATGCTCAGTAGGCAGTGATTGAAATGCAGACACTCTTAGATTAACAAGAGCAAGGATATCAATGAGTTTAATTTTTCCTTTGACCCAGAAAGCTGAAGGGGGAGAGGCTGGTTTTATTGATAATTTACATCAAGAGAGTGTTAGCCTCGCAGATAAAGTCAACAGATGAGGTGGTTTAAAAACAAGAGTACTCACCTTTCTTGTGTAAACGGTGGATCGATGAATATTTTATCCTCTGAAACTGGCTGCACACACTGCACACAAGACAATTTGTGATTGCTCTGTCCCCTGACTTCTCACACTGGCAGGGAAGAAAAAAAGGATGAAATAAAGTGGATACTGGCAGGAGAACAAGGTGCTGCTGAGACATGTTAGCAGAAGAAAGAGAAGCTTGTTAATATTTAATGTCTTTACTCTTTCTCTCGTTTTCGTAAAGACTCGAGTCACACATGGGGGGAAGCTCTGCAGCGGCAGTGACTCTGACAACTGGAGAGACCGACGTGGATCCACACCTTCATCCTTACCAGTGTCCGCCTCCTCCTCCTCTTCATCCTCTTCCTCCTCCTCCCCTTCCTCACCTCCATCTACATTCTCCTCATCCTCTTCCTCCTTCCCTGCATTTGTATCCTCGGGGAATAGAAGCAGAATGGACAAACACTGTAAGTCTCACCTTTGTGTGCTTTTAAAGTCCAAACAGTTTGTCTCAGCTGCTTTTAACCCATCTTTTTCATCTTTCGTGTGCAGCTGAGAGCTTCTCAAACGGCTACTTTGAAGGCGGGTGCTCATCACGGAGGGCATCAACCTGCAGTCAGAGGAGCCCATCCCCCAAAATGATGGACGACCTGCCTGAGCTGCTCAGCCAACTCGGCCTGATCAAATACATTGATGTTTTTGAGCAACAAGAGGTAGAGAGACTCTTGTAATGAAGCCTTTTCTTAGTGTAAACATTTTATTAGTATGTGAAATATATACTTACATTAACCTATGCATAAAAAACAGTGGTTTAAAGATTGGACATCTGCACGGGGGTAAATGCTGCAGAGCCTGAGAGACTGTTTGTGTAGACCAGCAAACACACTCTCAGTGAAATTTCTCATGCAATATTAATGAGCACCGTGATGCAAACGTTATCTACACTTCAGATTGACTACCAGACATTCCTCACCTTGTCTGATGAAGACCTGAAGGAAGTGGGCGTCTCCACATTCGGAGCCAGACGCAAGATGCTGTTGGCGATCTCAGGTGAGAATCTGATTTCCAAGCTTGGACTCAGATCTGCTTCTCCATCTGTGGAAGTTGGCTCTTTCCTGCTCTAGTGCAGTGAAATTGATCAAGTCATTTATCTTCCTTGCCCAGACCTGAACAGGAGCAAGAGGAGGCTGTCGGATACACCCGCAGTGAAGCCTGGCTACCTGGAGGGTGGTGCTAGCGGTCGACTACCACGAATCATGGATCTGGAAGTTGGCGCTCAGAGTAACCGCTGGTGAGAGGAGACCCGACTTAGCTTCGAGGTACTCCTCTCCAACGTTACGCTCACTAGCCTCTAAGAAAGTAAACAGTGATGCTGCTTCCATCTGTTATTTATCAATGACACATGAGCATGAAGACACCCTGAGAAGGTGTAATGACTGAGTAACTTTGAACGCAGTGCCTTTAACTTACAGCCCAAAGGTTTTTATACACAAAGACAAGGAGGTATTTTTCCTCCACGCCACAGATACTGCAGGAAACAAACTGTATGAAACACGATAAAGACTGGACCACTTTGGTTTTTGTGGTGACTTTTATCATTATTAAGTGCCTTTCACCTGAAAGCTTTTACTTCTGTGTTTAAATGACTACATTTATGCAATTGTACATAAGGATTTTAAAATTGCTTGACATTGTAATAAAGTAGTAATGACAAATAAATTGTTGATCTCTGCGTTAGTCCATGTAGACTGAGAAACTTATTTTCCCGCCTCTATTACTCTGTTCAAAGCAGATCCCACTGAGCTTTTTTTTGGTCTTAAAGAGGTCTAATAGATGTCTAAATGTAGCCTAGACCAGTGGTTCTCAAGTCCAGTCCTCGAGGCCCACTGTCCTGCATGTTTTGGATGTTTCCCTGCTCCAACACACCTGATTCAAATGATCAGCTCGTTATCAAGCTCTGTAATGGCTTGATAACGAGCTAATCATTTGAATCAGGTGTGTTGGAGCAGGGAAACATCCAAAACATGCAGGACAGTGGGCCTCGAGGACTGGACTTGAGAAACCACTGGCCTAGACGACTGGTCTATAAATTATAGTTTTTTATCTTTGTCTTGGTCTAAATTTGGACCGAAATTAGACCAAGTGTAAATCTGGGCTATATCTATACTGCACTGTATACTGCTCAATGACTATCATAATTATTTTGGTTAAGTACTTGGAGATCAGTTATGCAACTCACAGTTGCTTTTTGAAATAAATAGTTATCAATATATGGGTTAAAGTGCAACATCTAAATTTCATCTAAAAATAAACAGAATCTAGACGGTTGAAATTAGGTCTAAAAAGAATAACCGTCTGTTGCTCATTGGGATGTTATCCACTGCAGTGTGAGCTGGTCCTGTACTCAAAGACAGGCACAGACCACTAGAGGGCACTGGTGTCACACACAGTCTTTGAAAATTCAAGTCACATTTCTTTAGCATGAAAAATATGTATTTGTTTGAGGAATAAACAAAGACAGCATCACTGAGCCTACCGGAAAAGTTGGATTAAGCTCGGAAAAAATATACACTTGCATTTATCAGATAAGGAAACAATGAGCAAAAGGACAAAAGCCTTGAATGGTTTGAAAGTAATATGATGTTCTTGAAATGTTAATTCTCTCACCTGCATGCTCTGATTTAATTTATCACTGCTGTCAAGAGTGAATTCACTGGAACAGCTTATGAGTTGTTTAATTTATTTAACAGAGGGCTTCAACCAGCTCTTTAGTGCTTCCAGAGGGACCTCACAGGCAGAGTTTTAACAAGAACTGAATAATCTCTTTGTAAATGTGCAACTTTGGAATAGTGTTTTTGGTTACCACGTCAGAGCAAGTGATCCAGGAAAACCTCCGCTGGGGGGCACGACATGAGGGGGTCTGATCCGTTCAGATGCTCCACAAGCTGGCAGGTGTAGCTGAAGCCAGGCACGGGAGAACGAGAGAGAGAGAGGGGGAGAGAGAGAGAGAGAGAGTGAGCGTGGAAGTGGTGGGCTGTGACAGATTAGTGAGAGATGATCCCTGCTTATTACAATGTCTCTGCCAATTACATAGGCAGGCTTTAGACCAGTGATCCTCAAATCTGGTCCTCGGGCTCTGGAGCACTGCTGGATTTCTCTTCTGTCAGGTACTTAATTGCTCTCTCCTGTGGCTCGGGCTTTAAATCGGTGCTTGATCACACAGCTCAAATGAAAACTACCTGAAAGAACCTGCAGCACTCTGGAGCCTGAGGACTTTGGAGGGCTGCTTGGACTTTTCACAGGCTGAAGTGGCACTTTTGGCACAGGGCCCGGTAACATGGTGGGTACTCAAAATCATCCTGTAAGAAGACTCGAATAAATAGTTTTAGCTCCTCATCATGAAGAATGTAGTTCAAGTTTAAGCTTTAATATGGAGGAGTAGAACTAGAATGAATAAAGATGATGGTTTTAAAACCACTTTAATCGTTATTTTTATATTAAAAAACCATCAAATGATGTGCACCCTGCAGGTCAACTCAGCTCTAACAGAGTTTCAGTACGTTACACTTAATTGTTTTTCTTTTATGGCTCATTTTGCATCACTCTTTGTCTCATTAGTGTCGTGTCCAACCACAGCAGGCAGTTATTATTAGTCCTGACTACCAAATATACACCGTTTACCAGACAAATAAGTAAGCAAGTAGCTGGTAAACATGGAGGAGTATTTGTCAGTTCAGGAACTATCGATTAAATGTAGAGAATTAAAAAAAAAAAACAAGACACCATCCTGCCAAAGGGAAGAAGCTGAAAGAGAAAATGTGCGATGCATCTTGATTTTGATGGACTGTGGATACTGATGCTGGCACATTTCTGCATCTTCCTATAAGTGCACTCTCAAACAGAGATGGTTGAATATGACGGCACTCTGAGGATCAATATTAAAGAGAAAAGAAAAACAGAGTTTTAATGGCACACCCCCAAACAAGAGCACATTACACGGCAAACCCCATCATCATACTTTTTGTTGATGATCACCCATTGCGCTAATCCTCCTTCGCTTATTGTCAATCACTGGTTTCCATGGAGACCTGGCCTGGTGGGTGGATTCACCTGACAGTGAAACCATCTGTGGATAATAAAAAAGCAGCCAATAGAGAAATGAAACAGAGGAATGGAGTGCCTTGAGGATAAAAAACAACAACGCATCTCCCTGACTGAGATGAAGATTGAACTCACTCCAGGAGAGTGAGTGAGTGGGAGGGAGGAGGGAAAGAGAAACCGTAACAAGGGCGTTTGTATGTGAGCAAGTGAGTGTGAGGAAGAGGAGGAGGGGGGAGTGAGCGCTGGTGTGTGATAGACGAGCCTTTACTGTGGCTGAAGTTACAAGTTCAGACAAATGAATGAAACCATCTACAATCAAATCTGAAGACTTTGTGATTTGGTTATTTCTGATAATTTTATTAAGAAAGTTAAAAAAGTAGGGAACTAAAAGGGGAAGAATTTGATGTACTGAATTAATTAAGTTGTTATTTTTCTATCTGTTATTGTCATCTTATTTCTTATGATACCTTTTATAACTGGGCTGAGCTGTTCTGCTGTGCCCGATCAAGCTGTATCCCACAGGTGTCTTGAAGATTTTGGTTATAATACATGACAGGAACACGGCCTGTCGCAGCTCGTAACTCCATGACTGATCTGTAGAAATGGCCTTGGATTATGAATGTTTAGCTGTGTTATTGATTCTGTTCCAGCTGGCCGTGTAGTGCTGAATTATTTATAGAAGTTCTCAGGCTTATTGGAACCTCCATGGTAATAAAGTGAAGCATGTTTATTGGAGTTCCCGTAAAAAAAATCACAAGTCATTGAAAGTAGACATTTCCACAGTGGCCAGTCCGCCAGAGAAAAAGGAAGGAAGGAAGGAGTGAATTATTTTTCTGCTCTCTGAGAGGTAAGACTTACTGTGACACAACAAGCAAATATAGACAGATGAGTAGAGATAACCAAACTTTTGAAGATGAAGAAACACGTGTGACATCCAGAGACAGACAGTCAAAATTTTAGATTTTAGATGTTACTTCTTCTTTGACCTCTAAGGTTTCCTCAACTCCAGAAAGTGTCCAGTTTTCTAGCAGACAGGAGGCGGTGGATTTGTTGCCTCTTCAGTTTCTGATGTTTCAACTTGCTCCTCAGATCCAGAAGCTCCTGCAGCTCTCTCCTCTGCACTGGTGTTGGTCTCCATGTATAGCTGCTCTTCAAACATCTCCTCGACTCCTTAAAACTCCTCTCTTGTAAGAGCAGAAGAGCAAACTGAGTCCTCCAATTCTCTGGAATGAAAGCTCTCCTTCTCCACACTGGTCTGCTTTAAGACACTAATTTCTTCTGCCATCTTTTGGTTGATGACGCTCTTTCCAGTGTTCAAACTACAGACTTCAGTCTGATCATTTTCTACTGTGTCAGAGAGAGAGTTGATTTCAGTCTGGAGCTCCTGCTGTTGGCTCCCAGTGTGCTGTTTCACACTTTTCACATTTGTCTCCAGTTCTTCCTTGAGAAGTTTGTTCTTTCTTATTTCCTCCTGGAGCTCTGCTGTTAGTTCCTCTTGGTTTGCTTCATGGGCCACTTCAAGCTCCTCTCTATCTTTGCTGTTCAAGTGAACGCTGAAGTGTCTCTACCTGCTGTTTGGCGGTGGTGACTTCGGTTTCATACTTGAAGTGAAGCTCCTGGTATGAATATGTCATCTTGTCCAGTTCTTCTTAGAGGACCTTGTTTTTTCTGTAATAAATATTCATCAAGAACAGAAACTCTTTTATTATTTATGAATTTATTTGCAACTGAAACTGCAATGATCATAAAAAGCTTCTTGATTTGTATGCTAGCTAGACAAGGAGAGTCATGGATGAGATCGTTTCATGAGGTGCCTGCGGTGAACGAAAAAATGCAAATGAAAGGTAACTTAGCGAAGGGAAAAATCACTAATAATTAAAGTACTCTCGATCCTTTTCTGGGGAATATCTCAGTCCTCTATGCAGCCTGTCAGTCCCTGTGAAGAGTCCACTCTCACACTGGAGGACTCTTCATGAAGAACAAGAGTCCTCCAGAGATTCAGACACATGTCAAAGAAGAAGCAGGAACTTTCTTTATGAGAAAACTCTACTTACGCAGGCATAGGATGAGGGAAGCACAGAGATAGACCATAGACTGTGTATGCTGTGGACAACTTGGTCCCGCCTTCCGCCTGTAATTCCACGTTGTTTTTCTCCATTTCCTGAAACCAACATTGCGCAGTAGCATTGTGCGCATTCGGTGGGTGTGGCTGTGATGACGCTCGGCTCAAACAACGTGTCCCCTGGTGAGCTACACAATCTTCATACACCCATGGGCTGTATCAGGTGTCAATCATAGAAAACATGAACTCCCTAATAACTTTTAAAAATGGAGCTGCGCAGAGAAAAAGAGGACTTGAGCACAAACCAGTCTTACTGTAACTACATGTCAACATCGAAAGCAGAGGGGAGATATTATATTCTGTGTAATAAATTTCTAAAGTTTGTCCACAGCTCCATAGCGAGAAGGTGGGCTTTATGACCTATACTGCAGCCCGTCACCAGAGGGTGCTGTTCTCAGGGTGACTTTACCCAGCTAGGAGGCAGATGCTGTCCATTCTGTATACAGTTTATAGACTCACACTTTGTCCACAGGGGGCGCCAAAAGCAACATCACCTAAAAGTTCTTCACATGAA